CCCCCCCCCCTCGACAGTCCCATCGATGTTGCGAGATGTCTCCCTCGCCGAATTTGACAGCACCACTCGTCTTTTCGGAAGGGACTACTCTTCGCCTCTAGTCATTGCACCAATCGGCGTACAGGCTCAGCTGCACGCAGAAGAGGCCGATTGCGCCACAGCGCGAGCAGCTGCTGATCTCGAGATCCCCTTCACTCTCTCTTCCGCCACCAGTCGACCTCTTGAAAAGGTGCACGAAGAAGCAGGGTTCGCCAAAGGATCGGAAGAGGATGCTGTGGACGCATGGTTCCAGCTCTACTGGCCTCAAGACGATGACTTGACTGCGAGCCTGCTCAGCAGAGCCAAGAAGTCAGGGTATCGCGTGCTCGTGGTAACGCTGGACACGTGGAATCTGGGTTGGCGCCCACGAGATCTCGACTCAGGTGGGTGCAGATGTCGACGACCAACTCTAAGAAGAAAGAAGGACACAACTGACTTTACATGCTGTTGTTGCTTTCCACCACAAACACAGCTTACAATCCTTTCCTCACCGGTCAAGGCGTTGCCAATGTCTTTTCTGACCCCGTCTTTATCGAGAAGTATTGCGAAGGCAAGGTATGTTTTCTCGTTTCCCCAGTCGACACCCTGCACGATCTCGTTTCTGATGGCAACATTCTTTCTCTGCAACCTACAGGACCCTCGCCGCTCCGACGTGACAAAGGAGGAAATCACCGAAGCTTCCGTCGCAGCCATAGCGCAACTTTCTCCCGGTGTGTCCCGCACCTGGTCCGATCTGGCTCTCCTCCGCAAGCTTTGGGGCCCCGACCCGATCGTTCTCAAGGGTATTCAGACGCTCTCGGATGCTGCACGTGCCGTCGAGGCCGGTATGGATGGCGTGTGGGTCTCAAACCACGGCGGTCGTCAGGTCGACGGCGCCGTTCCCTCGCTCAACCAGCTACCGGTCATTGCCGACTACATTCGCTCGCTCCCGCTCAAGGAGGGCGAAGAGAAGAAGACGGTCATCTTTGATTCAGGAATCCGCTGCGGTGCAGACATCATGAAGGCGTTGGCTCTCGGCGCGGATGCAGTCGCTGTGGGCAGACCTTGGTGCTGGGGCTTGGCCGTCAACGGCGAAGATGGTGTGCGCGACGTGCTCAAGACGCTATTGGCGGATTTCGAGCTGAACGCTGGCCTTGCTGGATTTCAGTCGGCGAAGCAGCTTGGTAGACATGCTCTGATTCGTGCTGACGGACGCTTGTAGAATGCTTCCGAGTGTTTGATATTATCCCTGCACCCACAAAGAATGCACATCACGGTTCGTGTCCTGCTTCTACTCTGCATCGAGACGTGTCTCGAGGTGCTTGCCCACGTGTAGGAGCAATTTATCGCAGCCCCACTGAGACAAGAGTGTGACTCCGACCGGCCAGCCATCATCGTCGGCGACACCTGCCGGCAACGCCAAAGCCGGGAGCCCTGCCAAGCTCGCAGGCACGGTCAAGATATCTTGAACGTATTCTGCTGCACCTGCCTCGCCTCCCTTCATCGCCGCGGCGAGCGTCGGTGCCGTGTCCACGGCCGAAGGATGGATGATGACATCTACGCCTTCCTGAGATGCCGTCGTGTTGTCGTGCTTGCTCGACGCATCACGTATGCGCAATGCAGACGCAAAATCTTTCTGGACTTGAGATCGGATGCGCGACGCTTGAAGGAAGAAATTGTCAAACGCATCGGCGGTCAAAGCAAAAGTACCGAGCAAGATACGCTTGCGCACCTCGTCGCCAAAACCTGAAGTGCGCGTCGCTGCATATGCATGATGACCCGTTGCCCGCGGTTTGTGAAAGCCATACTCGACTCCATCATAGCGGGCGAGATTGCTGCTTGCCTCTGCAGAAGAGATGATGTAGTAGGCACTGAGCGCCGACGGCGTACTGGGCAGGGAGATCTGAACGATTTCGGCCCCGAGCTTTTGGAGCGCGGTGACTGCACGGTTGAACGGCGGAAGCACTCTTGCATGCAATTCGACGGGGAAGTACTCCTTTGGCACTCCAACACGAAGACCTTTGAGCGGCTGTGATGAGTCTGAAGAGGTAAGCGAGCTGAGAACGTCCTGTGCATTGGTGGTTGCTTCCGATCGTGCTTCTACACTCGCACTTGTCGGATCTTTGGAGTCGTGCTGAGCGAGAACCTCGTACACGGTCGCTGCATCTTCGACCGTCTTGGCCAGCACACCGACGGTATCCGAGCTGTCCGCGTATGACACGAGGCCCCAACGACTGACCAAGCCGTAGCTCGGCTTGAGCCCGACCACCCCGCAGTATGCTGCCGGTAAGCGTACACTGCCACCCGTATCGCTACCGAGCGCAAATCTCACCAAGCCTGCGCCGACAGCCGCCGCGGAGCCACCCGAGCTTCCTCCTGCAACTCGTTCCGCTTGCGGATCCCAAGCTTCTCCTCCTTTAGAAGCGGGAGACGCAGGGTTGCGCACAGCTCCGTGTACCGTGTGCATGTTCGTGGAGCCCATGCCGAATTCGTCGCAGTTTGTAGTGTAGCGAGGTATCGCGCCGGCTCTGCGCAGAAGGGTCACAGCCGTGGCGTCGAAGGTTGGCGTGAAGTTCTGCAGCATTGCGCTGGAGCAAGTGGTGGGAGTTTCACGGACACAAATGTTGGACTTGATCGCCGCTGTCCAGCCTTTCAGAGGCCCACCGTCCACAGCTGGGGACGAATTGGGGATTTCAGCCACGATAGCATTGTATGGGTCGAACGGTCCAGCTTGAAGTGTGACGGAATCCTTTTGTGCTGCAGAGGACGTTGCAAAGGTTCGTGTTGGCAGCTTCCCGATTGATGAAACGCAGCAGCTGCCAGCGCAGCGTCGAGCATATGCATCGGCGCTGGTGCCGACGCTGAGACAGCGACGTGCGAGCTGGCTCGTCATTGATGCGCTGTAGCCAGGTAGATAGCGTCGTAAGAACGAAAGAGGACAAGGACAAGCGTTGGACAGAAGACGTTTCAACCGCACAAAGTCATTATTGGACCCTGAAATCGCGAGAGGTTCTTCTGGGCGAAAATCCCTTTTTGTCGTACGGGACACACTGAGACTGAGCAAAGCAAGCAGATCGCCACGATAGAGACACAGCGAAGTGAGCGAGATCCAGAGCAATTCGTGGATACAGTATCATCGCTGTAGGACACGGCACGGTGTCTTGAGTTGAAAACGTTGCAATGATTCACAGGTCGAGACCGAGACAATGCAGAATTGTCAGTCAAAAGCAATTAGTTGTGACAACGGAATGCGGGTAAATGGAACGCATAATGGAGGTTGTAAAAATGATGGTCGCGCCATCCAACCGGTGCCAGAGCTTGTCTGAGATCGACCTGCACAGTCAAAGCGACGCCGGACGCGGGTCGACTCGATTGAGAAGGAGTGCTTAGCTCACATCACCGTATCTGTTGCCTGTCGCTCGCTTGATGGCAGTGAGACCGGAACGTGAATTGACGGGAGCTACACAATGTTCGAACCGAAATCCTGGTTCGTTGATCAGCGGTAGATGTTGGAGGCGCGGACCAATTTGCCCTTGTATGATACGCTTTGCAGCAGAGCTTTGTCGTGGTCAGGACCATAGTGCAGTCACTGTCGGGCGGTATTTCCACGCCCATCGCACGCCAGGTCTGGCTGATCTCGCCAAAAGAGCCAAAGGCAAGATTGGAGACGGTGTCAGACGGAAGAACTTCTTCTGCTATTCAATTTCTGAGACCGAGGCTTCCACATAGATCGGTCATGCATGCAGGGGCTGAACGAGGTCGCAGGAGACGACACATTTAGCAGTACAAGTCTGGCAGCACATCGGAGGAGGGCTTAGCCGGGCTCGCTAGATGCTGTTTTTTTTTACGAGTCGACAGCTGACCGACATCGCTTTTACGGTACTCAAGTAAGCTCTGGGACCCAGATTGCCTTGACGAAATGCCGGAAAGCTCCTGCAATGGGCGACGAGGAAGTGCTTGCAAGAAGCAAGGCCAGGTTGGCTCGGCGTTGCATGCATCGTGTTGGGAGTGAAACTCAATCTTGTCCCGACGGAGCGAGATCCACGTTGCATCTTCTACCAACGTGACGGCCGGCTCTTGCAAGAACCAAGGTGGCCGACAAAGAGCTCTTGACTGCGATACGTACTGTCGGTGCTTCGATGGGCCCGGAACGGCTTGAGGAAGCGATTTGACACTCCGCATGCATAGCAAGAGGCACCAAGAAAAGCACCGTCGAGGGTCACGAGCGAGTTGACCGAAGCGACACAAGTGAAACAATCCCGTCAGATCGGAGACACAAACACATGCCAACTACCTCTACGCGTCCCGAAGCAGTCTCGACAAGGCTGAGCTGTCTTCCTCCGGAGAAGTCGGGGTCGGGGTCGTCGAATGGGTATTGAACATGCGCGTCTTGCCTTTGCTTTGTCTGACATCCTCGGCCAAGCGACTTGGCTCATCTGGTCTCTTGGCCCTTGCCATTTTCTGCTTCGGAGCGGATTCCCGCATGGTCAGCATCGAGATGCAGCGCCATGCAAGCGTTCGCAGTGCGATTCTCGTGACAAGGCCGGACTCTTCCCCCGCTCACACTTTTGTATTTGCTACGATGCGGGTGGACAAGGAACGCAGGGGTGAAGTGGGCTCGGGAAGAGGCTTCTTCGCCTGGCAAGACACCGGATGGCATTCCACGATGGTGATGGAAATGAAGCACAGCCGAAAGCCGCAATCGAGCTTCGGGCTGAGGAAGCCTTGACGACCGGGTTGACCTCAGGTGCGGAATGGCAATCAAAAGAGCTTTGTTCGCATGCAAGAGGGCCTTATTCAGATTTTCCACCTCCATCGAGTCCATTGTTTGTCGCGACGGGCGTGTCAGCCGTGGATACCGAGCGAGCATCAAGGCAATACATGTCGCTAGAAGATGTATCACGAGGTCATGTTAGATGTACGGTTCAGAGGGCGTCTCCGCTCAAGCCGTTGACTCTGCCAGCAGTATATACGCATGCTGTGCCATCAAAACGCTCGCAAACCGGACGGTGTCCAGGGTCCAGGTCGAGCAGACAAGTTCAGACCCAGCACGCAATCACTATGTCGGGTTGCCAAAGGTGAACGGGGTCCAGCCACTTTGGTGGCCCGCGTCGCAGCGATGTTTGAATTGACTCGAGTGACGGGAGCAGTGCCACATGAATCACAGGCTGCGAACCGCATGCGAGACGCCCGTCAGCAATCGAGCAAAGTAGCTCATGCAAGGTAGAGCCGCAGCACGATACGAATGGAAAGGAAAAGAAAGCGATTGCGTGTCGGCAATGCATTGCTGCGGCGTCGAAGTCGTGCGGATCATGCGAATCGCGTTGAAAAGAAGTCGCGTGTGTGTGGTGTTGCTGCATCGAGGGTCGATCTTAGTGGAAAGCTCACACTGAATGTTGAGGGGCGGGTGGACGCTGTAGCCTGCCAAGGATGCGGACGCGCTACAATGGCGCCAACTTGGACTCTGGCTACAGCACCGCCTTTGCCTTGTCGTGCCAGGCAGAGCCCTTATGCCCCAAGCCCAAGAAATCGGTTCTCTCCACCGGACCATAGACCCGAAAAGCATCCTCGCAGCCGCGCGGAGTCGAGAAGCGTCGAGCTCCACAATTTTTCGACAAATTTTGCTTGTCTAACCACGAGTGAGAGCGGCCTTTGCTTTCTTCGATGGGCATGGAGGTATGCGGCATTTCTTTTTCGGGGTCGTCGATGGTCGCGAACACTGATGCCATAAGGTCCACACAAAAAAAATATAGAAAACCGATTTTCAGAAATTCGTTTAATTTTCGCCACCGGCTGTTGAACCGCCTACGTACCGCGTTGCGTCGTCTGTTGCGCGAGAGAAAGAGTGTTCATTCGCCTTTGTTTGCCAGGTCCCTTACATTCAATCCCCGCAGCTCTCTCACTCATCTGCCGGCCTCAACCGTGTGGCAACTGCAATGGTGCTGTAAAATTATTTGTGGCTGCAATGCCTGTATCTGCCATCGGACCTGTCTCGTGCGAGGGTCTTCTGCCGGTCAGCTGCCGACGCCACCGCCATCGAGACAGCTTTTTCCACAGAAATCGGGTTGCCAACGCAAGAGTCTTGGTTCGTGCAGAGTTCGCCGCCGTCGAGTATCGCTCTGCGCTCCGCCACTTCCTTACGTCTTATCCACCACACGCCATCTACGAATGACTCCTTCACACCATCGTCGTCGTACTCTTACATCTCGATTTACCGACTTTCATTGCTCTCTTGCGGTCCAGCCTCTTCACCCGCTTGATAGCTACTATACATCAACAACTTCGTCTCGACCTGGAAGAAGAAGGATCTGATTTTTAGTCGCATTATCATCTCTCTGACATGGAGCGATAAGTGTACTATTCTCACTTCACTCGACCTCGTACTATCACGCACCTACCAGCGGCCTTTTCCGCACCCATACAGTAGCTTTTCTTTCGACACGAACATCTCGCTCGGGTCACAGGGCTGCCGTCACACTCGACAATCTTGTCGTCCCACCTCTGATCCCCAGCAGCTTCTTTGCACATCAGCGCAATCACTCTTGTGCTTTCCGTCAGCAGTTCTGACGGTCTAAATCCGCTTCACGTCATTCAGTATCGTCCCGTAGGCTACGATCATCGACGTCCCTGCACTCGTTCAACAATCGCACTACTCTGCGTACTCGAGCTGCATAACCAACCTTTCTTCCCTCTACACACACTCTTCCTGCATCTCCCCCCCGTTGAGTCTTTCCCCGATTACTCGACCACTCAAGCATCCGTATCCGTATCAACAACCAGTCGAGCGTTCTCTCGACAACACAACCCGGCTGGGTTTTTATCTCCCGACTACAGCCTTCACTATCCGTCGACGCTCGCCGTCATTTTTCTGAAGGGCAAGCCACTTTGGACACCCATTTAATCTATGCCGATTGCTGCAACCGAATCTAGCCTCGTCGCAAAAAATATCCGGTCCGCCTCGCCTTTGCCGCCTGCCAATTCGCTCCGCATTCTCATCGTCGATGACAACCACATCAACCTCTCCATCCTCAGCACGCTTCTCAAGCGTCGCTTCGGTCATGCTCTATCTAGGCCCCCGGTCAGCCTCGACAGCGGCCTGAAGGCGTTGCAGCTGCTCCGCACCGAAATCTTCGACCTCATCTTTATGGACATTGAGATGCCCTATCTCGATGGCGTCGAATGCACCCGTCGTATCCGAGCAGGTGAGGATGGCATTCTCGATCCCAACCGCAATGCCCACATCGTCGCGGTCACCACCAACGTAGGTCCCGAACCCGGTTCCCTCTATCGCCACGTCGGTATGGATGGCATGATCAGCAAGCCGGTGCGCTTCGAGAATTTTCACCAGTACATCTGTCCGCTCTCCATCGAGGCGTCCGCAGCCAAGGGGTCCGTCAGTCCCGTGCTCGTGGGCGCCGAAGAGGTGTTACCCCCCATGCCTCCCATCGACCTGGAGCAACGGCTCTTCTTCGTGCCTGCCCCCAACGGCGGCGTCGTCACCACTTCCAAGTCATCCACACGTGGCGGCGACTCGCCCACTCCCGAGTATTCGAACGCGAATGAGTTTGCTGCCATGCTAAAGGCACAGACAGCCAAGTCGCTGCGCGACCGCAAGGCACTCTCCATCTCGCGTTCCACCACGCTCTCCGAAGCGCGTAGGTCGTCGTTCAACTCGCCCAGGTCGGAGCATCTCTCTGCCATCCGTGTAGTCCATCAGCCCGGCGCTGTCGACTCTGACGACGCACTCGCCACGGAGGATCGAGAAAGCTTTAGACGCAAGCACGGAGCTGGGCAGGACATCACCAATGCGTCTATGCTCTCGTTCGAGTCGCTCGTAGAACGTGAGACGCGTGAACGCGAGCTGGACTGTCTCACTCAGAGCCGTGTTCCTACTCTCGTTCGACCCGTTCCCATCCACCGCGTCAGCTCGCCTGCCTACCTGCTCGACGCTTCGCCTGTCAGCCGCCTGCGCGCCGAGCCGGCTATGCGCTCGAACCCAGATCTTGCTGCGCCTCGCGCTGTGCGTCCGGGCATCCGGCCCTTGCCACGCGAACGACCTGTTCGCAACGACTCTGATCGCTCTTCGAATAGCGCATCGGACAGTGCTGGCATGTCTGCCTATGTCTTCTCGTCGGATCACACGACGACGACGACTAGGCGCTCTTCTTCGCTCGACTTGCTGAGCAGCTTCGAAGGTCACCGCACCGTCAGCCCTTCGTCGTCGCTCACCACACCCGTGTCATCTCCGGCTGACATGGATGCGATCGCCAACGCAAAGGATTTGGACGACGACCACGACCGGCGCGATGCTGTCTTCAGTCCATGTGCCGACGACCTGCTCGTACCACGCGGACTGGATTTCCGCACCATGCCTCTGCTGCCGCCGTTCCCGCCGCTCTCGAGCAAGGCTATGTCGCTGCAGAACAGTCCACGCATCCGCGTTTCTGCGGTTCCAGAACTACAGCAAGCTCGCTCTCGAGACGGGCTGAGCTCGCGCGTCGATGCATTGCACCTCGAGTGATATGTCACGACTCTACTTCGCCGCCGGTCTCACACCACAAGGGTTATCAAAATGCGAAGGATCTGCATCTACTTGTCTTTTCTACATACACGCCAAAGTCTCAGACCAGCACGGTCCGCCTCGAATGTCTCTCCATTTCACTGTCTCGGTCGCATCTCTGATTATATACCCTTGGGTCATTATCTGTCACCATCTGTCGCTGCTCTCATCTCCTCTGTCTCTCTGTCTCTCTGTCTCTCTCTTCTGGTTCTTTCCTCTCGTGGATTTTGGGATCTGTTATCGGGTCTCTGCGATCGTCGGTACTCTTTCTTTTGTCATCTATTTGTACTATGTATCTAGGGTTTTGGACCTCACTTGGGTTTAACTTCATGTCTATTCTTGGCTATCTTTCTCAGAGCTGTTCTGTGTGCTTATACTTGTGTGGCCGGTCTATAATAATATGAGGGCGCCGGTGCAGGATTCAGCTCTCGCTCCAGCAAGGAAGCTTTCAGCAAGACGGATCGTCAAGCTTACTAATGCTTATGAAGCCTGAAATTTCGCCAGAGAGGGGTCGAAAATGGAACACAGCGAGCGAGTAGTGAATTTGTCGCAGCGTGTTGCTTTTGCTGGGCGGGTGTTGGACTCAGTCAGGCTCACACCCAGACGCGGGCCAGGGAGACGCGCCTTGGCCCGTGGGAGGTGGAAAGGCGAAATTCGAGAGACGGCTCACGTTGCTCTCGGCCCCTGAAGGCGCGCCCCTCCAGAGACCCAGTAAGCAGAAATCAAATAATCAATCACACACCGCCTCGCCGAGTAAGAGAGGTGAGCGCGTGCACGGGCGTGTTGGCCTGTCTGCGTGTGTGTGTGTGTCTTTGTCGGCCCTTTCAGAATTCGTTCGTTGTGTGTTGCGCTGAGCAGACGGGAGGCTGTCAGAGCCTGGCGCACACTCTCGCGGGCAGCAACCGTGGCCAACAGAACCAGAAGCTGAATCAAGACTGCGCAAACTGATCACCCCTATCTCGTTTCCACAACGATCACCCCGACCTCGATCCTCTCTTTCTCTCTTCCATCAGAGATAAGTACGCTCTTGGACAAGAACGACACCATCCTCACGAACTTATCTTAACGAACAACCTCACGACAACTCATACACAATGGTGAGTAGCTTCCCATCGTCGCCCGCAGCCCTCTTGGGAGGAGGCGACACCGAGCACCGTCGATTACGATCTACGGCAGGGCATTTGTTCAGGTCGCAACTGCTGTGTCGTTTTGGCCTCGAAAAAGACGATCGAATGCCCGCAGTGGAAGCTTGCAACTGAATGCAACAGCGACGCATGCTGCATTGCCATTTTGAAGGCTGCTTCCTGGCACAGTGTTGGAGAACCCTCTTTTCATGCGTGGCCGTTGGGCAAAGTTGCACCTGCCCGCGGATCTGCCTGCTGGACTACGCTGACACCTGCTGCATCTCTTACCCTTTCCACGCATCACGTCTTGCCCCTTGGAATCCGGCGACGACATCGCTCTGCCATCTCGCACGGTCGCCTTGGCCAAATTCTGCCAATGACTACGTCCATTTGACCGCCTCTCCATCATTTGCCGAGAACAGGACCGCATCAAAGAGGTAAGCACAACCGGAATGCAAAGATGCTGTTGCGCTTATCTTTTTCTGCAAATGACGGGAACGCTGACACTTCCTGCACTTCGATCGTGCTGTGAAAACCGCAGAAACTCAACTCGCTCCGTGTAGAGGCCGACGCAGCAAGCGAGCGTGCCGATGAGCTCGCAGCCAAGAACAAGCAGCTCGAGCAGGAGCTACTCACCAAAGACCAGGAGATCGCTTCGCTGCAGCACAAGCTGAGCGTGGCTGAAGGTGACCTCGACAAGCTGGAGGGCAAGCTGCACGAGCACAAGTCGGCCCGCGAGGAGCACGAGTCAAATGCCACCAACTCGGAATCGCTTCAACGCAAGGTCGACTTGCTCGAAGGCGAGCTCGACACTGCCGAGAAGAACCTGCGTGAGACCACCGACAAGTAAGTTCAAGTTGTGCGGCGCGACCGCGGCGGCCTCCAACATCAGAACTGACCAAGCGTATTACTTTGCTTCTTTTGCTACGCGCACCGCGACATAGGCTGCGACAGGTTGACGTCAAGGCCGAGCACTTTGAGCGACAGGTGGCAACGCTCGAACGCGAAGTGGCTACGTGGGAGAAGAAGTACGAGGAGGCCGAAGAGCGCTACCGCACCTCGAAAGCAGAGCTGGACGAGGTTGTGGCACAGATGGAGAGCCTCTAGGTCGTCGAAAGAGTCGAAGGTGCAAATCCAAGCGCGCAACAGGAGTGCGGTGGCGACCGGCAAGACGGAGAGGAGCCAGACTTTCGAGATGCGTGGCGAGCGGGGTCTGAGGATAGCAAGGCTGAAACCCCACCGAGCGAGGTCTGCGATGGCCTGGGCCAGGTAGGCATGGTGCGCAGCCTGTCGGGCCGTACTCTTGCGCTGTTTGCGGCTCCGATCCATGACGTGCTGATGACGCTTTTCGGGATCTGGGCACAAGCGGTACTGCTGCTGCTGACTGCTTCACCTGATAAGCTGTCGGCGCTCGATGGTTCGAATGGTCAAGAAACGCAAGATGGATACGTTGATGCGCCAACCGAGTCGAAGCTCACGATCAATGATTCGGCGATGCGTGCTCCAGTCAGGGTCCCGTCCTAAACTTTTTCGAAACTCTCGCTCGCGTTCCAGCTCTATTGCCCTTCCCTTCCCTTTCCCTCGCCTCACCGTGCCAAGCTGTTGTCGCCTGTTCCAGCACCCTCCTCTCTCTCAATACGATCTAGAAAGACCATCAGATGATCTCGACATGTTACCGGTATGCAGCGCAAGCCTAGATCGCCGCTGTTACGAAAGCACGAATGTCGTCCGTGCGTGCCTGAGGCAAAATGAACAAGATGAGATAACTTTAGGCTGAGGAGGGGCAACGGTGGCCGCTGTGCGACTGGGCAAGGCACGTGACCGTTCTGAATGGAGGCGCGAGAAATTGCTTGCAATCTACTGTAGACTCTGTGTGTTTCGTGTGTGATTTTCTAGCGGAGATTGGCGCGTCGTTGTGTGTTTTTCTCCAATTTGGCAATTTGGCAGTTTGGATTGCAGCAGTCACAAGCAACACTGCACGGTCGCAGCCGCACTTGACTGTAGCTTAGGAGCCCAGCTTCGAGCATTGACAAGACAATCGTCATCCCACCATCGCCTTATCTGAGCCATCATCATCCTCGACCACTCCATCAGCAATGTCGAGCATCCCAGTACCACAGACGGTCAAACGTCAACGCACGGCAGCGACCATGCCAGGCGGCGCCGGTCCAAGCAAGCTTCGAACACCCGCCGCCACTCGCATCATGCCAGCAACTCGATCGGTCAGCGCAGCAGACAATGGCAGGTTCGTTCCTGCTCGACGAACGGCCACCACTACCACAACAGCATCCTCCATCGGTCTCACACTGCCACGAGCACCCATGACCAACACAACCAACCGTCCAACTGCGGGCACTGGTGCAACTACCCGCTCGGTCAGTGCTTCCAAGGTAGCCGCCGGCGCTGCACTACCGAACGGAGTCAGGAGAGGTGTCACAAGCGTCACGCGTCTTCGTCCGGGCACAAATGCTGCTGCCGCCGCCGCTGCCGCTGCCGCAGCGGGTCGCAGCAGCAATGGTAGCACTACCTCTGCCAACTCTGGCGACGTCGACCCATCTCGAATGGACGCCATGGAATCGCGTCTCGCATCCATGGCCGAGCTTTTCGAGCTGGAACGGCAAAAGACCGAGGAAAAGTGGAGCAAGGAACGTTCCGAACGTCTACAACAGGAAGACAAGGTTCGCCAGTTGGAAGAGGACCTCATCGAGCAACGCAAGATCGCACAATCAAAGCAGGATGAGATGAAGCGCCGACGTACAATCGCTGACGATGAACTGTTGCAGATCACCGCCAAATTCAACCGCGAGAAACGTCTTCTCGAGTCGGAGCTCGAGCAAGAACGCGAGACCGTCGTGGCGCTCAAGGCTACTCTCAACCAGCAAAGCACCAGTCACCTTACCATGGAAAGCACCAACACTGCCCTCCGCTCTCAGATCCAGATACTCCAAGACGAGATCGATGCGCTTCGAGCCAAGATCGCCAACATGGACAAGGACGTCGCTGAAACCAAGGAGGCCAACCTTCATCTGGAGAACGAGCTGCGCGAGGCCGAATCGTTGCGACGCAAGCTTCACAACGAAGTGCAAGAGCTGCGAGGCAACATCCGTGTGTTTTGCCGTGTCCGTCCTCCTTCCAACAACGATGCCAACAATGGCACCGAAGCCTTGGCGACCATTCGTTTCCCCAACGAACGAGAAGCGGCTCAGATCGAGCTGCTTGCTGCTGGCGAATCTGCGACTGGAACTGTGACGATGCGCAACCACCTATTCACGTTCGACCGCGTCTTCCAACCCACTGCTTCACAAGCCGACGTTTTTGAGGAAATCGCCCACCTCACGCAGTCGGTGCTCGACGGCTACAACACGTCGATCTTTGCGTACGGTCAAACCGGTTCCGGTAAGACGCACACGCTCGAAGGCGCGCCGGACTCGATCACCAACTTTGGCAGCGATCCTTCGGCGGATGCCGGCGCCGGTCTCATCCCACGCGCTGTCCAGATGCTCTGGTCCACCGCTGAGAGTCTCAAAGACAAAGGCTGGAGGTACAACTTCGAAGGAAGCATGCTCGAGATCTACCTGGACAACATCAACGATCTCCTCGGCAAGGCCGAGGTGGACAAAGCCAAGCACGAGATCAAGCACGATAAGGGGCGCACCACGGTGAGCGATACGGTCGTGGTACCGCTCGACTCGCCGGCGCAGGTGTTTGCGCTGTTGGACAAGGCCAAGAAGCGAAGGCAGGTGGCGGCGACGTTGATGAACGAGCGATCTTCGCGATCCCACTCGGTGTTTATGCTGCGCGTTCGCGGTCAGAACGCCACCACTATGGAGGCGTGCGATGCCGTGCTCTCGCTCGTCGACCTTGCTGGTTCCGAACGCCTCGCCAACTCTGGTAGTGACAAAGACCCGGTCCGATTGAAAGAAGCGCAATCGATCAATAAGTCGCTCTCCTCTCTGGCCGACGTCATCTCGGCTCTGGGTCAAAACAAGACTTCGACAAACCACGTCCCGTATCGAAACTCGACGCTCACGTGGTTGCTGAAGAACAGCTTGGGTGGGAACTCAAAGACGCTCATGCTGTTGGCGTTGAGTCCGATGGCGGCGCATCTGAACGAGAGCCTGTGCTCGTTGCGGTTCGCTACCAAGGTCAACTCGACTACTATCGGTACGGCGAAAGCTGTCAAGTCGATCGCAAGCTAGGGACGCCGCGGATGAACCATGGTTCCCTTCTGCTTCAATGTATACCTCTGTCCCTTCTCTCAGATCGTGTCAAATCGAATGATTTCAGGAACCAGTGTGTCAGTCGAGATTTGGAATGTAGGGATGGCAATGTGCGGAATATGAATTGCACGATGATAGCAGCGAGAACCCCGAGCTCGCCCTCTCAACCAAATACACGCAACCCAGCCAACTGCGCCTCTTCCTCCTGATCCTCTCCCCGTCCCTCCTCGTCCGCACTCGCTTCGTCGACCTCGTGCACACCTCTGACAGCTCCCATGGAAGTCGATGCGAGCTGTCGGAACAACCTCTCAATCTGCTCCGGTCCCCACTTTACGCGGTCACGGATAGGCGGCATGAAGTTGACAAGCTTTTCGTTGACCTCGTACCTCAACTTCCTTCCCTTGGACGCCTTGGTATCGACGTTGTTCTTCTTCTTCTTGCCGCCACCTTGCAAGCTGGAAAGCATCATTGCAGTGGTTGTGGTGGTGCCGCCTTCGTTGGAGAGGACGCCTGAGCGTCGCTCGATGAGCTCCTTGAGCAGTGCAGAGTAGAAATCGGTGTCGTCAAATACCTGGTCGTCCTGCGCTTCGTCCGAAGCCGAGGGGGGCGGCGCGGTGCGCAGTTTGGAAGCTCCGTCTGTTTCGGATCGCAGCACGCGGGTGCGCGAGACGAGTCGGGAGAGTCCGTCGCCAGCGAGCGCAGAGTCGATCTGGGACGAGGGAGCTTGGTTGACAGCTCGCAGCTGGTTGAATCGGTTCCCATTTGAAGCTGCTGCTGCGGCAGCTGCTGCAGAAGTAACTTTGAGACTCCACTTGTCCAATACGCTGCGACGATGAGGTTCGAGAGCAGAAGAGTAGCCGACGACGTCGTTGAGCGTGGCATCGATCTGATCGTGCGATGTGATCTGAGCCCATGTCTCGTGTGCTTCCTCGTCGTCTTCCGGGACTGTCACGTCAAAGTCCCTCTTCCTTTTCCTCAGCGCTGGTGGCGCAACAGTAACCTCGTCTTCATCTGCTCCTGTGGCAAGGGTATTGAGACGTGTCCTGAGCGAGAAGAGCGTCTCGGACAACTCGAGCAGCTGTTCGAGCAACGCTACTGCGGGTTCCACTGCGGTGCTGGAGGAGGACATGGTCTGGTTGTAGATCGCGGGGTCGGGAAGCCGGTTGACATCGCGGAGGACGGATTGCGCCTTGATGCGTGTCTCGAGCGTGCGTTCGTAGGTCTTGATCTGCTTGCGAACTTGACGTCCCTTTTCGGCATCTTCGAGTCGGCGTGCTTTGAGCGCTTTGGCTTGTGATGCGGATTGTGCGATCTGTGCTGCGATGCTGTTGGAGGTGGATGCTTGCGCTGCTCGTTCGTCTTGGTCGCTGAGCTCGGAGGCGTCGTCTTGCTCGGCAAATCGGAGCTGTTTGGTCATCCTTGATGGGGCGGCTCGCAGTTCTGCGTCCTGCTCGGAATCGTCTTCATCTTGATCCTCGTCCTCGTCGGTATCCTGCTCGTCTTGCTCGCTGGCGTCGTCCTCGTCATCATCCTCTTCATCGGCGTATAGCTCTGCACGACTGCTCTTCACACCCTGATATCTCGGGTGATTGATCCTGTCACTTTCGCTGAGCGCTGCTTTTTTGCGCATGTCGCTTGTACTGACGTCAGCGTAGTGTGCTCTTGGGTTCATGGACTCCTCTTCCTCTTCCTCTTCCTCATAGTCGTCGTCATCCTCGCTCGCAGATCCGGAAGCAGAGTCATGGTTGCCGTTGGCGAAAGCGGACGACGAGGGCTGATCGGCGTCGAGTGCCTCTGGGTCGAAGTCGACGGGTGCTGCGTTGGTGAGTGTGCCTAGCAATGAAGCGAGTGATGACGATTTTGGAGGCATGGCTGGGTAATGAGGTCCTGTCTGCTCGACTTGCAGAACAAAGACGTTTTGTGGTGATCTCGGGGCCGTGGCTGGTAGAGGGTTGTCAAGAGGTGAGGGTTCAGGAAGAAGTCGTTCAAAAAAGTTCGTTTCTCCACAAATTCTTCTAGCCAAAAAATGTTGTAGGTTGCAGACGGCAGTCTGAGCAATTCGCCAAACGGATGTTGGTAAAATCACTTTTTGTCGTCTGAAAATTTGGCTGACATAATCCTGATCAATCTCGACTTGCGTGGATGATGGACGTGCGGGCTGTCACAAAACACTTTGCTTCTTCGCGCGTCGCAGAAGATCAACCGTGTTGCTCTACCTTTATCATCGCATCCATCCTCGATTCTTCGACATAAAAGCAATCATGTCGTTCGGCGGAGGAGGCTTCTCTTTCGGAGGTGCCGCTGGCAACACCAACAGCAACAACAATAGTGCTGCAAGCGGCGCAGCCAACAAGCCGTTCTCATTTGGAGGTAAGTTGAGAACGTCAAGGATGGCCTCTTTCTTATGATCCCGCTGCTGAGACTACTACGCTGTGTTTGTCTCATATCACAAACAGGCGCATCAAACTCCGGCGACTCTCTCTTTGGCTCTCCAGCTGGAACCAACACTACCGCTTCCACAGCACCTGCTTCTGGCGGAGGACTTTTCGGCTCTAACAACACCAACTCCTCCACCACGGGCACCGGTGGCTTTTCCTTCGGAGGCGCAGCAGCAAAACCAGCAGCACCTTCTACAGGTGGCTTCTCTTTCGGTGGTCCAGCAGCATCTTCTTCCACCCCGACGTCGTCCACACCCACAGCTTCCTCGGGAGGATTCAGCTTTGGCGGTGCAGCCAGCAAACCAGCAGACAGTGCAACCACGTCCACCACTCCTGCAGCTCCTGCTGCTACTACTGGAGGTTTCTCATTCGACGGAAACAACAGCACAGCCTCGAACGCAGCCAAGCCAGCAGCGGGTGGTTTCTCTTTCGGAGGAGCCAGCACGACACCCGCTTCCACAGCTACGACTTCTTCCACTCCAGCAGCTATTAGTGGCGGTGGACTGAGCGGTTTCGGATCGTTCAAGCTTGGCGGTGACAGTGGCAACTCTTCCTCAACTCCTGCTGCTACTTCCACCGCGACCCCACCCGCTGCTGGTGGTTCGCTCTTTGGCGGAGCGTCCAAGCCTGCTTCTGGTGGATTCTCATTCGGAGCAGCTCCTGCGGCAAACAGCACCTCAACAACGACTTCTGCACCAGCAACACAAGCTGCTGCGCCTGCCAGCACGGGTGGATTCTCGTTTGGCAATTCCTCGACTAGCGCTGCTCCAGCTGCCTCCGGCGCTGCTGCTCCGGCAAAGCCTGCACTCGGAGGGTTTTCGTTCGGCAACAATACGGCGGCATCGAGTGCTACGGCGCCGGCGTCGTCAGGTGCTGAAAACAAAACTGCCGCTGCACCGGCGGCTACGGGTGGATTCTCGTTTGGCAAACCCGCCGCTGCTCCTGCTGCTTCGACAACTGCTCCTGCAGCTGCACCCGCCGCGCCCCCTGCTTCCGGCGGATTCTCGTTCGGCAAGCCAGCCGCGAGCACCACCGCCACCACCGCCACCACTACTTCTGCTCCGGCTGCGACGGCTGCATCAGCTGGCCCCGCTGCTGCCTCAGGAGATGCTGCGTCCAAGCCCGCAGGTGGATTCTCCTTCGGCAGCACTCCCGCTGCCGCTGCCTCCACTACTACGACCAAACCGACCACCACCACTTCCACTTGCACCGCCGCCCCCGCGTCCGTCGGTCCGGTGGCCACGCCCTCGCTCCTCCGCGGCAAATCCATGGACGAGATCCTCAACCGCTGGTCCACCTCGCTCGACTCCTCCATCAAGGAGTTCTCGCGTCAAGCGGCCGAAGTTTCCGCGTGGGATCGCGTGCTGCTCAAAGGAGGCGACGAGATCTCTTCGCTGCTCACCGCGCTCTCCGCAGCGGAGGAGAAGCAGGCGGGCATCGACCGCACGTTGGACTACCTCGAATCTTCGCAGTCGGATCTGACTGCGCTGGTGGGCGATTACGAGGCGCAGATCGAGAGCCTCTTGCCCGCGCTCACAGGGGGAGCAGCGGGCGGCGGCGGCATGAATTTGACGAGCGCGGATGTGGAGAGGGAAAGGGCGTACGGGTTGGCAGAAACGCTGAATGGTCAGCTGGACGATGTCTCCAAGAACCTGGCTGCCATGATCGGCGAGTTGAATAGCAGCGGCGCTAACGCGGCGAGGAGCGGTGGTGCGGAGGGCAAGGACGGTGTCGATGCCTGGGCTGCCGAAGGTAGGGATGGAAGCATCGCTCAGATCGTCGCTATTCTCAACGCGCATCTGGGCAGTCTGAAGTGGATCGACCAGAGCGCGGGTGCGTTGAGGGGCAAGCTGGAAGGGTTGAGGAGGGGTCAAGTGTAAGGGGGCGGGTTAATGTTGCTTTCACTGTATCCCCTCTGCGTGCAATGTTGCAGGTGATTCCTTGTCACTAGTGTCTTTCTGGTGTGCGTCGAATCGTGACTGCGATGTGTGCTGTGACCTGCCGAAGTTGGGACGAACCGATGATGAGCGGTCAAAAACTCACTCATATCGACAGTGACGAGTGCGCAAATGCAGGTAAGTTGCGCCCCATCGGCCTCCTTCGCACGCACCGGGAAAGTCTGATCTTCGCCCGAAAGTGTTCCTGGTGATGACGTCTCTATTCAGTCTCTGCGTACAGACCACATCGACAGAAATGAGGGTATGAAGCACACAGACCTTGGAAGCCAGAAATGACCGTACAAATCACACAATAAATGGCAGCCTGAAACGACCTTTTAAAGCATTGGTAGCCAAATACTGTAAGAGCGTATGAAGCATGCAGACCATGACAGCCAGAAATGAGGGTATGAAGCATGATCAGACCTTGGCAGCCAGAAACGACCTTCTAAAGCAATGGCAGCTAGGGACAATCGTATAAAGAACATGATTAATGGCAGTCAGAAAAGACTATATGAAACACACCGACAATGGTAGCTAGAGACGAGCGAGCGATTAAAGCATACAGACCGTGACAGCAAGAAACAACCGTATCAAGCACACAATCCATGGGCAGCCAGCGACGAGCGTAGCAAGCATACACATCACGGCAACCAGAAACGAGCGTATGAATTGCAAGATCCAAAGATCCGCATCACGAATGGGTATCAGGTAAAAGTACATGGGCTGATTCGGGCGAGCTTTTTGACTATGTTGAGAGGTCTGGTCTTGGCTCTGAGAAGAATGTTCCTCGTGACAACGTCCCAAAAATTGTCTCTGGTGCAGGACCAGGACGACCAGAAAGGAGCGTATGAATTGCAAGATCCAAATCTGCATCACGAATGGGTACATGGCTCTATTCCAGGCCATCATTTGCTTCCACGTCTCGCCCTTCAAAACCTTCCCTCGACAAACTCGAACTCCAACCCCGTTCCCAGCTGGAATGACGCAAGAGGACTCAAGCTCAATCTGAACTTGTTGTTCTCTTCGTTCTCTGTATTCTCGTTACGCAGGTTCTCCTTGTCGTCGCGCCCATCTTCGAGCGACGCTCTGTGCTGAGCAGCGAAGGGTCTGGAGAAGCACACTCGTCCGCTGTCCTGCAGCTTGTTTCTCGCAGGGTCGATCTGCGAGTCATCTGCCAATGTGGTGAAATCGGTGGTTCGAGTGCCCGAGGTGTCGGATACGAAAGAGTCGGCCGAAGAGATTGAGGAAGCGGTTCCAGTAGTGGGCGTGGGCGATGGTGCTCGTCGGGTCGAACGATGCGGACGCTGCGGCGGTGACGATTTGTTGATGCTGCGAAGGGGGTTGACGATCTCCTGTGTTGGTGTACGATCATCGCTTGCCTCGAATTGTGCTCGAATGTGCTCGTCCTGCGCAGAATAGAGATCAGCAAGGACCAGATCAACTTGCTTTGAGACGCGCTGCTTGACAAAGTCGCTCGACACTTGGTACGATCCTAGGAGAGAATCTTGCTCCACCCAATCGTCCCAACGTGCATCCGAGACATCGGGCTGAGCAACCGTGCTCTCATCCAATCTGCACTCCTCTTCCTCTTGCTCACCATCGACGACCTTCCATCCCTCGTCATCGCCGAGCTGTCTCACAAAGCTTCGACGCTTGAAGCTCTGAGCAGCGGAAGATCTCTTGCTCGACGTGGCGCCCACGGCGTCAGGGTCGATGCGTTCAGCTTGCCAGGATCGACGCTTGGAAAGCTGCTGCGAAGACCTCTTGCTGATTGTTGGGCGCCTAGAGACGTCGGAGAGAGCGAGGGCTCGTTGCACGCTGGCTCGTTTGGCAATGCGAGCTACCGGAAGCTGCTCATCGAAATGTTCAGCTTCCTCCGCGGGTTTGCTGTCCACAACCGCTGTGATGGAAGCGCTGCTGTTCGAGGGAATGAGACTGGGCAGCGGGGCTGCAGTGAAGCCGGTGCTGAGCTCGGACCAGCTACTTCGGTTCCACGCACGGGTAGTTTCGTCCGCGTCGTCGCCGATACTTGCGTCGCCTTCGACAAACCCGATGTCCGCCGTAACGTCAGAAAGCGACTGTTCGTTTGACAAGTCGGCTGGCAAAGGGACCGCAGGCGCAGGTCGTGTGGGGCGCGGTGGCGAGGCTCCTGACTGCTTGACGAGTGCCAACGGCGCTGTATCGCTTTGCGGCGTGGCGAAGACGTTAGGTCTGGGCGCAGCACGAGGCTGCATGAAGGGCAGTCTCTCAGTTGAAGGCAGATCGACGCTGAAAGGTGCAGAAGCACGTGGTGCTTCACACTGGGTAGCGTTGGACAGAATGGGCTCAGATCCGCGTCTCTCTCCAGCAAAACTACGGGAGTCTCCGTTGCCACCACGAACGCTTGTCCTCCTGCCCAAGCCCACTGCAGATGCCTTGGAGGACGCTTGAAACACTGTGGCCTTCTTCGTAATCCGAGTGACGGATGCGAGCGACTGTCGGCCATCGCTGCTGAGGGTATCCGTAGATGGTCGTTGCTCAACGCTCGGCCTACGGAACGACTGGTTAGCCTGCGCCAGTTTGGCTGCTCGTTTACTCTCCTTGGCAAGCGCTTTTTGATGCGCTTTACGAGCTTTGTCATCGTGCTGCCTGACGAGCTTGTCGACGCGTTCGAGTTCTTTGATGAGGGCAAGCTCTTCTTTGGCCTTCGACTTGAGCTCCTTCTTGGAAACAGCTCGCGGTGGCGAGGTAGGCGTGATTGGAGGGGTTGGAAGACCGCTGAGTGCACGAGTAAATATGCCGCGAGAGGGAGATTGAGCTGGTTGAGGCTCGTGCGATGTAAAGAGAAGTCCGTCTGGCTGACCCGACCGGAGCGATGCTGTGCTTGAAGTGCTTGTCGAGATGGGAGAGGTGGGAGAAGATGGAAGCGGTTCTTGGGCAAACACTAGATTTGCAGGTTTGAAAGACTCGAGGCTTTTGCGTCCAAAGAGGAGCGGAAAGGAGGCCTTGCGGCTCCTCTTGGCGGTGGACGCTTTGGAGATACTTGAGCTAGCCGAAGAGGTGGGTGTGGATGACGGGGGGGACGTGAGCTCGGTAGGCGAAATGGGAGAGGAATAGCTGTCATTGCTGCTGGCGAGGCTTGGAACTGATCCGCTACGTGGCATGCTCATGGTCCTGATCTCACCGGAATCAAACTTGATCAAGGGAGGAGGTCTGCGGCCAAAGGCAGAAGAGGAGCTCTTTTTGTAAGATGACTGATCCCTTGGGTTCTGATTGGCCGAGTCGCGGAAGATGTGGCTGCGACGCTTGTTGGGAGGGAATTCGAGCTCGATGTGCTGCTGCTCGCCATCTTCCTCGCAAGCGGTGACGACGACGTCCGGGATGCTGAAATGAGAGCGTTGTCGAGAGTGTTTATAGGATGGGATGGCGTCTGTTTGGATTCGAGCGAGTGCTGGCGGCCTGCGGCTCTCTTCTTGCTCGTGGAATGTAGCGTGTTGGTGAAGAGGCAGAGAGTCGGAGCGAGTGCGGTGAAACTGCTGTTCGACGTCGTGATATGAATCATGTCCAGGGGAGGAAGAAGGCCAGTCATAGTCGCGTGGGGCATTGGCGGATCCAGTGTAGTGATACTGAATGGAAGCGTGAGCCTCTACTTGGTCGCTTGCGGTCTGACGAGTGCTATCTTTGGAGGATGGTAGGGCGCGAGGCATCTGACGTGGCGTCGACTGATCCACTTGAGCTGCGTATGACGCATCGTCGTACGTCTGGCTGGACTGTTGGGGGGTGTTGGTGTCACCAAGTGCCGAAGACTTGGTGGATGACTTGGCCAAACGAAAGAGAGAAAGCCTTGACTTTTTGGGCTGCTGAACTCTAATTGCGACAACCATGGTGTGCGTTCGATGGCAGTGCGAGGGTCTGTGGAGCGTTATAGTCGATGGCTAGAAACAGAGCTTTGCATGTCTGTTGGATACTGTGCCGGTATTCTTTCGCGATGAGGACCGTGTATGACAGTCTGGCCGGCAGATCGAATAGTAGGGGAGGCTGAACGAGCGAGCACGAGAACGCAAGGTCGAGCTGATGGTGGCGAGTGCAGCCGGTGCAATGGTGCCCAAGTCAGTGGGTTTGTTGTCGTCGAAATGAATTCAGGTGGATGGGGAAGTGTGAGCAGTTGACGCGAGACTGATGAGATGGAGCAGAAACATGAAAGGGAGAGAGGGTGGGAGATGAAGAGTGGCGTGAGCTAGCAAGGCACAAGCAAGGGGCTTACCAAGGGTAGCCACAATGAAGCGAGTGTCGAATGTCGATCAATCCAGAGTTTTGGAGCTGGCTGGCTGTCAAACATGGTACAGCAACTTTGAGTATACTAGCCAGTGCACGCCGGAACAGCGTTGACCACTCACCATGCCTTTGCCGCAATTCAGCCTTGACGGAGGCGCGACGGGCCAAAGGGAGGCTGCGAGGCTGAGACAAATGGAAGCATGATCTATGCAAGATCCGTGCTTCCGTTTTCTGGTCCTTTTCCGAGCGATGCAAGCCACAGAATTGATCGACAGCACCACAAACCAACAAGGCCGTGTGCTGCTGTGCGGGGGAGACGAGATCGCTGCTGTCGAACGGCAAAAACGCTTTCTTTTTGGAATTGCATGCTTGGCTGCACTCTGTTTGACAGGCGAGCGACGCAGGCGTGCGTGCGTGCGTGTGCAGCTGCACGACCAGCACCACACGCGCATGGCGGAGTGTGTTATTTTCCAAGGGTGTGTGCGATCTGCATCTCAAGAATTCCTCGCTTGCACCAAACCGAGGAGGTCAGCTTCTCTAGCTTCTGCCAGCACGGCAAGGGCGACACTAGCGACGGCACACAACTGCTTGTCGCTCTGCCCCGAACAATGTTCACCCAGTCGGATGCGCACTTGCCTCCTGACTTGAGGGCCATGGCGGCTCCACAAAAGCGGACCGCACGTTCATTTCTCTGGTCATGACGCCAGAAACCTTCTATTTAGCAGATACCGTATTGGTGTTGTCAACTAGGCTCGTTGTATTGTAGCTGCCACCTCGTATCGCCGTGCCAGATTTTTCAACTCCGACCCGCTGTCAACGAGATCCAACGTCGAAACACGAGAAATGAAGGAAAACAAACAAACATTCTGAAAATACACCTTCTACTACCAACAAACACACCACACCACGGGTTCACAGTTGTATTGTATTTCTATTTCTGCTTCACTCTCAAGTACAGCAGACCAACATTCTCAATTTCGCGCTCGACTCCGCTTCCCGTCTTTGCCTCCGCTGCTATACTAAGCCCTTCGTCAACATCCTTTGCATTGACCAAAAATGTCGTTCTACTTGCGCGTTTCACTGGCAAGCCGTCAGCATCGTGCTTGATGCGAGTGTGAAAGATCATGCTCCGTCTTATCAGTTTTTGAACGGGTCTAGACCTTCAGAAAGAGGCGATTGCGTGTGCAGACTCCGTTCCGTTTTCCCACCTGGCTTCCAAGCAATCTGAGTGTGACCAGCTACAGTACCAGTGAAACCGCAAACACGATTTCCGCGAGATGAACCCAAGTACGAGGTACATGTTGCAAACCAACATTCGAGCACCGATGCACCGGAACGTATGAGGAATGAACATCGCAGTCTGCTCGCCTCTGTGCCCATCGGTTATGCTCTCGGGCACGCGCTGATATCTCGGTGCTCTCGACACTCTACTGCCGTCGAATGCTCAGACTGGCCAATGTTGCGAGCAACGAGCAACGACCTCGGAAGGCTTTGCGCATGAAGTCGGATTCAAATCCCACGTTTCCGCCCGCACGCCCTCAACGCCACCAAGGCGATCACAATCGAAGCTCTTGACTGCAAGAAAAAATAATCATGGTTTGCAACTGACTACACGATCAAGGCTTGCCCAATCGCTTCCCGTTCCTCCTCGGCCTCTCACGAACCACCATCTGGTTTCCACCCCTCGTACCCGGCTTCCTCGTCCTAGCACCCTTCGTCAGGTGTCCGTAGATGGACCTCGGGTGCATGTTACTCTTGCTCTTACCACGTCCACCACCGTGCGGGTGATCGCACGCGTTCATCGCTACACCGCGAACCTTGGGTCTCCTACCCAACCAACGACTCCTACCTGCTTTGCCCAGCCTTCGATGCTGGTGGTCCTTGTTGCTCACCGTTCCGATGGCGGCACAGCAGTTGCTCGGGATCAGGCGGACTTCGCCGCTCTGCAGGCGCACCTGCGCGTGCGATTCGCCGGCACCGCTTCGGGCCGAGAACGCGACGAGCTGTCCGAACGTGCCCGCCGAGCGTACCATCTTGGCAGGTCCCAGCGGGTGCATCGTGATCGAGTGGATGGTCGTGCCGATGGGGATGAGGTTGAGAGGCAAGAAGTTTCCCGGCCGGATAGCCTGGGTTCGGAAGATACCCAGATCGAGCGAAGAGCTGGATGCGCCGGAGGAAGCGCCTTGTGCAGAGGCGGTCTGAGGGGCAGCAGGATCGGTCGACAGGGTATTGCCTTCGGGCGAAACGATCTCGTCCACTACACTGCTGGTGGTGGTAGCTGCAGCCGCAGCGTCACCATGAATACCTTGTCGGTAGCTCTGTACCGTGTCGCCCGCTCTCAACCCATCGGGTGCCAAGATGTAGCTCTGCTTCTTCGACTGCTTGTGCTCCACCAACGCAATGTGTGCGCTTCGTCCCGGGTCATACTCGATCCGCAACACCTCCTGCTCGCCCGATTCCCATCGGTAGAAATCTACCAACCTGATCCTGCGTCTGTGTCCACCACCCCTACCACGCACCGTGACGTGTCCATGATGATTCCTTCCAGCGGTACTACGCTTGGCAATCGTGAGCGATCGTACGGGTCCGCCTTGGTGAAGGTGCTCGTTGAGCGGCTGCCTCAACCACCGGATGGAGCGAGTGATGGGCTTGTACGTCTTGAACTGTCGATCCTTGCGCACGAACGGCGATGTGTTGGCGGTCGATACGCCCAAACGCACAGAGACGGACGATTCGGCCACGCGACGCTTGGCTTCTTTGCGCTGTTTCTTCATGGCTGTTCTACGTTCCTTGCGCGTGACCTTGAGCGGCGTAGACGATGTGTGCTTGTTTGCGGGAGGCAGAAGAGGTGCGCTGCTGACCTGGGTGGTGGAAGAGACGGCGTGAAGGGAGCGTACAGCGGTGGCTGCTGTGATTCTCGAAGAAGAGGCGAATGCTGAATTGGTCGAGCTGGTGCTTGCCCTCGCCAACGCCTGGAAGCAGGCGCGGCCGAAAGCGGACGCTACCATTATGTGTTTGGAGCCGATCAAAGACTTGTACCTCTCAGCAAATGAGGAGGAGACGTCGTCGTCGAGAGTGTTGGACGAAGTGAATGCTCGAAGTAGTGATCAAACAATGATGACAGCAGGAGCCCAGTCTCCAACGAAAAAATCCGACTTTCTTCCTGATCGCTGAAGCAGCGTCACGTGCGCACACCCACTCAACAAATTTGCAATCCTGACATAATTTGTGTCTGCGTGCGACAGTGCTCTAACATCTCATGCGAATTTCGGCCCTCCTGCAAATCATCCTTTGAACCGCAGCTCCAAACCACTAAGCTGGACCCTCTGCGCTCACAGCCGGGCTGCTCGACACACAGCGGGCTCTGCTGACATGCTACAAATACATTGCATCAACACAAGGGCATCCTAGCGTTCACATCAAAGATGGATCGAAGCAGCGCCGCGGCCAGCACGCTGTCTACTTGCTGCTCTTCTTCTTCTTGGACGAGGCGCCACTCGGAGCAGCGGAAGCGCGCTTCTTGTCTGCCCCTCTGTTCTCCTTGCCACCATTCTTGCGCGCCATCATCTCTGCCTGGATGCGGTCGAATTCTTCGTCGCTCGGGCGCTTCTCTTTGACACCCGCTTTTGCCTCGAGTTTGGCGATCATGTCGTCGAACTGAGAGACGCGGTTCTGGTTTTTGCGCTGGATCAACGCTGCGAGACCAGCAAGATCGTCGTCGTCTCCCGCATCGTCGGCCTTCGATTTGGATTTGGATGCCTTGCCTCCTTTGCTTCCGTTCTTCGAGTCGGCACTCGCTTTCGACCCACGAGCAGGCTTGCCTTTTCCTTTGCCAGAGCCAAAGAGATCATCCCACACACCGAGCTCCTTTGCCAGTTTTTCCGCTTCCGCTGCTTCGCCCTGTGCCTTTTGACGCAGCGCCTTCCGACCCGCTTCGTCCTTCTTAGTTCGCTTCCACGTCGCTGTTGCTTTGATCTCTCCCGCTTCGATGGCATCGTCGATGATGCGGACAAATCGATCCTCGTCAGCGAGGAACTCGCTGCAGGGAACGTGTTCAAAGATGCCCGCTAGATCGCCTTCCGTCTCCTCATAGGCGGCCAAGATGTCCTCCTTTTCCTCTTCAGAGTCTTGGTACTTCTTCTTGAACTCGTCAAGCGTTTGCCGTGACACTTCGCCGGTCCAGAGCTCTTTGAAGTATTCGTTCCAGTCGAAATCCGCATCGCCCTCGCCTACCATGAGCTCCTTGGTCGAACCAGTGTTGTCGAACTTGCGACGTCGCACTTCGTCGGAGAGCACGGCATAGGCAAAGCCGATCTTCTGGAACTGCTGGATGGCATCTTGACCGCCAGCCGAGGCAGAGTTGGAGAGCACCTTGTCTGGATGGAACTTGAGTGCCAGTCTAGGGAATGCACAAAGACAGAATGTGTCAGTGCTGATTTACGCAACAAAGCGCTGATGCCAACTTCGACTTACTTCTTGTATGCCTTTTTGATCTCTTCCTGAGTCGCCTCCTTGGCTACGCCGAGTGTGCCGTAGAGGTCGACGTTGCCATCCGGGAAGAACTGCAGTCCGGGATCTTCTTCGTCCATGTTGGCTGTGTTGTTCGAACGAGGGATGATGCTGATGGTGGAGTGGAATGGAAAGCAAGGGTCTCGCGGTACAGAAAGTGTCGGTCTCGCAACTCGAACTCAGCCTCGACGCGTAAATTGCACAGAGACACGCCAAATTCACGCGCCAAACTAACACACTCTAATGTCCTCTTCTCGCACGGTCACCTCCACCACAAAGACCAACACCTTCATCACCATGGTCTTGACAAGCTGTCGGAAGTCAACGACTCAGCCTCGGAGCTGAAAGCCCGACGAAAATGCCAGCGGCGGCTATGATGTCGCAACGGTGGTGGAGCATGTTCGATCCACGAACACGCCACGGTCAGATCTACCTCTTTCTTCTCGCAGTACGATGCTACAGCGCCTTGTACGGATATGGCTACATCCATCCCGACGAATGGATGCAATCAGGTGAACCTTACTTTGGATTCAGTCTTGATGGAGTCGAAGCAAGGCTCACATGGGAGTGGCACCCCGAACATGCCCTGAGGTCGCTCTCTGCCCTCGTCATGCAGTACCTCGCCGTCGAACCACTCCTCAAGATCTACCGACTCCTCAGCAGCTCTCTATCGGGCCAAGCTCTCTTCCTTATACAACGCATCAACATGCTTTTTTGGACTTTGGTGCTGGACGTCAGCGTCGTATTTATCCTTCCACCTCAAATTGCTCGACACATCCACTACTTGTTCGGCATCTCCACAGCAGCAACCACTTTTCTAATCCGACCATTCAGCAATTCTTTCGAAGCGCACCTCCTCGCATTTTGCCTTTTGCACGTCTCCAACTTCTTCAAGGACCCTGCGTGGTACAAATCTGCTGGCGTCGTGGGACTGCGTTGGGGCGTGTTGCTCGCCTTGATAGGTGTAGACGGCTTCTTCACCCGCTTCACCTTTGCCATCTTTGCCCTCCCTCTCGCCATATTCGTGCTGTACCGCCATGTACAGGTTGCCGCCGAAGGTCATAAGCGAACAGCACTCGGGTCATTGGCTATCGCCGTGAACTGTGTGGTCATCTTCCTCGCGGGCAGAGTTGAGTCCGACACCAACTTTTACACCAGGGCGGCAGATACGAACGGAGTAGAGGTTGCTGGTTTTTGGGGCACAAAATGGGTGGTACCGCCGATAAATGCGCTCCTGTACAACCTCAAGACGGAGAATGTGGCACAGCATGGATTGCATCCGAGGTGGTTGCATGTGGTGGTGAACCTGCCGATGATGGTTGGGGTTGCGAATTGTGTGATTTTGGTAGTGTATGGTTGGCAGTTTGGGCGAGAGAGACTACATCCTGGCACGGCGATCCACGGAGCAGGGAACGAAGGCGCGATGTCCCAGGACGAGCAAGAGCGAATTGAGGTAGAGCAAACAGTCAAGGGTGCAGAAGGTGTCGTCGCTGGCCCTTCCTCGACCACGCCATCGCAGACGTCTGATGATCAGGACATACCCTACGTCGACAACGAACCCATCATCGTACCCCTCAGCCTCGCCACAATCATCTTCGCCCTCGCGATCCTATCCCTCTCGCCCCACCAAGAACCTCGCTTCCTCCTACCGCTCGCCTTCCCCTCCACCATCATCATGGCCTACGCCCTGCAATCACCGACCTTTACCTCTCGCCCTTCCCTCACCCGCACCCTGTGCGTCCTCCACGTCATCCAACACATCCTCCAACTCGTCCTCTTCTCCTTCCTGCACCAAGCTGCGCTGCTACCCACGCTCTTCTCCATCGACACATCCTTTTCGCACCTTCCCTCGCACAACCCCCTCTGGAACCGGTACGAGCATCATCTGCTCTACCGAACGTTCAGCGTCCCCCTGCATTTCCTCCCTAACAAGGTTTCGGGGATGTACCCGCGCGTCGAACAGTACGATTCCGCCACTGATCCCGGAAAGCTGGTGCATATGGCGAGTACCGCATGCGATCACACATGGGTGTATGCTCCAACATGGGTAGTTGGTGGACTGCAAGAGGACGCGCACAAGCAGGGAAGGGTGGAGATGGTGGGAGTAGGGATGGTCAGTTGGCATCTAGACATGGATCATCTGAGCGAGAGTTGGGCGCTGATCAAGGAGGTTGGGTGGAAAGAGGCTTTCGCCATTCAAAAGTTGGCAGTGCAGTGCATCGACCATACACAGATCGACGACACGGTAGAGTCACAAGGACAACCGGAGAGACCACAGGTAGACCCGCCATCACATGACGATTTATAGCGACGCACTCACATCCCACACGAACGATCTTCAAAAGACAGCATCGAAGTGCATTCTTCTCGGCCACTCGTACATCTGTGCTCGCCCCCGTCACAAAGTTTTCGGCCTCTTCTTGCTCCATCAATCCCAAACCAGCCTTCCATTGAGATCGACGCTAGCCTTTGCATTTGGCACTTTGCCGCTGCTGCCGGGCACGCTCCTCGGCGTTGGCCTCTTTGCCGCCTCCCTCTCCTTTGCCGCTGCGTTGGCTTGCTCCCTACGATGGTTTGCGAGACGTTCCGCTTGTAAACGATCCGCCTCGTCTTTTGCTTGCTTCTTTGCTTGAGCCTTGTTGGCGTTGGAACGCTGTTTTTTGGTCTCTGCTACTGTGGATGAGACGCCGTTGGTGGTGGTGCTGCCGTTGCGCGGCTTTGCCGTGTGGGAGGCAACAGTCCATCCGCCGCCGTTGATATTGTTGAGCGTGTTTGTCGGCTTGGCGGGAATGCGACGGACGGAAGAGGTGGTAGCGTCATCCGGAAGGGCAGCGAATGGGTTGGTGGAAGCGATGGATGTCTTGACGCCGTTGCTGCTGGGTTTGCTCGCGGTGCTGTTTCCGTTCAGCTTGGCGGCAGTGGCAGAGGAACTGGAACCGCCTACGCTGGACCATCCGTCATCGAGATCCTTCTTGGAGAGCTTTGGTCTGGGCGCTTCCGCCTGGGGAGCAGGGATGCGAGCTACCGAGCTGTACCCTGCAGGAAGTGGATCGACGTCGGCATCGCGCATATCTCCGAGCGAGGCAGTAAAGGCTGCTTGAGCTGCATCTGCTTTTGCGCGAATCGTCTCGTTATTGATCGCGGGGGTTGTCTCTGCAACTTCAGCGTAGGTGTCATTGTTGCTGGCGGCCTCGGCCTGAGATGGTGTCTGCTGCTGTTGCTTCTGCTTCTTGGCCTTTTTCTTTTGTGATGCCGTCTGAACAGCGACAGGCTCATCCTGCACCACTGGCTGTTTGACCTCCTCTTCCTTCTTGGTCTCTGGCGCTGGCGATGCCGAAGCAGCAGCGACAGGGATGGCAGCATCCTTGTTCTTCTTCTTGTTCTTCTTGTTTTTGCTAGCTCTTGCCGCTATTGATTCCTTGGGTTCCTTTTCCGCCTTGCCACGGTTGCGCATCAAGGCGTGGATGGCAAGGCCAGCGGCCAAGCCGAGGGCAAAGATCTTGGCCGAATCCATGTTGCAACCACGGAGCAGGTGAGATTGGGATGGAGAGGGAAGGGAACGTGCGTACGCCAGATGTCTGCGTGTCGGTGTTTTTCTTTGTTGAGTTGCAGGTGGGAGGTCGTGAAGAAGGAGCGTTTGCCAAGCAGTCTGACGTGGCAGCTGAACGGGGTGAAATGAAACAAGCCCCCACTTGCAAATGCGTGCGAGTGTCGGTGACGTCCACAGATCTGATCGGAATTGGAACAGCGAGCGCCGATGATGATGTTGTGGGTGGAAATGAACGACAAGGATGAGCGAGAGCTACGAATTATGAGTGAAAGGTGGCTCGAGCCAAGAAAGGAAGAACCTGAGCGCGCCTCCTTGTCGCTGCGCCAGAGCAGGCAAGGATCGACGCAACACTCAGAGACACACGCCCACTTCGGCTGTACCTTTTCTTGGCCAAATCCGTCTGCCTCTTCTCGCCCGACTCTTGTCAGGAGAATCGATTGTTAGAGTTCGTCGTGCTGCATCCGGCCTCGGAAAAAACCCATCGCGTCGCATTCGATGACGCCAACGGACACCGCCCTAAGATTCCACAAGCCACGCCCGGCCAAAGGAATTCCGAAGGCCCGCAGCGCTTCTATGCATTCTTTTTGGTTCGTGCTTGGCAGAATTGCTTTGTGCGACTAAGTTAGTTTGTACGTTGATCACCATCTTTCATCTCCTGGTCCCTTCTTACTGGCCTCCAGTATCGAACAGCATCCTTCCGACTCACATATTCCTCATCGTCCACCCAGCAAATCTACAATCAGCAATCATGGTGCGAAACCCTTCTACGCAGACCCTCGCTCTCGTAGCCATGGTCATCATGTGCATTGCAAACTTGCTCCCGGTCCACGCGCAAAGCTCCGTGTCGCTCGCCAGCACGGTCTCACCCATTACCTCACGCATCTCCTCAGCATCATCCGCTTCCGGCTCAACGTCTTCCTCATCGAGCACCAATGCAGCGGTAACCCTCGGCACTCTCATCTCATTTTCCATCAGCTCGGTCAACACCGACACCTCTTCAACAACTTCTGCTACCAGCAGCACCACAAGCAGCACCAGCAGCTCTGCTACCTCAACCACCACCAGCGCCAGCTCATTTACTTCGAGCAGCTCGGCGGTGCCAAGCGCGACCAGCTCGAGGAGCCCCAATGCTGCGGTGGGCGTAGCTGTCTGGGAAGGCTCGCACTTTGTTCTTCCAGCTGCAACGCTCGCTGTGGTACTACTGAGCAGCATTTGCTTCCTGCTCTAACTATGTCCCCATCTGGAAGCACTTTCACAACACGATCATCGGACAAGCCCATACGTTGCAAGAACACTTTTATTCTCGACATGCAACTGCATTTAATTTCCCATAGTTCCACAGCTTCAGCTCTTCAGCTGCTCCAGCAGCTCCTTTGCCTCTTCCCACTCGTCTTCCTGATCCCAACTGTCCCTCGTCTTGGCCAGGAAACTCCTCACCAAGCTTCTCGCTTGGAATCTCGGGTCTGGTGCATCTCCCTCCCCTTCCTCGCCCAGATCCAACAGCCCATCCACCAAATTCCTGAGATCCTTCAACAACGTCGTAAACACCTCCTTGTCCGACTGCAGTCCGCCTTCCTCTGCTTCCACCAGCGCGGCGTTGTACGCGTTCAACAGCGCATGTTGGATCGCACGTCTGCGTTGGCCGTCCCACAACAGCAGCCTCGAGTAGAGCTTCCAGATGCCGGAAGACGAGGAGATGCGCGTGAGGAGCGTTTCGTCGAACAACCGTTGTACTGCGGGCAACAGTCCGAGTCCAGAGTTCGGGTCGAGCTTGGGCGCTGTGGGGGCAGCTCCGGAGGTGCCGCTGCGAGAATGTCCGGACAAAGCTGCTTCGTAGGCTTCGTGTGCGGCGAGTGCTTCCGCTTCCAGTTCCGCCTTTGGTGTTCGCGTCACAGCGTCGACCAGACGGGCTAGCACCGCAAGGTCGACGGTTTTGGCCCGTTCCGCGTCGTTCGTCTTGTTGCGTGTCTGAATCTCCGTCACCCGGACCATGGCACGGGTAGCCTCGAGAAGGTACCCTACGTCGATGCATACGATCATGTAGTTGTACCAGACGCGCCAGTTGTCGTGTGCGAATCGAAGCGATTGCTGCAAAGAACGATGAGCAAGCAGCTTGAGCGAGTATGCCGATGTAGTTGCCCCAGCTCGTCGTCCGCGGTTGCCGCTCGAGACCTCGCCTGGATTCGGCAGCCCCGTCTCCGTCTCCGCATCGCTGTCCGCCACCGACGTTGCATCTGACTCGTCGCTCGACACCTCCACCCCCGAATCTGACCTCGAACTCCCACTCCAATCACTCAACCCTTCATCCTCGTCCTCCTCCTCATCCGCCGCAGAATCCCACACCCTATCCGCCTCCTCTTCCGCCGCCTCCAAGATATCCGGCAACCCACCTTGCTCCCCCATCCTCTCAATCCCCACGGCCGTCTCCACTCCCTCCACCATCCTCAGATAACAACTCGCCAGATTGTTCCAGCTCTCCATATCCTCATCGTCCAACGCCGTGCATCGTCGGAAGCACTGCGCTGCCTCCTTCCACTTTTCCAGTCGCATGTAGCAGCATCCCAGGATGAACCAGCTCCTCGTGTACAAAGGGTTGATCTTGAGCGCGTACTTCAACCACTTTGCTGCTTGCTGGAAGTCCTGCGATGTGAAGTGTACACCACCCAGGCTGCGCGCAGCACGAGCCGAGGAGGAAGCCGAAACCTGCCATGCCTTGGAATAGTGCGCCAAGGCGGAAGAGGGTTCCAGATCCCCCAAAAGGCACCACAACTTGGCTTCTCTCGCCCTATCCATCCTCCCGTACATCACGCGCTGCGCTTCGCTCCCCTCCACCGTCGCTTCCCGCCTTCTCCTCACCGCCACCTCAACATCCGCCTCGACCTTCTTCCCATCCAACAGCTCCCTCACCACCTCCACCCCCTCCTCCTGCCTCCCCAACATACCCAAACACTGCACCACCTCCTCCCACATCTCCACCCTCTCGAAAATCTCCAGCGCCGACCTCGTCACGCCGATGCTGGCGTAGCGACGCGCGAGTTCCGCCTGCATCTCCCAGCGCGGCGGCAGGTCGAGCGCGTGGAAGAACTTGAGCCTCTCCTGGATCGACGAGTCGTTGGTAGGCATCTGATCGATCAACGCCTGCAGCTGGAGCACGGATCGTTCAACGGTGCGCGTGCGCGTGGATTCCAGCCGCGCCCGAAGCAAGAGGGACATGGTGTGCACCATCCAGTTGCGCGGGTGGGTGACGACGCGCGAGATGAACATCTGCATCTGGTTGGCGGTCAGACCGTGCGCGGCTTGGGTGTTGCGGATGTTGAGGCAGAGCGCGAGCAGTGTGCACTGGTCGAGCACCGCAAGCGCTGGTTGGGCGTTCGGGTCGAGCTGGAGCAGGTCGGCATCAGCTTGTTCCTCGTCGACCGCGGTGAGATTCGATGCGGTGGTCGAGGTGAATTTGGTCTGTTCGAGCAGCGTATCGTCGTTGAGCGCGTAGGTCGATGGCATGCCCGCGACCTGATCTTCAGGATTGGCTTTTGCTGCGAAGCCCGTCTCGAAAACTTCCTCGTTCTCTGCTCCCTCCACCGCCTCGCCCTGCTCTTTGTCCGACTTCTCGACCTCCTCATCCTCCTTACCGCCATCCGCAACAACACTCTTGGCCAGCAACACCAGCTGCGTCTTGTCCTCCTTCTGGAACTTGGTCCTCTTTCCCAACGCACCGGACATGCGGTACCTCAACCCGTTCTCCTTGGCAGCATCGACAAACGTCTCGGAAGCCTCCTTATCGCTTCCCAGCCTCTGCAATGCAATCCCACGCTCCAGAATGAGACGCGACGAAAGCGAAGCCCATTCGCTCCTCCCCGCCTCGGTTGCCTTCGAGGTCGCAGCAGCAGCACGAGCCACCAACATGTCGCGCAACTTGTTGACCGGGTCAAACACCTTTTTGCCAAACGCAACAGGCTCGTCCAGCACATGGCTGTGCACTGTAAACGCTCGCAACCTCCACCACGGCAACGTCTCGATGTGCACTCTTGGTTCTTGCTGTTGCGAGGCTTGGACTGCCCAGAGGGCCTCGATGACCAGCTTGGAGAAGACGAGGAAAAAGGGCACCTGGCACAAATGATACGCAGGTTCACCCTTGAATGCCAGCGCTTCGAGCGACGCTCCGTGAATCAGCTTGTTGGTTTCGGCATTCGTTTTCTCCTCTGCATCGACATCCACCGGTCGTGGTGGGAATGCATCCGGTGCGGAGGCGCGCAGCAAGCTGAGCAGCTCCAAAGACTCGGGCAACTCCGGACCCGTCCAGTTGATCTGAACGAACGCATGCAGAGCACAAACGGCCACGCAGAGCGTCTCGAAGCCTTGCGACTCGCTCGTCACCTCTTCTGCCACTGCTGCATCGATCTGCTTTTGAAGTGAGGTCAAGTCGAACGTCGAGCTGTCGCTGCTGAGAGCCTGACCGAGCTGCGTGCCGATGGGCTTGAGCAGTCGACCCGCGAAGCTGGAAGTCAATACTGCCGTAAAGTCTCCAACAATGGTCTTGCGGACGGAATCCGGCACGGAAGCCTTGTGCTCCTCGTCCAAGTTGGCGAGCGTGTGGGTGATGAGATTCCATTGATAGTGCTGAGGAGATGCATCGCCCAGATCGACAGCTGTCGCACCCTCATCAGCGGCCAACGCCGTCGCGTCCTTGGCTGACATGGATCGACGCGAGGCACCTCGAAGCGCACGGTACATTGCGTCGAGGTCGGGGAATGTGGGAACAAATGCGTCGTAGTTGGGCGCATTCATTTCGTCGTTGTTCAGATCATCGTCATCTTCGGTCGTACCATCAGGTCCGGAAGTGGCTTCGTCCTCGTCCTGCAGCTGGAAGGACGAGCGCGGGTTGAGCCATCCCACGGCGCCCAAATCGGCCGAGTTGGTCTGCGATTCGGACAGATTGTTGGTTTCGAGGAGAATAGCTGCGAGCAGAAGATCTGCCAGCTCCCTGGTGATGATGTCCGTCGTCGTCGTCGTAGTCGTCGTCGATGCTACTGAAATCTGCTGTTTCGCCCAAAGCGCAACGAGCGAAGCCAAACTAGGCTCGGCCTCTCCACCACCCCTCACCGCCTGTGCTGATGGGAACAGCGCCACGTTCAACCGCTCGTTGACACCACCCTGTTCGTCGTGCATCTGCTTCGGCAGCGTATTTTCCGTATCGATGACACCGAACAGCTCTGCACCATGCAACTCCAGCCACTCTTTCCAAGCCTCCTCACCCTTCTGTTCCGCTGCACCTCCTACCAGCACCACCTTCTTCTTCGACGTATACGCTCCTACCGTCTTGTACACCTCATCATCCTCAAAGATGACATTCTGTTCCGCTACCAATGCAGCCTGCAACGCCAGCGCGAGTTCCGGCAACGCGTCGGACAGACACGCCCGACGAGAAGCTGAGATCACGGGGACGTATCGACGCTGCGAATGTGCGTTCGTATCCAGTCGCTGTTGCAGGTACGCAAATCCGACGGCCGCTACTGCCTGATCGAGGGTCGGAGAGCGCGAAGTGACGACGTAGACGATATCCTCGTTATCGAGACCACCTGAAGCGAGGAGCGATTTGGTGGTACGCAGGAAATGGTTGAGAGGCGTGTGCGGCAGTGGCCGTGTAAAGCGCGACGCTGGAACCGCACCTACACCACTCATATTGTTTTGCGATGTGGTCTTGCCGACTGGATCCGATGTCAGACGGTACAAGGTCGAGCGAATGAAGGTGTTGAAGATGATAGTGATGATCCAAAAGTGGCTCGATTCATCCAACCACCACCATCTTTGGACAAGAAGAATCATCCGGAAAAAAAGCAGAAAAAGTCAAAACTCCACTCCAGAAAACCAAAGTCTAAATTTTACAAGCCAGCCAAGCCACTATATCCTTTTCCCGCACAGATCTCCTCGACTAAAAATTTTTGGCTCACGTCACGGGCTTGTCTCCGACTCCCGGCTATCCACTTTGAGCGCCATAAGTCCGGATCCAACGTCAAGGTGTCCTTGAGAACCTGTTCGCTCATACGATACTGGACCATCTCACACTGCACACGAGCCGCTCAGCTCCATGAGATTATGAGATTCGCTGATACCAAGGCCTTCATTCCCTCATTGACCCATACGAGCAGCCTTGAACCGGCTCACCTTCTTCTTCGGCTTCGTCTCGTCTTCCTTCTCCACTTTCTGCTCTTCCCGATTCCCTTTCTCCTCCTCCACCCTCTGCTGCCTCCTCACCACTGGCGGTGACGCCACTCCCTGCTCCACCATCTCTCTCGCCCTCTTGCTCTCCGCCAACCTCCTCGCTTCCTCCGGATGGTTCTTCTTCCACTCCAACCTCTCCAGTCGACTGCGCATCACCATCTCGGCCTTTTCGTCGTCTTCGTCGCTCTCGCCGCCGTCCAGATCGACAGGTCCGCTCGTTTTGCCTTCCACCAGATCGCCGTTCTTGGGGAACCGGACGGGGGCGAGCTGGGGGATGATCATGACAGGTGCAGCGGTGCCTGGTTGATCGTGTGGTTGAGGAGGCCTGCCATCCATGCCGAATGCTGCTGAGTGGGTTGTGTTCTGAGACTGACCCAGATTTTGAGCTGAGGAGAGCATGCTTTCCAAGTCGCCGGAGGCATGCGCACGATTTCCGGACATCTTCTGCTGTGCGAGTGACGCTTTGAACCGCGAGATGCGCGAGCCCGAACCGCTCGAGGTCGTGTTGCCTCGATACTCGGCATCCTCCACAGCCTCGTCCAGGGGTACGATGTCCATCTCGTAGTCATCCTCCTCATCCGCTTCGCCTCCCGATCGAGCAGCAGCCATCATGGCGGCACGAGTCTCGTCACTCGAGGTTCCATCTCCGCCGCCACGCGGCATCGCTAGACCCATCGAAGCCATCTTTGCCCGTGCCTCTTCGTACTCTCTGAGCAGTTCCGGATGCGCCGACAAGGTCTGTGCATCCGCATCGAAGCTCGGAGCGAGCGCCATGAGGTCTTCCGGATCGTAGTCAAAGTCGTCCTCGTCTTCGTCGAAATCGTCTTCATCGACACCCCAGTCGTCCGCGTCGTCATCGAAGTCGTCGTCATCGGTTCCTTCATCCACGTCCATTCCACGGCTGTCGGCAGCAGCAGCACGTCGTGATCGCTTCGAGAGGTACGAGTCAAAGTACGCATCCTCTTCGTCCGTGTCCGCGCCCTCGCCCTCGATTTTGGGCTCTTCCTGTTCCTCGTCCAGCTCCGCGTCGTTGTCTACTTCCGAAGGCAAATGATTCTCCAGCGTTGCGCCAGAGTCAATCCCGGTCACCTGCGCATCTTCGTCCTCATCCGCAGTACCAGCAGGCGGACCGAATCGCACGCGACCGGGTCGAGGCACGTCATCGTCCGCTACAGGCCGGGCGAGCTGGACCGCTCCATCCGCACCGTCCTCCTCTGCGGCATCGTTGGACTCTTGGCCTTGCTGCCTCTGCTTCATCTTCTCGGCGTACGCCTTGGACGGTCTCGCGTGCGGAACGGCGGCAGGAAGACCCATAGCCTGTCGACGCTGACTCAGCTCGTCGTCGCCCAAGGACGCTCGGTCCAGTGCTGACATGCCGAGGGACTGGGTCGGAGCCGATGGAACGTCATCAGCTGCCTTCCGTGGTGCAGCTTTGTTGGGTACAAACTTCGAACCAGCTGGTTTCTGATTCAAGAACCCTTGCTTGAAAGCGCTGAATTTGGCCTGCTGCGCTTGCGCCTTGACCTGCGTCGAAACATCCTTGCCTCGGCCTGGAGTCGTTGAAGCGTCTGATTTAGGTCGTTCCAGCACATTGTGTCCCAGGGCCGGCTTCTCTGCCAGTCTTTGCAGGCGCTCACTTTCACGCTCCTCTTCCTCTTGCTTTGCGCGTGCAGCCACGGCCTCCGGAGTTGACAAGCGCTTGTCCTCCTCGTGCGCCTCTTGCATCTTCTTGAGCACGTCGGGAGATGGCGCGTTGGGATGCCCTTCCACTACGTCCGGTCCCAGCAGCTTCAGGATGCGTTCAGCCTCTTGCTCTACGCCGATATCATCTCGATGACGCTTCTCTGCCGTTCCGGAACCTGACTCGAGCGACCTTGCCATTGCAGAAGAGGCATCGTGCGCGGGCTGCGACGGCGTGACGCTGGGTTCGTTGTAATTCTCCTTGACGCGAATGCTCGATCGCAAAGCTCGTTGCAGAGGCGTCAGCCCCGAACCAGCCGCTGCCTCGGGATGAGCGCGCTCGGGGCTCTTGATGCGGACGCTCTTCTTGCTAGGGGTGCTTGCGCCGCTGGTCGTCGGACTCGAACCAGCATCTGTGACGCGAGCGAGGAGTGACGACGATGCCGTTCCGCTGTTGCGACTCAAAGGAGTGGGAGTCTGACTTCGTGAAGGTCGCGTTGAATCGGCAGGTGTCTTTGATCCTTGTTCTCGTTCGAGATCCTCCCACGAGTACGAACTTTTGATCGCACCCGGGCTGGACGGGTTGAGGTTGAGAAAGCCATGACGGATGCCAGCAGACCCGAACGATGGACGTTGGACGATGTCGGGGCGTGCGACGCCTGGCTTCAGTGCTGACTTGGGCGGTGGCGGTCTGGTCGCGGATACAATCTCGGGCAGTGCCTTTGCGTCCGATGAGTCGTCCGGCGAAGGCGAAGGACTGGGAGTGCGCTGGCGCAGTACAACGCGGGTCTCTTGTGCTGCAGGTGGGGCTTCTGCAGCCATAGTCGACGCTGTTGATGCATCGGCGGACCTTGCTTGTGCATCTCCCTGATCCTCGTCCGAGTCCTCGTCCTTTTCTTCCTCCTCGAATTTGCTAAGCATGTCGTCCAGCCATCGCTTGCGCTGATCCTTGTCCGCGCTCGACTTGTCACCTGCACGCACAAAGGGCTGCATGTATGCCGTCTTGTTCCTGTTCGCGTCCTCTTCAGTGATCTGCTCGATTGGCTCGTAGAAGGGCAGCCCCTCTTCGTTCAGCATCTCGTTCTTGTCGTTGACCACGTGATCGTCCGACGTTGCGCTTGAGACTGACCTCTTCGCCGAGTTTGTCTGCACCTCACTCTCATCAGCGGTCAGACGCTCGCGCAGTTCGGCTGCATGTTTGAGGTACCGCGACTTTCGGGCCTGGAGCTGCATCTGTGCGTCCTTGATGGTAACCTTTGCATAGTCCACCTGTATCGTCCGGCTGGGCTCTGGCAGTCGAGTCGAAACGCTAAGTTTGTCGCCTTTGAGTGATCTAGACGTCAGTGTCGGCAGAGTTTCATCTTCCAAGATGAGCTGATCGTGCAAAGACAGACCGTCAGGATTCTGACGCACGAAGACGTACTCGGCGCCCAACACGAGACGTGCGGGCCAGAAGGCGAGAGGGCCAAGAGGTTGTAGAGTGCGAGCTGCTTGTACTAATGATGATGACGACGACGACCGCGACACGATATCGCCAGCGCGAAGCTGCTGAGCGACTTGAAGGTTGTCCAGTTGCAGGCAAACGCGATCCATGTTGCCGATCGCTTGTTCCAGTTTGCTCAGTTGGGCTCGTTGAGTTGCAAGAGTGTCGGACGAGGTCGGATCAGCGTCTTGCTTCAGGCGGCCATAGTGCGCCTGAAGGAGTGCCTGAGCTGTCTCGGAGATCTCAGACGGATCAGATGGCAGAGTGGAGGGCATGCTTGCAGCAGGATTCCGAGAAGATGATTGGCCCTTTGTGCCGAAGCCCGACGAGGGGAGTGGTGGTGACATGATGGAAAAGAGGCAGGAGGGAATGGAGTCCGTCTCAGAATGAGCCAGTCATGTCAGGCCTGACACTCTGATAGTATTCTCCAAAACCTCGGCCGTGTCAAGCCGACTCTTTCCAAGATTGGGTGTGGGTCTGTCGTGATGCCACCGCCTGCGTGATCGTTCGGAGGGGGACGAATGATGTTGTGATGGTTCCTGTGGGCCCGGCGTGACCGACGAGTTCCACACGAGACAGCTGTGGTGGAAGTGTTGGTATAATGGTGACAGGAAAGGTGGAGAGAGAGCGGTGTGTCGTAAACTTACGCCTTGAGTCGACTTGGTACCCGCTCAAGCTTTTCTTCTTTTGCTTTCCAAAAAATGTGGAGAAACGAAAGTCCCTGAAACGGGCGAAAACCGGAGCAGCCACACGAGCAGCAGCCCAAATTATCCGTCAGTCTGCAGGCTACAGCAGCCAACCAGCAGAGCGAGCCAGCGTCACCTGTGTCATGCTCGCGTTTCATCGCCATCTTCTTAGCCGAAGCCACCCTCAACTCACCCTTTCCCCGCAATCGACGCGCCAGTGACGACCATAGCTTGACACACGCCACACACACATACACACAACGACTCCTTTCGGTCGACTGGAATTAGATTGCGTTCAATTGTGACAGTTGAGAGATCAATGCTCGGATGCGAATGAGAGATTGGAAATCTGAGGATGTTAGGGTCAGATGAGGTGCGGGTGAGGCAGCTACGAGAGGTGGAAGCTCGTCGCGCCTTCCTTCATGGCTGTGTGCAGACGCTCGCGCATCTTGTCACGCGTCGAGTAGTTGGGCATCTTGAGATAGTTGACGCACGTCATCACGCTCGGCAGGTAGTCGTCTGGCGTCAGCGGAGCCTCGTGCGGACGCTTGACAATCGTCAGCTGCGGATGCAGGCCTGAAAAACCGCCGATCGGCAGCTTGGGCGATCCAGTGAGCCATTGCAGGAACTCGCGTCGCTCGTTCACGTCGAACGCTGCCATGATGGCTACGATGTCGCGGAACGTCGGTGAGTCGGCGTTGAGTCCGTGGTCCGGTTTGACGCTCGCCACCAGCGTCGTCTCGGTCCAATCCTCCTCCGTGTTGCCGAACAGCATCACCAGCTCGTCCGCCGTGAAGCTCGACATGGCCGAGATGGGGAAGATTAGGTTGAAGCCTCGACGGAACGCCCGCACAGCTGCACGGATGCCCTTACGCAGCGTCCAGTCCAGCACCTCGGAAATGTAGCGCTCCACGTTGACTCCAGTAACGCTTTCGTCTCGGCCGCCGGCGTGCAATTCAATCGTCTCGTGGCCAGGCAAGGTGAAGTCGAGCCCGAGCGACTCGATCTCGTCGGCTGGCATCTTGCGCATCGCCGACAGCGACCGAGCCAGCGTCGCATCCACGCACGACAGCGTCGCCAGCGTAGGCGCTACGTGCTGGTTCAGCACCGCTCGCATGAACACTGGCGAAAAGTTGCAGTCAATGATGCGCGAGTCCAACAGCGCCTTGGCGACGAATTGACCCAGGATACGGAACGCCTGCAACCGCTTCTGCACCGATCCGTCCGCAGCGTCACTGGCTCCAGAGGGCGAGGAGTCCTTGCTTTGATCCTCTTTGGCGCTGTCGATGAGCAAAGGCGCCGGGAACAGACCCAGTGGGCTGTACACGTACGCACTGCCATCCTCGTCAGATCCTCCAGCACGGCCGTCGCGCCACAATTTGAGGTCGCGGCGCGCAAACTCCTTAGACACAAGCGAATAGAACTCGAGCGTAGGGCCCAGTCCCGTGCCCACCTCTTCAAAGTATTCGACCTCGAGCACCGACGAGTTGGAGCCGTACAGCTCAAACACCTTGAACGCAGAGGCGAGCAGGTTGCCGCGCGAGATGCGCACCTTTTGCCGCTGCAGCCGACCGAGGAAGCCGAACGAGTCGTCCAGTCGCGACGAGCTGCTGCTACCTGGCTCCTGGTTTCGACTGTGCAGCGCCTGCCACCGCGTGAGCAGACGTGCGTATCCGAATGATGTGGACTGCAGGAACGCGAAGCGTGCTTCGAAGGGGAACAAGAAGGGGAAATGCTTGGGCAGGTCCGTCGACCACGCCGGCAAGCAGGCCGAGGCGACGATCATGGGCTCCTCAAGCTGGCGGTTGAGCTTGGCGGTGAGCTTGTTGTTGACGAAAGCCGATTCCGACAGCGCCGAGGGCGCCGTCAATGCATGCGGGACCTTGCTCTCGGCATCCCCATCGCCACCGGCCGCGTCGGCGCGAGCGACCTCTCGCCACTCCATGTTGAGCGAGTGCAGCACGGCAAGCAGCTGTAGCAGCTTGGCGTACGGCGCATCCTCCTTGATCGACGCCGGCAGCTCCACCAACGCGCTCTCGGCAGACTGGGGCTCGGGGGTCGACTCGGCAGCAGGGTCGCGGTCGGCGCCAGAGACCTTCTTGTATCGAACCGTGTAGACGTTGCTCCAGATGTGCCTGCTTCCGCCGTGCAGGGACGAGACTGCATTGGAAGATGAGCTTTGACTCTGTTCTCGCGCCTGTGCGCTCTCGAATCGGTGAACTGCGCCGTAGATGGTCGTGTCCAGCGCAAGCTTTTCCGAACCGATCGAGAACTCGAGGTGCCAGTCCGAGGGCTTCTGCAACGCCGATGCGTACGACGATGGTTTGGCCGGACTTGCCGTCGTCGAAGACGAAGACCCCGAGGCGGCGGTGTCAGCAGCGGCGCCATCCGAGGGCTTCGGGGTGCCAGCGCTGTTGCTGGGCGTCGCGATGCGAGTGCCTTCCGGCGTCTTGGCCACGATCTTTCCACCCTCCTTTTCAACGTCGAGGTTGATGGTCTTGTCTGCTGCGTCCGATCGGTTACCGGGTGCGAGACCATCGGCCGGGCCACCAGCGCCGTCGGCGGGAATCTCGCTCTGAAGAATTTCCTCGTCAAAGCCTTCCTCGTCGCTGAAACCCTCGTCGTCTTCAAACTCGGCGCCATGGAGCAGGCCTTCCATGAGAGAACGCGCGAGAGCCTCGTCGGATCGTTGAACGTCGTCCGCATTGTTGGCGTCGGCAGAATCTTTGGCTTGTTCTTCGGAATCGGCTTCGTCAGAGGGTCGCGTTTCACCTCCCCAGAGCTGTCGAGCGAGTGCGCGGGCCTCCTCGCGAGCTTCCGAGCCTCTATCTTCGCCGGTTGCAGCAGAGTCGGGAGTTTCACCTTGTTTGTCTTCGGTCTTGCCGCTGCCGCCCTCCTCCTTGTCCTTGCCCGACCTGGTAGATACATCGTTCAGTTTGCTTGCGTCACTCGCATCTTCCTTCTTGCTGGCCCCATCACTTGTTTTGTCGCTGGTGGAGGTGAGGGCTTGCGCGTTCTTGCCGCCACTGCTGCTGCCTTGGAGCTCGGGGAAGCCGCCAGATCCGGTGGCAGCCGCAAAGGCAGCCAGAACGGAGGAAAGTCGCGACGACGCCGATGCACCAGCAGCGCCCGAAACCGAGCCAGAGCCCGAGCCGGACCCCGATCCAGAAGCGCCGGACGACACGGCGATTTTGGGTCGCAGATAGTCGCTCAAGGACTGGAACGTGGCCACGGCATGGATGGTGACGATGATGTTGTTGCAGCTGCGAGGGATGCCGGTCGAGTCTTCTGCCTGCAAGCGCAATCGCAGCTGTCGTCCGAGCATCGCACTAGGACTCTTTCGCGTATCGTCGCTGCCAGCACTGAGCGCCGTGGTGATCTCGACATTCTCCAAGCGGCTGAGCGCTTCTTGCAGCCTTCTCACCAGGACCGAAGCGCCGCTCTGGCCCGTCGTGGCGTCCGAGTCCATCAGTGTTTCGATGAGCAGCAGACGCCTGCGTTCGAGGGGTACGCCGCCTTCGATGGAGGTAGCAAATGAGTAGAGAGACTCGACCAAGCCGGATCGAAGAAGCTCGAAGCTCGACATGGGGTCCTCGCTGCGAGAGAAGAGCGAAGCGATCTGCTGAAGCACTTCAATCGCGTTTGACTCGTGGCCCTCGGCTGCAGCCGCGTAGAGACGCTTGACGAGGTCCTTGATGTGGTCGAGCGCCTGAGCTGCGCTCTGCGCTCCCTCCGAGGAGCTGGCCTCTGCCGAGAACTTGTCGCGTAAGACGCGCGCTCGCCAGATGCTGGCGTCGGTCGCCTCGGCTGAGCTTTGAGCGTTGAAGGCGGAAGCCGACGAAGAAGACGACGGGACATGGTTGCCCAGCGAATCGAGCGAGAGAATAGGATGGTTTGAGCCGTTGGTGGCGCTGATGAGACGAGCCAGAGCTGAGCTGGACGACAGACCGAGGCCTGCGGCATCCAAGGCGGAATCCACGGCAGAAGAGCCGTGGCCAGCGCGTGGCAAGGTCAGGGGCTGGGCGGCGTTGCTTCGCTCAGCGTCTGTGGCAGCGGCCGTCGACTTGTCGGCGCTCGTCGGGCGAGGAGAGGGCGTCTGCGACGCAATGTCGTCGATCTCCCACATCACACCTTCGCGTCGAAGCAAAGCCGTGTACAGCGTGGGCAGCTTCTCGGTGAGCAGCTCAACGATCTGGAGTGCGCCGTTGACCAACGTTGGATGGTCGCGCGAGGAGAGGATGGCGGCCAGGAAGCTGGCCAGGGGCACGTTGTCGAGCGCCTCGCCAAGCGATTCGGGATCGACAAAGCTGATGATCTTGAGGATGCCGTTGATCGCCTTGTTACGGACGTGGAGAGCGACGCTGGCTGCGTACACTTCGACCAACGTGGGGAGCACCAGGTGGGCGAAGCGCTTGACGAGCGATGTGCGGCCGTGCAGCATCTCGACGCGTTTGGCCTGCGCGGCCTCGCGTGCTAGCTCCTTCTCCGACTTGGCGCGAGATGCCTTGCTGCGCGTTGAGCTGGTGCGCGAAGTCACGGGACGAGTCGAGTCCGTGGCAGTGGGAGCCGCAGCGACGTCAGCGGCCGGCTCTTCGCCCTCTGCCGAGGAGGCAGAGGTAGGCCCAGCGATCACGGGTGCAGCGCCGCCGCCGCCATGAGCAGACGGTGCCTTCTTGGCGGCAAGTCGCTTGAGGTAGGCCTTCTCGGTGTAGTCCCGAGGATCAAAGACGCCGTCCCGCGGCAAGGGTGGCAGCAGCTCGCCCACCAATGAGAGAGCCTCTTGGATCTGATCTTTGGGACGCTGCGCCAGATTCTGAAGCACGGCCATGTCTGCCACGGCGACAGAAGAGCCGGCAACGTCGGTGCCTGCATCCGGAACCACAGCGACAGCAGCTGTGTCGGCAGCGCTGTCGGGCCCAGAAGCTTGTTCGGACTCGAGCTGGATGCCATGAGGTGCGCATGTGTTCGCCGATTCTGTAGGGGCAGGAGAGCCGGTGAGCAGGTGGTAGAGCGTCTCCACGATGTTGTTCTCGAGCAGCACGACTGCCAAGCGAGGACTGCTGCGGCAGGCGGTTCCGAGCGCCTTGAGCACATCAGTGTAGACGCTGGCGCCGAGCGTGGTGTTGGAGCTGGTCGAGGACGAAGCCGGCAGGAGCAAGTTGTTAAGGGCGGCGAGCAGCTCTCCCGTCATGAGCTGTTCCAGCAGATCGGGATGAGCCCGGTAGCTTTCGACGATGCGGACGACGCACTTGCATGCAGACTCTACGAGACGCTGATCGCTGTAGGTGAGCACATTCTGAATGATGGGCATCACATCGCGCACCATGCTGAGCGACTCGGGCGTGAGCTTGCGGCAGCAGTTAGCGGCTGCAGTCATGGCGGTACGCTGGATGTGGATATTGAAAAAGTCGAGGTACTGCAGGATGGCAGACAGACCGCCCTCTTTGACGATGGAGCTGGGATAGTCCTGCGAGATCTTCTCGAGCGTCTGCAAGACCTGCTCGGCCAGATCGATGAAGGTGATCTCCATGAGCTTGGCGTTGAGGACGGGGATCGCGCCATTGGCGACGACGCTGTGGGCGGCGTAAGGCATGGCTTCGATGAGGTTGGCCAGGCAACGACAGGCGAGCAGCATCTTTTCGCCGTTGTCTTCCATATCAGCAGCCGCGGCGGCCGCGAGAACGGCCTTCATCTCATCGTCAAGATCGTCCTGGGCACTGCGGATGCTTGCTGATTTGCCGCCGATGTCGTTGCGCTCAGGCTTCGGACCGCCGAGAATGTAGACGAGCTCCTTGACGAAAGAGTCGGTGGGGAAGTAGCCGGCAAGCGTGTCTTCGGTGCTAACGCTGAGCAGCTCCGAGAGCTCTTGAAGGGCCACCATCTGTGCTGTAGCGTCAGTCTCGTTTCGCAAAGAGGTTAGGAGGCTGCGGAATCTGGTGCTGAGGCCCGACATGTAGCCTGCCATGGCACGCATGTTGAAGCCAAAAGCTCCTCCGCCGTGGTTGCCATGGTCGCCTTCGCCACCAGCAGCGCCGTCGTCGTCGTCGTCATCGCCATCGTCATCGTCATCGTCGTCGTCCTCGTCATCGTCGTCGAAGGCGCCAAACCCGCCGGCCGCGCGCGAGGGCCGATCGACATCATCGTCGTGCTCATCTTCGTCATCATCGTCGTGGTCATCTTCGTTCTCCAGATCGTGTGAATGATCGTCGTCCATGTGGAGATCTGCGTCTTGGCCGAGGCCATTGTCGTCTCTAGGCTCCTCGACGATGCCAACGGGCGCTTCGCTCTCAGGCTTGCTCCTCGAAGTGTCGGCACCGTCCACACTGCCGAGCTCTGACATGTGCACGTCATCGTCATCATCCGCAGTCAGCGCGCCAGAGCCGTCGGAACACTCGGGCAACTGAGCGCTGCGAGAGGGGCGGACGGAACCGCTGTTGGAAGCGCGCTTGGTTTTGGTCGATGCCTTGGACTTGGCCGACGGAGACCGAGCCGAGGCGCGGCCATCTGAGCCGTTCGGGTTGGCGCCAGTCATGGCGGCGGCGGAAGAACTTGAAGCGTGCGGTGCAGCGGTCTTGCTACGAGAGCGAAGGGAATATGGTGAGGTGGACGCGGAACGAGGCGAGGCGTTGCTTGCCCTGGATGCTTTTGAGGCTACCCTTTGTCGCTTGCTGCTGAATTCACCCGTCGAAGAGGGAGAGATGGCAGATTGCAAAGTGACGGAGTCGGCTTTCCGCTTCCTGTAGTTTGAGACAGCAAGTCGATGTATGCAGTCCGCACAAGGAGCAAATTTGAGAGTTAGCAATCTACAGGAACAGGCGAATTCCAAAACAGCTGGGTGCACCGATATTCACCCTTTGGAAGAGGTCGAGGACGACGAGTTAGACGTAGCAGCCTGAGGAGGAGGGGATGGTGGTGACACAGCGGCTTCGGCCCTTCCTTTGCCTTTCCTGGCGGCGGAGACCGACCCTGAGCCGAAATCTGCGGTGAGAGTCGAAGAGGAAGAAGAAGAAGAAGAAGAAGGAGTGCTGGAGGCTGCAAGGCCAGCACCTGCCCGGGAAGGGGTGGATTGAGGAGGCGCCAAAGTGAAGGAACGAGAGGTCGGCGAACGACCAGCAGAGGAGGCGTTGGACTTGCGACTGGTGGAGGAAGGCTGAGAGGTGAACGAAGAGGTTGCGGTGGCAGGCGTCACGGGGGCAGAGAGTTGGCTGTTGGACGAGAAGGAGCTCTCGCTGCGAGCGTCGGAAAGATCGTCAACGTACGTTGTAGCAGCGGAAAGTCTGCGACTTCTTCGTAGTGTTGAGGATGCCACAGCAGATGCAGGAGCGGCGGCGACAGTGGCGGGAGCGTGGGAGGCGGTTGTGCTGATGGAGGAAGTCGACGAGGCGACGGAGTTGTTGGTGGCGGTGGAAGCGAGTGTGGCGCGAGCACGAGTCAAGGAGCGAGCTTTGGACGGGGAGCTGGGCTTTGTACGGCTGCTGCGATCGACAGGCATCGATGAGACCGTTCAGAGACGCTCAGAAAGCCAGGCGAATTGGCTCGAGTGGGCTGGACTAACGAGCGAGGCGGTCGACAGGTGCAATCGAGACAGCACAGCGCGACGAGCAAAGGCGATGCCGACTCCACCAAGGCAACACCAGCACGCTCTGATGTAGAAAGGCCGTCTCCTACTTGAAGTGTGCTGGAAGCGACGCTGGCTTGTTCTGCGACGACTTCGAGAGGATAGAGAAAAAGAAAAAGGATGGCTACGGTTCAGGCATCAGGATGTGTGGGATTTCGGACAGATCGAGTGCCAAGTGATGGAATCGAGTCGAGTCGAGTCGAGTACAGTTCGATGGTATGCAGATACGCTGAAGCGTCAAGGGAGTCCAGATGGTGATGACGGCGAACGGCGAGAGGCAAACGGCTTAAACAAGTTGCGTGGTTGGGATGAGCCGATGCAGAGGCGTCGGTTGGTGGGTGAGCGCGGTGTTGCGGTCGATGGTGATGAAGATGAAAGGGGAACGATGCAAGAGCGCTGAAAACTGAGCTTCGAATCGCACCTCGCCAATATGTGACAGACGCAGAAGGGTGTGTGAGCGGCGGCAGCGCGTGATGAGCCAAGACAGCAGGCTCTACCCTCAAAGTCACACCCACGTCCACACACAGCCCGGCGAGCGTCACAGCGTCACAGCGTCACAGCGTCGTCGCACTGTGCTGTTGCGTTGCGTCGGAAGATTGAAAAAGTGGAGTGCGGCAGGCCGCCTTCCCGAGCTTCTGAAAAATCGTGGCAGCAGAAGCCAGAAGAAGCACCTAGCCTGCGGCATCAGGGTCCGCTACAGCAAGACCCTTTTTCCAGCGATTCGACAGTCGATACCGATTTCTTATGCGTTCAAGTAAGAAATTGCTGAGTCCGCCGTGGCGAACCGAGAGCTTGTTCGTGCGCGGACGGACCTCTTTCTCTTCTCATTCGTCGACGCCAATAGATCGGACCGGATCACCTTGCCACGAACATCGGTCGCACCTACCGACGCAATAGACCACGGAGCAGGCCAAATGAGCACAACAGTACATGACTGTACAGCGAAGAGCAATGTGCAGAGTCTGAGGTAGAGGTGATCCCATCGAGTCTGTGTCTTTTGTCTTTTCGGCGTCGTGACCAGCAGCAACAAAGAGAGGGTCTCAAAAGTAGCAGGACACAGCGTCCCGATCGGCACCTGCTGCGGCGTTGAATATGCCAGCAGATCGGTGGTAGAAAATTCATCTTCCAGCGATTCGATGACAAGTCGACCGTCAGAGCTCTCACCATCGAGCTTCCAGCTTTTTGTCTCGTATGCTCGGTGCGAGAGGACTCAGACATGCATAGCGTGATCTTGTGAATGCGAAGTAAGAAAATAGAGTACAAATACACTAGGTACGATGAGAGAGAGAGAGAGAGAGAAGGGTACAGAGGATGGCGAGTCGCTGGTCAGTACAAACAATCTTCGCACCGGATTCCGTCTCCCGATCGCTCTAGCTGCTCTCCACATCAAGCGCGCATCGGTGCCAAGTGCATCCCACGGGCCGCCGTAAAAGGATCAGAAGTGTAGGTTTCATCGAGCCGAAGGCGCCAGGGCTTGCCGGCTAGCGAGCCCCGTTGTACCGCCTTCCAAAAGAAAAGAGGGACGCCAACGACAATCAGGCGCAAATTACACGAGTACCATCATACGAATGCGGTTCCGGCCCGCGATCCAGCCCAGATGCGCGGAGAGAAAGGAGAGAGCGCGCGACGTTTCAAGAACGTCGATCATGCGCCAAGGAAACTCGACTTACAAAGTGTGGTATGTCTGGGGAGGACGTCGGTCTCAGGCATCGCCGGCAAGCAGGCGTAGAGCAAGCTCTTCCTCTTGCTCGAGCTTGCTCTTCTTGGCCTGAGGCTTTTGTTTCGAAGCTGTTGACAGCTCGACAGTCTTGCGACGCTTTGAGGCCGGTGCCTCATACGCCACCTCGTCGTCGTCGTCATCATCGTCTTCAACCTCATCCTCATCCTCGGAGGAAAGATCAAAGTCAGGCGTCTCGTAGCCGTCCGATCGGTTGTCGATGGGCGCCAACACGGCGCGACCGTCTTGATCGTCTTCGGCCTCGCTCTCGTCGTCCCCTTCGCCGTCGCTGTCATCAAGCGCCTTTTCGCGCTCCTTCTGTCGTCGACGCTTCTCGCGACGCTTCTCCTTGGCGAGCTCCTTGTCCTTGACATCGGCTTGCTGCATGCGCTCGCGTTCCTCGTCCGCCCAGCGCTGCGCCTGCGTCTTGGCATCTCCCTGCTTGCTGAAGGCTTCTTCGTCCTGGAGCTCGTACAGCGCATGTGCTTGGCCATCCTCGTCAAAGACGAGCTTCTCGCCGATGCCACGTTTGCCGGCGAGAGCCAGCGCCTTTTTGCTTTGACCCATGGCCAGCTTGCGTTTCGACAAATTCTCGGTGGCGTCGGCTTTCGCCTGCTCCATTGTGACCGGAGTGTCCTCTCCGCCGATGCCGTATGCATCGCCGTCATCTTCGAGCGCGTGGTCAGCACGCTTGAGCGTGAGAAAGTCGTCGCCCGCGTCCCCGTCGGCGGTAGCGAGGCCGGTCTTGGACGTCTGTTTGGATGCGCGGAGCATCGCGGTCGAATTGCCCACCTCGTCATCGTCGTCCTCCGAGTCCGACGTATCACTGCCGACGAGACGGTCCTCCTTGGAGCGACCAGCGGATCGGCCGTATCGAGTCTCCTCGCGCCCCTCGACGTCATCTTCGTCGCCAGTCGTAGCAGAGTCAGAGCCATCGTCGGAGGGCTCCGAATCGTCGGCGCTGTCTGCGGAGGAGGCATCGTCTGCGATGAGCTTGGAGTAGTGCTCACTGAGAATGTCTTGATTCTTGCGCTCAAACATGCGGTCGTATTTGGTGCGCACCTTGCCATTCCTGGTTTGCGCGTCATCGTCGGAGGCGTCGCCTGCTTGTTCGCCGGTTGTGTCCGCCTGCTGCTGGGCAGCTTTGTAGGCAGCAGCCTTCTTGGCCTTGGCGGCCTCTTTGACGATTTTGACCTTGGGCGCACCAGGCAGACCGAGCGCGGCGGCAAAGGGTTCGAGCGGTAGTGCGGTGACATCGAAGATGTCTTTGTTCTTCTGCAAATGGATGGATCGCACGTACGAGACGAAAGCTTTCTGGGCCAAGTGCTTGATCTGGGGCTCTTGGAAGGCAAACGCCTGCAGCTGATTTTGAATGCTCTGCGTCTTGCTTTCTTTTGGTTTGATGCGGCCGACGGGGATGTTTTTGGTGGCGAGCGCCTCGAGGGTACCCTTCTCCTCGCTAGGCAGCACAAAGAGCAAGCTGTTGCCCTTGGCAGTGTATCGAGCGGTTCGTCCGACTCGGTGGATGTAGGTGTCGACGTCCTCTGGCACATCGAGCTGGATGACCCAGTCGACGGCAGGGAAGTCGAGCCCGCGTGCAGCGATGTCGGTAGCAAAGAGGAGTGCGTGCTGCGTCTTGGTAAACTGAGTGAAGATCTGTAGACGCTTTGCCTGCTTCTGCTTTCCATGGAGCGCCATGAGACTGACACCTGGTCGCAACTTGCAGAAGGTCTCGTGGACGAACTGAACTTGTCGACATGAGCTCATGAAGACGAGCGCCTTGCATTTGGTGTGTGTGCGGATGAACGAGAAAAGCAGATCGAGCTTCTTGTCGAGCTCGACGAGCATATAGTGCTGCTCGAGGCCTCGAGGCGTGGAACTTTCGTTCTCGGGTTCGCGCACGGCCACGTATTCGGGATCCTGCAAGGACAGCCGCGCCAGATCCTTGACGCGCTTTGTTTGTGTTGCGGAAAAGAGCATCGTCTGTCGGTCCCGGGGCAGATTTTCGACGATGGCGTTGAGGGTGCGCGAAAAGCCCATGTCAAGGATGCGGTCTGCTTCGTCGAGCACAAGCACCTGCAAGTTTGAGGTGTCAAAGCCGAGTGTCTGATCCATGTGCTGCAAAAGACGACCCGGTGTGGCGACGAGGATGTTCATGCGTGATAGACGATCCTTTTCTTGCTTGACATCCTTGCCACCGATGACAAGTCCGGCAGAAAAGGTGTGGTAAGGTCCGATCTTGCGCAGAACCTCGAAGATCTGGATGGCAAGCTCTCTTGTCGGCGAGATGACCAGCGCGCCAAGACCATCGGAAGGACCCCACTTGCTTCTGTAGAGAATCTCGAGGACGGGAATCAGGAATGCCAGCGTCTTTCCAGAGCCTGTCCTGGCAGCTCCAAGGACATCCTTGGATTTGAGCGAGAGTGGGATCGACTTTGCCTGGATGTCGGTCAGGTCGGTGTAGCCTGCCTTCTTGAGGCCTCTACGTGTACGGTCGGAGAGTGGGAGCTGAGCGAAGTGCTTGAGATCGATGGGCGGCTCAAATGCCTGTGCACCTTCTTCAAGCTGAGCGATCTCGGCATCTTCGGCACTCCTCTTGAGCTTTCGAGCATTCCGAGAGCGAGACTTGAGGTGTGGTGCGGCGGCCCCCTTCTTCCTCTTCGTGGAACCTTCTGCTGCTGATGAGGGTGGCATATTGGCAGGACGTCTTGGAGTGATGGCGTTCGAAACGCGTTGGGAAGTGGTTGGAGTTTGCTAGTCGGTATGGAGGGCCGTAGGATGACTCTGTCGGCGAAATCGATGCCAGCTAAAGCCGTCCGAGATAGCAAGGCTTTCAGCGCTGCAGACAATCCATGATCTTGCGGAGCTTGTTCTCGATCGTTCAGCGATAATGAGGAGCGATAGATGAGAGAAGCATAAGAAGGAAGGAAAGCGCAGCAGACGGCCAATCCAATTCACAAAGAGTTCAAGATCAAATTTCCGTTCTGTCAGCTGCAACCTCGACAAAATCAAAAAATTCTAGCAAAAATTGGGATTGGAGGGCGGCAGCCACACGTGACTTGCGCCCTCCGATTCCCGAAGATTTGGCTAGCTCTCCTTGTGGAAGCCGTTTCGCTGTTGCACGGTCACATTCTCCATCGCTAACGATCACACCCACGCTTCGACACATCCTGCTACTCACGGAAGAGACGGGCGCTTGGACCGATGGGCTGGCTTGATCGAACAAGCAGCCAGACTTGGCCTTAAGACGAGCTCGACCCTGCCTCTGTCCACCTTGGCCTGCAGCGTTCGCATCGCAGGACGCAGGTAAGGAAGCGGCCCCCTTCACCATGTCGCGCTGGCGCAACTCATTGGCCACATTGCGGCATGCGGCATCGATAGGATCGCACCCTCAAGCCTCGATCTCTTCCTCGCATTCGAGCCGTGGCTTGTCAGCAGCCACCTCCAACGCAGCTGCCGTGCCCGACTTTCTGGCTCCAAGCTTGCATCGTCGTCACGCTGGCTCTTATGCTCGCGCAATCTTGCATTCACCGGCGTACGAGATTGCAGAGCATTCAACTGCCGACACGACCTCAGCCTCATCATATTCGCTATCACGACCATCTGGAAGAGCATCTCGTACTCAAACCAGTCGCCGTGCTCAACGCCACGCAAGCGGTGCCGATTTCTCTGCCTACTTTGATGCGAATGGCTCGACGCCGCCTTTGTCATCCGTGGAGACAGAGGCGGACATTAGGGCTCATCTTTTGGCGGCGACGGACGAATCAGACCTCGCAAGGATCGCCAAAGCCATCTTCTCTGCCTCTACGTTGTGTACAGAACGGCAGCGAGTCGCCTCTGTGTGCCGCAGCGACGATGGATCGGCTCACGCAGTGTCATTGTCTCTCCATTTAAACGAGGCCCTCGTTCTACACCTGGCAGACTCTTCAGGCATAGCAACTCGACGCTCAGGGAGGAGCGATCCTCTCCTCATGAATCAACTTATTACCAAATACCTGCGATTGCTCTGCAAAGCGATCCCTCACCACGCTTTCTCCGATTCATTCCTTACGAGCCTGGCACGCAAAGCCGGCGAAGCGAATCCTAGACCGACAAACACAGCGCTCACACTACTACTATCCATATTTCAACATCGGTTGTCATACAAAGCCCCCGGCAAAGTCAGCCTATGCAATGACGAGGAATGCGCCCATCGTCAGTCACAAGCTCTTCACCACCTTATGTCTGGTTTCCTTCGCTCCGGCCACTTTGACCAGGTTCAAGCTTGCTTCGATCTCCTCATAGAGCACTTGTTGCCTGCAACCGTTCACCATCATCAGCTCAGGCTCATCGCCATGTTCCGGAAGCGCACTTCCAATCTAAGCTCAAAACACCAGGCCGACATCGATAGAGAGTCGCAACAGGTTCACGCACAGATCTTACAGACCAGGACCTCCATGAGGAGAGCAAACCTGATCCTCGACGATACCTTCCTCGCCACGGTCCTGCATGGTCTTAGCGCACCTCTTCGCCCCCCGCTCGCCGCCATGACCTCGCCGACGCAGAAGCAGACCACGCTGCGTATGGTTCGCATCGCTTTTCGCAACCTCAATGAGGCGGATCAGAACGCCGACGTCAAGCATTCAACTCGTTTCACCTCGACCTTGATCGATGCCGAAATCGATGCTATCGAGTCAGACTCGGGCTTCAACTTGCAGGCGCGTGCCAAGACCATTGACTGGATACAACACTTGATACGCAGGCTGAAGGCCGAGTCCGCGAGGGACAGCACCTCGACTTGGGCTGTAGCGGAAGGCAAGACATTCACAGAAGCACAGGTGGCCTGCATCCGCCACGAAATTCGCTTACGTGCTATGCTCGGCGATACGGAGCGTTGCATGTTCCTCCTTCGCCGCTTGCTCTCGCTGAAGCCCAAAGATGGCATTGATGCAGTCGCACCACGGGGGCAAGAGCTCGCATCCAAACAGCGAAGCAGCGTGATCAACCTCTTCTCCTCGGCCATGCATCGAAGACATGGGGCCGCCGACAAGCAAAACACTGCGTTCGAGGTGCTCAAACTCGCTTTCTCGTCGAAATGCTTCCAACGCGTGTGGAGCGGTGCCAGCGCCTCAATGCCCGATGGATCTGACGATGCGGATGACGCAGTCTTGCGTCTCTGGAAGAGATGGATGTTCGCATGGTCGGCCGACTGTCTAGCAGAGGGGCGCCTGACTCGAGAGCTTGACGACAATCTGTTGCACAAAGCGCCCAGCAAGGCCCTAGCGGACGATGTTCGCCGCGGCAAATACCACACTTTCACCGGCAGTCGCCCGTGGCAGACGTTAAAGCAAAGCCTTGTGCTGCTCAACCGAGTCATCGACCAGTACGAGAGCTTGCACGCAAGAGTCGCGACTGAAGAAACGACAGCTTCCCGTGCAGGTACTGTTCATTCTTGTGTAGCTGCTGTCGATGGAGAGCTAGAAAAAAGCCCTCCGCCGGCCATCGCGAGCCTCTCTCAGCTCTTCAACGACCGCGGCGTACTCGACACGATTATCAAGTATTGCCTTCGAGGCGGTCGACCTCCTCGTGGCGAGACCATGCAAACACATGTCGAACGACGACTCTCACTTCTCGTCAACACCCTCACTCGCGTCCACGTGAACGCACGCACTTGGGAGCTGGTCGAATCGTCGCTGCTGCGACACTTGGCTCTGATCCCCACCAATGTGCTGCCCACCTCTGCCGTCGCACCCACCGTCGATCTCATCGAACGGCGAAAACATGCCGCTCTACTGCGAGATCCCAAACTGCGACAAGCTCTGCGTGATACCCATCCGTCATCCTTGAAACAGGAAGAGACGTACGCACCCGAAACAGGATCCATCTTCGTCCTCAGACAGATGCTCGAACAACGCAAACGAGCCAGACAACGACAGCAGCCTATCTCGATCTCGACACAAACCAAACCAGCTTTCAACTAGATCATCGCACCTTTCATGCTCTCTGGGATTCCATTTTATTGCAATATTCCTTCCACCCTCAATACAAAAGAATGCCTGTTCGAACTATCTACAACTCAACATGAACCTTGGCAGCTACACTCCTGACCTTGTCCTTTGCGTCCTCCACATAATCCTCCAGTGTCTCTGGTGTAGGACTCGCACCTACTGCGGAAGCCACGCTACGACTTGCTTTGCTGAGAACGCTGCTTCCCGAGCTGACGCCTACGTTTGCGGCTGAAGAGACGGCTGAAGCGATCGACGAAGCCGAGCTGGCGGGCGACGCGTTGTTGATAGCGGAGGAGGCGGATTTAGAAGCGACGGAGGCGAGGGAGGAAGCGGACGATGCGCCGGACGCGACAGCCTGTGCCGCGGCGCTGGATGCAACGGATGCGGCGGACGAGGCGGATGATGCGCCGGATTGTGCGGCAGACGAAGCAGATCGCGAAGCCACGGAAGCCAAGGACGATGCGGACGAGGCGCCAGACTGTGCAGCCGAACCGACGGAGCGAGAGGCAACGGAGGCAGCAGAGGATGCGGATCGCGAGGCAGCGGATGCAAGCGACGACACCGAAGAGGCTCCCACGTCTGCTGCCGATCCGACAGAGCGCGAGGCAACAGACGCGAGCGAAGAAGCCGACGATGAAGCCGAAGAAATAGCGGGTTTTGCGTCCTTGCTGACGCTGCTAATCACCGAGCTAGCCGATCGAGAGGCTACCGAAGCTGCGGAAGAGGCCGAAGACGCTCCCGACTGAGCGGCTTTGCTGGCATCGCTAAGGGCGGAGCTGGCCGATTTCGAAGCGACGGATGCGGCCGAAGAAGCAGACTTGGACGCAACGGACGCTGCCGACGCAGCAGACGAAGCGCCCGCCTGGGCAGCAGGGACAACGTTCCCAGCTGCGACGCTTGCAGAGCTCGCAGCAACCGACGCCGCCGACGAAGCAGAAGAGGCCGCGGACTGCGCCACCTGACCGGCCTTGCTCGCAGCAGCACTGGCGTTCTCTTGAACCGCCTCGACGTAGTCAGCAAAGGTGTCCGGAGTTGGAGACGCACCCACAGCAGAAGCTGCACTGCGGCTAGCCTTGGATGCAAGCGACGCCGCACTGGACGAGGCGGACGCAGCGCGCTGAGCAACACCGCCTGCCACACCTGCGACACCGGCAGTGACAGCTTCCACATAGTCTCCAAACGTTTCGGGGGAGGGCGAAGCGCCGACGGCAGAAGCGACGCTGCGACTGGCCACGCTCGCGGCCGACGAAGCAGACGACGCAGCAGAAGCGGCCGCATTTCCAGCGGAGCCGGCAACTGCTTTCACGTTTGCAGCGGCGCCGCCAACCGCTCCCGCCACAGCAGCAGAAGCCTGAGCAGCCGCAGAAGAGGGTGACGCGGCCGAGACTGCCGAGGAGACGCTGCTGCTTGCCTGAGCAGCAACAGACGAGACGGAGCTGCTCGCGGCAGCTGCCATGCCATTGAGACTGTTGACGTAGTCATCGAACGACGATCCGGATCCAGAGCCCGATGCGACGTACGCCTTGGCACGCGCATAGTAACTCTCGTTGGCAGGCTCGCTGAGCCCAAGCTTGCCTCGAGCCAAGCCGACAGCGCCGAGCATGCCAGCAGCAGCATCGGTGCTGATACGACTAGCCTGCTCGGCGAGTCTGTCGGTGACGTCCGAAATCTTGGCAGCGACGCCCGAGCCCGCGAGCTGAGCCAGCGCAGTGTCAGCGTACGCGACGAGCTCCTTCCTTGCCGAGCCGTGCAGCTTGTCGGACCAGCTTCGAAGCGAGTTGATCTCCTTCTGCATGTCGGGCGCCTCTTTGCGCAGGTCGACGGCACCAGAAGAGGTGCTGACGGCCTTCTTGCCGCTCTGCACTGCGAGCAGTTCTTCAGTGAAAAGAGCAGCGCGCTTTCGGACGCCAATGTCCCACCCTTGCCAGTCGTCCATGGTTGCGGCGAACTTGGCATCGCGCATGATCCCATCGTAGGCGTCCTTGGCAGCCGCGGCGTAGCGACGCACCTCGGCACTGCTCGCTTCGATCGTCTGCCTTTCCTCCTGTAGCAAGTTTTCGTAGAACGCCGAGATTTGCGCCTTGGTGTCGAACGCTGCCTCATCGAACTTGGCCACCTGCTGGTCGACGAGCTGCTTGCCAGCTGCAATCTTTTGCGCTTCAGAGTCAGAGGAACGGGCCGAGATCTTGCGCAGGCCACGTTCGACTCGGTTCAGGATGAGTGCAACCGAGTCTTCGACAAAGGCTTCGTTGACGAGTCCAAAGCGATCGGGCAAATCTGCCAGAGCCTTGTTGCGCAGCTCGGCGAGACGATCGACGGCAAGCTTGTATTCTTTTCCAATGAGATCCGTCATGCCCGTCTCCCACACTTCGAGGAGATCCTTGACCTTCTTCTCTTCAGCATCGAGTTCGGCGTCGAGCTGAGCGACTTTGATGGCGTCGGTTTCTGTGCCGGTGGCTGTGTCATAGACGGCATCCTTTGCCTGTTTGACTCGGTCGAGCAGTGATGGGTCGTTCTGAGCCTTGATTGCGTCTTGTTCCTGATGGTGTGATGGTGCCGACCGATATAGTACAGGGATGGAAAGGGGATGGAGGCAGAAAGGATGTATACAAGAAAAAGAGAGGCAAAGTTCGTCAGCGGCTGATGCAACATGGTGTCTGTTACACCTTCCAATCCACTGTCGATAAGACTGCAGCGGACGGAGCTGAATAACTCGGCCCCCCTTTACCATGCGCCTCATCTGCCTCTGTACAGAATGTGGGATCCACTGGGTCGCAGGAAAGGGGAAAAGCGGGGAGAGGGTGAGAGGCGCGTCAACTTACTGCCTTCTTGATCGCCTCCTGAGCGTGCTTGTCTGCTTGCTTGGCTGTGTGCTTCATCTCCTGCTGAGCTGCCTTGATGGCGTCGGAGCCGAGCCAGTGAGCCTTGCGCTCATACACCTTGGCGAGCAAGCGGTCGAGCTGAGGTCGGACGTAGAGGCTATAGAATCGACGGACGGCGGGGTCGACGTGGTTGATCAAGAAGCTGTAGATCTGCTTGACGGAGTGGACGACACGCGGATGCACCTTGTCCATGTAAAAGGCGTACGATACCGAAGAGGAGTGAAGGCTGTACTGGTACGCTTGGTCGATGTAGGGCGAGACATCGCGCTGGTAGATGTCGTGGTACGGCTTGACAGCCCTGTGCACCGTGTCGATGTGAGGCTGGACGTTGGCCTTGTGGTAGTGGTGAGCCTGTTTGAGGTAAGGATCGATCTGCTTGTGAGCCCTCTTGAGAGCACGGCGACGCGCAGGGTCGATACGCTTCTTCCAAAGCAGACGTCCACGCTTATCGGCTTCACGATAGATGGGGCGAGACACCTTTTGAGCTCTCTTGATCCAAGGCGTGGCGGCCTTGACGGCGGGACGAGTGTAAGGCTCCGCTTTCTGTTGAGCGAGGTGGATGTAGGGCGTAAGGATGGGAGCGATCTGGTCGTGAGCCTGGGCCAAGTTACGACAGACGGGGCGAGAGTCCTTGGCTGAGTAGTCGAAAGCGAACGGACGCGAAGGACAAGTCCAGAGAGCGGCAAAGATAAGGTAGAAGATGGTGACCTTGCTGGCAAACGAGAAGAGCCAGCCCGAGAAGCCCGAAGATCGCTTGGGCTTCTTGACGACCAATACCTTGCTGTCGCGAGGGAGCTGTGCAGACTTGGACTTGGACGAGGCGTTTGCGTCACCGGCGGGGAACCGGACAGCAGGTGTAGGGATGGAGGCGCGGCCACCTGCGCCCCTCATCTTGATCTCGCCTTGTTTGGACATGGCGCGAGACTACCAAGTCGGAAGGTATAACCGGTCAGATAGATGGATGGATGGACAGGTGGACGGATGGATGGATCAAGGAAAGAAGGAGGAAGGAGCGTCGCCTCGCATACCTCTCTCGAATGGACGTGGCTTGTGCTGAGTCGCATGTGCATGTGCTCAAAACTGACAGCAGCCCGCTGTGTTTGGATCGCTGCTTTTCTCCTCGCCGGTCTGCAATCCGAAGAAAATTGGAGTCTAAAAGTGGAAGCTTTCGGTCACGTACGTCATTTGTGTGAGGTGGCAGGAATCTGAATATCTGGACAGCATTGTTAGTGCAGTCTCTTGCGAACAATGAAACCTGTCAAAAAATCCGACAATGCAGGGTTCTTACCCTGCTGATCCTCACGAAGTTCGCCCGCCCGCCAGCCACGCAGTTGATTTGCAGCTGTTTGGGGGCCGTTGGCTGCGCCGTGTGTGAATCACCGTTTCTCCGCTGCAGGCACTCAAGCCCGTCTCCCGCATTTTTTAAAGTTGACACTTTCTTCCATCCACCACCATCGCCTCCTCTCACTCGCTCACAAGGGACACCATTCCCATTTTGCCAAGCCTGTCGATAGCATCCGTTGGCTCGATTTACGATCTTTCGAGCAGACTTTCTTTCCTCACGCGGTCCATCTGGAACGGAACAAGCAATAGCTTCAGCCGAAGCCAGCAGCATATCACACGACACCTGCCCGCGGACAGCTCAGTCCCGCACTGACCCCAAGTCAGAAAGCTGAGAGTACAGCTATCGAGCGAATCCCATCCCATTGTCACCTCTGCCGCTACCAGGAGCTGCCGCACCATGACGACCGCGGCAGCTTCATCACCCGACCTCCCCCGTACTTTGCGTTCAAGTCCACGCAAGAGGGCGAAGTCTCCCGAACTGCAGGCCTCTTCACAGTCCTCATCACAGTTGCAGAAACAGCATTCAAGCAAAAAGCCTCGCATCGACATCGTCGACGAATCGGAGCTCGATTGCGCAGCCTGCCCAGGTGTCGGTCAACCAGCTCCGACTCCAGGCAAAGGCGCGGCGTCCGACCGCGAAACCTGGATCTGCTGCACGCACTGCAAAACGTGGTTCCACTGCATCTGTATCGGTCTCGAGAATCCTGAAGACTTTAGCAAGTGGTACTGCAAGCCGTGCATCGCTCGCTCAGAAGAGGCCTTCCAGTCAGGCACCTGCTCTTCGCGCCCGCCATTCGCCAACGTCGCCCGTCCGCCGCGTCGGAAATCGGACCGCGCCAAGGTTGAGGTCGACTACGCCGCTATCCAAGAAGGCATCCCCGCCGATCCTCTGGGCCGATGGAAGAACTTCCTCAACACGTACGAGTTCGAGCCTGATCAGTTCCGTAGGATGGAAGGACGCGAGTGGACGCTCGATTGGCTCCTCCATGACGAGTCTGCCCTCAAGCAGCCAGTCCTCGTCCCTGCTCCAGACGATGGCTCTTCACAGCTCCGAGACGACAACGTCAAGACCGAAGATGATGCGAGATCGCTCGCACCTCGCAAGAAACCTGCAAAAACCAAGAAGCTGGCGCGAAACCGACTTGCACCACGAACCACTACGATCCCCGGCATGGTCGTTCCACCTGCTGACATGACCATCTTTGACGTCGCAGACATCATCGGACACGACACTCCCGTAGAGGTCATCGACGTCGCCTCGCAATCCTCCTCCAAAGCTTCGTGGACCATCTCCGAATGGGCCGAGTACTTTGACACGCCCAAGGAAAAGAAGAAAAAGACGCTCAACGTCATCTCGCTCGAGGTCACGGGTACGCCGATGCAAGCATACGTCGAAGCGCCTCAGCTCGTTCGCGACCTCGACTGGGTGACGCGCGACTGGCCGCAGGAGCGCCGCGATACGTCGTGCGCCGACAACAGCTGGCCCAAGGTGCAGCGCTACGTGCTCATGGGTGTCGAAGGAGCCTACTCGGATTGGCACATCGACTTTGCGGGGAGCAGCGTCTACTACCACGTCATCTGGGGACAAAAGACATTCCTCTTTGCTCCCCCAACGCCGCGAAACTTGGCAGCTTACAAAGCGTGGTGCAGCAGCACACGTCAGGATTTCGATCGGCTTGGCGACCATCTGCACAGCCTCAGCCGCGTCGACATCCGCCCAGGCGAGACCATGCTCATTCCATCCGGCTGGTTGCACTGTGTCTACACGCCCAAGAACACGCTTGTCGTCGGCGGCAACTTTCTCACCGACTGGAACGTCGCAACCCAGTGGAAGCTCGTCGAGATCGAGGAGGCCACCAAAGTGCCCAAAAAGTTTCGCTTTCCGCACCTCAAGCGTCTCAGCTGGTTCGTAGCGAAAGGCTGGAACGATCGACTCGAGCCGCTGGACGAGTTGCAGCCGCCGTCGAAAGAGGACGACGAGGCGCAGGAGGTTGCAGTGAATGGACATGGCGGAGGTGTGGCCGCCGGCTTGATCGGGATCGTGCCGCCAGCCAAGGTGCTCACTAACGTCGAGCTCGTCCATCAATCGCTCGTCGACGATCTCGAGCTGATCCAAGATCCCTTCATCGCCGAAAATGGAGATGAGAGGACAGTCAAGCAGCAGAAGGCAGCCCGTGAAGCTATTCCCGCTCAGTATGTGGGAACCCTGTCGAAAGCCGAGGCCATGCTTGCAGCGCTGCGTCAACGCCTTGACGTGGCCAAGTCGCTGGCAGACGCAGTGCAGGAGGCGCGTGTTCGTGTAGCAAAGGGAAGTCAGAACGGCAGAAAGTCTCCAAGCGGATCAGCGATGAAGAGTCGCAAGGCGCGCAAATAGACAGGTCGCGCAGCGCAGCGAGGTTGCTGTGCGGGAGCTGGAGCGCTACATGGATGAAGTCTGCCCACAAGACATACGAGCCCACGACGATCAGATCGGCGGATGCAGTGCAGCACACATTGCTAGATCGGGCCCTGCCAGGTAGGAAGAGTCGAGTGGACGATTGATAAGATTACAGCGAGTCTCAGTGCTTATCTGGCCGGACCCCACGGAAAGATTGACGTCACATGCAATTACACAATCCTGGTACGAGCCAGGTCAATGCGGAGTCGACACATGCATATCTCGCTCATTGCCTGCGCTTATCTTTCGATACTGATGCCATGCCTCCGTTCCGGCCTTACGATAAGGTCGAGCGCCTCTGCTCCCCGGCCTCCCCACACGTCGGAGTCGACGGCCTGCTCACCTCTGTGCTTTGACATCGGAGAATTTGTGTCGACCTTACGCTGTCCAAGTATGCGGGCTGTCACAAGTTACGTCGATGCGTGCCCTCCGCTGCAGGCTTGTTACGATGCATGAACCAAAGGTGATGTCAGTGAGATGTCAACCGAGCGCAACGTGATCTTCGTGTTCTCCCAAAGCAAACTCCGCCTCTACTGTACCCGACTTTGTTGACCATGAAGATCTCGATGATCGAAACAACGATGCTAACTAGCGACGGTCACGATCTATTGTCCGAGTCTGCTGTTGCCTTGACGTGATGTGTTGCTCTTATCTTTGGACCCTTGTCACTTGGACGGGCCGCCGGAAGGAATTTGTCGCACGGCAGGTGGTCTCCACTCAAACGTAAGCTGGAAAGTAACAAAATCAAATTTCCAACCCTCAGCTCATGTGACTCTCTGTGCCTGCGTTTGCGGTGTGATTTTGAGTGCCCGGCGGCTGCAAAGACAACAGCCAACTGCCTGTTCTTGCCTCCTTCTTCCCTCATTCATCGTCGATGAGCTGGTTTGACAGCAATGGCACGACATGGTGAATGCGACCCTTTGGCCGACCTTGACGGAACACTGCTCTGACTGGCGAGGGCACAGCAATCGAGCGAGCTCAGCAGAACGCGACGCTGCCGGGAGGGGTTTTCAAATTGACCCAGCCAAGCCATGCAGCTCCAAGATAAGAATGCGGAGATCTGATTGGTCGATGGGATGAGCCCTTATCACAAATACGGACATTTTTTTGGTTGAATTTGGTTTCCGACGTGCAGCGAGCGCGAGTCAGATGCATTCGTTCGGTCAAAGTAGACAACTTTTGCGTCGTCTTGAGCGTCACTTCGAAAGATAAGGGTGGAAATCGACGCTGCTTCATACGATCGACGAGCTGCCCTCGGCCCTCTGTTTTGTCCTCCCTTCCCCGCCCCCACGTCTTGGCAGCTGTCAGTACAGTCGAGGTCTCCGCCGTTTTGTTCGCCGCAGACTACACTAGTCGGCCGAACAGCCAAATCCTGTTCGCTCAGATCCTCGTTGTCGCTGACCTAGAAGCATGTTCTGACCTGGCTACCGCGATGGAAACCGAAGCAGAAAAGAAAGACAAAGTCTTGACTCCCCTCGCTCGCAACCTCGGCTGAGAGATAAGAAGAAGACCTCCCGTCCACGATAGCCCGCGCTGTATCCTTTTGCCAAGACCTTTGCGATCGCCTACTGGTATTTCACGAGCCAGCCGTATCTCCTTTCGATGCCTACCCAAGAAGTGCCGGACTCTGTACGAGAATCGCATGAATCAATGATCGCGAAAAGGCTTGGCAGATCCATGGTCTGACCGAAGCGGACCAACACGGTGATCTAGTCGCCGCCGTTACTCTCCCCGTTCTTATGCATAGTCCGTCGAGTTACATCATCTGTCGTCCAACCAGCCGCTCTTGCCCTCACTCTCCTTGTACTAGCCACACGAGCTGCACGTCACAAGCGCCATCCGAGAGACAGGGATCTGCCCGACGGTCTTGGCTAGATGTCGATGCATTGTTGCAAGCAATCGTTTCCACCTGAGGATCTATGCGCCTATACAGTGTACACCAGGCCACATTGCCTAGCAGAGTCTCCATCAGGAAGTAGTCTGCGACATGGTTGGAATGCTCGACAAGAAGGTGCGAAGCGGATGCCATGCCTTGACTTGGCCGTACTGTATGTCTGGATTAGGCGAAACGAGAAGCGAAGCGTGGGTCGAGCGAGGAGTCTGAAAAATCAACAGAACGAAAATCAGATTGGGGCATCTGAACGGTGTCTGCTCGCGACGGGGCTAAAGGTAGGAACAAAAGAAAATGGTGGCTCGCATAAAATGGAGATCGGAAGGATGATGATGGACTGGATGCATGCGTGGCATATTTTTGAGTTCGCGTCTTCTTTCTTCTTTTTTCCCTCTGGTGCCTCGCTATTTGCGTCGACATTCGTCTGTGCTTGGCTGCTGTACGGCAGAGGACCGAACGAGAGTCGTCGATCTACATTGTGACAGTCCCGGTTGTTTTTTTTTTTGGTGCAGTGCGATCCGGCCAACGGCTTTCAACCTTGTTTGTTCTGAATCTCCTTGTGCCAAATCGACGGGGAAAGCTCTTCTCGAGTTGACATCGACGTCGACGATACTTCGCAAGACAAACTTTTGACGTTGCTGCATGGGCGAATGCAACCACCTCGCTTGTGCTCATCGCCGGTTCTTGTAATCTTTCATCTATCCCGCTTCTCATTCGTCCTGACAATCCTCAATCTTCGCGCGTCGACGGAAACACCGGACGCATCGCCCTCTTTCGCTTCTCCGCCCCGTCACGAGAATCGAGTCAGGATCAGCTCGGTCTCTGCACACCATCGGCGTTTGACGGGCAGCACAGAAACCCAGACGGTCAGACGGCCGGACGTCACACCCGACTTTTCCCAACGCCCAATTGCTCTTCCAACGCCTTATAGGGAGACCATCCTTGTTCCTTCGTTTCCACCATTCCCCTCTTCCCTCACCTTCCCCTCCGTCATCCATCCGTCCGTCCGCTCCTTCGCGCCCCGTCACCGCCTCCCCTTTGCCGGGTGTGTTCAAGCTTGCCTTCCTCGTTCGGTCGAGCAGCATCTCGCATTCGTCGCAGCTGTCACATCTCTGCGACACGATCCATCCCACCTCTGGAGATCCTCCCTGACTTGCGCCCGTCGGCAAGTTCCGTTTTTACGCACAAAATGGTCAACATCACCTACGGTGTGCTCCAGGCACCCGATGGCAGCTCGGCCAGATCGAGCGCCATCGCCAACGGAACCGACATCATCGTCTCGTACGGTCCCAACGGCGAGAGCGTCGCCTCCTACTCGCCCGGTGACATTGGCTGGGTGCTCACATGTACCGCCCTCGTCTGGCTTATGATTCCCGGTCTCGGATATCTCTACTCTGGTCTCGCACGCAGAAAGAATGCGCTCCACCTGCTTTTGCTCACCCTGGCTGCGCTCGCCGTCGTTTCGTTCCAGTGGTTCTTCTGGGGCTACTCGCTCGCTTTCTCTCAGACCTCGGGCGCTTTCCTCGGCAATCTGCGCAACTTTGGCTACATGGGCGTGCTCGAGAACCCCGTGTCGCAGGCGTACAACAAGGTGCCCGAGATCGTCTACGCCATCTACCAGTGCATGTTCGCCAACCTCGTTCCCGCCATTGCTATCGGTGCCGCTTGTGAGCGTGGCCGAGTCTGGCCTTTCCTCGTCTTCACCTTTATCTGGACCACGCTCGTCTACGACGTGATCGCTTGCTGGGTGTGGAACCCCACCGGTTGGGCCTTCAAGTGGGGTGTTCTCGACTACGCCGGCGGTGGACCCGTCGAGATCAACTCGGGTATCACCGGTCTCGTCATCTCGTACTACCTCGGCCCCCGTCACGGCTACGGCACCGAGCGCCTGCTGTTCAAGCCTCACAACGTCTCGTACATCTTCCTGGGCACCGCCTTCCTCTGGTTCGGCTGGCTCGGATTCAACGGCGGTTCGGTGTTTGCTGCCAACCTGCGTGCTGCCATGGCCATCAGCACCACCAACCTCGCCGCTTCGTCCGCCGGTCTCACTTGGATGCTCCTCGATTGGCGTCTCGAGCGCAAGTGGTCCGTCGTTGGCTTCTGCACCGGTTGCATTGCCGGTCTCGTCGCCATCACGCCCGCTGCCGGCTTCGTCGGCATGCCCGCTGCTCTGCTCATTGGTGTCGTCTCGGCGGCCGTTTCCAACTTTGCCACCGTTCTCAAGGGTCCCATGCGCGTCGACGATGTCATGGACATTTTCTCCGTCCACGCTCTTGCCGGCTACGTCGGCACTTTGCTCACCGGTATCTTTGCCCAGGCCTCGGTAGCCAACAACGACGGCAACACGGTCATCACCGGTGGCTGGCTCGATGGCAACTGGATCCAGCTTGCCTATCAGCTCGCCTACTGTGTCGCCGTCACCTCTTGGTGTGCTGGTGTCACCTTTGCCATCATGTTTGTCGTTGACCACACTCCTTTCATCGGTCCCTTCCGATCGAGCGAGATGGGTGAGGTGGTCGGTATGGACGAGGATCAGTGTGGCGAGTGGGCCTACGACTACGCCTTTATCAACCGTGATCTCGAGGGCAACTACAAGCCCGACCACGGTCAGACGCTCGACATGCACGAAAAGATGCCCAACGTCCACCAGACCGACTCGCTGCGCTCTGGCGCGGACAGCGGCAGCCAGGACAACTCCAACTCGCAGCTGGCCTCTGGTGACCAGAACGCAACCTCGGCAACAACCGAGGCTCCAGCGACGCAAACACAGGCATGATCTTGGCGTGCGTTGCTTTCGTCGGCCCACTCAGGCACGTCGATTCGATTGCACGAATACGACGCCGCTTTCACTCTTGTTAGGATGTATATACCGCGCTTTCCTTGTTCTTCTTATCTTAATCGGATCGACAGTAACCTATCTGCATAGCGAGCGCTCTTCTGCTCATCTGACCGCGCTGTGCCCGAGTCGGGCCGCTTTCTCCCACGACAGGTGAAGCAGCTTCTCAGGTTGTCCAATCTGGACACCGTCTGCATCACGTTTGTTTGTACAGTGCTTCGCATCACAATGAGCCGCACCGGTCAGCCGAACTGTAAGAGCGAGGCGCGGAAGGAGTAGAAAGAAGGTGAGCAAAGAAGATTTCACGTCACGGTGCACAATGCCGATCGATGTCCACGGCACATTGCAGCTGAGCGTGCATCTCCATCATGCTCTTGTCACACTTGGCGTAGGTTGCTGCCAGGTTGTGCCTGGGATCGCGATGTCGCGCTTTCTGCATGCAAGCTGCAGTCTATTTCTGGTCGGGACGATCGTTTGGAAGAAAACTCTGGCTCGCTTGCACACGCGCCTGCACACAGACGAGCTTCTTCGCATCCATCGTCTGACCTTCCGAACCCGACCGCGCTGCCTCAGCACAATTCGACGTTCAGACTGTTGTCTGGATCTCACGACGCTCGGATCGCTTCTGCCAATGTCAGGCACAAGCCTTCTGCGCCGTAGGTGGGCGTCATGAACAGATGCTGCCTCGAAGCGATGAAACGATGAAACGATGCAGCTGTCCGCTTCGACAATTCGATCTTCGCTTCTGACTCCTCTGCTTCTTGCACGACTACGCTCAGGCTCATCAAGCTGCATTGCATCACAGCGCAGCGCCTAGCGGCGTCGGTTGGTGCCGACGGCAGTGAATTGTCAAAGCGACGACCTGGCTTTCGGTCATCTAGCGCCTCGATGTCCTTGACGAAGCTGAATTCACTCGAACAGGCTCGGCATCGGCACTTAGCACATGAAGAGCGCAGCCCACGAGCCGATCCGCTTCATCATGACCTGCATTCGACGTTCGTACTCGGAGCCTCCTTCTTCGTTCTTTCACGGTCCCGTTCATGAGCCCGTGGGCGAGAGGCGGGACAAACCCCCTATCCGGTTCATTCAGCAGAAACAAAGATGCGGCAATGCATACAGAGGCTCAGGGAAACGTGGTTGCTGCGGAAGCTTCATCTCGAGTATCTTCGCAACCGAGGTCTGGCTTCTATTGTTCGTACAACACTTTTTGGCACTTGTCGTCGCCCCCCAGCAGCCATTGAGTGAGGACCATGACTTACCTGGTCCACACCAGCAGAACCTCTCAGCAACGCAGCTTGCTACTACGCTTGTATCGATCCGACCAGTCACATCTTTGTCCGCCAAGTCTGGCCAAGCCGACTGCTCCCATTTGAATTCTTCCATGCCTGGCCCGTCCAACACCTTTGAAGGGACGGAGCGCTCGGCTTAGCTGCTTTGTGGCCGAATCAACGCCGATCCCACCAGCCGTCAGCTCCTAGGCTGTCAATACAATCGGAGCGGATCGACATCATTTCGCGCCCATCTTCGGTCACGTATCGGAGATCGCCATCCTGGTCGAGCGCGTTCTCCGATGACCAACGAACGCCAGCCTCAGCAGGCGGGCTCGACCACGATTCTGCAGGAAGGCGAAGCTGCTCTCGCAGTCCAGCTCTAGATAGCAGGTCTGGTGAGGCCAGACGTACCAACCGTCATGGCGCAACGCATCAAAGCCTGGTCAGCTCATGGCCGATGGTCGAACACCGCTCGCACGTCCAACAACAGCATCATAATTCGTCAGAAGCAAGTCGTAGATGGAGTATGGACGCCGCTGATCACCCTGGAGCCACTCAAACGCAGCGTACCGCCGACAGAGATCACGTAACGTCTCCCGACCCAACGCAAGGCCTACGCAGGGCTCTCGAGACAACCCTCCAACAGCCGACACGACGGAAATATGGTACAGCTTTGGCTCGATCGCAGTCTGCCGACGGTCCTATCTGGCAGCCTTATGCACCTCGAATGAGTTCACGAAGCTCGCTTGCGGAATGGAGTCCTCTGCAATTCAATTCTCCCAGCCGCCTAGATAGGACAAGCTGGAGCTTCGTCACGACTTCTAACAACAGCGGCCCTGAAACGGCACTGAGCCTTCCAGGCAGTCCTTCGTCAAGGTCCAGACCTGGTTCCGCAAGTCTCCTGCGCGAATCTCTTCACCGCGCTCCTCGCGCACTTTCTTACACAGGCGACACTATTGTCCACAATCGGGACCAAGACGATGATTATCCTCACCGCTCACGCACCCCTGCCACGTTACGACCAGCATCTGCCGCTCTTCAGCCCATCACCGAAGGAACATCGATAGATCAGGATACATCCTTGGCCGACACCAGTACTTTCTTCTACGACCGATTCCGATTCTCGAGCTTCTCGACTCGCTCGGACTTGGTGGAGACGAGTCCGAGGAGCAGTCCAATGCCAGCGGCTTCCACAGGTTCGATCACTTCCTCCAAGAACACAAACGTCAGCTCGACGACAGGCAGCCCTTCGGCCTTCAAGCCGAGACAATTGATGATCACACGTTCATCGAGTTTGACCGGAACAGAACCCTACAGCCATATGTCGAGAACAAATTCTAGGCGATTGCTCAGGTCAGCATCTGCACAATCTGTGCAAGTTGCACGCAATGAGACAGCAAGGAGAGACATTCGAGAGACTGTCAGACCTCGTTTCTCAGAAGTCGTATGCTCGACTCCGGTGCAGAACACCAATCAGGCGAAGAGCCCACCTGAACAAACAACAGACGACAATCCTGAACAGACTTGCAACGTGGCGGATGACGATCTTCGGAGTGTCGATGGCTCGGATCTACACGCAGGAACGGGGACGAGTGCAGGAGGCTCGGTCGAGATGAGCAGCGTCAAGCTGAATTCAGACAAGACAGGTGACAGTCCGCGACACGATCGATGCGCTCCCTCCGAGATCCTCATCCCACAACCCTCGATCCCCTGCATGCTTCCCATCGATGACTATGATGCCGCGTCGAAAAGCGCATCGGCACCTTCGTGGCCCGAGTTCAACAAGGTCAGATCCACGTTATCGCCCAGCGGTGAATACGGCTCAGCGAGTTTATCAAAAGCACGTTCGTCGTCCTCGCCTTCGTCTGGCGATCAAAGCTCGCTGTCAGCTCCGCGCTCGGCTGCGTCGGCAGACTCTCGATCGAGCGAAGCTGTCGAAGTCGTCCCCTGGCAAGTTGCAACGACGGACTCGGACGGAGTGAGGAAATCCGAGGAGATCTTCAGGCCGCTCAGTTTGGTTCAGAGTGGGAGAGGATCCTCAAATACGGTGATTCCGGGAATCCTGCCAAGCGCGGCTAGCAGCGCCGGCTCCCGGGCGTCGACCGTACGCAAGATGCCACCGACACCGCTGAAAGGCGTTAGCGGGACAGAATGGGCGAACCGATCGTCGCGAGGGGATGTCAACTTGGAGTCGGATATGTTTTCAAGATTGACGGATGAGAGCATTGGGCTAGGCATCTCGCCTCTTCCTTTGAGGGCTGGTGAACAGCAATTGTTTGCCAAGACCTCCGTAGCGGGACGGTCTCGACCGGGGAGTCTGCAAAGTCGAAAGCTCAAACAAGATCACGCGATACTCCAGACAAAGGTGGAGAGGCAACCTTCGCAGACGGGTCACATTACCAGTCCTCCTGGAGGTATGGATCGGCTCCTGTCAGAGCTAGATCCCGTCACCACCGATAGTCAGCTGCGAAGGAAAGTTGAGGCTGCACCAATACTTGACTATGGTATACGCAGCTCGTCGCTTCGAAGATATCACCCGCACGGTGGCCATGTTGGTCTGGGGCTACCGCGTCGGCCTGAGAAGGACGCCGTTACCTTTGATCATCATGATATAGACAGGCGACTTCCAGCCAGATGCTCTCGTCAGGTTGACTCTATATCTCGGAGTGTCCAATCGCCTTTGGATGTATCCTTTGCAGGCGCGACAGGACGAACAGGGTTGAATGCCGCCAACCGCAATGTCAGCCCCAAACACCCTGACGCAAGCGAAGTTCAGCGCACTCCTCGCTTCTTAAGGCTGGCTATCTCTCTCGGGGCATTCATGATGATTTATCAGACCCTGTTTTTCATCTTCGAGGCACCTTACTGGTGGATCACATTCAGTCCCGCACTACCGCTTGCAGCCGCCGCGCTGTTTCTGCTGTCCGACGGGCTGATCATCCAGCTGCTGCTTCAGCGCTCGTCAAATAGATGTCTCTTACTCTGCGCCCTCGGCATGTCAGTACTGTCGCTCTTGTACTGTGTCGTGCTTTCGGTCTGGATCACCCTCAGACTGATCCGCTCTCCCGATGGAGGAGCCTCGGCTCCCGGGATTCACTTCGATCGCTCGCGAGACACGGTGACCGGCGGAAGTGTGCTGCAAGACGTGCTTCGCGACATGCCCATGCCAGTCGTGCTAGCTGGAATTGGCACCATTGGAGTGGTGATGAATGCTGGTTGGGCGATGTGGTTGTGGTGCAGGCTGCCCAGCAGTCGCCATGGCGACATCGAGGGACAGTGATCGTTTGCTCACTCCTTCGCACGATCTAGATTCTTTCTTACATTCGTTTCATATACCCTCACATACTTTCAATTGACCGAAAGTTGTCACCTCATGTGGCTTTCTGTGGACCATGTATGACCCGCAGAGTTACTGTAGTAGCGCGTGACATGCCAGCTTCGAGGGAAGATTTTCTTTCCGAAGGTCAGGAATTGTTAGACCATGTTTGCCTAGTCTCGGTATTTCAGGCGCAATTGATCGTCACGTGTTGCACAAGCCGGTGGATTGGGGACACGCCTGTTTTCGTTGAGGGAAACCTGAAATGAAAGTGTTGGTCTTTTCAGTCGGATTTCGCCTTTTGGGAGCGGACGCACTTTTGGCGCTTTGGACAGGGTCGAAGCTACACTCTAGCAGCTTCATGATGACTCTTGACTTTGATCTCTCTGCAGGATACGACGCTCAGACGACTGCTACCATCAAAGACCAGACAAGGAAGACGCAAGCTGATACTCAAGATAGGACCTTGACCTGGATTCGCATTCGCATTATACCCGGAACTCTCGACTAGACTCGCTCGCTCTCCTCATCGAACTGCATCGGACGTCACCCTCCACGAACCGACGGCACATCTCATCGACGAGTCGCCCCGACACTTCGTCTCGCGCAGCACTTTCTTTCTTTCCGCACGCAGCTGCACATCGACCAAGTGGGTGTGCGTGCATGCGTTGCTGAATTGAGCCGTCCTCTCGATGTCCCCTGCCGTCACGCGCGCCACAGCAGCCACCGCTACCGCCGCTTCGTCCCCATCTGCGTCGAGCCTGGACTCCAACTCGGTTGACGACGACCGACGTTCTTCTACTGCTTCAATAGCGCGTCAACCATTCGTGCCCAAACGTAAACCAACAAAGCCCGCGCCTTACGCCTACCTCCTCGCCGAAGCGAGCGCCAGCGCCGACTCGCTGCCCAGCCCAGTTCTCGTTCAAGGTTCCGGCTCATTCGGAGAAAGCGATACGGCCTCATATACGCCCGCTCGTCCCTCTTCGGCCATCGAGACGCCCTTGCGCACCTCGCCAAAGAAAGTCAAGGTCGTACGTGCGCCCTCGCCACAAGAACCTTCTCGCCCGCCTCCGCGCGCAACACGATCATCTCCGAGAAACTTCGACTCATTATCGGTCGACGTTCCTTCGGACCCAGCACCCTCTTCGGCCGCCGCAGCACCTGTGCTCAAGACTCGATCCGCCTTCCTCACACCAGCACCTCCAGCTCGGGAACGCCAAGCCGAGACTAGACCTCGTTCTCATACCCCGACCACCATGGCAGCACGCACAGCAGCGCCACCGGGCACGCCCAAGATCAAAGCGGCTGTTTCCGCCGACGTTGCTGCACGCATCAGGTCGCCCAAGAAGCACGCTTCCACTTCGGCGTTGAGAGCTACGGCAAATCAGTCGACGCCATTCAGCGCCTCGAGTGGTCTAAGATCCGCTCACCCTCTGCAACAGTCGAGCAAAGACATAGGAAAAGCGCTCGAAGCATACGCACATTCGTCCAGCACCTGGCAACATCACACGGAAAGCAGCAAGGAAGATGCGGACCCGAACGGCGACAGCTCCTTTGTGTACGATGCGGATGCTGACAATGCACACAACTTCGGAGAAGCAAATGGGCAGGAGACCGTTCAGGTGCACGTTCGACTGCGACCTCCCAAACGGGGTGAAGAGTGTGCGTGGGTGGCCAACCCGTACTCTGGCACGGTCGCATTGGAGGCGTCCATCGCTGGCGGACGTACGCAGAGCGCCAACCTCGGACCGTTCACCTTTGACGGTATCCAAACTGGCTCTGCCAATCGCCCCGTCTACATCTCGGTCGCTCGGCCGCTGGTGCGTGCAGCGCTGGATGGTTACGATGCAGTCGTCTTCGCATACGGTCAAACCGCCTCCGGAAAGACCTTTACGCTTTCTGGAGACGAAACGGGTCAAGAGGCAGGCATCATCCCGCGCGCGGTGCGCGACATCTTTCGAGGTATCAAGCAGAGCTCGGCACGTCGAGAGTACCTCTTACGCGCCAGCTATCTGGAGATCTGGAACGAGGTGGTCAAGGATCTGCTCGAGCCGAGCAATGTGCCTCAGGTTCGTGACGACAAGCGTCGACGTGGCGGCAAGGGGACGACGGTGCAGCCGTTGAGGGAGGAGATCGTCACGAGTCCAGCCCAGGTGAGGGAGCTGCTGGCCCGCGGTCAGGCCAATCGACACGTCGGAGCGACGGACTGGAACGAGCGCAGCAGCAGGTCGCACACCTGCTTCAAGATCACCATCGAGTCGTGGGAACGCGACCAGGAGTGCCTAGGCGGAGACCCTGCCGAGACGCGACTGGGTAAGAAAGTCACCGTCTCGGAGCTGTGCCTGATCGATCTCGCCGGAAGCGAAAAGTATGTCTCTCAAGGATCAGACCGTCGCACCGAAGGTGCCCACATCAACAAGTCGCTCCTCACGCTCGGCAAGGTCATCTACGCCCTATCGGAAAAGTCCAGCGCCGCTTCTGCAGCAGGCAGCGCGGGAGTGCACATCCCCTATCGAGACTCGAAGCTCACGCGAATCCTCCAGAACTCGCTTTCGGGCAACGCACGTGTCGCTGTCGTGTGCACCATCAACCCCAATCCTTCCGCCGTGGATGAGTCGCTCTCGACGCTCAACTTTGCCAAGCGTATCAAGAAGGTCGGTCTCAACGCGAGGCGCAACGAGGTCGATGGATCGCTGGCAGGTGGGATCGGCGCAGAGGCGCAGGCGCTCATCTTGCGGTACCAGACGGAAGCGGATGCGTTGCGAAAGATGGTGGACGACTTGTCAAGGACTCAGAAGGTGGAGGTGGAGGATGACCGGATTCGAGAGCTTCAAGAGCGACTGGATGTGATCGGGTCTCTGGTTGTTCGCGGTGGTCGGTCCAATGATGCTGACGATGTTTCCGATGACGAGTCCTCCGCCGCTGCGACGAACGCTTCACGAACAGCATCCAGCAGCAGCACCAGTACGACCGCCTTTGCGTCGTCCAACTCGAGCTCGCGAACCACCTCCACCACCTTTGCCCGCCCGGTTTCGCCCATGAAACGATCGTACAACTTTGGCTTTGACGATCCACCCCACCTGCTCGCCGAAAAACTCTTCCTCGCGAATCGAAAGATCGAGACGCTGTCTCGCAAACTCGCATCGCGACCATCGCTACCCGCCACCTCGATCGCTCAAGCTGAACTCATCTCGTCTCTGCAGCAACAGGTGAAGGAGCTGGAAATGGTGTGTGAAGCACAAGCCACCGATGCACCACCCAAGATCCGCGAAGACGTGGAACGCGAATTCGCTTCTGGAATGGCACAGCTGAGGTCGCAGATCGAGGAGAAGGATGAGTTCATCAAGGAGCTTCAGGAGGAAGGCGCGAGGCTGCGGAGGGTCAATGAGAAGTTGATGCAGTTGGCGCACAGGCAGACGCAGGACATGGTGGAGAACCTTTCGCCGACGAGGACCAGGTCGCCGTTGAATGCGAGCGATGTGGGCAATGCCGCTGTCAGAAGATTGGAGGGTGGAAAGAAGGCGAGGCCGATGAGTCTGTTCAACCCGCCCTCGGGGATGGTCGATTTCAGCAGCGCGTTAAAGGGCACCAACAGCATCCTGCAGGAAGAAGCTGCCAGCGGTGGTGCCAAGAGTGGAGCGCCAATCTTGGCAGGGTCGGCGGTCAAGAGAAGATCGATCAGCAACGACTATACGCTGTTGCAGCTGGGGACGGGCGAGATCGAGGAGGAGATCCTGCAAAAGTCGGCCAGGATTCCGGCCAGCGAGACTTTTGCCGTGTTTCCCAGCTAGGCCAGCGATCTGAAAGTAGAGTCCATAGGATAGCGTCTAGAGTTCAGCATGTCGATCAACGTGATCGTCAAATCTTTCGGCGGTCGTGAAACACATCTCTTGAAGTAGTCACAGTGTGTGTGTGTGTGTGTGTGTGTGTGTGTCGATTATTGAAGCACCTTGTCTGTCAAAATTTCTCCGCGCATTTTCCGACCTCCATTTTCCCAGATCCATTTTCCCTCAACAACTCCATCAAGGCACCAAACAACTTCGAGCCACCACCGTTGTCCGATACACCACCTTCACACTTTCGTCGTGTCAATGTACCAACTGCTTATAAGAAAAATTCTCTCCAGCTCGTTCGTCCAATCGCCGTCAAGATGAAACAAATACAATCTACGCTGAACTCGGAGGCTAGTCTCAACCCCCCACATCACCAAGAAAAAATGGAGCAAAAAATTTACTGACTAGTCTGGGGATCGAACCCAGGAATCCTGGTGTATGATAGGAGGGGTCGAACAAGATGTACATTTGCAACGTTGCAAATTGGTCAGGATCGCATATAGCCTAAAACCAGTGTGTTAACCACTTCACCAACCAGCCGGTATAGTTTCGGGCGCTGGACCGGGGTTGCGTACATAGACTGTTACATGAAAAGCTGAAACATGAAAAAAGGGCCTAGGCACCGCATCCGGCAGCCATTGCTCTGTAGCTTGATTTTCGGGAAATGCACGCGCCAAGCTCGGGCCGGCATGTGGTGCACTTTTCAACCTCCACTGCGGTTGGGATGGGGTCTAGACTCAGGACTACCATCATCTCCGCCGTCGCTGGTCAAAAGAAGGAAAGGGGCTAGACTTTTTGTTTCGCCCGCGCTCGGCGAAACAAACTCTTCGAGGTATTCTCCGATCCAGCACCAGCACGATTGGTCACCGAGACCCCGCACGGCGAGCACGCAACGACGAACGAGGACGGTCTAGCTCTTCCATCCTTTCTGCACTCCGCCGAGGAGCCGATCAAGGTCAGCGCCACACCTTGAAGCTTGCACACCATTGCATCCGTTCTGCTCTTGGTCGGCGTCCTCACGGTGCGCGGCCGTAGTGTACAACACTGGCTTTGGTGACCGCTCCCATCTCCGCAGCATTCACCTGACCAGCTTGCTCCGGATCGAGCTTTGATACCAAAGCAGACGTCGATCAACAGCGTGACCCAGGTTCTGAAGCTAGTCAGCTGGGCGTCGATCCCGGAAGACTTTGCCGTCGAGATCGCGGTACAATACACAACACTGGGCCTTACCAAACATCCGTTGCTTGGTGGTGTAGGAGGACCGTCAATCACCGCCAGCACTCTCATCGCAGCACTGGCAAAGCATACCAACACCGACACACAGTGAGCAACGACGCTGATTGCGCAGTCTGCTACAATGTATCACAGCCTCCTTGCAGCCTCCTTCTTTATCGCTGTCCTCATCCTGCTCTACCGGAACAGGCAGTTCTTCGTATCGCTCCTACCGGAATCGCTCGCCTCCCGCCTACCCTCCTCGCTGCAACCTTCGACCACCCACCTTCCACTGTCACACGGCCCCACAGACCCCCCCACCTCTCTCATCTCGCGTCTGCTGCACCCCTTCACCTCACGTTCTCACTACCTTCCTCTCTCAAGCGGCACCAGTTGGTCAGCAAATCTCTCCAACGGTCTCTCTTCCTCGCTCTTCGACATCACCGCCAACATCGACGCCTCGGATCCGCGTTCCGGCTTGGATCCGAGTGGAGCGCAGGACATTCAGACCATCATGGCGACGCAGAGGGTGACGTTCGACCAGGCGAGGCTGATCAGGCACAAGCAGATTCTGGTGCAGAACAACATCGATCCGAATACGGGTTTGCCGCTGGACAGGAAGGCGGTGACGAGTTTGGGCGGGACGAGGGGGTCGGCGGTGGGTGGGAGTAGGGGTTGAGAGGCTAATCGACGAGATATCCTGTTCGAAAGGACTTCTTGCTTGGGAATGTGCTGCTGTGATCTTTGTGATTTGAGGCAGAGGCTGGCGTGAGATCTGCGTGAAGCAATGAGCGAATTTCAAGAGGGTTCTGGAGAAGTTTGGATGTCGCCAAACGACACCATTCAGACTATTTCAAATTCTGCAGAGCGAACGTTTCACACCAAAGCAACGATGTATGGGAAGATCAAGGCAATTTTGCGAGAGACTGCGTAGAACGATACAAATACAATATCATGAAATCAGATGCCTTTGCTATTTACTGCTGGCTGGGCCCCGTCGTAGGCGAGGGCAGCAGGCTGGAAAAAGTGCTTCTCCTCCTGCACCACCCGTCTCCATCGAGATTCAAGGCGCCATCATCCTCCGCCTCGGAGCCCGTCACTGCCTCGGGCACATCAGCGTGCCTGAAGAACCTTGCGTCGACCTTTTCGTCCGCCGGCGAGGAAGTGCTTCTCACCAGGCCCGGTCGAGCCGGGCTGGTCTTTTGGAACGGATGCAGGTTGAAGATGGGCCCCTGCGGTTCTTGGTGAGGGGAAGGATCACGTCGTCGCGTCAGGTCGAGTAGCGCGATGTCGTCTTGCGATTCGCGTCGTGTGTAGAATCGGATCGGGAGGTATTCTCCGCCGGACTCCGAGGCGAGACTGTCGTGACGGTGGGAGATCGAGTAGCCGCGCGGGAAGGTGTCGGCGGGATCTTGGGCGTACGGATCGACACCTAGCCACGGCATGGATTCGTACCCGTCCGTGGAGGTGGCGGTCTCTGCGATTGAAGTCTCGCGAGAATGTCCTTGTGGGATCGTCGGCATCATACGAGTCGCTCCACCGGCGGAGAAGGATCCGTAGGTGGTGGAGGAAAGACCGACGCCCGAGGATCGTCTTCGACCCATCTGCCAGATGGATGCTGCGTCGGGAATCTGCCGCTTGCGAAGCGTTGTTGCACGTCCGAGCGAGGCAGTACCGAGCACATCTTTGTCGGCAGGCTGGGATCGCTCAGATGCTGGCTTGAGTTCGAATTGCGCCGGTTCTCCTCGCATGGAAGAACCCGTCGTAGAAGGCCGTTTTGACTTGGCTCTCGGCAGCGTCCCGAACTTTGCCTGACCTACGTTTCGAAGATCAGACGCATTCGGAGCACTCCTCGGCGGTCTACCCCCAACGGATGCCTGCCTACTCCCCGCTGCAGACATACCCACGCTCCACCCACTGTCGTTCCTCCCCAAAGGAAAGCCCGAATAGCTTGACTCAGCGTAATTCCTCCCCTTCGCATCATCGCTTGCGTCGACAAACATGTGCTCCAACCGCAAACCATTTTGCTGATGATTCGGACCCGATATTTTCGGCCAAGTCCCGCCCGTCGCTCCGCTTTTGCTGCTCGGGCTAGGCTGATGTTGACGAGGTCGATGCTCGATACTGGTCTGCCAGGAAGCACGATACTCTGCCGCCTCTAGCATCCTTTCCCATTCCGACTCGTTGGTCGTTTGCTGCTGCTGCTGCTGCTGCTGGGATGCTGCTTTCGAATGCAGACTATGATTGGAGTGAGAGTTGAACAGCGTCCGAACGGATTCTCTGCTGGAAGCGCTCTTCGGTCGTCGAACGTGGCTGCCCGACCCTCGACCCGATGGGAGGTCGGGCAGCGTCATTTCCGGCGATGTCGCCGGAGTCGATCTCGCACCGGTACTCTGCGTCGATGAGAAGGTGGAATGCATCGAAGACGCAGAGTGCGGTGGTGACAGCAACTCGGTATTCATCTCGCCGAACCTCGCCGCGAGCGTTTCGATTCGCTCCTCCGACTCCTTGCGACGAATACGCGGAAAGGTTCCATACCGCTGCGTGTGTTCGAGTGCCGGAGAAGGCGGTGCCGAAGGGGATTCTCTAGCGAAAGGAATGATCTTCATCAAGATCCTAGATCGTCTCTTGAACGATCCCGAGTTGCTTGCATTGCTTCGAACAGAGCCGTTGCTGCTTTCGTTGCGATGATCACCGTTGCCGCCGCCGCTCATGTTCGGGCCGGAAGCTTGGCCAACCAGCTCTGGACCTGACTGAGACATTTTCTGATTTGGCAGTGACAATAGAGCGGAGTCGAAAATTCCGACGTCAGCACGCCGCGATATTAAAGTTTATACTTTTTCAGCAGCCCATTTTTTAACTCACCCTGCACGTCTGTTCTCGTGAACCTGTGGTGTTGGTGCTGCCAAAAGTGTGATGGGTTCAGGAAGCGACAATGTCGACTTTTCCGATTCCATAGACTGTTTGGGATGCGAAACGAGGACCGAAGAACCGCGAGGTGGGATTCTCGAACTGTCGATACCAGGTGTGGAAGGCGGGGCCGAAGACTCTTCGTCTGAGGATGCTAGCAGCAGTTCACGGATGTCTTCTTCCGCTTCCGCTCGACTACCGTCGATCTGAGTATTGCTCTCGGGACCAGGGTAGACGAGAAGCGTGCTCCTCGAAAAGTGTGTCTGAGAGTAGTGAAGCTCGTCGAAGCGTGTCGAATCGGCGCAAGTGCTGACGGTCGACACAGCGGCGCTGGTCGCAGCTCTACGGAAACCGGGTCGTTGTGGGAAGCACGAGGCAATAGGTGAAGCTGGCAAGCTGCTCACACCACCAAGCTTGGGAAGGAAGCTGTTGGATCTGGATCGTGATGGCTTCAAAAAGTTGTTGGGAATAGCGAGGGTCGAGTTGCTAGATGAGCAAGCTTGTGTTGTAAAGTAGGCGTCGTCTTCGCTGCGACGTGTGGGTTTAGAAAGAGGCGCGGAGAGGACGGAGAGATGGGACATGATGGTCGAGAAGGAAGGAGAAAGGCTCAGTCTGGAGTTGTCGTAATAAAGTCGTGCCCGAGAGGGAAGCGGGTCAAGCCGATGTATGGACAGAGAGAGGGAAATTCCGGATTGAGCTCGACTGATCCCGGAGAGGACGCTGTGGCTTATATGGATTCCGAGCAGCGTGCTAGGCGAGACGCATCGCATGCAGTCTCGGCTCGAGAGAAGTTCCGAAGCAGGAACAGCGGACCACGCGGCTCGTCAGGAACACGTTGACACTCTTCGCCAGAAGGGGGCGGCTAGGAAAGGAAAAGTGGGGTCCGCATTGCTCGAGTAGCGTGACTGTACAGCAGAGGCAGTCGAAAATTTTGATGTGGCCGCCAACAAACAAGCCACATCCAGACTTTGCGGAAACGGGAATCGTATGACGATCTCCGCTCGCATCGAGGATCGAGACCTCCAGAATTGTGCGACGAGCAAGGGGTCCGGGAAAATGGAACTCAGCCTGTTTTACTGAACATGAAGCGGAGCAGGTACTCGCCGATGTGTGACCGAAGACATGACCATTGCGCTATCCAAATTTGTTTGTATCATGCGGATGGAAGGCGTCGAAGAGCTAGAGCATCGACGGACCGATGACGAAAATGCACACGCCGAATTCGGGTTGACAGGCCTGTGTTTTTTCTGGTCGGTGAGCTCTGAGTGTGATTCGTGTGGCCGATGTCAAAATGTCGGAGAAAGGAGCGGAGCTTCCGTCAACGAGCTCGGTGACCGCTCATCACGCTACTCTGCTCGGAGTCCGCACACAAATGCCAGAGCAGTCATTTCACTCGAAGAGTCCTGACGCGTTTCTTCCGAGCCAGCTTTGCACAGTAAGTCATTGGTGGATCAGGCATGTGCCCGGATCGAGCCATTGAGCATGCTGATCATCGGTCTTGCCAACCCCGCACTGGCACGACATTGCTTTCGGGTCTTCCGCTCGGTCTAGGTCTCGATGACCCGACAACAATAGAGCAGCCATCTACTACGCGGAGTTCGTGCAGTTGCAACGCAGGGATGGTCACTTCGAACCGCCGTGTCAACAACGGCGTCGTCATCACGGTACCAAACAACATGTTTCATAAAGGTCGAGAGAATGATATCTCATACCAGCCGTGAGCATCACACGCAGTACCTTAAGTTCAACGCTCAGAATTTGAGACATACTGGAATCGCGCACGTAAAGGAAGCTGCACGACCCGGGGTCCGCGAGCCCACGAGCACGAGTGACGCGCCGTATCGAGGGTGCTGTCCCTACGTCTCATCCGATCCTTTAGTGCCTCTTGTGGTCAGCACCAACTCGATCTCGTCTTAAGACTAACAGCTTGGCACACGAAGGTTCTCCTCTTGTCCAGAGATGTGCCTCACTAAAACCACATTACAAAAAGTGCCAGCGTGCGGCGACCAACGATTCTCGGCCGCCTTCCGTTCCGACCAGAGGCAGTCAGGTCTGGCCGAGACAGACCTGCATACATGCACGCCGCTATGAGTTGACCGTCGCTCGGAATCCACGACGATCGTGCAGACGTTCTGAGCGTGAATCAAGCGCGAAGCGTGAGAATGACATTTTTACCTGGACGGCGTGCCGAACGGTGGAAAAGCGTTTCAATGTCCCCAATGCGGAAGATGTTACAAGCGGACTGTCAAATTGCGCATGTCGCGAAAACAAGCGAGAAAATAAACATCGGTCAATTCGATGACACGCGAGCCAAACACATGGCTCAACTTAAATTTGCGTGCCTGGCCTAGAAGAACAATGAAGTCACGGACTTGTCTCCCTTTACGTTCCAGACATGTTGAGCTAAAAAGCCTTTCTCTTGCTATATTGCGGTTGAAGTGATATGGAGTGTGCTGACATGAATCCATACGTATCGTACTCTGCCTGCAAAAGTGATCTGGAAAGCGGTGAGCGCTCTGCAGCGCAGATCGTTTAATGATCATCGTTTATCTGCTTAGCCGCTCTTCGATCGTCTGGAAAAAAGGGAGGATCGACACTGCTCAGAAATGCTTCAATTGTATTTATTAATATTAATAATTCCATATTTGAACTCGCCGTACAGTTGCAACTTCAAATACCGAGATTGAGATACATTTTAAGCGATGTGTCCAAATCTGCACCCTAAACTCCGTTTTGGTTTCCCGCTCCGACTTTCTGTAGGCCTCCTGTAAACACCGTGACGTGACGAGAAATACTTCCCTATGCGGCCTTGTCTCTCCCATTTGTTGCAGCATCGGCCCTGGAAGAGTCTGGATCCTGCAGCCTCACTTGCCGAGCTTCTCGGGACCCTTGCCATGTGATGGACGGGCAACTGAGCCAACTCATTGTGAGCGTGATGATCTAGGCCCACCACGGCGAGCGGGACTTTCAGGGCTTTGATTGACCGCCGTCTCGCTAGGCTTTCGCTGTTCGCCGGATGCCCGTCTGAGCAATGTTCGGGATGGAGGGTCTCTGGTCCCTGGCTTTGACACCGATGTGATCGGTGCAGTGCAGCCTAGAGCCTTTCACTATCAATAGAACTCTCCCGGCACGAAGGAGCGATTGGCTCTCATCAGAAGCCAAGCAGATCCTATCATCTCTTCATCTGGTCAAGGTGACATAATCGGTCCGTCGACCGGAGAAGGCTTTGGTTGAAGGCACAACGTCTTTACATGGGCTAGACACGGGAACATGCGAAGTCGAGCCGGCCGATCTGTACGGCAAGTCTCGGAGAAGAGCACCGCATATCTGCGGAGCGATTGACGAGCCGAACGAAAACGATCGTCAGGCGACATGGGTGATGGTCGATCAGATTGACAGGTATGTCTCCTGACTCTTCTGCAGTCATGCGCCCAAAACGAGGCAACAGCAAATAAACCAGACCGTGGTGCGCTCATGTTTGGACATCCAGCCTCCACGTCAGGCGCGAGGACGTGCGTGCTCCTGTTTGTGCTCGTATCCCCCTGTCGTTGCCAGGTGCATTCACACTCCGTTGGGCAAGGTATCCACCTTGAAAACGATCCTCAAAATGCAGTCTTGTCCCTGTGCACCGCAGCTCTCCTCCTTCCGGCTTATATTTAGTCGCAATCTTCGGTCCGTATGTCTATTATGCTCCGCCATTGACACCAATTGTCCCGAAATCCGAGCTTTAGTTCATCAACACCCCGAAATCTAGGATCATGACCTCAATGATGTGAACCCGAGGCCTGAACAACGCAATTTAGTAGTCCCGCGATCGTTCATGTAAGCTCCCGTCTTTCGTGAGCTTCCGGTTTTTTTTTTCAAGTCTTTGTGTCAGCCTAGCGGCCGCCTTGACAATAAGTTCTTCTTTTGTGCTCATACCTGTCCGGATAAACGCATTCCTTGTCCGATCAAAATTGCATTCTTTGCAGCACTCTTGACATTTCCGACCACTTGGCACATCATCTCGACCATCTGCATTGAGCGGCGCCACCGAGCTCCTTTCCGCACTCTGAGATATCATTGTCAATTGTGAGTGGCTCACCGATCTCAACGGTAAATGTGTAAAGATCCGACCCCCGCCACTATTCCGGAATGCTTGAAACCAGTGAGGCGCTTTCGCATTTCCATTTTCGGCCTGGCGCCTCATGCCAAGATCTGTATTTTGGTTTTTTCAGGAACCACGATCTTGTCAGGTCAATGTCGTCGTGGGGCCGCCTCGAGCCGTAAATTCATTGTTTATTCCACTCGATACCGCTAGCGAGCTCCGTGATCGAGGTACGTACCGTCCAATTGGTTTCTTGTGGATCACATTGATCACTACGTCAAGCCACGATCTGCACATTACCCCGTCCTGATGCCAGCGTCACTTCGATGGCTTCATCCATTACGCAATCGAAATGGATCAAATGCGTTGATCAGCCTAACCGCATTCAACCAAACTTCTACCATATTGTGGCTTCGAAGGGTCTGAATGGAGCTCGCCGACCATGTCCAACATTCACATTGAACCAGATTCTCGGCTCAGGCCAAGCCGACCCTGCATCACCTGCATCGCTGTCGTGGGCTTGACCGATGCATTTGTCTGGGTGTTGCAGCGGATCGAACCCCTGTCTCGTATGCTCCTATCGCCGACGTGCAGATCAGCTTTTTTTGAACCAGACTTTCTTCTGATTTCGAATCGTCGTCCAGGTCCGGTCACGGAAAAGGCCAATGCACTGCTACAGGAACGTGCAGGACGTAAGCACGTTAGCGTAGCCCAGATAGCAGAGGCGCGTACTCCCGATGGCCTATTATTGGGTGGTGCCTAATTCCGAAGGAATCCCAACCCGTCGGACTTGAACAAACGCGTCAAAATTTGGTTACTTCGGGCGGCGCTCGCAACTGCTGTCAATCTCGATCGTCGGACACTCTGTCCACCTGTGCACATCGGCATGTCTCTTCCGGTATGCATCGCCTTACTGACGGGCCGTCCACATGGTCCATGTGTCCACCGTACAGAACTCCGTCAAAGAAAAGAAAGACCGTATAGTACGTTCGTGGTATAGTACGTTGACCGGTGGGTCAGCCTAAAGGGATGGCCCTGGGCCAATGATGTTCGAGCTAAATGAAGGTACTGCGCAAAGGCCCCAATTCCAGTCTACACCTTTCCTGATGCGTCAAGAGATGTGCAGGGACCACACCACATTTGAGAAGATCATCCGGGTCGCCTGACGCCTCTTACTTGCTTCGTCCCGGGTCCGGGAAGGAAAGGATTTCGTTACGGCTTGAGCTATGGTGTTGACAGCTGTCCTATGTTGGCACGATTTCTGCAACCGTTAGGATACAGAGCGGAACATAACGTATCAGTCGATCGAAGGACCATGAGGGCAGACCACAGCATGAGATTGCATCTAATCGTCACAATAGAGCGGATCTTGCACTTGTGTCTGCTTTTCATTGTCACGGCAGATCCGGCTTCGGTAGATTTCCGGATAGGTATCTTCCCGGAAGTTTTCGAAGCGAAAGCAAGCCAAGCCTAGTTTCTATGGTGCTGTTCGACTTCACCATCTTTGCCATCCAAAAGGCGTGCTTCGTCTGTTCCGCTGCGAGATGACGACGTTTCCTGTGCTCGTGAAGGATTGTCAACGTCAAACGGCCTCGCTAGCTCATGCTTGCTACAATGAAATGTACAGCAAGGTTTATGTTGAACGTATCGACTGTGGGTTCTCCGATGGTGGTGGATTTTTGATCCCACCTCATCCCGAGCTGGTCGCTGCACCGGTGCGTCACCAGTGTGGGACACCGGAAAGACGGTCCCGTCGGATGTATCGTGCCCTCTGAGACAGGAACAGATTCCAATTTTCAAGCAGGAGACAAGTTTCATGCAGGATAAACCTTCAGGGCCGATCTGAGCTCATCCGGAAGTCCTTTCAAGGTGGATAACGGAAACTCCACCATCGGACGTCTCCCCTCCCGAGGTGTCCATCAGCGAATCAATGTCGAGGGAGCACTTGCCGCCAACCGCTCCCGTAAATTGTTGAACCAATGTGGAATCCTCACATGTCCGTGCAAAACAGCGGTTGCATGTTTTCGATCGCACGATAGTCTGTTCGGTCGCTCTGCGGCTCAATATCGTTTTGGAGAGGCGAAGGGCCTCATCACTGAAACAGATTGGCAGTCTCGTCGCTCCAATACTCTTCGAACATTGCATTGGACTCGATGGCATCAGAATTGCTGCCTTCAGGCTGAGATCCCAGTCGCATTCCACGGATGTCAAGCGATGGCCCGAACTTCCTACCTGTGACGACGGAACGCCCCGGAGTCGGTGACACCAAATTTTTCACAGATACATTTCCAGAGCCCTAACATACGCTCAAAAATGAATTTTGGATGACAAGCATAACGGCGGCATAACATGGTTTTTCTGGTATGCTGGATGACGACATAGACCCCTTCTCAATATTGCGACGTCGGACAACGGCATGCGTGCGACACCGCCGCGGCGTCTCGTGCACTGCCTTCTGGCAGCACAGCAATGGCAGACAGGGCGCTTGAGCCAGCAACCGCGTCGTCCCAGTGAGGGTGTCTAAAGCGTCATAGAGGATGCCAAGTTCCACAGAGAGTCTCGGCAAGCCGCTTTGTGGTATGCGGAGAAGCGAGTCCGCCGTAGCGAACGACGAATGCTTTGGAGTCTTCGCTTAGACTTAGAGATCGCTGCTCGCTAAGTGCAGAGCCTCTTCGGTCGGCTAGCTCGGCGGCGCCACTTCCTCGGAAACCTAAGGCCGGATGATGATGCGGTCAGTATATAGACGACGATGTCTGGATGTAAGCATCTGCTCCCCATGCACAGTTTTTCTTCTCATCTTCATCCATCCACCAAGACCAAGCAGTCCAGCTCATTTTGTATCCACAATGCAGTTCACCAAGTCGACCGTCGCCGCTCAAGCTCTCGTCCTCGCAGTCCTCGTTGCGTGCGCTCAGGCTCAGAGTAAGTTGCTCATACTTACAGTCTGACCAACACAAATTGGCACAACGACGACTGACCCTTGACTATCCATCATCTCTCTTCTTCTGCGAACATTTTGCAACAGTCCTGAGCGACATCACTAGCGCTTTCGGCGATGTCACCTCGGGAGCGGGCGGTGTCTTCTCCACTGTTACTTCCGGAGCTGGCGGTGTCTTCTCCACCGTCACTTCAGGAGCTGGCGGCGCTTTTACCACTGTCACCTCGGGAGCCGGCGGCGCTTTCAGCACTGTCACCTCGGGAGCTGCCGGCGCTTTCAGCACTGCCACTTCGGGAGCAGGTAGCGTGGCCACAGGTGCCAGTTCGGGTGCAAGCAGCGCAGCCAGTGCCGCCTCGACCAGAGCAAGCAACGCCGCTGTCGGCCAGCTCGCTACCGGCCTGCCCATCAGCACGCTCGCTGCCACCTTCACCGTCTTGCTCGGCTCGGCCATTGCCGGCTCGCTTGTCCTATGATCTGCCACTGTGACGTTTTCGCTTCCATTCCATTAGAGTACATTTGCGGACACGCTTATACCTACACTGTTATTCCGTTGAAGCGGATGGAAATGCATCGATCAAGCAACCGACTACAAATGACTCGGCGGGATCATGAAGCAATTGGGCCCAAGACTGACTTGTATAGGAGGACGATGTGAGGCGTCCGTCGTGTGACGCAAATGAAAGGATCTAACAAATTTTCAAGCCGTTGCAAGATGCCACGACTTAACAACGTAAAATACGCGCTGTGGCTCGCGTCGCGAAGCTAGTCTCTGGCAGGCCGACGCGCAAATGGAGTGTTGGTTTTGTGTCTCCACACTCTAGACGTGGAGGGTTGCATCGAAACCGCGAGGTGCTGCCTCGAGAAATTTCGATTGTCGACCTGCGACAGCGAGAGCTGAGAGACGCGAGTTTGGGATTCTTGGAAGTTTGTCGGTGTCTCTCACTTTACAGGAAGGAATGGCAACGCGTTGAGCTGCTCAAGCTCAAGCAGCGCAGCAGCAAGTAGGCGAGCCTGCCACCAACCTCTTCGATCTTCTTCACACCCTCCTTCAGCTTCCTTCATCCGTCCCCAACTTTCACACGCCTGTCAATCGCCATCAGCCTCTGTCTGTCCTTTCCAACCGCCTTTCAAGGATCCGCTCGACCACCGCTCCGACAGACATCTTCCACCGTCGTCCGCCGCCTTCACACATCGCTCGGAAGCCAATAGAGGCTGTCTGCAGTTGACCATCATGTCGTCAAAGGCCAAGAAGCTCAACGCCCTGGCAGCCCTCAAGGCAAAGCGTGATGGCGTTCCACTGACCACGGTATGTTTCATCAGACTTATAGTCGACTAGTGGGCTCGACGTCCAAGATCTTTCACTCACCGATTCTCATCTTCGCCTCCTCCGCTGCTGCTTCGTACAGACGTCCAAGTTGGGCGACATGTCCGATGGAGACGACGCCATCTATGATGAGGTCTCCGAAGATGAATACCGTTCCATCCTTCGTGGGCGCATCATGGACGATGACTTTATCGAAGATGACGATGGGTCCGGATACGTAGATCACGGTCAGGACGAATGGGACGATCGTGCTCGTGCTGACGACGATCAGGACGACGACACAGAAGACGAGCAGGAATACTTTGAACGCACTGGCAAACGGAAACCCAAGAAGGGCACAAAAGCCCGTTCCAGAGTCAAAGGCCAGGATGCTTCGTCATCCGCGTATCAGAAGTCAAGCCTTTCTGCCGCCTTCAGCAAGCAGCGCAAGACGTCGAGCGGTGTTTTCAATGACCTGTCAGCGAGTCGTGCACGCGACGCCCAGCGAATGCGATCCGCCGCTCTCGACGCATATCGTCCCGCGGTGAGCAAGGAGAAGGAGGACGACTTTATGGCCAGCCTCATGGGCAACCTCGACGAGATGGGCGCACAGCCATCCTCATCTTCCCACGACCCGGCCAGCCCATCTCCCGCCAACCGCCTCTCCTCCATCTCCAAAAAGCGAAAGCAGCACGAAGAGAGCGCCTTCTCGCGCTTTCGCACATCGTCCTCCTCCCTCGGCACCAACAATGGCTTCACGAGCCCTTCTTCAGGCGCTCCCACCAGCGACTCGGCGCATCCATCCAGCGACAGCGCAGAGCCCAGGGTGCATGTCAGTGGAAGCGATACACCGCCTTGGGGTCCCAACCTTGGCTCAGATCCCGTCTTCGAACTCGACGACGAGCTCCCCGCTTCCAACAAGAAGCTTCGCGGTCCTAAGGGGCTTCCCAGTCGCATCGGTAGCCTCGGTCTAGGTGATGCGGACCAAGACATCTTCATCAGCCATCCGTCCAAGCGTGCCGCTGGGCTCAGCAACGATGCGCTCGCTTTCAGTGACGACGACAACGAGGATCTGGCCGTTCGGCGTGTCGAGGTCGGCTCGCTTCCTGCCAAAACCGTCGATGTCCGCGGTCAGGCTAGTCGTCCCAAGCCGACCCCAGCCACCGCAGCGACGCCGCGTCCCGCCAAGGTGGAAGACCTCAAGGTCGACAACAAGACACCATCCGCATCGTCTTCCTCGTCTACACCAAAGCCACCGCCCAAAGACGACAAGACCCCAGCTAGCAGAAGCAGCTGGCAAAAGGTCCATAACGATCTCATGAAGAACGTCGAGCCGGCCACGCCTACGCCTGCCGCCGCCAATGCTGCTGTCAAGGCTGCTGCCGGTACAGCAACACCGTCTGCCGGAAAAGTCAAGGCGTTTGAAGATGATAAATTGCTCTTCTTCTACTGGCTCGACTACCTCGAAGGCGAGAATGGCGTCGTTTACCTCGTAGGCAAAGTCAAGGACAAGTACTCTGGACGCTACGTCTCGTGCTGTCTCACCGTCAATGGCATCGAGCGATGCGTCTTCCTACTTCCTCGCAGCAGGCAGCTCGAGGATGGTCACGAGACCGATCGCGTCATCGGTGAGGACGAGATCTACGACGAATTTGAGGAGCTCTCTGCCAAGCACGGCATCAAGCGCTTCCTCTCCAAGTGGGTCACCCGCAAGTACGCTTTCGAGCAGGCCGGTGTGCCCGCCGAGTCCAACTACATGAAGATCCGCTACGGCTTCGACGAGCCGCAGCTGCCCTTCGACTTCAAAGGCAGAACGTTCAGCAAGGCGTTTGGCACAAACACATCGCCCTTTGAATTGTTGGTGGTCAAGCGACGCATCTTTGGTCCTAGCTGGCTCAAGATCTCGAACGCCAGCTTGGCCGAGGGCTCGACGCCCATCTCATGGTGTAAAATGGAGGTCTCGATCGACGATCCCAAGGACATCTCGCCCATCTCCGATGCCGACACCACCTCGCCACGCGAGACTCCACCTCTCACCGTCATGTCGATTGCCGCTCGAACGGTCGTCAACCACAAGGAGAACAAGCAAGAGCTCGTCGCCGTCAGTGCTCGCACTTGGACGGATCACCAGATCGAAGACCCTACGCCGCCCGAACAGCTTCCCTGCTCCGTGTTCACCGCTGTGCGTCCGCTCGGCAGCATGTTCCCACCCGGCTTCGAGGCCGAGGCGCGCAAAGGCAAGATCAAGATCCACACGCTCAAGTACGAGCGGATGCTGCTCAACGCGCTCCTCGCTCAGATCCACAACGCCGATCCGGATGTCATTGTCGGCCACGAGTTCAACGGCGTCTCGCTCGACGTGCTTCTGCACCGCATGAAGGATCTGCGTGCCGAGCATTGGTCGCGCGTCGGTCGCTTCCGTCGTCCAAAATGGCCCAAGCTCAAGCAAGGTATGAATCTCAAGATCCTCGCTGGTCGTCTCGTGTGCGATCTGGCTTCCGACAACGGCAAGTCGATGATCACCTCCACCACGTGGTCGCTCACGGAGATGTGCGGAACGCATCTCAAGATTCAACGCGAGGACATCGATCCCGAAGAGACAGCCTCGTTCTTCGACTCGCTCGCTCCATCGCCGGAGCGTCTGATGACCTTTGTACGCCACTGCGAGGTGGACACCTTCTTCCAGATGGCCATCGCCGCCAAGGTGCAGATCTTGCCTCTCACCAAGCAGCTCACCAATCTCGCCGGTAACAGCTGGAACAAGACGCTCAATGGAGGTCGTGCCGAACGCAACGAGTACATTCTGCTGCACGACTTCCACAGACAAAAGTACATTTGCCCGGACAAGATCTCGGCGTGGGAGAAGAAGCAGATCCAGCAGGCGGTGGAGCTCAAGGCCAAGGCTCGTGCCAAGGCTGCGGGTGGTGCAGCGGACTCGACGGCGGCGACGGCGGCAAACAGCAAGAAGGACAAATTCAAGGGCGGTCTCGTGTTCGAGCCCAAACGTGGATTGTGGGACAAGTACATCTTGGTCATGGACTTCAACTCGCTCTACCCGTCGATCATCCAGGAGTTCAACATCGACTTTACCACCGTCGAGCGTCCGCCCACCCAGGGTCTCGAAGATGAGGAGGTCGCCGCTACCGGGACCGCCACTGCTGCTGGTGGTGCCGACGGTGAGGCCAGCACAGACGCTGCCGCTGAAGTAGACAAGATTCCCGATGTCCCCTCGTCCGATGTCGAGCAAGGTGTGCTCCCTCGTATCATTGCGCAGCTCGTCGCGCGCCGTCGACAGGTCAAATCTCTGATGAAGGACAAACACGCCACCCCATCCCAGCTCATGCAGTGGAACATCAAGCAGCTCGCGCTCAAGCTCACCGCCAACTCGATGTACGGATGCCTGGGCTTTGAAAACTCGCGCTTCTACGCTCGACCTCTCGCAGCACTCACGACGTTCAAAGGACGAGAGATCCTCACCGCCACCAAGGATCTGGCAGAGTCGATGCTGCTCGACGTCATCTACGGTGACACGGACAGTGTGATGATCAACACCAACGCTACCGAGTATCGCGAGGCGCTTCGTATCGGACAGGAGTTCAAGAAGTCGGTCAACGAGCGATATCGATTGCTCGAGATTGACATCGACGGTGTCTTCGAACGAATGCTCTTGCTCCAGAAGAAGAAGTACGCCGCTGTCCTCGTAGACGAAGATGGTAAGCGGAGTACGGAGATCAAGGGTCTGGACATGAAGCGTCGCGAATACTCGGCGCTGTCCAAGAACGTGTCCAACTACGTGCTCGACCAGATCCTGTCCGGTCAAGCCACCGAGTTGGTCGTCGAACACATCCACGAGTACCTCTCCGACATGTCGACCAAGATCAAGACCGGCGAAGTGGCGCTCGATGATTTCATCATCTTCAAACGTCTCGGCAAGAATCCGGAGGACTATCCGGACGTCAAGTCGCAGCCGCACGTGCAGGTCGCGTTGCGCACGAAGGCGAGAGGTGGAAGTGCAAGGATGGGCGATGTGATCCCGTACATCTTCTGCCTGGGCGAGGATGGCAGTTCGAGCACCAAGACGGCTCAGGCGGAGCGGGCGCATCATCCGGACGAGTTGAGGAGGAAGGACGGCGAGCTCAAGATCGACTACGAGCACTATCTGGCGCTGCAGATCCTGCCGCCTGTGGAGAGGCTGTGCGAGAGCATCGAGGGTACGGACAGGTCGCGGTTGGCGGAATGTTTGGGATTAGATCCGAGCAAGTACTCTTCCGTCTCGCATTCCGCTTCTGGTGGAGGAGCGGCGGATCGAGAGTTTGCCACGCTCGATTCGCAGATCCCGGACGAGGTGCGATTCGCTCGATGCGAGCCACTCGAGCTCACCTGTCCCACGTGTCGCGAATCGTGCACCTTCCTGGGACCCGCCCACCGCGCTGCTGCCACCAAAGTGCTCGCCGATTCGACCAACACTCGACCGGAGCCACGCAACGCCATCTCCACCAAGGGAATCCGCTGCACCAACCCCGCGTGCCAGCGCATGCTTCCGCTCGCAACCATCGCGATCCAACTCGAACTCACCATCCGACAGTTCGTCGATCGGTACTATTCCGGTTGGACCGAGTGCTCCGATCCCAACTGCGGCTCTCGCACGCGGATGGCTAGCGTGTACGCCAAACGCTGCCTCGCCGTCCACGACACCAAGTCGGCGGCGCTTCTCGACGCTACGGCCAACAGCGGATCGAATCTCTCGTGCCGTGGTCGTGTGGAAGCAGTGTATCGGGACAAGCAGCTGTACGACCAGCTGATCTACCTGGAATCGCTGTTCGACACGTCGAGGATCAGAGAGAAAATCTCGGCGGGTGTGGGCGCTAACAAGGCATGGCAGGACGAAGTGTTGGCCATGCTGGATGTGAACAAGAGGGAGCTGGATACGCTGCACAAGACGGTGGACAAGTATCTGGCGAAGAACGGAAGGAGGTTCGTCAAGTTGGCGAGCTTGTTCAGGTTCATGAAGGTGTGAGAAGGGACGATTTAGTTTTTTGGTTTCTCATGGTTCCTCGTTTCTCAATGATAGAATTGCTGATTGCATCTCATTCTGTTTGTACGATCTTCACGGCCGTGAACGCAAGATTGAAGTGTGGTATGTGAGGGTCATGATCTGCGTTCATTCAAGAGCAACATCTATTGGGCAAAACAGTAGAGAAAGCGAAAGACGATAGAAATGGAACGGTCGGGTCAGCAAATTGTTTCTTCCGACGCCTTCGTCACGAGCATCGACCCTCTCTCCACCGTCCTCTCGTCCTCCAATCAATCTTCTTTGGCTAGTGCTATCGTCCGTATCCGGCAGTCTACCGGCTGCTGACGGTGAAAGACGACGCTTGACGCACTGCAGTCCGTTCCGCAAGACATCCTACGAATCAGTGTAACTATGACTAAAAAAAGTACTCTTGCTCCTCGCTCCCCAGAACATCCCGGAGGATGACGGACAGCTCTGAGATAATTGGGATAGATGTCATCCTTTGAGAGAGGAAATGTCTTGTTTGGAATCCAACGGGGCTTGCGGTGTTGCGCTCGATCTGACGAAGAGAGAGAGAGAGAGGGTTGGTCGCGAAAGGACCACACTTACGATTCGAGGGTTTCGTCTGCAGCCTTGACACCTCGTCCCAGTGTACTGGGGATGGAGGGGGCCAAGTTGAACCAAATCGCGGACAGAGCGAAGCGAAACGGACGATGGTCGATGAAGCTCGCTGGGACGAGGTGTCGAACGACTGCAGATGGTGGGAAAGTGACAGGATGTGTCGAAGGACGCGGATTGCAACATCTTTTGAACAGGAATTTTTGCTGCAACTGCGGTCGACTCGGTCTGGAAGAAATTCCCAAACCAGGCGAAAACACGGCTCATCGATCGGATCAATGTTGTCCCCGATCCTATCTGATCTGCCAGACCGGTCGGTCTCATCTTTTCTGCTCATCCATGAAAGTCACTGAACGTGTCGAAACCTGTGCTGGTCTTGGCTTGAACGGATCCCGATGTTTAGCATCGCCTCGGAAGACATCTCTGAAGAGTGGGTGAAGGCGGGAAACAGACTTCGAACACCCGATGCAGCATGAAAGCTTCACTTGTCGAGGTTATTCACGAGCCACGCGGATTGTTTTTCGTCACGCTCCGGACCGGCTGTCGTTTTGGACGGTGTGGATGGTCGGTTGTGACCCGCGTTATCGGAATCTTTTGGGAGATTATCACGCATGCAAAGCAGTAGAGAAAAATTCGACCGAATGGACTTTCTTCTGAATCGGCAAGGTGCTCTTAGCTAGAGTTCCGTTTCAGGGTTCTCTGTCTGTGCGGTCAGTGCCTCTTTGGAGACTGGCAACTTAATTTCTGACTCGGCGTTTCTCCGCCTCGTTCATCTCCCTCTTACTCTCTCACATCTTCGTCGTGCATCGTCCAACCTCGTTCCGTTTCCTTTCTCCTGTCCACATCCACCACCCTCTACTCGTCTCGCAACAATGTCACCACCTCCTTCAGGCGGAAAGCGCGAGTCCGCTCAGGCGCGACTCCTCGGCTCCGGTCTCTCCGGAATCGCCGAGCTGCTCGTCTTCCACCCCGTCGACACGGTCGCCAAGCGACTCATGTCCAACAAGGTCTCCGGCCTCTCCATGTCCCAGATCGTCTTCAAAGACAAAGCCGCTGCCAACGTCTCGACCAAATTCATCTCGCTCTTCCCCGGTCTCGGTTACGCTGCAGGCTACAAGGTCCTTCAGCGAATCTACAAGTTCGGAGGACAACCGTACTTCAACGACTACCTCACCTCGCATCACAAGAAGCAGTTCGACTCCATGTTCGGCGAACGAGCGGGTAAATCCATCATGTCGGCCACCGCCGGATCGCTCACGGGAATCGGAGAGATCGTGTTGCTCCCGCTGGACGTCTTGAAGATCAAGAGGCAGACCAACCCGGAAGCATTCCGATCCCGCGGTTTCCTCAAAATTCTCGCAGACGAAAACGTCAACCTCTATCGAGGTTGGGGCTGGACCGCAGCGCGTAACGCACCAGGATCCTTCGCTCTCTTCGGAGGGAGCGCCTTCACAAAGGAGTATGTGTTTGGCTTGAAGAACTACAACGAAGCTACTTGGACCCAGAACTTCTTCGCCTCCATCGGCGGTTCCGTAGCGAGTATCACCGTAGCCGCCCCATTGGACGTCGTCAAGACGCGAATCCAAAACGCCAACTTCGAAAGCAAGGTCGGAGGTGTCACCATCATCAAGGACATGATCAAGAACGAAGGGTTCGGAAGCTTCTTCAAGGGGTTGACCCCGAAGGTGTTGGTGGTGGGACCCAAGCTGGTCTTCTCGTTCACGATTGCTCAGAGCTTGATTCCTTTCTTCGGTAAGTACGTCTGATCTGGTAGGATTGGATAGAGGCGTAGATGTAGGTAGAACAAGGACAAGACGCACGAAAAGAGAGGACGCAGAGTACGATCGACACGAGACTCCTGCCAACCCTGTCCATCCACCAAAATCACACACAACCCAATTGTATATTTGTAGATCACGTTCCCACCGTTTCAGCTTCAGTGCCACTCGCAAGCAAATGTCAAACACACCATTCACACGCAAACGCACAGATCAGCCTTCGGATGGGTTCCGATTTCAGTCGATCGCAGGCAGCAACGCACCGTTCACAGCTCGAGATGCTCCTCCACAGGCGGCGGCGGCGGCGGCCTTGTCCGTTTGGCTCCCTCGTCCTGCTCCTTTTCCTTGCCTTGTCTCTGCTTCGCATCGTAAAACCGTTTCACGCGCTCCGACAGGCTGTCCCCCACCTTTTCCATCCGCAGTGCCGGCTGTTGTTGCTGCTGCTGCGTTTGCTTTCCCTCCCTCCCATCCTTTCTCGCATTCGCCGAATCACCAGTTATAGCCGACATCAGTTTGCTGTATAGCTTCGCCATGTCGTCCGGCGTCTGCATTTTCCCACTTTTCTCCTTACTCTCCACCGTCTTATCATCGTCTTCCTTCGAACGAGCAGAAGTCGGGTACGCATCAGTCTGCTTCTGCAGCTGCTTGTTGAACATCTCCGAAATCTTGTCGGCCAGCTTCTGTTCCAGCCTCCCACCTTGATCTTCACGTATTACCGACAGAAGATCCTCGTCATCCAGGTGGATCTCTATCGGCTGGTCGTCCATGCTCTCTGCAAGCGGTTGGTCGTGGTCGTCGTCATCGCTGCGTTTCTTGCCACCATCACGGCGTCTGGTCTCCTTGGTGTCCTCCGGTACTTGATCGCTTACTTGTTGGACGACCAGCTTGCCATCCTCGTCCAATCCGATCTCGACCATGATCTCGGTTTCGTCTTCTTCATGATGATGGTGGTGGTGCGGGTCATCGTGATCGTGGTGATGGTGGTGATGATGGTCGTGGTCATGATGCAAATGCTGGTACATGGCACCTGGACCGCCGAGAGCTTCGTCGTAGTAGTCATCGTGCACCGAGCCGAATCGGGAAGGATCGCCATACGTGTGCGAGTTCGTCACTGGCTCCTCCGCTCCGTCGACATCGCCGGCTGTCTCCGCTTTCCCATCCACCTTATCATACGTCGTTGATCCCGCACCACCATCGATTTCTGACAGCGTTGGCTGCTGCAACTCTTCCGGATCCGCAACCGTCGGCCCTTTGTAGGCATCTCCCACCACCTGATGGCACTGAATCGGCAACGGCGCCTCCTCCTTCTCGCTCCCAAACGCGGCATCTGCGCAGAGTCTCGGGGTCTCGATGATCAACACGTAGTTGCAAATGGTGGTCTCCTTGAACATGACGATCCTGTCCTCCGACGGCTTACGATTCGAACAGTGAAACTGCACTTCAACGCTCCTGGGTTGGTGATTCATGTCGCACATGGTGCCGTTCGTCCACCTTTGCGTCAGATACCGATGTCGCTGCGACTCGTTGCCTCCCGCACCGGCTGCGTTGTTCGCTTTTTCTACCGCCTTGTTGCTCTGCGAATCTTGAAATTGCGAGAGAGCTTTCGCTTCTGCCGCGAACAGCTCTTCTTCATCCCAGTCGCCGAACTGTACTTGCTCTACCAGATCTAGACCGGCTGAGTTGATGACGGACGACATGTCCCGATTCGATGACACCGCGACACCCGTAGCAGCATCTTGTTGCGGCGAATCGCTGCTGATAGGCTGCTGCTGACGTCGTTGATGACTTTGATCGTCGCCGACAATGTCCTCGTTCTGCGGAGTCCAACGACCCAAGATGAAGGCTGGGTACTCTGGATCTGCAATAGGATGTTGAATGCTGTTCACCTTTTCCGCAGCTTCGAGAGCTGCCTTCTTGCCGGCGTCACCCCCACCTGCGGCTTTGAAGGCTTTGTGTGCAGCAGTCTGGGGGCCCAATCGCCTGAACTGGCGGATCTCGCGTCCGTGGCAGAAGCTGTAGGTGAACCAGTCGGTCGTATGATACAGACAGACCTTTTTGAGGGGATCGAGCAACACCTGCGCATTTCGTATAAGGTCCTGTCGTGTGCGTAGAGAGTTGGCGAAAGTTGATGCATGACGGCTCGAGGCGCGACGATCTGCTGGTGTAGAGGTAAAGTCAGGTACGGAGCACAGCTGAAACGCGTCCGACGAGCTACGTTGGAGCGTCCAGAAGAGCGTCCTCAAGGGTTCAGCGTGCTGACTGCCGGATCTGTAGCCCATGCCATCTGGCAAAGCTAAGGAGGAAAGGTCTGTGGACTGTGGAGGCTTGGCATGCGGCGAGCTGGACGAAGAAGACGAGGCGGAAGCCTCCTGCTGCTCCAAGATCCGGATCGCATCGGCGCGCTTTACAGGCAGTGTGCTACCGAGTCCGCCAGCGCGACCGTAGTTGACTTGGAAAGCGGGCCTGGCAAAGACGTCCTGAGGGAAGCCGGCAGATGTCGAGATGGCAGCATCCGAGCCATGTGCTTGAAGGTAGAGCAGCCCAAGCAGAAAGACGATGGATTTTGCGCTGACCGGTGATGTCGACAGCATGACGGATGATTGTCGGCGTGCTACGTCATGAGCAGCGGATTGAAAGCGGATGGTGTTTGGACAGTGCTGGAGTGTTCAAGATGGTGCTTTGTGCTGTAACAATGATGCACAGCTCTAGCCTGTTGAGCGTGCAGGTCCAAGCGTTGCGTGAGCTGGAAGGTTGCAGCGCCAAAGGGTCCAATCTCCATGGTCTGCCCCTGTATCGCACGGAAACACTGCGCAGCACAGTGTGGACATTTCGAGATTTGGCGGACATGTGGAGTTTTTGGCAGGAGCAACAAACAGGCATTGGAGCAGCAGTCTGTCTCGATGCGTCGCGACTCAGCGCACTGGGCAATCGAGAATGGAAATTGGCAACAACTCGACTCGACTCGCACTTGTCTCTCTTTGGCTCGGCTGTGCATCTTGTGTCGCGAGTCTCGACTCAACGTTGACCATCACCTCTCATTGCTGATTGCCTCGTGAACACATCCATCACGACGGCACCCTCGTCATTCGCTCATTCCGCATCTACATACTCAACGTCGCGGTGAGGTACAAGATACGCACACACGGCCGGCATAATCGACAGCCCTGCCATCTGCACCCTCTCCATCCGTATCGATTCCAATCGACTTGAGCGCAAGCTGCTTGCCGACACTTCAGCCATCTCGGCTTGCAATATACTCGTGCACATCACGGCTGCTTGCCCAAGATGAGCACAGGGCACAACGATGACATGAATCCTTTCCAGATTCCCGATGACGAGGGTGGCGCTTCCAAAACATCCGCAGCGAATCAAGCCTCAGCTGCATCATCACATTCGTCGTTGCACGACAGCGCGGCAGACGATGCCCGTGTTCAGGAAGACGACGACGACCAAGGCTGGGCCGGCTCTTCCTCCCGTGCACAGATGAACGCTGCGCCGGATGCCACTCCGAATCCAGACGCTTCTACCCCTTCTTCCGCTCAGCGTGCAACGTTTGCTTCACCACCTTCCATCATCGAGATTGTGGATGCCCAAAAGTCGGGCGACGGCGGCTCGTCCTTCATCGTCTATGTCATTCGAAACGGAACGTCCGAGGCCAAGAGGCGATACTCGGAATTCGAGGCGTTACGCGAAGCGCTCATTCGACTGCATCCCACCATCATCATCGCTCCCATCCCTTCCAAGCATACATTGAGCGACTATGCAGCGAAGCAGAGCAAAGCCAAAGAGGATGCCACCATCATCGCTCGTCGCAAGCGTATGCTCCAGAGCTTCCTGCGTCGATGCGACAACCATCCAAAGCTTCGAGGCGACGAGGTGCTCCAAAAGTTCCTCGATGGGCGATATCACTGGAACGAAATCACCGCTTCACCTCCGCTTGTGCACCTTCCAAAGAACAACCTGCGAGCACCCGTACAGAACCCTGCCGATCCACATGCCAGTCCAGCGTATGCACACCTCCCGTTGCCGTCGTCGGTCTCGTCGCTGCGACACCCGAATCAGCGCTTCATCGACTCGGAGGCTTTCACCAATCGATTCGCCAATCACCTTTCTGGAAGTATGGAAAAGGTCAATCGTCGGCTCATGCGACGCTGGACAGAGGCTTCCACCGACTATGCCGAGCTTGGCGCCATTCTCAACGGATTTTCCTTGACGGAATCCGGGCAGCTTGCCACGGCCATCGAGCGCACGGGTCAGGCTGCCGATGCTGCCTACATTGCCACGGGTCAGATGCTCAAGCAGTGGGAGGAGAAATTCACCGAGCCTCTTCACGAGTACACGCAGTTTGCCGCGATACTGCAGAAGCTTCTCAAGTGGCGTCATCTCAAGAACCTGCAGTACGAGCTGGCGCAGGATGCGCTCGAAGCTAAAAAGACGCAGCTCGAGGAGCTCGAGAGGGTGGAGAATGAGGCGAAGCGGTTGGAGGAGGCGTTGGAACGTGGCGGGGCTGGGTTGGTGGGCAGTGGTGGACGTGTGACGGGTGGTGGCATCGACGCCAATGGTATACGTGATGGGGTGGGCTCGGGCTTCCGTCCTTCTGCCTCTGTGTACGGACGAGCAAGTGGGGAGGAAGCTGGCTCTGCTGCCAATGGTGGAGCGAAAAGCAGCGGTGGTGGTAGTGCCAATGACAGCACGGATGCTGCGGCTGCATCTGCTTCTGAAGCCAACGGATCTCAGAGCGCACGATCTCGAGCGACATCACCACCCTCGTCACCATCCAAACGATCCTCCTCCCGATCTACGGGCTACGGTCTCTTGGGCGCAATCACACACACGTTCCAAAGCGTCATGGACGTCGATCGTGACGCATCACGACGAAGCAACATCTCGAAACTTCGCGAAGAGATCTCGCTCTTGGAAGAAGGTCTTTCTCTTACCTCGAACGATCTGCACTACGCTACGGTGGCCATTCAGGCTGATCTGGATCGGTTCCAGAGGCAGAAGGTGAGCGATTTCAAGGAGATGATGTTGGACTTTGCCAAGATGCACAGGGAGTTTGCACAGACGAATCTGGATAATTGGAGGGAGGCGAAGCGGGAGATTGATGCGGTGGAGAGGCCGGCGGGTATGCCGGAGAGCAGTTTGGCAAGGAGAGATGGGGCAAGTACGCCGGTTAGGAGGTCGTAGAGGAAACGGGGACAATGTGAGTTATGCGACGTGAAAGTGGTGTGTGGTGTGACAGAGTGTGTGCAGTGGCGATTGAGCGCGGTCAGAGACGCACGCACGTTCCTGGAAAGTGCGACCAGGAAAGCAGGAAAGCGGACCGGAGATTGAACTTGCAAGTGAGGAGGGGGAGGGGTCCCGTCGGATGGGTTCTTGTATGCTTAAGCGAGGACGAGCACGGGAAAAGATCATTGTGGCGCGGGTCTTCGACGGATGGCAGCAACATCCTGGCCCCGGCAGCACAGAGGAAGGATGGGCAAGGGAAAAATGAGGCAGAACGTGAGCGATGCCTCAGAAGAACAGCAGCCGAACGTGTGAATAAAAAAAAAAGAGGAAAAGAACAACGCAGCACAGCACTCCCTCGCTTTAGAGGACGGTACAAAAAAAACAACCCTGTTCGGTCGCTTAACCTTGTCTTGCGGTTAGCGAGCGGAAGGGCGGTTATGGTTTCATTCGCCGCTGTAGAGGCGTTGGTTTTTCTAGATCCCGCTGCAGGTTCGGTTGGAACGGATGTCTCGCAGGTGATTGGCGAATGGGCGGATACGGGTGCTTTTTCGGAGTGGTACGATATTGTTGGTACGGGAGGAGGAAGTCCGATGGATTGGGGGACGCACTGAGACGGCTCGCCACCGTCCAACTGGTTCTCAGTTGTTCTCTTGTCGGTCCCGTTGTCCGTGTTCTTGGTTCAAGATCTTCGACCGTTAGTGTTGAGGATATATACCTGTGACGCATTGCCGGTTGTATTGGCCCTACTTGTTTCCGAATCCCATCCTTCTCTCCTCTCATAGATCGGACCCCTTGGTCTCCTGCTCCATCCTTACCGGCGTGGTTCGCGAGCCCAATCCTGCTCCCACCATGCGTTGCTGCACCACCTGGATTTCGATCATCATGCTCACTGTGACCCTCGCTTCCGGCTTCGGCACCGCTACTGCCGCCCCGCTCTCCTCCGGCGCTGCTGCCTGCTCCACGCTCTCCACAAACTCCTCGATCACCGTCCTCACCCCAACCTCCGATCCCTCCTCCTACTCTTCCGCCAAAACATCCGGCTTCAACCCGCTCAACAACAAGCTCTCTCCATCATGCATCGTTCGACCAAGCACCACCGCCGACGTCTCCACCATCATGAAGGCGATCTTCACCAGCAACTCGCCGTACGCGGTTCGATCTGGTGGACACACCGGTATGGCCGGCTGGGATAGCGTAGAGGGAGGAGTACTGATCGATTTCTCCAAGATGACAGGGTTTGCGTTCGATGCGGGGGCGAGTACGGTGAGTGTGGAACCCGGGTTGAGGTGGGGAGAGGTGTACAATCTTTCGGCCGTGCATGGCGTGGCACCGATGGGCGGGAGGGTGTCGCACGTGGGGACGGGGCTGATCTTGGGTGGTGGATTGAGTCTGCTCTCGCCACTCTACGGCTATGCGTGCGATGGGTTGGTCGAGGCTGAAATCGTCTCCCCGGAAGGAAATGTTCTGACGGTCAACAAGGATACCAACCCTACCCTCCTCAGAGCCATCAAGGGCGGAGGGGGAAGGTTCGGCATCGTCACCAAGTACACACTTCGAGCCTTCCCAACCGGCACCAACGACGAAAAAAACTGGTACGGCGGAAGCATCACCTCCCTCGACCCTCCCGGGATGGATGCCATGGTCTCGCTCACCGAGAAATTCGTCGCCACACCGGACGACCCCAAAGCCACCCTCCTTAGCAACGTTGGGTTGCTCAAGATTCAAGGGGTGCCCACGTGGCTCGGTTCGACCTTCCTGTTCTACAAGGGAACCAAGGAAGAGTTCGACTCTGTTTTCCGCGACTTCCTCGCGATTCCTGCGGCGATCGTCGACGTGAAACCGTTGAGCTACCTGGAAGCGGCTGCGACGACGCCGTTGGGATGGACGTCTACGCAAGCGTACAAGTGGATGGGTGGTTCGCTGTATCCCAACGCATCGCTGACCGCTCGACCTCTTCCCTCCGTCGTCCCGGCGATCCCGATCGTCAACGCCGACGCCCCTTCGACCTACCTCGCGCTCTGGAACAACCTCAAACCGTTCCTCGCCAAACACGCCGATGTAATCGGTTCCGCCTTCTTCTCCATCACCCCCGTCCGAACCAACCAGATCGAACAGGGCTACCTCGCCGGTTCCAACGCCATCTCCCCCCCGCGTGGAAGGAGCTACATGCACTGGCTCTTCTCGACGATCCTCGAGGAAAACACGGATAGCTTCCCCGAGGATCTGGAGAAGGACAGGTTGAAGTTGATCAGCGACAATCCGAGCGATAAGGGATTGCCGCTGTTCTTGAACGAGGTGGATGTATCGCAGGATGCATTCAAGACGTATGGGTGGTATGAGGAGCTGAAGCAGGAGTACAAGAGGTTCGATCCGAGTGGATTTAGTGTGAAGCATCAGCAAGGACCGAAGTTTTGAGCGATGGCAAGGGCGCGACTCGCTGGTGCTGTTATCTTGGTTTGCAATGGAATGGAATGGGTTGCTTGCAATGAGTCTATGATGTTTGCCCTTTGTGTGCGGTGCTGGCGTGTGGTAAAGTGAAAGAGATGCAATCCGTTGAGTGGTCATGGCGATGAGGGTTTATGCCACGGATTTTCATATGCCTGCTGTCGAGATCGCGGATCGAACGAGTGCCAGAAAGGCTTCTTCGGAACCTCGATCTGATTCCGTCGCCCGTGCTGAACGATGCAAAGTGTAAGCGCCGCGGATGATGTCCTTGATCGCCGCTTCCTGTGCTGTCGTCGGTACCTGAGATCCACCTGCTACGTGCAGATCCAACATTGAATTCGGCACATCACCTTCTCTTGCAGCTTCGTCGACATCGCGCCCCTGGTCCCCTTCATCGGAAAACCCACCCCAAAAGTCGTTAGCATCGTTGATGTACTCTGCTCCACCTTCCTCTTCCTCCTGCGGCTTACGAGACTGTCGATGCATCCGATTGCAGCCTTCTGTACGACGATGCAGCTGGACCACCAAGTTCCGATGCTCTGCACCGTCCAATGCGAACAAATTCGCCAACTTCCACTCGCCATCGTCCCCCTCCGTCAGCATCATCCACAATACCGGCTCTTCGGGCGCTCCCCTCACTCCTGGAACTTGGAGCCAAATCGCGTCCTGCGGCTTATTGTGCCACGTTTCGGAGCACCACACATCGTACTCGCTCAAGTTGATCGGATCCACGTCTGCATTCGCGGCGTCGTGTCGTGCCTTTGATCGCAAAGCGAAGAAGTACCGTGCCGTCGCAGCCACGTCGAGGCATTGGATGGAAAACTCGAAAGGAGGACGCGACAGTCTGGATACGAAGTTTTGCTGTGATGCAGTGACTTCACCATCGGAGGACGGGTCGAGCGAGTGAGAGAATTCGATGTCGTATGCGTGGGGCGTTGTGGAGGGTAGACCCAACATACGTTGCCGCATGAGTAGATCCGATGACAGTTGGGACGGTGTCAGGGCGGAAGGTTCTAGCAGGAGCAACGTAGTCAGAAGCGGACGGATCGACGGCCCTCCATGGCCCGAACTCAAATGCATGATATCTTCCATCGTCGGGTCTGTCGTGTGATGCGAAGATGATGATGGTCAAACGTCAAGAAGAAGCGTTGCGCTGAAATTGACCGCGCTGATTGACGCTCAATTCGCCGATTCTCAAACATGGACCCTGAAAACCCCGTTTCGCCGTGCATCAACGGAGAAGCTCAGTCATTCTCACACTCTTTCTCTCTCCATTCACACCATCATACACCGACATGACCTCTTCCTCAACCCGCCTATCGTCCACATGACATCTTCTGTCCCGTCCGTGGGGACCTCTCGAATCACTCGCACCCGCAAATCGCCACCCGCCTCACTGCCGGACCACTTTTCACGCAAAGGCTACCTCTCCGTCTCCGATCTCGTCGGTCCCTCCTGGTGCGAGTACAACTATCAATATGGGATCCTGTCCCTTTCGCACCTGCCGCCGTCACTCCGACCGTCTACCATCACGACAGAATCAGGCGCAACACTCGCTGCAGCACCTCAGCTAGTAGCTCAGAAGGAGACGACGTTGAATGCGGGCAAGGCGATCCACACCGTGCTCGAACGAGAAGTCGCCCCCGTTCAGGTGGTAGTGGAGACCGAAAGCCGGGAAGATGCGTGGGCGTTGAGATTGATGAACCTCTGGTGTGATGTTGTAGCATTGACAAGATTGAAGGCTGGAAAGGGAAGCGGGAAGGGGAAGGAGAGCTGTGTGAGGGAGATCCCGGTATATGGGTGGATTCAGGGTGTGATGGTGATGGGTGTGATTGACGAGATCACCAAACGGACAATCGAAGCAGGCTCCTCGAATAGGGAGAAGGGAAAAACATGGTCTAGTCAGGAAGAATGGAAGAAGGAGCAGCTCCGCAAGTCCTCCACTTCCAGCCCGAAGAAATCCAAGCAAGCAAATGGCTCAACGACGAAACCCCTCACTGCCTTCTTTGGCAGCTCCCAACCATCGCAGCCAGACCCGCCACCGCAACCGCAAGAACACGGTTGGGGCTACTTTCTCTCCGACACCAAAACCAGGATCTCCTCTTGGCTGCCAGCGGAAGAAGACCAGTTCAGCGCGCGAATGCAGTGCATGACCTACAAACGCCTCTTCGACGGCCTACTCCTCGGCGCCCTCCTCTCCTCCCCTTCATCCACCCTCGACAGCAAGACACTCTCCTTCGATCCGAACACAACACCGATGGACTGGACAGAAACATTCGCGTCGCTCGACTTGGACCCGGACCAACCACTGTCGGATGTGTTCTTGAGGGATGCTATGCCGGTGTGCGAGAGTTGGGGTGTCGAGCTGGATGGATGGGTGAGGCGGAGGGGGGCGGATGTGTGTACGTTGGATCATGTGAGGTTGTTGCTGGAGGAGGGGTTGAGGATGTTGGTCGAGGATGCCGGGAGAGGAAAGGTTGGGAAGGGGGAGGCTATGGTGATACAGGATCGGTTGGCGCTGACCTACAGACGGCAGGCAAGTCGTGGCAAAAGGGGAAAACGAAAGAAGGGATCGGGAACACGTCGATCAGCGCGCATCGCAGCCGAGTCGACGACGGACACAAGTACAGCAAAGCAGACTACTCTCGACGAGCAGCTGGCGATTGCCAAAGATGACAGCACAGAAGATCGCGCTGTTGAGCTGCCAACGGAGGAAGAGCAGATCTCCGTCGATGACTCTCAACCCCTTCAAAATCATGACAATCCACCCGGTCCAACCACAGACACGGAAAAGAAGTCCCTCGACGCCCTCGACGGCCGCAACGACGCCCAACACGCGATCCAGGAAACCTTCTCCTCCCCTCCGCTATCCCTCACGCCCTCGCGCAACCGTACCCACCGCCCCTCCCCCACCCCTTCCCCACCCGCTTCCCCCACTCCACCTTCTTCACCCAGCATCATCGGCATCGTCTCCTTCGCGCACACCCCTTCCACGCTCGACGCCTACCTCCGTCGCATGATATCCATGTGGAAGGGCGAGCGATCGCTGATCGGCGTGCGCGCGGATCAGACTCGACGATGCTGGACGTGCGAGTGGTTGGATGGGTGTGAATGGAGGAACGAGCAGGCGCAACGTGCGGCTGGAAATCGCAAAGAAAAGAGCGAGCAGGCTGAGGCCAAGGTCAGCGTTGCAGTGGAGAAAGATCCGGAGGATGCGGAGGGGGAGGAGTTCTGGGAGAACGTCGATTACGATTCCATCGAGGTTCGTGATGCTACTGGGAAACTGGTTGATTGGTAGTCACATGTCAGGGATCGCACGCTTGTTCGTTGTATCAATGTATTTTGTCATTCCGAGTCGAGTGTCGAAACGTCGGCTGGTGAGAGTCATCGGTGTGCACCTCGAGGCAGGGATCACCTCTTCGACCGTGCGTGCCTACTTGGACGAGATGACCGGTTTTGCAGGGTCCCAAGGTCCCTTGATCTCCATCTTCCAGCTCTGCGCCCTGACGATCCACCACGGGCAGACTACGCTCACGAACGCGACCACCAGATGTACCCACACCACGACGATCCCCACCCACCCGCTCTCACCCTCTTTCTCGACGATGAATTTGAACAGCATCGCTGTAGCCATCGTCATCGCGTACGCCGAGACGAACGGTATACACTCCCATCTCTTTTTCTCCCATCTCTTTTTCTCTGCACCTCTCTCCGCCGCTGCGGATGAGGGTCTTGTCGAGGGGGCGAATAGCACGGTTGCTAGGGCGAGAAGGGTGAATGTCTCGCTGTCGGTGTTCAGCCTGGACGCCAGAACTACGCTTGCCGACATGGCGGCGTTGAACGAGAGGGTATCGCTCAAGCCACTCGCCTCTTTTTGCGCCTGAGGTTTGACCGAGGAAGAGTAGTCGGCTAGCGTGAGGTGAAGGAAGAAGAGAACAACGCTCAAGGCCCAGATGCTGTCCGAAGTGGTGGATTCGGTGAGCGTTCGAAGCACCGGTGATACAGCGAGCAGCACGACGGCTATGATGATCTTGCTGATCACTTTCTTGCCCCTCCTCTCGTCTCTTTGTTTGGGCTGAGTAGAATCGGTGGAAAAAACGACAGTGTGGACAAGGATGTAGAGCGCCATCGCTGCGCCGCCGAGGAGCAACACGAGTTCGGCATCTACGGTCCCCAAATGCAGGTGGACGAACCAGAGCGTGAACAGGATCACGTGCAGGAATCGTGTTGAGATGCGTAGCGAGGCGAGCATGAGCTGCGTGAGCGAGGGCAGGATGACCTGGGAGTTGGTTCGGAGGTCGGATAGGAAGGTAGGAGGCACAAAGTTGTCGGCAAACGGCTGTTTGCGCCACAGCACCTTTTCAAATTGCACCTCTTTGCCGGCGGAGGCTGTGGTCCCAGCTTCAACAGGTCGAGCTGAATGCGTCATCTTCGTAGAGGACCACTTTCGATGTGTAGGGAACAGAGAGCAACTCGTTTCTGTTGCTCAGCGTCCACCTCCAGATATCCCGAGCTTACCACCACGTTTGCGTGCGAATACCACTTTATCCTGATCCTTGCCTGCCTTTGCGTTCTTCTTGGCCTTCTTGTTCGGCGATGATGAATCGCCCTCTCGCTTTTTCTCGTCCTTCTTGCCCTTGATCGAGCCTGGTTTCACAAATCCTTTCGGATTTTCTAGCTCCTCGTCGCTGTCTTCAGATTCCTCAAAGTCCGGTTCCTGGCCGTGCTCCTCTTTGGTGCCTCTTGCACGCTTCTTCGAATCCTGTTTGCCTTCCCGTTCCTCGTCTTCGTCCTTCTGTTTCCCCAGCTTTCCGAACGTCTGTCTTGCACTTTGATTCTTCCCTTCACCACTCGTAGGCTGTTTTTCCCTCTCGATCAACCAAGCGTCAAATCCAGCCTCTTGCGAGATGCTCACACCCTTGGCTTCCGCCTTTTGCGATTGTCCCCTTGCCTTCGCTCTCAACTTCGCTATCGCAGCTGGACTCAACGACCACTGCTCTTCCTCTGCTCCGAAAGACGGCGATCCAGGGATGAGCGTCGACGATGATGGGCCGGGTGTGGATAGTGGTGACGCGGGTGATGCTGGTTGTGAAGATTTGACGGGTGTATTGGCGGCAGATGAGGGCGATGATGACGGCGAGGCGCGTTGCATGAACTTGAGCGCACTGACGCGCCCACTGAGCGATGTCACTGTGGCCGATCGACCTGGTGGTGCCGACATGGAGCAGTGAGGTGTTGTTCAGAGAGAATGCCGGAGGGCTAAGGTGGGCGTGATGATGGTGTGAAAAGGAGATGAAGCAGCAGAGACGGCCAAGAATTGTGGAGAGAAACTTTTTTCTGGCCTATGAGAATGGCCGATGCAGAAAGAAGGACAATTTTGAAGATATTGCCAAACAAAAAAAAGGGCTTGAAATTGCGGATATGATATGCTAAGCCCTCTACAGACCCTCATCGCTATCACCAACGAAATCTTGGTTTTCACCCGGATCAGCTCTGCGAACTCTCGTCGGATTCACCAGCGACAGTGTCCTCTGTGACGGCGGTACATCCTGCAGATCATCCGAGCTCGGACCAGTGATGCCTCCCGAGCCGCTGCTACTCGGCAATCCCGATCTGATGCTCGTACTCGACGATGGCGAAGAAGGTGTCTCCAGAAGCATGCTCTGCGATCTCTGAGAAGCTCTTTGCAGCATCGGATCGAGACCAACCACAGGTCTTCTACCGCCACCGCGTGCGTTGGCTGCAGAGGGAGCAGCGAGTAGCGAACGGTATTTGTGCCGCTCCTCTCGCAATGCTTGTTGCGCCGCCTCGTATTTGCGTTGTAGTTGGTGGAATTCCGGTGAGGGCCTGCTGTCGACTTTGCGGCTTGAGGCTGAATGAACTGCATTGCTCGAGGCAATGTCTGTCTTGGCGAGCAGTATGATGTTGGTACTGCGGTCCAGAGCTGACTTGTCGGTCAGGCGTCTCAACTTGAGTGTGACTGGGTCCTGTTCAACGTCGATATACAGTACAACCGATGTCCATGTTTTGCTATCTAGCGATGCAGACTTCTTGACACCGACCATTATGCTTTGCCGACTGAACGCGCTGTTGACCTTGTCTGCAAAGAGCTGGCATTCGACGTGCGTTAGCTCTTCATAATCGCCGCCGGTCCCCTTGACATCCGCCCGAATCATTGTGCAGAGTGCTGAACCCTGAATCTCGACGCTCCACCATGCATCCTTACAGCCGACAGTTACAATGAGGATGCCATGCAGTGTATCACTCTTGTGCTTCTCTGAAGATGATGCGTTCGATCCATTCCTTTCGGCCTTGCCATCGACGGTGTACTCGAGCGCCACGACGTACTTTCGGAGCGTCGACTGTTGTGTATCGATGACGGTGTGGAGGCCGTCAAGCTCGCGAAGCACGCCATCCATCTTGCATCCTGTCCTACGTCGAGTGTCGACCAGATGCGAAAGTTGTCGGGGCGGCACTTGTTTTGAAGCTATGAGTGTGAGAAAGCAGGAAGAGGAGGGTTGAGAACCCGCAAAATGAATGTATTGGACCCTGCATATCGCGAGCGGCACCGTCAGATCCGATTTCCGAGCCTCCCCTCCCGAAAAGCTATCATGGTCTTCACCTTCCGATCATTCTCATTCAAAACGCAAGCTCGTTGAAACATTCGCACAGCAATCACACAGTCAAAGATCTGGAATACGGAATCCATAGTTGACGATCTTGACGATCTCTTTGATCTTCCCTGCACATAGACCCCTAATCTCAGTAAGCGTATTCAAAGTACGGATTCTGACCATCGGTCCAATCCTCCAAGATCGCTCTCTTCTTGACCTCGTCCACCTCTTCCTTAGTCTTGGCCTCTCTCTCCCTAGCTGCCCTCCTCGTTCTATTTTGCCACCACAGTCCCGCGTCCAACACCAAAGTCAGCACGACCGTGATGGCCATACACGTGATGATGGCAACAAACGTCCGCCTGTAGTGAATCGGAGCTTCCGAAGCCAACGTGAGGTATGGAGCGATGATATTGCCCACATTGTACCCGGCAAATACGAACGCCGATGTGATCGACTGCTTCGTAGAACCTGCGATGTTGGCCGTACTCAGCGAAAGCATCAGCACGAAGGGAGCGCCAAAGATGGGTAGCAGGTAGTAACCCGCCAGTGGGATCGCGCGGTTCGACCAGTCGCCCTTCCAGATCATCGCTGCGCCTGCAATCACGGGCAAGCATGTGAGGATGAGCAGCACGGATCGCGAGTTGCGCACTTTGAGCACGACGACGGTGGAAATGTAGATCGAGACCGCAGTGGTCGCTCCACCGGGTGTTTGGAGGATGATGGAGCGGAGCGAGGTGTAGCCGAAGGATCTGATGATGTAGGCACCAAAGGCGGTGACGCCTCCGTTGCAGATGTAGATGCTGGTGGCTTGCAGGAAGAAGATGTAGAGCTTGTAGTCGAGGAGTGCCTCCTTGATCTGGGCTACGTTCCACCGCTCGCGAATGCCAGAGGTGGCGGCGGACACGTTGAGCGATGCAAGCTTGTCTTTGAGACCGGCGGTGGGAAGGGCCGTAGGAGGAATGTCCTCTGAGGTTTGAGTCTTGGGTGGCGTGGCGGCATGCTCGTCAAGGGACGCCTCCTTGTGATCGGCGCTCGAGCTCGCGCGGAGGGTAGAAACGTCGTCCTCGTTCAATTCGCCCGTGACGTTGGATCGCAATCGGCCCGCTGCAACACTCTTCTCTTCTGGCGAGAAGCGATTGTACCCGGGAATCCTGACCAGAGCATCTCCCGTCGGCGCCGAAGGCAACAGCAACAGCATCACCACCCCAAACACGATGGTAAGCGAACCAGCAAACAGGAACATGTACTTCCACGCAGCCAGCTTTGCTCCTGCTCTACTCCCCGCTTTTCCCAATCCATAGTTGACCAATCCCGAAAAGATGGAGAACAGCCCCGTCGCCGAGTACCAAATGCCCAACCTCAACGGCTGCTCCGACCTCTTGTACCAGGACCTGGTGATGAGCACGAATCCAGGACTGACAGCGCTCTCGATCGCGCCCAAAAAGAATCGTTGCGCGATCAATCCCCGCCAGCTCGCAATCGCCGGAGTGAGGATCACGATGATACCCCAGAGCACGATGGCGCATCCGAGAAAGACATTGACTCGGAAACGCTGTACGAGCAACGCCATGGGAAGCGCCGCAACGAGGTAGCCCCAGTAGAAAGCGGAGGTGGCGGTCGAGTATCGTTCGAGCGACGTCTTTGGTGGAGTGCCTGGGTGAACTACGGAGAGCTCGAGGTCTTTGAGAATTCCGAAGATGGATGCGGACGCGAGGATGGCCTTGTCGTAGAACTGAAGACCGTAGGCGATGGTCATGAGTGGCATGAGGAGCAAGTCGATCTTCCAGAGCAGACGGCGCTCCGATACGGCCGCGACCGACGGAGCTGCTGTCGTAGACACCATCGCGAATGACCACGAGAAGGAAGGATGTTGGACGTCGATCGGAGGAGGCAAGTGATGGACAAGGAAGCGAAGAGGGCCGGGTGAGGACCTTTTGTGCAAATTACGAGTTTTATCTCGCCACGAGGGCGATCTTCAGAGTATAGCGGCAAGAAGGGTCTTCTGATTGATTTTAAAGTGAGCGGAAACAGGCGGGGATGCCGCTAATGGATTTGACAGCCGCATTATCTCCCATAGATCTGCTTTATGCGAAGACGACGGCCATCTGCAAATCAGTGTGCGGCAACCCCGCTGTTCCTGCAGACCGAGTCACAGCGCCCCAAATTTTCATCGCAGCAAGCCTCTGTTTCTTCAACCTGACCGACGATCACAAAGTGTTCTGATGCTTCCTGAAGGAAGATCGGAGCGAGAGGCCAACCACGTTGGATCAGCATGCAACGGACCGGCCTTTACTCCTCTGCCACAAGGCGAATCGATTGCGGCGGCATCGTCGATTTCGACTTGAGAAGAAAGGAGTAGCGAAAGTCAATTTCAAATTGACTTCTACCTCTTTTTTCTCTCTCCACTTGTGCACGACGATAGTCTGACACCTCTGCCTAAATGTTCTTCGTGTGGAGGAGAAGCAGCCATTTACGTGCCTGTGCCTCGAGTCAGCCGAGCAAGGGTCGTTCGGTTACCCGACGTTGTTGACCTCGCATTCTATCCGCCGGACGACGTTAGCATCTGCACCACTGCAACCAGCAACGGGCCTGTAAGGCGTCATGGTCGTGTCAATACCGCTTAGTCTCCCTAGGAGGGTTCTTGCGGCTGCGAACGAGCTCCGCGTCGGTGTCCACGACAAGGCGCTTCTGTCGATCAGACCAGGTGTTCCGAACCTGTCACAAACTCGACCGTTGCAGACCCGGTCACCGATAGCATCCCGCCGACTTCCTCATCAGGCCACAAGCACATCGACCCTTCGACACGCCAGGACATTCGCAACGGGCCTCACCGCTCGAGCTGCAGAGAAGCGACCTGAGAACTCTCTTCGGCCTACGCTCTCCGACCTACCCGACAAAGTCGATGTCTCCGTCGGTCCAGCTGGACGACTCTCCAAAGTGATCCCCGCTCGCAGTGGGTCCAAGATCACGACCCGCGTCGGCAGCAGCTATGCCGGCACCCACACTTTTTCATGGATGTCACCACCCTCCAACGTGCTCATTGTCAAGAAAGCTCGCGATCATCGCGCTACCAAAGCAATGTCTCGCATCATCAAACACATCCGCTCCGCTTACCCAACCCTCAACATCATCCTCGAACGTCAAGTCATCGATTCCAACGATGGCGATCTCGCAACTTCTCACCCGGAGCTCATCTCTGCTGATCCGGACGACAAGAGTCTGTTGGCGCAAAAGACGGATTTCGTCATCACCCTGGGCGGAGATGGCTCTATCCTCCACGTTTCCAGTCTGTTCGATAGGGATGCTGTACCACCCGTGTTGAGCTTCTCCATGGGTACACTTGGCTTCCTGTTGCCGTACGACATCAGTGGGTACAAGCAGGCGGTGGAGGATATGGTTCAGGGCAACGTCAGCTTGCTGCTGAGGATGAGGTTGAGGCAGACGAGTCACCGCGAGGATGGCGAGACCTTCTGTCAGGTTCAAGATCAGAGGCAGGAGGGCGGATGTTACGATGTGCATCTCATGAACGAGGTGACGCTTCATCGAGGCAGAGAACCGCACATGACAAAGATCGACGCGTACGTCGACGGTCAGCATCTGACGCAGGCGATCTCGGATGGGTTGATCATAGCTACTCCCACGGGATCGACGGCATATTCGCTCTCGGCTGGTGGGCCCATTGTGCATCCGAGCGTGCAGAGTCTGGTGCTAACACCCATCTGTCCGCGTTCACTGAGCTTCCGTACGGTGCTGCTGCCGAGCGACTCGGTGATCCAGCTCAAGGTAGGTCCTGCTCCGCCGCCCCTTTCCTCACGATGACGATCATTCACTGACCTTCTTCTCTCACGCCGTGCTGTCGTAGATCTCGGACGACTCTCGCTCACCAGCAGAACTCACCGTCGACGGTCGAGTATCCAAACTGCTCCAGCCAGGCGAATACCTCCAAGTGTCAATGAGCCCTTTCCCCATCCCCTGCGTCAGTCGCAAATGGTCCGACCCACGACCTCCACCTCCTTCCCTCACCAGCTCGTCTTCCAGCAGTGAAGTTGTGGGTCCAGGTGAAAAGTACTCGGATCGAGGCGAAGACGATTGGGTACGAGACATCAACACTTTGCTCAAGTTCAATGCCAGTTTCGGTGGTAGAGGTACGCTCAGCGGCAATGGTGGGTTTGAAGAGGACGAAGATTAGAGCGGAGTAGAAGCACGATTAATGTAACAAGACGAGGATGCTCTTGATCCAGTCAGCGTGTAATGTGGAAATGATGCATGAGGAGCGAAGCAAGAGTGTTGGTTGGGGCCGAAAAGCGCCGAGCGTGGGCGAAAAGTGGAGCCCGAAAACTCGGAAGCAGGAAGATGCCAAAAATTAAGGTCCGTGTTCCTTCGTGCACCATCTTGATGGTCCTTCTGCTCAACCATCATCTCTCATACCCTACACAGCTTCGTCGTTATCAGCGTACTTAACGGAGATGCCAGCGAAAGGTACGCTACTTCTTGCGACGCTGTTGTTAGAGCTGACGATCACTGACACGCTACCACTTCTGCTGCATCCCTTTCCCTGCCCTCAGGAGGCGGAAACGCCAAGAAGGAATCCGGTCGAGCCAAAAAGGCGGCCAACGAGGACAAGAAGGCGGCTGCTGCCGCTGCATCTGCCGAAGCCGCCGAAGCAGCGCGCTGGGAAGATCCCGTCGGTGGACGTGGCAAGACAGCCGCTGAGAAGAAAGCCGAGAAAGCAGCCGAAGCCGCCCGCAAAGCCGAAGAGAAACGTCAGCTGGAAGCCGAAGACGATGCCGCCACCCCCACTGCTCCCGTTAAATCCGCCAACAAGGGCAAGGGAGCGCCCAAGAAGTCGGCGCTCAAATCAGGCGGTGCCACCGGTCTCGATTCCACCCCGTCCTTCTCCGCCTCGAACCTCGATGACGCCCTCGACGCCATGTCGCTCGTCAACGAGCGCTCCGACAGCGCCAGCAAGGGCTCCGCCGCAGCCGGCATCGAACGTCATCCCGAGCGAAGATTCAAAGCCGCCTTCGAGGCGTACAAGGAGAGGGAGCTGCCGAGGATCAAGGAGGATCACAAAGGGTTGCGTCTGCAGCAGTACCACGATCTGCTGTACAAGCAGTTCCAGAAGCACCCGGACAATCCTTTCAACCAGATGAGCGTAGCGTACGACGCGACTAAGGAGGAAAAGATGGCGGCGTTGGAGAGCAAAAGGAGTGAGAAGGAGAAGAGGTTGCGCGATGCGTAGGAAAGAGGTTTTATCGATGGGCACAGCCGCCATAAGAGCAAACACATTCAACGGTAAAACATCAAGGGAAACGTTTGTGTGAGTGAGAGAAAAATAGCTTGTGACATCGGTAGGTGTATGTGGAAAATCGTAGCTACAACACCCTGAACAAGTAAGAGCATAGCACGCTGTAAGAGGTGTGTATTGAGGCGGCTCTCTCTGTTGCGAGTCATGGTGGATGATCTGGAAAAGTGGAGGCTTGGAACGGCGAAGAATGAAAAAATGTGGCAGCAGCACAGAACAGTCTCTCTCAGCTTTCCTTCGCGAGACAAGCTTTGAATCACGTCACGGCGGCAAAGAGGCAGTTGAACCGGAAAATACACTCTCTGAACACGGCATACGCACCGGCCAACGCAACACATCTCATACTCTCCTCATCTCCATCGCTTCTTCTCGTCCCACCACCACGGCTTTGTGCTCAACACCCTTTGCTACTCGCTTGTCCATCATGTCGGCTCGATCACTCGCCCGCGCAGTACGACCGCTTCGTCTGCCCCGTGTGGCAGCGACGCTCCCTCACCATCCCATCGCTGCATTCCACCCGATCCCCCTCCGCACATCGACCCCCCAAACCTCCTCCCTTTCCCTCCGCACATTCTCCACCACCCTCTCCCACCTCTCCAAAGACACATCATGGTCTTCCAAAGGCCCGCTGAAGTACACCGAACTCAAACCCGAAACATCCTCCCCCTCCGGCAACATCACCATCATCGACGTCCGCGAACCCAACGAGGTCGCCCAAGGCATCATCCCCTCTGCCGTCAACGTACCCCTCTCCCAATTCCAAAAGGCCTTCTCCGGTGACGGCGGTGACTTCCTCCGTGAATTCGCTTTCCAACGCCCCGCGTACGACGACAAGATCGTCTTCTACTGCAGAAGCGGAAAGAGGAGCCAACAGGCCTTGGAGTTCGCCAACAAGAACGGCTGGTGGAACACGAGGAACTACGAGGGAAGCTGGTTGGATTGGGTTCAGCAGGAGGAGGCCAGAGGACAGCAGAGCAAGATCAAGGAGGACGACGATTGAGGAACGTGTGGATGTTGTTGCGGTGGATGAGGCGTGATTTCACGGACGAAGGCTTTTGTCATGCCATCGTATCTCTTCAGCCTTCGTGTCTGCTGCTGTCCGCAATACTCAAAAGATGTTTTCACCTCCCTTCCAACAACTCTGAATGTTGCAAACGCGTACTGGTATTACATCCACTTTTCCCATCTTTACACCATCATGCCTTCCTCCCCTCTCCTCGCTGGCTCTTTTCACGCAGCAGTAGCCATCTCCCTCGCCTGCTGCCTCACTCTCCTCTCGTACGCCGTCAAGTCCTTCTGGAACATGGTGAACGCCTCGCTCTGAGCCGGGTCGCTGGGGTTGGGATCGTTGAGCAGATCCTGAATGCCCAACAAGATCTGCTTGATGGTGATGGCGGGCTTCCAGCCTTTGTCCTCGTCCAAGATGCTGAGACAGACGGTGCCGGAGGGGAAGACGTTGGGGTGAAAGAGCGGTGGTGTGAACTTGCACTTGGGTGGTTTGCTCGGGTATTCTTCTGGGAAGATCATTTTGAGTTTGTAGAGGCCACCTTCCCACATTGTCTGAACGTAGCGAAATGGGAACGAGGTGCGGAAGAGAGATCCAGCGTCAGCGTGTGTCTGCGTCAGCGGGTGAAGCGAGCAAGCAAGATAAAGCACAAGGACTGAGCACTTACATTCGGCTTGCCGGGAATGCCGACTTCCCAGTTCATGAGATCAAGCGATCCATCTGCCGTCTTTGCCGGTCGTGCATAGAAGCCCTGTGCAAGTGAGACCGAGAGAGTGGAGGAGAGGGTCAGTAGCTGACGGAAGAGCATAGCTATAGCAATGTTGATCGAGTTGAGCTTACGAATGGATGATCCTTGCGCCATTGCTTGCGCTCTTCGGCTAGACGGTTCCTGCAGATGCCTGACATGTTTGCGAGCCGGATCGAAGCTGATGACTTTGGGTGACTTTGCGGTTGCGAGGCGAAGGAGCCTCTAGTGAGCTTGCTTATAGTGTAGCAAGAAGCAATGTGCGGTTGATGATGATAATGCGGACGATGGATGTTCAACAGGGGGAGGGGGAGCAGCGGTATGCAGTCGAGCGATGATCGTGCAGCCTGTCGCTCTGCGGTGTTAGAGGGTCGATCTGCGGAAACGACTGAGTACAATGCAGCGGATGAGGTGATGATGGTGGAGCAAAGGAAAGGGGAAAGAGACACGATGCGGAGAGGTGAGGACAAAGCTATCGCAAGAGGCTGTTTGTGGAGAGAGCGAGCAAAAGCAACACCTCCGATTCCGCACTCGAAAGCTCAGCCCGATTTAGCCAGACTAACACATCATCCGAGAAGATCTTCACGTGATTATTCTTGGGGCTGTCACTCTGGAAGCGACCTAACACTATGGGATTTTCCCGACAGGCACACTCCAATACAGACGACCCAACTCGCAAATACAAATGAAGCCTGGCACGTTGTTTGCACACAAGGAGCCGTGTGAATACAAACACTCAGCGGCGCGGCATACCGAATCCAGCTCTGTCTGCTCTGCCGGCTACGTAACCACTCTCGACTACTTTGTGTGCATCTGAAAGCTTATTTTTAGGCTGAATAGCTCAACGGAAACAGCGACGGCAGCTCAGCGGTCGTAAACGCGTCAGACGCTTCCCGATGGGCCTACGCCCTTGCTGCCGCCGATGCTTTGTCGCCTCGCCGCTCGCAAGAGACAGGCCAAAAGGTGAGCGAGGACAAGGCAAGCCGAGCACGTTGGGGCTGGTGAGAGAGACCTCGCGCCTACCAGACCGTTGACTGCAGCCATCCCTTCTGGTTGCAAGATTGTCGTCCATCTTGTCCCGCTCTGAGAGGATAAGGGTACGTTCTGATTCCACAAGGAGAGTCAATTTCGAGTGGCTCCCCGCCAGATTGCAGCATCATTCTGCGGCAAGTGTGTAGCAGCAGTCAGAGAGATTGGCAGACCCGTGAGCTCATTTCAAGACAGCTGGCTGGGAGATTGACTGGGCAGGCAATCAGTACTCCACTCTGTGTGCAACCGTCTCTTCCTGCTCTCCTGCCCAATTTTCGGGAAACGCATCATCCACCAAAGACGCGTACAAACCGACTGCGCTCCGCTGCCTTGTTTTTTTGGGGCTTTGTTGTGCATCCTCCAAGTCCGGATTTCGACGCATCGACCCTCCTCGTCGCTCGTCGTCGCTTTCGCCTGTCAATCATCGAGACATCCTTCCTTCTATCTTCATCTTCTCTCATTGCAAACTCTCGCTAGCTGGATCCACTCCGCATTCATCGAGTCCGCACTATCTCGCTCAGCAGTCATAGGCGTCGCGACCTGCTTCAGCCATCTTTGTTGCTCGCCAACCCACGCGTACCTTTTCATCCGATAGCGACTACCTCTTTATCAGCCTAACCAGCACTCTTTCCCACACTCGATAATCTAGGATTGTCTCGACCTTGTGGTAGGATCTTGCGTCTAGATCGACACTCTATCACTGCCCGTCGTCGTCGAACTTGTTCGTCACCGACCCCACCTCCACTTTTCTCCCGCTCAGCCTCTTACCTCTTGTCGCTCGATCCCGCCCTCTCGCTATCACACAAGAAGCAAGTTCTGCGTACAACTCGGTAATCTGCACTCCTCTCTTCCTCCTTGCAACTTGGTCGGTCGTGATTCCCGCGCGCCGCATCTTGTGCGTTCCTCGCACCTCCCATGGCAACGGTCGTCCCTCGCGCAAAGAAGCAGAGGACAATACCCGACGAGCTTATCGGCTTGGCTCCCCTATCACTTCAAGGCATCGATCCGAACGATCACAACAGTATGCTCGCGCATCAACAACATCCCATACCTCCATCACATCAACAACAACCACAGCCATACCCATATACGAACACCCACCACCCACCCGCATCCTCCTCCACCATGTCTGCGGCGAGCGGCAGCAAACCCGCGAGGCCCGCACCTGGCTTTCAAAGGGTCAGCGAAGTCATCGGCGGCAAGGTAAGTTCCCTCGACAATGTTCTCGCATCTGTGCACACCACTCAAAGAGCTTATCGCTAACTCATTTGCTCCCTCCTTCTTCCGCTGATATGTCATGCAGGTACACGAAGTATTTGTGATCGACGACGACACACCGCCACCTTCCAACCCGCTCAGCGTACAGTCCGCACGCGATCCGCACATGGTCAACAACTACGCTCACGTCAACGGCCACGCGGCAGCAGGCGCTCCCTACTCGTCCACTTTGCATGGCTACGCTTCTGGCTCGGCTGCTGATCCGCGTTACGATGCCAACGTGCGCCTCGCCACGGGCAAACGCAAGGCGCAGGATAATGGAGCCAATGCACGCCTCTCGAGTGGCGGGCATCTCAACATGTTGCCGCACGATGCCGATTTGATCGCTCCCGCACCACATACCGGATTGCACGGCATGCCAGGCGATGTTCCGGTCCAGAAGCGGCGCAAGAGGAGTCATCCGGTCAAGCCGGAGGATGGGCTTGCGACAGGCGGCGTGTACGATCCTCACGATGCTGCAACGGCGGCGGCAGCGCATCTGGTCGCATCGGGCGCAGCGGGTTTGGTGCCCGCAAAACGGCATGCTCCGGAAATGGCACAAGCAAGAGTACAACCCAACTACCGAGGAGGCTATCCAGCAGGCGCCGGGGCGCTCGACTACGCGGCACGGTACGATCCAGCGACTGCCAATGCCGCGTTTGCACACGCGCCACCGTCCGGGTACGAGGGAACCGCGAGCACACGCGACTCGTACGCCAGCTCTGCATCCTACGTTGCCGCAGCTGCAGCCAACACCGGCCCCGTCGACGACGACCAGGGACACTTTATCGTCAACCAAGGCGACTACGTCACGAGTCGGTACAAGATCCTGCGCTTGCTGGGGCAAGGCACGTTTGGCAAAGTGGTCGAGTGCTACGACAAGAGGCTGCGCAAGTACGTGGCGATCAAGATCATCCGCGCGGTGCAAAAGTACCGCGATGCGAGTCAGATCGAGATCCGAGTGCTGCGTACGCTTCGCGAAAACGATCCGGGCAACGACAACAAGTGCATCCACCTGCTGGAGACGTTCAACTTCAAGAACCACGTATGCATCGTCTCGGAGCTGCTGGGTAAGAGCGTGTTCGATTTCCTCAAGGAGAACAAGTTTCAGCCATTCCCACCGCTGCACATCTGGCAGTTTTCCAAGCAGCTCATGCAGAGCGTGGCGTTCCTGCATCGGCTGAATCTGGTGCATACGGATCTCAAGCCGGAAAACATTCTACTGGTTAGCAGCGAACATACGGTGCAAGCGACATCTCGGAGGCAGAATGCAAAGCGGAAGCATGTTCTGCACAACACCGAGATTCGACTGATCGACTTTGGATCTGCGACGTTCAACGACGAGTTTCACTCGTCGGTCGTTTCGACGCGCCACTACCGAGCACCGGAGATCATCCTGTCGATGGGCTGGTCGTTCCCGTGCGACGTGTGGTCCATCGGCTGCATCCTCGTTGAATTCTTCACCGGCGACGCCCTCTTTCAAACGCACGACAACCTCGAACACCTCGCCATGATGGAAGCAGTGCTCGGCAAGATGCCCGACGACTACAGGAGGAAAGCGGAAACGTACAAGCCCGAGTACTTTAAACACGGAGCACTGAAGTATCCGGTGGCGGAGACGAGCAAGGACAGTAGGAAGTACGTGAGGCAGATGAAGAAGCTGCAGGATCTGATCGCGTCGCCGGCGGCGAGTCAGGCGCAGTACTCGAGGCACAACATGCGGTTCTTGGATCTGCTGAGGAAGCTACTGGAGTTCGATGCGGGGAAGCGGATCAAGGTGGCGGATGCGTTGAAGCATCCTTACTTCCAGTTGGATCCAGAGAAGGATTTCCCGCCTGTATGAGTGGGGTACATCGTAGACGAGTGGTAGTTGCTTGGAAGGTGACGCGGGAAGATCAAGGTTGAGGCAGGAACTACGCATAGCAGCGCTTAAACCATGTTTGGCCTCTTGAACACAATCCCCATCACTCCGTCAAGGTGAAGGCCTCACGCAATACCACGATGCGCAGTAGCATCACATACATGCCCCCAAACTTTAAACGTCTTTCTTTGCGTGATGAAGTGTCGTGCTGTTCCTGTGAGAGTCGCTCTATCTGCTGTCCCGACAATTGAACTCGAAGCGTGATAAAAGTGGAGAGAAAGGAGAGAGCCGTGCACAAGGCGGGGGGATTGTGCGGAAAAAGTGCTTGCATGCGTGTGTTGCATTCTTGCGGGTAACCTTGCGTTGCTGGGCCTGGCATTTTGCGAGTGCCACGCGTGCAGGCGGCATTGAGAGAGAACAACACTTTTTTTTTTGGATCTTGCTATCCTGGACGTTGACCTCTGACTCTCACACCTCTCTCCAGCCCGACCTTGAAAGACTCTCGCCGCAGCAGCAGCAGCCTCATTGCGGCTGTGTATATCGAATGCGCAGTCGTCATTTCTAGAGGATCCCGCGCTCGACAGCGGTACTATCCGACCCCTTACCCGAAACCTGATCCCAGCCCTCCCGCAAGTTCCGCAATCAACGAGGTCTGGTATCGATGGATCCAGCATTCTCGCTAGCTGACGAGCTAGCTGACCTTCACACGCATCACGACGATCTCAATGCGCACCTCTCATCTGACGAATTGGCGTTTCATCCGCATCACGCGCAGTATGCATCCGGATCGACTTTAAGCGACGAATTCGCGACGTTGGATGGTGGAGCTGCAGAGTTCGGATCATTAGATGCCGAGCTGGAGGGGCTGCATCTCCATGGGCATGGTCAGGATCTTGCCTCTGAGCTAGGTTCTGGTGGCTACCCCGTGGATGATGAGCGAGATGAACATGCTGCAGAGCAGGAAAGTGTAGCAAGTGCGGGGATGTCGAGGCACACATCCGGGCATACAAGTTGGAGTTCAGGCCAAAGCACACCTCCACGTCTCGCACCTTCTCGCTCCATAGGCTCACCAACGCGATCCGTCACCAGCATACCCACTCTCGCCCCATCACAAGACATGACCGCCACCCTACACGCCACACAATCCTTCCTCGAACGACTTTCCAAACTCTCCTCCACAAAAGATTCCACTACACGATCCACCGTCCCAGACACCGCTGAAGAGGAAGACACCGCTCGGCTGGAAAGCGCTGCTGCGCGGTACCTCACGCTCATCTCCCAATCCAGCATGGAGCGGGAAGCCCAGCTTCGAGAGCTTCGAGAGTTGGATCGAAGACTGGAACGTGATCTTCCCACTTTCAGCCAACCGAGTTTCGACCTTTCCGCATCGTCCTCGCTATCGACCTTGCCCGAACTGGAAGATCCCGCCGCGGCGGGAGAGTCGTTCGAATCATCTACAGACAGCTCACCATTGCATCGCAGACATCGTGCCACTTCGTCCATCGGAAGCGATTCCACCATCATTCCGCCCACATCTTCCGGTCATCTCTTGGATACACAACTCTTCGCTCCGCTGTACACCTCCACCTTGGACCTGGTGTCGTCGCTCAACGGGCTGCACGAGCATTCGCAGGTCATGAAGAGCAGCACGGCGGATGCGACGAGAAAGGCAAAGACGGTCAGGGGGTTGATCGCACAGTGGAAGGCGGAGGTGGAGAGCGTAGAGGTGAGCGAGGCGAAGATTCGGACGTATGAGGAAGAGATGATGGGGAACAGGGGGGACGGATGGGTGAGGGAACAGGTCGAGTGGTGTAGGCGGAGAATCGAGGATGTAGAGGGCAGGGCGAGGGTGTTGTTGACGCCGGTTGGCGTAGCTGCGCCTAGCTGATGGGAAACTGTCGGGCAATGGTGGACCTTGGCTTTCGTATAGACTTGCACATCACTGAAACGCAATCCGCAATCATCACATGCATCACACTATCTCACACACGAACATTGCAATCCCCTTCGTGACATCTCTCCGCATTGCATCCCCTTCCCCTTCCCCTCCGTCACTTTTTCGAGAAATAATACATCAGCACATCCAACAAGGCTCTCCTCTTCCTCCTCTCCTCCTCCTCTTCCCCCTCCTCATCCAACCCTAAACAACAAAAGATCCTCTCATGGCTGTCCACCACGCCCTCGCGCACCATCCGATCATTGAGCTTCTTCAACATCGTCACCGCAGTCAACCGCACCTCTGCAGCGGACGAGTTCAACGCCGAGTTCAGCAGAGGCTGAAGTCGAGGCAGAAAGTCTTCCAGCACCAGTTCGGATGGCAGTCGAACGAGCAACGGTGTAAACCCTGATTTGATGAGCGTGGTTGTCGACGGGGAGGAAAAGGTGGTGGTGGAGGAGAGGAGGGAGTCGAATCCGAGGACTGGATCTGTGAGTGTCGACCAGGTGGAGAGGATGGATTCGAAGCCTTGGATGGCTGCTTTGCGCGCAACGACGCTGCTGCTTCCACCGCCCGGTGCGGAGGTGGAGAGCGTAGAGATGGAGGTGAGCACGAGCTGCAGCAGTTCACCTTCCCGGTTAGTGTTCGCGAAGAGAGGGGATTGATTCTCCACCATCCGAAGCAACACCACTTGTGCGCTCAGCTGAAGTTCTCCACTGACACCGCCATCCACGCGGAGGTAGCCTTTCAACCCATCCCAAATCGCCGTAAACAGTCCTCCTTCCATCCACATCTCAACACCCTTCTCCATCCCATTTTGCGGGATATCCGGTCGTAAAACCGTCTCATCTCCATCCCCTCCAGCCGTCGCAGCAGTATCCACCCGGAACTCGCTGCTCAACCTAGCTAAACGTCTGAAAACCTTGACATCCGCCTTACCTCCCGCCAGACTCTGCACCCAATCCCACACCTCCGGCCTCGCTTTCACCGGCGACACTTGCTGCGATTCCAACCGCTTCGCCCTGTTCTCCAGCACGCCACTTCCCGAACTCGCCGCTCTCGTCGGCGTCGCAAGCATCACCCTGTTCGATGTGCTCCTCGGCACTCCCCCCGAGCCCGGCACCCCGGTCGACGCATATATCGTCGACACCGGCCTTGGCAACCCGGACCTTCGCACCGCACTTCCCGGGGTCGAAGAATTGCTCGACGCGCTGGACGTCGAAACGGTCCTCTTCTGTGGTGTGCTGCTCGCCTGCAACGACTCTAGTGCGTTCTGACGTTCCACCAGCACCGATTGCGTTTTCGCGGAGCGTGACGTCGCTGATGCAGGGATCTTGAAGGGCGAGCTGAAGTTCATCCCCATCAGATCCATCGATGCGTCAGGAGCGCTAAGCTGCACCGTATCGTCGTTCTCCTGATGGGCGGAAAAACGCGGTTGCTGCGTCGCATCGCCGGTGGCGTCCGCGTCGTCATCGATACCAGCGATGCTGAGGTTTTCAAGATCGGCGTCAAGTGCTGAACTGGTCGCGGCGGCTGGACGATGTGATCGGGGCGTGCTGGTGGAAGCTTGCATTCGAGCTGAGTTGGAAGAACCTTGCGATGAGAACGACGAAGAGGAGATCGCGCGGGTGCGAGCGGCGATCGGGCTGAGACCGGGCGAACGCGGTTGCGAGGACGTTTCCGAGCTTGTACGGGACAGGCTCGTACCGCTTACGCCTCCTCCTCGCCCATGATTAGCCGCCACGGGAGTCGGACTCGTCGGCAGAGGAACCGCGATCGCCGTCTCGATCCGTTGATGCGCCGTGGGACTCACCAGCACCGACAACGCGGTCGCCGACTTCATCGACGACTGATGTTGCTGCTGCGAGCGATTCTTGATTGGCATGAACCCTGTAGTCTTCTTCGGTGGTGCGGCGACTGGAGTGGCGAACTCTTCCGCCGACTGCTCCCACTGCTGTTGCTGCTGCTGTTGGTACAGCTCTTGCTGATGCTGCTGTTCGACCAACGCAGCGCGAGCCGTAGCCACCCTCGCCTCGTGTGCAGCAGCCGCATCCTCCGCCGTCTTCCTCTCCCTCTCCTGCGCCGCCTTCATCGCTGCCGCCTTCTTCGCCTGCATCAACGCCATCGATGCCCCACCCGGTCTCGCCCTGACCGGCCCAGCCGCCGCCTTGGGCTTCACCTCCACGATCGCCTCGGTCTCGACATCGGGCGGCGCCATCGCCGCAACCTGCTTCTTCGTCGACGGATCCAACGAGTTCAGAATGACGTTGGCCTGGTCGGGCCAGTACTTGTAAAAGATCCAGAACGCTTGCCTGCTCTTCGTCCTCGCAGCTGGGTTGGAATCACCGACGCCTTTCCTCATACACTTGTCCAGCAGATCCAGGCCGCCGTGAGACTCGACAGCGTGCTTTCGATGCGCCGCATGGTGCGTCAGAACCGTGGCGAGATGCTCAGCAGCCGCTGTACGGGTAGCGACGTTCTTATCCTGTACACCTTGCCATATGAGTTGGAGGTACAGAGGTCGGAAACTTACGTTGACCATGATTGCCGCAGCAGCTTCCTGCGTCGCATTGGCGATGAGCTTCTTTGTGAAACCTGCCATGCCGGTGAGATGCATCAGGAAAGGCTCTACGCAGGGAGCCAGGTCGTCACCCAGCTCGATGGCCAGCTCTTGGATGAGGTGGGTCGCGTGCATCGAGAGGGTGGTGCGCAGACTGGCGACACACTTGAGGATGCCCTCTTGGACGCTCTTGAGCTGTGCGACGAAGAAGGCCTCGCCGAACTGCCGATGCGCACCGGAGACGACGAGACCACGGATCTTGATCATGGACTGCTCTCGATTGAGCCAGTTGTGTTCGGATTCCTTGCCCTCGAAGAAGGGCATCATGGTGCTGCATGTGCGTTCCAGGTCGGATCGGGAAGCAATGTAGACGGGACGGATGTCGTCGGCTGCAGCCGTTGTTGATGCAGATGCTGCGGCGGGGGTTGCGGGCATGGTGTGCGAGGTCGGTGTTGGAACGTCAGCGCTGTGAGATGTATTGGACTGACTGCGAGTCACAGGGGCAAACGATGCTGGTGGTGGAGGACTGAGAACCGACGCTGAAGTTGCTGCTGATGGCGCTCCAAGAACCTCGCGCAGGATGCCGTCTGCTGTCTGCTTCCTCACTGCTCGCTTTTCCAACTCCTTCTTCAGATCTGCTTTGGCGGCGGGCGTGGCGCTACTGAAGAGCGTGACCAAGGTAGATCGAGCGCCCTCCCTGACTGTAGCGTCTGCATCCAGCAGCAGCTCCACTGTGATGGGAAGCAGAGGTCGGACAGGGTACTTTTCGCAATTCTGTCGCAAGACTGGCAGCAGCAGCACGGACTGCTCTCTGATCCTGGCAAACTTTGCAGCGAGACCTGCCTCGCGAAGGGTACGTTCGAAGACGCCGAGCGGTGTCTCTGTTTCCTTGCCCTTCCCTGACGTTGTCACTTGTGCAGCGCTGATGGCGTACGCAGCATTGCCAAGTTCGACGAGCGCCGTACGGGCGGCTTCCCGGATGCGCTCTTTTTGATCGCCGAGCTTCTCGATGACAAGCAGGCAGACGGAATTGATCAATATGCGGACATTGTGGGTGAGAAGCGAATGAGACTCGGACCCATCGCTGGTGTGGATCATGGATGCGTAAGTCGGTATGAATGAAAGGGAGGCGGTGCTGAGTGCCTGGTTGGCATGTTTGAGCGCCACCTTGATCGCCGAGGTGACGGCATCCGCTTCGACGACATAGCCGGCGTCCTGGATCAGGGATTGTAAGGAGTGGAGCGCAGCCACTTTTTTGTCAACCTCGATGTTGGACTCTATGCGTTGCGCCAGCTCGTAGATGGCGTCTGGATCCGCCATGGTGTGTGGTAGAGACGATGCAGGAGAACACTCGGCAGCCGCGGTACGAAGTGGAGGCGCGTTGACGACGACGGTTCGAAAGCCGAGACAGCCGTACAGTCGCGCAAATAGGTCGTGACGTCTGTTGCCCTCTTGCCTTTCTCTTTGCGATGGTCTACGGAGCAAAAGTAGACGTCAAGGGAAAGAATGTCGAACGTGATGGAAGCACAAAAGGAAGAAAGGGAGCTCATCTGCACCTGTTGTTCTTGCAGCTGCCAAACCAACCAAAAAAGTGTTGGTCTGTGGTCGCGCGCCCTTCTCGCGCCTCCAAGAGCAGCTCGCCGCAACAAACACTGCCGATCCTCAACGACGCGTCTCGAACTTCTTTTTTTTTGGGCCGGCACCTCCTTCAATGTAACATCTGTCCGATTTTCCGCGGTCATGCCTCCACTTTGACCGTCTGAACCCTTCTTTTGCGAGTGCTGAGTCGGCTCTCTCACCACCATGTCCACGGCCTTCCTGGTCCAGCAGCACATCATGCCAAGGAGACGGATAGCAGACACGAGCGCAAGTCCACCTCCGAACAAGGAGGAAGTTGACGTTGATCACGATTCCGGCGACGATGAACTGGCCCGTGAACTAGAAGAGGAACGCCAACGGATACTTGCAGCAGTAGAACCAGGGCCAAGCTCATCTCCACGTAGCAGTCAAGCCAGCCCAAAGCAAGTCATTGACGACGCTCAGACAGACGACGATGAGGACGGAACTATCTACGGCGAGGACGACTCGGAAGCGGGCGACGCGGTAGAAGATGAGGAAGATGATTCGCAAGACGAGTGGCAGCCACCTGCACCGGCATCCAAAGCCAATGCGAGACGGAGCAAGCGTGGGCGGCGTCAATCGAGCTCTGAAGACAGCGATGCAGACATAGGCGTGATACTGTCAGGCGAAGATCTAGAGCCAGCGACAAAGAAGTCGAAAAAGATGCCGAGCGGCAGGACGAACGGCAACAAAGCAGAAGCAAAGACACCAGCCCCAAATCCACCCTTGCCCGACGAGTCCATCGACCAAGAAGAGGCAGACGACTCCTTCGACGAGGAAGCAGAGCGGGTTCAGGCGGAAGTAGAAGCAGCTGCGGCATGGGCCGACGTTCGGCGTCGCAAGGAAGCCGCCTCCCAACCGCAGCCGCAATCCACCAACGGCTCCCCATCCAACGCATCTTCCGCCAAAGAATCCTCCACAGCACCGTCCCTCACAGCATGGCTCGGCAAAGGACCCTCAGCCGCCTCCTCCGTCTCGGAACTCTCATCCACCCTACCCATGCCGACGACCTGCAAGTCCGCCCAGATCGTCGACCGCGACTCCCTCTTCATCGGCTACGTATACCCGCTCATCACAACCTCGCCCGCGTACATCTCCACCCTCCTCTCGCACCTCACCCGCGTCGTGCACCCGACCGTACCCGTCGACCTGCTCCCGCCGCAATTCGCCAACGCTCCGGCGAACAAGCGCGGCTCTTCGCACGACATGTACGCCTACCGCGTGTTCGAGCTCAAGCGCGGGCGCAGCGGGCTCGGTGGACCGGACGATTTCTCCCTGCAGGAGGACAAGGAGGATGACGGGGAGAGATGGGGTGGGGACCGTGTGTTGAAGGTGGTCAGGGAGGAGGGTGCGTCGGATGTGTTGGTGGTGGTGAGCAGGTGGTATGGCGGGGAGCTGCTGGGGCCGGTTCGGTTTGAGCATATCGAGAACGCGGCGAGGAACGTGCTGGAGGAGCATATGCGGGTGGAGGAGGTGGAGGAGTTCAGGCAGAGGATACAGCATTTGGATCGTAGGATAGCGAGCATGAAGGCAAAGTTGGCAGGAGATGGAGAGAGAGTGGAGGGCCAGGTGAGTAAGTATGAAGGGTTGACGCTGGAAAAGGGGCAGAGGCTGTGGTTGGCAAGGCAGAAGGCGTTGGAGGTGGTGGAAAAGAGGTTGGCTGGGCAGGCTAGTCAACCGACCGCGTCACAGTTGCATACGCAGGAGCAGGAGCCGGAGTCAGAAGCTGTGGCGGAGCAGCACACTGCGCCGGCGGAAGACATTGCAGAGGCTGCAGCCGAAGAGCCAATATCAACGGCGACAACAGCACCGGCAGAACCGGATATTTCGACCCCACCCGCTGCCGTCAAACAAGAACCGTCCACGACGGACCTTTCCACCACCGACGCCACAACCCTACAACCCAGCGTGAAAGCGGAACCGTCAGACCCCATTCTACCACCGGTACACATCAAAAGCGAGTCCAATCTCTCACCCGCGTCCCTACACGCAGAAGAGGACGAGCCGGACGACAAGTCCCGCGTACTCAAGTCCGAACCTGACGACCAAACGGACCTCACCGGCTGGGACGATCTTTCCTGAACGCATCCTCTTCCGCACGCTGTATACTATCCACTTCTCACACAATCACACTCACTTTTTGCACACCACCGTTCCCCTTTGATCTTCTTGACAGGAAATGCATTTCTCCAATTTACGAAAAGTAGAACTGGTCGTTCTTCTTCTTGGCCTGAACCTCCTGGATACCCCCATGGAAATGCTCATGATCCAGCACCGTCGCGCCCTCCCTCAACGCGATCATCCCCGCCTCCACACAGACCGCCTTCAACTGCGCACCGTTCATCTCGTCCGTCGACCTCGCCAACTCCTCAAAGTTGACATTGGGTCCCACAGCCATCTTCCTACTGTGAATCTCCATGATCCTCGCCCTCGCCTCTTCGTTCGGCAGCGGGAACTCGATCTTTCGATCCAATCTACCGGATCGGAGCAAGGCAGGGTCGAGAATGTCGATTCGGTTGGTGGCTGCGATGACCTTGATGCGTTCGTCGGACGAGAAGCCGTCGAGTTGGTTGAGAAGCTCGAGCATGGTTCGTTGGACTTCGCGATCGCCAGATTTGTCCGAGTCGAAACGTTTTGTTCCTATCGCATCGAGTTCGTCGATGAAGATGATGGCGGGTGCTTTTTCTTTAGCGAGCTCGAAGGCGTCACGGACGAGCTTGGCGCCGTCACCGATGAACATCTGCACCAGAGAAGGGCCGGCGAGTTTGAGGTAGCATGCGTTGGTTTGGGCTGCACACGCACGCGCCAAGAGTGTCTTACCGGTACCGGGAGGACCGTACATGAGCGCACCTTTGGGTGGTCGGATGCCGAGGTTCTTGAACTTGGCCTCTTGCTGCATGGGCAGCACGATGGCTTCGACCAGCTCTTCGATCTGCTTGTCCAGACCACCGATGTCCGTGTATGTCTCAGTGGGTCGCTCGTCGACCTCCATCGCCTTGACACGCGAATCGTATTCAGCAGGCAGCTTGTCGAGCACCAGGTAGCTATCCTTGTTGACACCGATCAAGTCACCTGGACGCAGCTCTTCGGCGGGGACCAACCCGATGAGGGGCAAAAAGATGGTCTGACGCGTGCTCGTCTTGATTACCGCACATTTGCCTTTCCTCCTCGCGTCCAAGTCGACGTTGGCACCTTCTTCAGACTCCTCGTCAATGTCCGGATCGATGTCGAGGATCTCGACTACGTTTCCGACGAGGTAAGGGAGCATCTTGTTCTGCTTGATCTTGTCCGAGTTGTCCTTGATCATGTCGCGCTTAGACGACTGTTCGTGCATGAGACGCATGTGTTCGGATCGCATCACCTTGACGTCATTTTCGAGGAGGCGCGTGCGTGTCTGAATCTCCTCGATGGTTGCGTCGAGGATCTCTTGGTCCAGAGGCTCTTCTTCGGGCTCGGCAGGGGCCATCTTGGCATCGCCGTCTGCTGCGGGTGCGGCTGCCGTTGATGGGCCAGCTTGAGGATCGGAGGGTGGCTGTCGGTCCTGACCGTTGCCGTCGGTGGGCGGTTGTGCGTCGGACATGCTTGGTCTTTAACACAGTATGTCTTTGCTACAAGGGAGCGTGTGTCGCTTTTCGATGTGACGCAATGCGGTGTGTCCAGAGGCGGAGGTTCGGAGTCGTTGCAATGCCTGCTTCCCCTTGAGTACTGTGTGTCAGCACTTGTGCAGTGTCGTTAATGATTGGGAACAGGATGGAGATGATGGTGGAAGCAAAAGTGTTGGACTGGAAAGCTCAGCTCTGTGCGTTGTTGGTCAAGCGTGGCTGGAGCGTCGAGTTTGGCGTGGCTGTCTCGCGGTCCAAAAGTGGAGTCGTCGATCACAAAATGCTCGCGCGTCCTCTCCGTCACACTGGCGCGGTGATTCTTTGGCTGCCAGGCTTCCCCTGATTTTTTGAATTGAGGATCACGAATGTGACGATCTCACACTCAGGCTCGCCGAAAAATGGATTTTCTCCGCTCATACCTACTTTACCTAGCGATGCCATTTCGACAGATCATTGAGCGGACGATGGAGTTGCATTCGCTCCCAGCCGAAGTGATACAGTGTCAAAGTATCAAGTGAGAGACTACGCCTCCGTGCTGTACGACCTGCTCGCCTTGGCAACCACGCCATTCTCCACCAGCTTCATCCTTAGCAGCAAGCGTTTGGTCTCCCTGCACCTCCTATCCCCCAACTCGACCGCTGCATCAAAGACGGCCCTGCGTGAATCCTTAACCTTATACTCGAGCGTTTGCGTGATAGCATCGATCCTCGCATCTCCCTCCTCCGCCGCTTTGCCCGGCAGATTCTGAAACTCTCCTCTCTCGATACACGCCACCAGCTCCTCGGTCATCTGCTCGACCGTCCATCCAAAGGCCGCTGCCATCCTGGCGATACTCACCCTGTCGAACGGCGTGAAGAATTGTCGCAGCGCACGTCTCGTAAGTTTCGTGCGCAGTGCATCGACATGCGGCGCAAGGTACGGATCCAAAAGGTACCTCGCTTGATGCTCATCCAGGATCTCGCCAACCTTCTTGAACTGCGCCGAACTGAACGCTTCCAGCAGCTCGCGCACGTGTGGCTCGTATTCGAGGTAGCCGCGGAAATTTGAGTCCTCCATAACCTGCGTCTTGAGCGAAGCGCGATCCATAGTAGCCAGGCTGCAGAGAGCCACGTAGATCGAAATGTCCGACGGTGTAATGATGTCGGAGAACGAAGAACTGTGAGCCGGATCAATGCTGAGTAGGATCTTGGCCGCGCCTTCGTACGACCTACGACCCAGCTCGGCCACCGCATTGGCAGCACGAAGCTTGGCGCCTGTCTCGGCTACGATCTTCCTCGTCTCCGCCTGCGCTGCGCTTTCACCGCTCGTGCCTGCTTGGTTGCTGGAAGACGAAGCCGAGGTGGTCTGCGCGCCTGCACTGCCGCCAGCGCGGAACAGCGCACCGATCGCATCAGCACCGGCAGTAGACGCCCCTTTCGTAGGAGGCGCGATGTTCGAAGCGCCGAGCGAGCTGAGCTTTCTCCCTCCCGTGCTCCCGGATGGCGCATACGACTCGAGCACGCCCTCGGCTTTGCTGACGAACGTCTGAACATTGTTCCAATTCTCGAGTCGAAGCGACACCTCGATCACATGCATACACATCTCGATGACGTGATGCGTCGTGGAGCAATAATCTCTCGTCTTGGTATACAGCTTGAGTGCTTCGTGATAGTCGCCCGTGTCCCAAAAGTGGTCGCCAAGATCGCGGTGAGCCATGCGGATCGATTCCTTGATCAGATTGTTTTGATAGTTGCGCAGCTCCAGCTCGAGTTTCTCCCTCTCGGCATTATTGCGTTGCTGGACCGACTCGATCCATTCCGAGTCTGCTGTGATGCGTAGGTGTGCTGGAATGAGGTTCCCTGACCCCGCTTCGGTGTTGTGCACCGTGATCATGGCTTGGTAGGCCGGCACATCTCGTGTGTTGTCCTTGATGTATTCGATAGCTGCCTTGCTACAAGCATTACGGAGCGGTGGACAGTGGGTCGCAATATATGCGAGTCTTTGAACACGTGCATGGCCCGTGTAGGCAGAGGCGTAAGCCTCCCAATCGAAGTTGTCCGTCGGACGGAGCGGGACGCTTGACAGAGACATCTGGTCCGCCGATGAGGAGCCACCTGTTCTTACAGGACCTTCGTTCGTTGCAGCTGTAGAGTCGACCATGGCGAAGGTCGATGACTGGAGCTCTGCAGGGGTGACTGATGTCACGATGCCATCGAGGATGGTGTCGCGAGTAAGATGAGGTGGAAGATCAACACTTTGTGAGTATCTTTTGGCTGAGTTACGTTTAGCTGCGCTTCTCGAAAGGTGGAGGCTCGAGCGTTCGAAAACACTTGACGGTTGTTGGTTCCACCAATCTCACATTCGCAATTGTTGGACTCCACACAAGGGGCCGAAATTTTACCTTGAGGCACTTCTTCTTGATCTTCATCCTGCCTTCCTCACCAGAGACGTCCACCTCCTTGGCCTCTCTGAACCGACCCGCTCGCCAGAAACATGTCCAAGTACGATAGGAGGCGGGTCAATGGCCCTCCGAGCTACGTCCCCATCTCCGAATCATCCACCGCCTCCGCCTCGTCCTCAACCGCGGTAGCAACTACATCGAAACAACGTCCAGACCAACGGTCCTTCTCTCATTTGAGGCCCATTTTCCTGCAAACCAATCTCGTCCCCTCTGCATCCGGAAGCTCGTACATCGAGATCGGAGATCTCAAGCTTGCATGCTCGGTCTTTGGACCTCGACAAGTGAAAGGGAGGCAGTACAGCGGCAAAGCAGAGTTGAATGTTGAGGTCAAGTTCGCTCCCTTCTCTAGCAGGAGGAGGAGGCGTCCCGGAAAGGTAAGTTTGCCGGCACAAGCAGTTCGACCATCATGCAAACTCGAGGGAGCTGACAGACTCAAACTCTTTCCGGCCTAATTACGTAGACAACCGAGAGCGCCCATCTTTCGAGCCTTCTTCACCAAGCACTTCTCCCCTCCCTGCGCCTAGACCTCTTACCAAAAGCATCGCTCGACATCCACATCATGGTACTTCAAACCGACGGTCTGGAAGAATCATGCATCGCTGCAGCCTGCATCGCGGCGACTACGGCTCTGGCTTCCGCCGGGATCGAAATGTACGGTCTGGTAGTCGGATGTGTCGCCTTGGTCCCCAGCTCGTCCGATTCGGCGGACAAAGAAAAGCGGGTGTTGCTCGATCCAAGTTCCGCCGATCTGGGGCTGGTGACGGGAATGAAGACCGCTACGAGGGTACTGCTCTGTGGTATGCCCGCCTTGGCTTCGGTGACGTGTCTGAATGTTTCGGCTGGCTCAAGTGCCAAACTGGAGAGCGGTGCGGGCATCGAGGCGGATACATTGGACGAAGCGTTGAACAGCCTCAACGCCAGCTTGGTGGATATCCACAAGGTCGTCGCTCAAGCTCTCGCGGAAGACTTCCAACGTCGGACGGCGTTGACCAGTTCAGCAGCACAAAACTAGGACACTGAATCAGGATGCAATGCAGTACACAGCACCAACCCCCTGCCTGTTTCAATGCGAGAGATGCAATTGAGAATGATGAATGCAGGAAAACACTGAAAAGACCAACTCTATGTATATCACCAACAAGGCAACGCCCAATTCCCAGTCCTGCCGGATCAACCACCACCACCATCGCCTCCCTGGTTGGCAAACTTCTTGGCCTCCCGTCTGACCCTGCGCTGACGCACGATGGCCGCGTCCGTCTCCAACTCGTCGGGCGGTGGGGTAAAGTTCATGAACGACTTTGGCTTCTTGGGCGGCAGAGCCACCGCGCCGCCAGCAGCGCGGATCTGCGGGCTGCCGTACGGCGATGGAGTAAAGTCATCCAACATGTAGCCGTTATCCTCTTCATCCGTCAGAGAGTCCTGACGACGCGGGGCGGAAGATCGCGGATCCGAGGGATCGTAGCTAGGTGGAAGTGTCGCCGCGTCCTCGGTCCAGTAGACGACAGGTTGCACAGGGTTGGCGTACCGGATGCCATGCTTCTTGGCGTAGAAGGCAAAGGCCGAGAAGAAGGCATTTTTTCGATAGAAGCGGCGGCCCCAATCCTGCCAGGTATCGGCGTGAGTCATACCGATGGTGCACTCGATCGAACGCATGTACTCGATCTTTTGCGGTACAATAGCAGTGCTCGGAACGAAGAGGCGCTCCGGCTCGGTCTGAAGCCAATGGATCATGTCTTCTTCCAACGCGTCGAGCTTCTCGAGCGGCGTGTTGAAGTCGAACTGCGCCGTGATGGGTTCCCACTGGTAGCCCGAGCGACGCATGTTGAGGATGCTGGTAGCCGACAGAATGACGTTGCTGATGTAGACGTCTTGATTGAGCGAGTCGGTAAACAGGCAGGACAGCAGAGACATGCGCTTCACCACGAGCACCACCTCACCGATCTGGATCCTGTCGCCCGTGTCGAAGGGATGCGTGATAAAGATGAAGATGATCGAGTCAAAGACGTTGGCAGCGGACTCTTTAAAGACGAAAGCGAACGCAATGGCGAGCGAGTAGAAAGTTGTGAGCGTCTTGCCAATGTTGACGTTGAAGATGGCCAGCGCTTCAAAGAGGATGATGACAAGGCAGACGAACAGGAAGATGCCGTCGAGCTGACCCACAGCGTGGTTGACGTCCTGCATAGACCGACTGAGGAAGCGACGCTCCTTATAGACCTGCATGACCGTGTTCTTAATCTCGGACTGCGAAATGTCGCCATTGCCGTCGCGGTCAAACACGCTAAAGGCATCCTTGGCATCTTCGGGGCTGGTGTAGGCGGGCTCGAAGTCCGAAGGGATGAGGTAACTGCGCTTGTGTGCACCACGGAAGGCGACAAAGATGGAGCGAGCGAGTCGTTTGGCTTCGGCTGGCGAGTTGACGTCGGTGCCGATACCGAGCGCTTCGTTGCGAAGAAGTCCGAAGGGATCGTTCATGGCAACACGCGCCAGAGTGCTTGCTTGACCAGCCGTGAGGCGCGCTCGACGACCACCGCGGGCTGCGACGCGAGCGATGAGGTTGGACTTGCCGTTACCTCGAGCAGGCGCCTGACCTTCTGCCGGCTTTCCAGTGGTGGGATCGATGGCGAGATCATTGATCGCTGCATAGGCAGCTTGGTCGGAAGGACGCTTCTTGCTGTGCTTCTTGAGCCAAGAGCCTTTGCTCGAGTCGGAGACATTGCGTAAGCCCTTTTCGTCCGCATCCAGGGTAAAGTCGGTGGGTGCAATGGGGGTGGCGGTGCCACTAGCGCTGGGCGAGGCCCGAGCCGAACGAGAAAGACCAAAGGCGGAAGCAGTATCTCTGCCTTTGAGCTTGGGCTTGTGGTCACGCAGCCAGTCAAACACCTTGAGCGATTTGCTGACCTTGGCGATTCGATCGGCGTAGGCGCTGCGATGGAAAGACATGGCGATGTGCTTGATGATGACTTTCTCGACACAGATGGTGAGGGTGAGGAAGAAGAAGAACTCGATGACCTGGTAGATGCGGTAGAGGTAGCCAGCGCGACTGTTGCGGGCATCGGAGTGGTTGTAGAGACCGTAGATGGAGTTGAAGATGATGGCCCACGAGCCCCAGCTGAGCGCAGCATAGGCAACTAGCTTGATGTAGCCCTTGATGGCGTTGAAGTACTCGGCAAGCGAAAGGATTCGTTGACTGGGACGACCCCAGACGAGCTGAATGAGACCGAGAGTCGCTTTGGGAAACAGTTCGACAAGAAGATGGATCCACCATTCCACATGAAGATTGAATGCGGCCCAGATGAACCAGGCCTGGACGTTGTCGGCAACAAAGTCACGGTGACCTTCATCGGGACCACGTCTTCGATAGACGTACTGGATGACGATGACGGGGATGAGCAGGCATCCAGAGACGATGAGATTGCCCAGGAAAGTGGTGGCTAGAAAGCTGAGGATCTTCCAAAGGCTAAGACGACCCATGCGGACCTGCTTTGCCTGCTCGTTTTCGAAACGGACAGCCTCGTCGAGGTCTTCCTCATCGGACCAGTTGAAATCGCCGTAATCGCGATCATTGCCGCCGTCTGTCGAGGAAACCTCGCTGTCTTGACGGACAAAGGGCGGACGGTAGGGCACATTGCTCTTGTAATTGAACGTGCCTGGAGTGCGATTGGTCTCGTGCGGTGGAAAGTCGGATTTGGGACCAAGACCTGGGGGCTTGGGAAGCTGACCGTCGCGAAAGTCGGCGAGAGGGTCTGTAATGGCCACGCGCGGACCAGCGGTTCCCGGCCGTGAGTTGGGACCGGAGGAGCTTGCAGAGGTTCTCATGATGCTGCTTTCGTGAATTGCGAGGTGTCGCGGCGTGTGCTGACCTGAAGGCTTACGATCGGACAGGTCGGCGGACTCTGAAGGAGCGTGGCCGGAGGTGTTGACGTCTCCCGAGGCAAGAGCAGCTACAGCGGCATCGTGAAGCATGTGATCGTCGTTGGGTGCCATGGGGGCGGGCAGCGTGGACTGACTTGCGTAGATGGGCGGCAGAGGCTCGTTCGGGTTACGTGGCTGGTAAGGCGGCGAGGCAGGGCCACTCTGAACGCTTTCGGGAAGCGACTCGGGAGAGCGCGGAGGCAGAGGAGCAGACGACATTCTGTACGCTCGGTGCAGTCTCGACTGGATGTTTGGTTGCCAGCGATCAACCAATCCTTCTCTGACCGGCAGAAACGGAGGGTCGCAGAGGGATGAGAGACCGCAGCAGGTTGCCGATCAAGCAGTGAAACTTTGTGATGGTGTGTGGTGTATTCGGAGAGTGATTCAATATGGTGCGACACCGACCCACATTGATGGCGGATGGCGGATGATGTCGATGAACGAGGTCGTTAGATGAGAAGGAAGCTGGCACGAACCAAACGTTGCATCAAGATGGAAGCGTGTGTGTGTGCGGGCAGTTGTGGCTTGGATTCGGTCCCTGAAAGTCTAAAATCACACATCGCACTCGTTCGTATGCCTCGCAACAACGCTGTGTGACGTTTTGGATTGCATCACACGAAATTTCGGGATGCAGATCAACAGTCCGCCAAGCCTCTGTTTTTCTAAGAAAAAAAAAAGAAAAAAAGGGAAGTAAAATCACAGCCACGCTTCCGGTACGGTGGCAGAGGATCGTCGCTCTCGGCTTGCTCGCAGAAGACAACCTGCTCGTGAGTTTACCGAGAGCGCTTCTGAGGTACGTCTCTGCTCCATCAACGTCCGTACCTCTCTCTTCAGCTTACTGGACGGAACCAAGCTCGTCATCATATCCCATCTTTGCCAAGAGCTGCCAGTGGCTGCGAGAAGTACAGCTGTTGCGCACAAACCTGTGCATGTCGCACCAGGGCCCCTCGAAATTCCACATGGTGTTATTGCAGTGTGCTGGCAAATGTGACAGAGTGGAGGAAAGCTGCACCTCGGTCACTTTTCTAGTGCTTCTGCGCCACACTCTTGCACTTGTCAAAAGAAGACACCGAAAGGTCATCTAGAGAAATCTTACATCGAGAAACGTATCGAGGCCTAACACTCGTCATCCTTTCTTTTGGGCCAATCCTCCACCCGTCTGACATTGTCCACGAACGACACGGCTTCAGGGTCTGGAAGAACATCACGATCCTACCTCTTTCCTCTCATCGTCACCGCCGACTGGCAATACATGGTCGCCATTTGCCATGTCGCGTAATCACACTTGCTATCCATAGCCCGGAACCAAAACTTCCGATATGCCAGCTCAAGCACGCGGTCCGGTGCCTACTGGCCCTGCCCGCTGGCAGCAGCAACAACAAGCGAGCTACGCATCCACCGCTGCGGCTGCTGCTCCCCACCAGCTTCAACCGCCGACGGGTCCTCGCGGAGCACAACCTCAATCGCAAGCTGCGCTCGCCCCCATGTCTCAACCTACAGCAGCTGTTTCAACCACACCCATCCCTACGGTTAACGTCGCAGCACCACCGCCGATCCCAGAACCTCCCTCAATCCCAACCTTCTCCCACATCCCTTACTTTACCGCTATCCAGCTCGAAACGCTCTACGCACGTCGGAGAGGCACTCGCATGTCTGCTTCCACATGGCAGTCCAATCGTGATATTTCCGCTGGCTTCATCCAATCCGTCGCCTCTCGTCTAGGCTTCCCGCAGCGCACCATCGCTACCGCACAGCAAATCTACCAGCGCTTCCACCTCTTCTACCCACCCTCGGATTTCGTGCTCCACGAAATCTCCGTCGCGGCTCTCTTTGTCGCTGCCAAGCTCAACGACACCCACAAGAAGCCGAGAGATCTACTCCTGGCGAGCTACGCACTTCGCTTCCCGCAACTCGTCAAAGGCGGTGGCATCTCTTCGACTTCCGATGCTACACTTGCGACCACCTCCACAGCAGCCACAGACGAGCCAAACTTCCCCACTCTGGCAGGTCAAAAACGCAAACATGCAGTCACTGCCACCGCCGAAACATCATCCTCACCTCGTCCGCTAGCCATGGCCATCGGAAGCGTCGGAGAAGCCGACGTCGATCCCAACATCATCGAGACCGACCGCAAACGTCTTTTGGCGCTCGAAAAGCTCATACTCGAGAGCCTCTGTTTCAACTTCCACAGCAACGCGAATGTGGCGCTCAAGATGGTGATCAAGTTGGGAAGGAGGTGCGGGATGTCCAAGTCGTTTATTCGGACGGCGTGGAAAGTGGCTGCGGATATGTTTCGCACTTCGGCGCCGATGCAGTATCCGCCGAATGTGATTGCTGTCGCTGCCATGTACGCTGCTGCGCTGTTGGCGAGACCTCCGTCTAGGACGACGGCTACGGCAGGGCAGGAACGGACGCACGAGGACGATGCTGTCGTCGTGTTTTTGAGTAGCATCAAGGCGGTCTCTGCGACACCGGCACCGGTATCGTCCGATTCGATGTTGCCAAGCGGGTCATCGACCGTACCGCTGTCGGAACCATTTCCGGGCTGCGATGCGGAATGTCACGTTCACGTGGAAGACGTCGAAGAAGCGGTCCACGAACTCCTCGATCTCTACCTTGCATGTACAGCGCAACTTCCACCTTCTCTGTACATGTCCTCCTCCACTGCCACAACAGGACTTGGCTCGAGCACCTCGGCTGCCACCCCATCCCCCCTCTCGCCCGCAGATCCACTCGACGCCTACGCCGCATCCCCGTCCTCATCCAGCGGTCTCAGCGACCCCTCGCAACCAGCAAGCGCCCGCAAAAAGCTCAAACAGTACGAATATTCCCCGCCGCCATTCGCCCTCGTCGACTGGCTCAATTCCTCCCGCTGCGTTCAACTCCAACATCAAACCAGCGCTTCCAAACTCGATCCGACAGCACCCACAAAGGAACTCTCTTCGCTTCTCACCGATATCAAAATCTACCTCAGAGGCATCGAGTACGATCGACAGAAGGCAGACGATTCGTACCTCGCTGAGCGTAATATCTTGGCCGAAGCTAATGTGGTTCCTTTGCCGGGATGTGATCCAACTACACCGGGAGGAGTGGGTCAATTGATGGCGGCGTATTCGGTGACGATTGATCTGAAACCATTGGATTTGGACGGAGGGAAGAGTAGCGATGAGGTGTTGGCGGGTTTCGGAGGCGGGAGTGAGAGGGCTGTGGTGGAGAGGATCAGGAGGAGGAAATTGGTAGCTGCGTTGAGGTTGACTTTTGTAGAACCGCGGGTGGAGAAGACCTCGGATGTGGGGATGGCGGCGGTGAGGAAGAGGGATGAGCAGAAGCAAGAGGTGCCGAAACAGCAGAAGGGGACGGGGGAGGTGGATAAGTTGCAGGTCGTCAGCAGCGATGCTGCTCCGGCGAAACGGAATCGCATCGAACAGGCGAAACGTTACCTCTTCTAGCCACACCGCATCCCGCACCCATCCCCACACATCTCCAATCACAATCATCTCAATCACGAAAAATCCGCACTGCTCGACTATCACACCCAAAACGAGTCCAAGTTTGTGATGAAACACCTTTCGAATTGATCATCACCTTCCTAACGGAGAGAAAAATGTAGGCGAAGCAGTTTCTTGCCCAGAAACGGTAGAAGCAAATTCCCGTTTAACCAGGTAATGTGTATACGCTGTCTTTCCACTACCTCCCCCCAGAAGGGCGAAAATGGCGGAATCAATCTTTCCCGTTTTTCCCTCAACCAGATGTCCACTGAAAAAAGGACACTGTGATGAATATAACGGGAGGAAAGTACTCAAGGAACGAGGAAAGGAAAGGGGGAGGCTCACGTTCACGAGATTGAAATGTGGAGAAAGGGTGGGGGATGGCTGCGTGGGGTTGATGAACTCTCGACACAGGCGAGCAACGCCCACACTTGAGGTGAGAAGGAGGGCGCTTTCGGAGCGCGTAAAGCAGCAGGTATCTTACAATGAGTGGTTTGGGTCAGGGGGTAAAATGCTTTGAGAAGAAACGATGATCCGGAGCTGGGGCTGATGTGCGAAGTGGTGGTTGCTGGAAGATGCTGAGGCGGAATGAAGTCGAGAACGGAGTGTGTGATGATACAGTGCCGATGCGTTGGCAGAATTGCTGCGAGATGAGATCAAATTAGAGAAAGAAATGGAAAGTCGAGGGGGGGAGCAGCTCACTTGCGACGGTTCTGCTGCATGCCGAGGATCTGGACCATCCTGACAAAGATGTTGATAAAGTCGAGCTCGAGGCTGATCGACTCGGCAAGAGGGTCCCCCGCCGTGTAGCCGGCACGCACCATCTGGGCGTGCTTGAGGATGCGCTGTGTGTCGTAGAGCACAAAGGCACCAAAGACGGCAAGGCCTCCGTAGAGCGAGAGCGCCTCGGTGGCAGCGAGCGTGCGGAAGGCGGTGCGAGGCAGAATCATGGGTGCTAGCGATGAAAGAGCGACGATGGTGACACCGGCGAGCAAGGGACCACCCATCCACAGGTACTTGTCCTCCTTGGCCGTAGCACCGACGTAGCAGAGCGAGCCAACGAGACCGGCAGTGTAAAGCGCGGCTCTCGACAGGACAGCAGGGTTGAGGAAGAGCAAGGGACTGAGCACAGCGGCCTGCGAGGCGTTGAACAGCAGCCACGAGGGTACCTTGAGAGGATGGCCGGGTGGAAGCGAGGTGGCACCGATCATGCCGCCGATGCTGGCAACGAGACCGACACCAAGCACGACCCAAGGGTTGGCCATCATGACACGCTGCGAGACACCATAGCGGTGAAGGCCGACGGCAGCGGCGCCGGTGAGGGTCAAGCCACCTGCGAGGTACATGAACGTCTTGTGGAGATACTCAGCCTCGACAGGGTGGAGCGAGTCGCGGGTCTCGCGGTTGAAGAAGAGGTTGGCACCAAAAGCGGTGCCGCCGATGATGCCCAAGCTGGTGAGAGCGCGCGTCCATCCGCCGGGTTGCGAGATGCTGGTGGGAGCGTCGGCGGCTGGAGCAGCGTGCGGCGCAGCAAAGGCAAAGCGTCCGCCGTTGGAAGCGCCGTTGCCGCCATTAGGACGGAAAGGGCTCGTACGGACTCCCCTCACCTGGTGCTGTACCTGACGAAGCGGTGTTGCGGATTGGCTTGTAGATGGGAGCGCCGGCTTTGCGGCCTTGACTGTGGAGGTGAACGAACGCAGGGGCTGAGCAACGATGCTGCTGGTGGTGGGCGATGCGGATGAGCGAGCCACTAGCAGCGAGTTGCGCAGCGAACGCTGCAAGGTCTGGAAGGATGGCCGCAACATGGAGGTGGCCATGTTTGGAACAGGTACTGACTTGAGTGTCAGTGAGGAAAGCGTATGATCGAATGGGGGCGCAAACTGGATGCAAGGGAGTCGAGTCGAGTCGTTGATATAGACGGTGTGAAGGAACGAAGTTGACAGTCGTCTGGACTGAGGTTAGCCTCGTCCAACGTTTTTCAGCGCTGGACCTCCACTCTTTGACCAATCACAGACTGCTTGCCCTGTGCTGCGGATGACACTCTTGGAAAAGAGACGGAAAAATGCAAAGCCTAGCATCTTCCACACTGAGCCAGCTGCTGCCTCGATCACAGATCCTCCGCCTCACAAGACTCGTTTTCCGTTACCCACTCGTAACACGTGCAGCCGTGCGAAAGAACTCGACAATTTTGGTAGTCCTACATGCGAGGAGAGTAGTTGGGCAGCACAGCACGTTAAATTTGCGAAAATTTTGGACGGCTCGAAGACTATACCGACAACCGTCTGATTTTTGAGTTTGAACTGCACTGCACTGCACTGCACAATTGAGTGTGGCCGCTCTGCGTGTCACACGCTGCCAAATCAGGTCTAGAAAAAAAGTGTTCTTCTCGTGGACCAGGAATTTTTTTCTCGTCCTGCAAGGCTCGAGTGCCGAGTTGGTCTCGGTCCAAGATTCTTGTTCTTCCAATTCTTCTTGTGTGAGTGATTCTCATCCTCTCTGACCTTCCTTCCGCACATCACCCTTCATCCCCGCCATTCACCCTCTTGCACCTCTCACACTCCATTAGCGGAATCTGAGAGGCATCTGTCAACGATCTACCCCCTTCCTTCACCATCTCTTTCCGGGTGTCTGCTACCGCAGCGACACTGGACGTTGCGGGCGACCACACTCACGCAGTCGCTCGAGCCGCCATTCTCACCGACAGGCGCCCCCTTCTCTAGGTTCTGCAATCTTCATTCGAGCTCATCCGCTCGTATCCCTTCATCATGGATGTAAGTATTGCCTTCTGCTGTTTCCGCAACCTTGCATTGGCTCTCAATGCTGTTCGAAGCGCATCTCAAACAGATCCTTACTGACCGCAGAGCACCTTCTTTTCCGCAACTGCAGCCCTCTTTCGTACAAGGGCTTCACGAGCTCTTGAAGCAGAGCAACGTACCCGACACCAACACCGTCAAAGCAGCAACCGAATCCCTCCAGAACAACTACTACAAGAACCCACAATGCATCCCTGCACTGTTTGAGATCCTCGCCACCTCTCCCGACCTTGCTGTCCGTCAGCTTGCCGCCGTCGAATTGAGAAAGCGCCTGGCAAAGAGCGGAGGCAAGGTTTGGACAAAACAGTCCGTTCAGGTCCGTGACGGTATCAAGGCAAAGCTTCTCGAGGTCGTCACCAATGAACAGGCCGCTGCCGTCCGAAGTGCAATTGCGCGTGTCATCTCCGAGATCGCAAAGCGCGAGCTCCCCGCCGGTTCCTGGCCCGCACTGCTTCCCTTCCTCTTCCAGGCCGCCGACTCTCCCAACGCGACCCACCGACAGATCTCGCTCTTTGTCTTCTACACTGTCCTAGAGACCTTTGTCGACGGCGGTGAGGCTCTCGACAAGCACCTTCCCCAGATCATGCAGCTCTTTGCCAAGAGCTTGCAAGACCCGGAATCGCTCGAGGTCCGCGTCACCACCGTCCGTGCCCTCGGCAAGGTTGCGCAGAACCTCGAGAGCGACGCTTCCGCCGACCTTGCTGCCATGCAGTCCGCCGTGCCCCAGATGGTCGGCGTCCTCAACCAGTGTCTCGAGCAGAGTAACCAGGACGGTGTTCGTCAAATCCTCGACGTTCTCGAGGAGATCTGCATGCTCGAGGTCCCCATCATTTCGAACCACATTGCAGAGCTCATCGACTTCTTCCTTGCCAACGGTGCCAACCAGGAGCACGAGGAGGACCTCCGTCTCATGTGCCTCAACTCGCTCATCTGGATCTGCTCCTACAAGCGCTCCAAGGTGCAGAGCCTTGGTCTTGCCAAGCACATGATCGTGCGTCTCATGCCCATCGCCGTCGAAGAGGACTCGGACGATGTCGACGAGGACTCGCCCTCGCGTCTTGCCCTCCGTGTCATCGACGGCCTCGCCACCGAGTTGCCTCCTAGCCACGTCTTCCCGCCTCTTCTCGAGCAGATGCAGGCCTACATGGGCAACCAGGACCCACACCACCGCAAAGCCGCCATGATGGCCTTTGGTGTCTCGGTCGAGGGCTGCTCCGAGTACATTCGCCCGCACATGAACGACCTCTGGCCCTTTGTCGAGGCTGGTCTCAAGGATCACGAGGCTGTCGTGCGCAAGGCTGCCTGCGTTGCTCTCGGCTGCCTCTGCGAGATGCTCGAGGAGGAATGCGCTGCCAAGCACGCGACCTTGCTGCCCGTAATCATGGAGCTCGTCAACGACCCTGCCACTCAGCGATCCGCCTGCACTGCTCTCGACTCGCTTCTCGAGGTCATGGGCTCCGACATCTCCCAATACCTGCCCGCCATCATGGAGCGTCTTGCTGGTCTCCTCGAGACTGCCCCCATCCCCGTCAAGGCTACCGTCACCGGTGCCATCGGAAGTGCCGCTCACGCATCCAAGGAGGGTTTCCTGCCGTACTTTGACCAGACCATGCAGCGCATCAAGCCTTTCCTCACTCTCACCGAGGAGGGCGATGCCATGGACCTCCGCGGAATCACCACCGACACGGTCGGCACCTTCGCCGAGGCCGTCGGCAAGGAAGCTTTCCGCCCCTATTTCCAGGACTTGATGAAGCTCGCTTTCGAGGGCATGGACCTCAACAACCCGCGTCTGCGCGAGTGCAGCTTCATCTTCTTCGCCGTCATGTCCCGCGTCTTTGGCGAGGAGTTCACCCCCTTCCTCCAGCACGTCGTGCCCAGGCTCATCCAGTCGTGCCAGCAGTCGGAGCACGACCCCGTTCCCGGCGCTTCCGGTGACGGCACCATCAACGGCATCGGCATCCCGGGTATCAGTGCCGGTGGCGACGACGATGATGACGATGGCTTTGTCGACATCGACGAGCTCAACGACGCCTTCCTCAACGTCAACTCGGCCATCGCTATCGAGAAGGAGGTCGCTGCCGATTCGCTTGGCGAGATCTTTGCTCACACAAAGTCCGGCTTCCTCCCCTTCCTCCAGGAGTCGGTCGAGCAGCTCGTCATCCTGCTCGAGCACTTCTACCAGGGCATCCGCAAGAGTGCAGTCTCAGCCCTTTTCACCTATATCAACACGCTCAACGAGCTCAGCAACCCCCAGCCATGGCAGGCCGGTGTCCACGTCAAGGTTCCCCTCAACGCCGACGTGCAGAAGCTCGTCAACGCTGTCATCCCCGCCGTCATGGAGATGTGGGAGAGCGAAGATGATCGGTAAGTTTACAGTTGAAAAATACAGACACGAGACAGAGACAGGTGCAGGACGTGGACTCTTCGGCTGGCGCTGCCCTCCAATCTAGGTGACAGCCATCAACTACAGGATGACAACATTTCTCAGCTCACAATGACGTCCGTTATAGGAGCGGTCGAACGACTATAATCTTTAACCTATTTTCACTGACCTTTCGGCGACTAGTCCACGTCTCAGCATCTGCACTCGCATCTCGAGCCACGCTATCGTAAAGCTAGGGCAGCCCGAACTGACATCGTGTTTACATCATGCATCTGCCATACGTACAGAACTGCTGCTATCGAGGTCTGCCAGTCGCTGGCCGAGTGCCTTAACAAGAACGGCCCCGCCATTATTGCGCCCGACCACCTCGACACGGTATGCACCTACACCATCATGATCCTCGAGAAGAAGAGCCCACCTCAACTCGACTCGGAGATCCCAGAGGAGGAAAACGAGGAGGCATCCGAGTACGAGTCGGTCCTCGTCTCGGCTGCTTCCGACCTGGTAGGTGCCATGGCCAACGTGCTCGGCGCCGACTTCACCGATCCTTTGAAGCAGTTCATGCCTCAGATCATGAAGTACTACACACCAGGACGTTCAATGAGCGACCGCTCCACGGCCATCGGCTCGCTGGGCGAGATCATCACTGGAATGAAGGGCGCCATCACTCCCTTCACGCAAGACATCCTTTCGTTGCTCTCGCGCGCGCTTTCGGACGAGGAGGCCTCGGTTCGATCAAACGCCGTGTTTGCCTCGGGTGTGTTGATCGAGAACACGCAGACCGACCTGAGCCCGCACTTCCCCCAGCTGCTCAACGCTATCCGACCCTTCTTTGAGAAGAGCCAGAACGAGTCGGACGAGGTGCAGACCGCACGCGACAATGCCTGCGGCTGCCTGTCGAGGATGATCATCAAGAACGCCGATGCGGTTCCCCTGGACCAGGCTCTGCCCATTTTGTTCTCGTCGTTGCCGCTGCAGAAGGACATGGCCGAGTGGTCCCCCGTTCTGCGCTGCATGATCGACCTGATCCAGGCCAACAACGCGGTAGCGTCGCAGAACATCGACACCATCCTCCAGCTGTTTGCCCACGTGCTGGCAGGCGACGAGGACAACCTCGGAGCGCTGTTGCGCGGCCAGGTGTGCGGATTTGTGAGCCAGCTCAACACGCAGATCCCCGACAAGGTGCAGGCTGCCGGTCTGCAACAGTACCTCGTATAAGGCGTACGGTTTTCTCATCCTCCTTCTCTTCATATTGCATAACATACCCGAGTAGTGTTTGTATACATTTGCTCAACTGCACTCAGCGTCCCCAGTCTCGGTTTCCTTTTTCTTCTGGCCCTCGATTCCAGCCTCTCTTCGCTCTAGACGTTCCGAATGGCAGTCGCGTTTCCGATTCAGTGCTTTGTTTGTGTTGCTTTGGTGGCGGTGCGTGCGAATGATGTGCGGACGCAGCCTGAAAGACGAGGCTGCCCGCCGAAGCCAACGTCGATTCTGGGGTCTTACGATTCGACACCGAATTTGAGCGAGAAGAAAACCCCAACGCGACTGCACCGCCTCCTCGCGGTAGGGCAAGCCGTGTTCTTCCCTTTCTCTGATGCCTACAAATATTTGGTTCCCGCATCCGTCAAGGCTCAACAGTATCTGCCTCTTCTTCGAGCTTTGCTCGCCGCCTTACTACGCAGGCAGTGCAAAGGTGATGGTACCGCAACAGCCAAGCGCGATCGCAGTTCGACTGATGAAAACACTGGAAGACTGCTGAATACAGTTTCGGGCCTGTCAAAACGCCTCGCTCAAATACGAAAGGAGTGAGTCCCGGTCTGTCTGTACGCGAACGCGCTCAGCTTTATTTTAGCTAAAAGTTCACAACCAGAGAGTCCAACACTTTTTGATCCGCTCTAACGGCGCTGGACCCTCGGCGTTGAAAGCAGCCTGTGTGGCGCGTTCCGCAAGATTGAGTTGGCAAAAGAAGAGGGAAAAAATCGCGACTCACCTGCAAGACGAACGGTGCGCTGGCGCGAGTGCATGTCTTTTGTGTTGCATTCATTTGGACGGTCAGGTGTAATACGGTGCAACAAGCAAGACAAGACCTGTGCAAGAGCGTCAGAATACACTGCTACTCTGCCGCGCCTCAGTTGCGTGTACGGGATCTGGAGAGCCGTGGCTAAGTAGCAAAGAGCAAGAGAATCGAAGAAGCGGGAGGCTAGCCTGCGTGTGAGTGTTGCTGCAGGCGCGTGCTTGCCGGTTGTTGGTGTGAGTGTCCAAAGCGTGTGAAGCGTGCGAAGCGTGTGAAGTCTCTGCGTGGGCTTCGGGCCAAGTCTCAACGAGCTGCAGACTGGCTGAATTTGGTTTGGCTCGGAGGCGCTCGCTGCTGCGTGTCACTTTTGACTCTCTGCCCCCGGTCCTTCCTGAAACGCAGATGAGGACACCAAGCGACTTTGCCCGCCACGCTTTCGCGCTTTTCCGCCAAGTTGCTTCTGCTCTGTGCTCCGCTAGCTCGGCACTCTATCCTCACGTCTCGCCATCGTCTCACCCTTTGCCTCTCATCTTTCTTTCTCCACCTCTTTTGTTCATCGGGGCTCGCATCGCAAGGTAGACTCGAGTTGCCTGGCTAGACGAGACCGCCAACATTCTCACCTCATCGATTGTGGTGCCGTTCCCTTTCCTTCCTTCACAACGAGAGCAGGCTTCTCGACAGCACGCTTGACGAACCCTCCCGCGGCGTCGGCAGCTCCATCGTCGCGTGTAGCAGCGACAAGCGTTACTCAGCGAGTCACCCCGGCGGTCCTTGGCTCACCTTCATCGGCCATTCCGATCGCTCGTCGGCGGATACTACTTGTACACGAGCAGTGCGCCCTTCTCTGTCACCGGCAGGTCCGAAAAGGCGGTTCTCACGACGCTTCTCTCCTGGACGAGGTGTAGACCGCGACGCGCATTCCTCTTCCACATCACACAGCAGCAGAGCCAGCAATCATGGCACCCGCAGCTGCCGATCTTCTCGCGGCGTTTGTGCCCGGCACCAGAACCTGGTTCCCGGACAAGGAACTAGGCTGGGTCGGCGCAACGCTCGCCAAGCCCGTCACAAAGAGCGCTTCCGGCGATATCACGCTCGAGTTTACCCTCGATGACACGGGCGCGACAAAGACCGTCACCACTTCCGACGCCAAACTAGCAGCAAAGGACGGCGAAGACCAGCTGCCACCGTTGCGCAACCCGCCGCTCCTTGAAGCCACCGACGATCTCACCAACCTGAGTTACCTCAACGAACCTTCCGTCTTGCACACCATTCTCAACAGATACTCGCAGCGCATCATCTACACCTACTCCGGCATCGTGCTTATTGCCGTCAATCCTTTCTACGGTCTCAGCCTCTACAGCCCCGAAATCATCCAGGCCTACTCGGGCAGACGCAAGGGCGAGCTCGAGCCACATCTCTTCGCCATCGCTGAAGATGCCTACCGATGCATGATCCGCGACGAAAAGGACCAGACCATCGTCGTCAGCGGTGAGTCTGGTGCCGGTAAGACCGTCTCTGCCAAGTACATCATGCGCTACTTTGCCACTGTCGAGGATCCCGATCGTCCCGGCAGTCGCAAGGCTGGCTCATCAGGCAAGGACACCAGCGGCATGAGCGAGACCGAACAGCAGATCCTGGCCACCAACCCGATCATGGAGGCCTTCGGTAACGCCAAGACGACCCGCAACGACAACTCGTCCCGATTCGGAAAGTATCTCGAAATTCTCTTTGACAAGAGCCACGAGATCGTCGGTGCCAAGATGCGTACCTACCTCCTCGAACGCTCGCGTCTTGTATACCAGCCGGAAACCGAACGAAACTACCACATCTTCTACCAACTCTGTGCGGGCGCACCCTCCTCCGAAAAGAAGGATCTTGGCCTCGAAGACGCCTCCAAGTTCTTCTACCTCAACCAAGGTGGAGCCGGCAGCCACATTATCAACGGTGTCAACGATGCAGAGGATTTCAAGGCGACACAAAAGGCGCTCAGCACCGTCGGCCTCACCATCGAGCGTCAGTGGAACATCTTCCGTCTCTTGGCTGCGCTCCTACACCTCGGAAACGTCAATATTACTGCTGCACGAAACGACGCCGTCCTGGCCGACGACGAGCCGAGCCTCTTCATTGCCACCCGCATGCTCGGAATCGACTCGTCCGAATTCCGCAAGTGGACCGTCAAGAAGCAGCTCCAGACCCGAGGCGAAAAGGTGATCTCGAACCTCACCCAGGCGCAGGCTATCGTGGTACGTGACTCGGTCTCCAAGTACGTCTACACTTGCCTCTTCGATTGGCTTGTCGACCAGATGAACCGCTCGCTTGCGCTCGGATCCTCCAAGTCGCGCGAGTCCATGATCGGTGTCTTGGATATCTACGGTTTCGAGCGATTCAAGGTCAATTCGTACGAACAGTTCTGCATCAACTACGCCAACGAGCGTCTCCAGCACGAGTTCAACCACCATGTCTTCAAGCTGGAGCAGGAAGAGTACCTGCAAGAGCAGATTTCGTGGACTTTTATCGACTTCTCCGACAACCAGCCATGCATCGACATGATCGAGGGCAAGCTTGGTATCCTCTCCTTGCTCGACGAAGAGTCGCGTCTGCCTTCGGGTTCGGACGAGTCGTTCGTCCAGAAGCTCTACACCCAGATGGACCGACGACCCGAGTTTAAGAACGCTTTCAAAAAGCCTCGCTTCGGCACTACTGGCTTCACCGTCTGCCACTACGCTCTTGACGTCGAGTACTCGAGCGCAGGCTTCGTCGAGAAGAACAAGGACACGGTCCCCGATGAGCATCTCAACCTCCTCAACAATACCAGCAATCCCTTCCTCAAGGAGGTCCTCGACACGGCCGTCAACCTGCACAAGCCCGACGACCCGAACGAATCTTCCGCCGACTCGGCGGTTGCCAAGCCCGCACCTCGCAAGTTGCCCGGCGCCAGCATCAAGAAACCTACGCTTGGTTCGCAATTCAAGACGTCGCTCGTCAGCCTCATGCACACGATCGACAGCACGAACGTCCACTACATCCGCTGCATCAAGCCCAACGAAGCCAAGAAGGCCTGGGAGGTCGAGCCGCAGAACGTCCTCGGACAGCTGCGTGCTTGCGGTGTGCTCGAAACCATCCGCATCAGCTGTGCTGGTTACCCGTCGCGCTGGACGTTTGCTGACTTTGCCGAGCGGTACTACATGCTCGTCTCCTCCGATCGCTGGAACATGTCGGACATGGACAAAGTCAAGGCGCTGGCCACCCACATCCTCACCACCACCATCACTGAGAAGGACAAGTACCAGACCGGTCTCACCAAGATCTTCTTCCGAGCCGGCATGCTCGCCCAGTTCGAGCAGAGGCGTACCGACCGCCTCAATGCGGTCACCACCGTCATCCAGAAGAACCTGCGTCGTCACGTCCAGCAGAAAAAGTACCAGGCGATGCGGACCAACTCGGTCAAGTCCCAGTCGTGGTGGCGAATGCGCTTGGCGATCAAGCATGTCAACGATCTTCGACAGGCCACCGCCGCCACCAAGATCCAGACGATCACGCGCGGCTTCCTGGCGCGCAAACAGTACCAGACGACGCGCCAGGCCGTCATCAAGATCCAGAGCGTCGTCCGTGGACGCGCCGTGCGATCCACGTACAAGACGGCCAAGATCGACTTTGCCGCTGCACGTCTCCAAGCGCTTCTGCGCGGTGCCATGGCGCGCCGCCAGTACCGCAAAGAGAAGCAAGGCGTCATCCACCTCCAGTCGTGCTACCGTCGTCGCCTCGCCAAAAAGGAGCTCGTCGCCCGCCGAAACGAAGCCCGATCCGTCTCGCACTTCAAGGAGGTCTCGTACAAGCTCGAAAACAAGGTCGTGGAGCTCACGCAGAACTTGCAGAAACGCATCAAGGACAACAAGGAGCTCTCGTCCAAGATCAAGGCGCTCGAAGCCCAGATCCTCACGTGGCAAGGCAAGCACGAGGAAGTCGAAGGCAAGAACCGTGGCCTCACCGAGGAGCTCGCCAAGCCTACCGTCGCCATGGCCGAGTTTGAGGCGCTCGTGGCCGCCAAGAGGGAGCTCGACGCCAAGCAGGAGGCCTCGCTCAAGCGCATCGCGGAGCAGGACAAGCGCATCAACGACCTCACCGCCGAGATCGAGCGCCAAGCCGACGAGCTGCAGGCGCGGTCAGAGGCCCTCAACGGCGCCACCAAGTCGTCCGAGGACGACGTCGCCACCATCAACACGCTTCGATCCGAGGTCGCCGGCCTGCGCGAGCAGCTCAACCGTGCCAACGCGCTCAACACGCTGCAGAAGAACTCGCAGCGCATCGAGAACGCCGCACCGCCTGTGTTCAACATGTCGACCGGCAAGGAGAACGGCTATGCGGCTGGCGGAAGCAAGCGCCGTCCTCGTCGTCACAGCGAAGCTGGCCCGTGGAGCGATGCCCCTGCTGGCCGCGACGAGCACGAGGAGGCCATGATGGCTGCCAAGCGCAGCGCTGCCACCGCCAACCGACATGTCTCGGTCGCGTTTGGCCTTGAGGGTCATCAGATCCCCGGCTTCGGTCAGCGCAACGGCTACGACGACGAATACGATGAGGACGACCCGTCCGAGGAGATCATCCGCATCCTCGAGAACGAAGAGCAGCTCGACGAGGACGTCCTCAATGGGCTCATCCGCTTCCTCAAGGTGCCGGCACCGAGCCTGCAGAACCCTCCGTCACCCAAGGAGGTGCTCTTCCCGGCGCACCTCATCTCGCTGGTCACCAACGAGATGTGGAAGTACGGGCTGGTGCGCGAATCGGAGCGCTTCCTCGCCAACGTCATGCAGACGATCCAGCAGCACGTCATGTCGTTCCAAGGCGAAGAGGCCATCATCCCGGGCATCTTCTGGCTCTCCAACGTGCACGAGATCCTTTCGTTTGTCTGCATCGCCGAGAGCGACATGCTGCAAGGTATCGGCCCTGGCGTCGACGGGGCCGCCCGCTCGTTTGAGTGGGGTGACTACGAGCGACTTGTCACCATCGTCAAGCACGATCTGGACTCGCTCGAGTACAACATCTACCACACGTGGATGCAGGAGGCCAAGAAGCGTCTGCACAAGATGGTGATCCCAGCCTTGGTCGAGAGCCAGTCGCTGCCCGGCTTTGTGACGAGCGACCACTCGGGCCGACTGTTCAACCGATTGCTTTCGAACAACTCGACGCCTACGCACACGATGGATGACATTCTGGGCATCCTCAACAAGGTGTGGAAGAGTCTCAAGAGCTACTACGTGGAGCCTTCGGTGACGCAGCAGGTGGTGACGGAGCTGCTGAAGCTGATCGGCGTCACGAGCTTCAACGACCTGCTGATGCGAAGGAACTTTTGCTCGTGGAAGCGCGCCATGCAGATCCAATACAACATCACTCGTATCGAAGAATGGTGCAAGTCGCATGACATGCCCGAAGGCACGCTGCAGCTGGAGCATCTGATGCAGGCGACCAAGCTGCTTCAGCTCAAGAAGGCAACGTTGGGCGATATCGACATCATCTACGACGTTTGCTGGATGCTGACGCCGACGCAAATCCAGAAGCTCATCTCGCACTACTACGTAGCTGACTACGAGAATCCGATCTCGCCCGAGATCCTCAAGGCGGTAGCATCGAGGGTGGTGCCCAACGACAGGAACGACCACCTGCTATTGCCGCCCGAGGTGGACGAGGCTGGTCCGTACGAGCTGCCGTTGCCGAGAGAAGTGACGGGCATCGAGACGTACTGCCCGGCGTACATTTCGGTACCTGCCATTCGACGCTTGGCGAGCCGCGTAGCGTAACAATGAGCCCCTCTACCGCATTTTCTCGATTCACTCTGATACCACTACAGCAACCGACCCCTCTCCCATCGTGTATATTTCGTCGCGCTCTCTAGATCCGAAACATAGTCATCCCGATTGAAGCACTGTCTGCGCCACGGCCTCCTTGTCGCGATTGCATTTGAGGATAACGATGAATTGATGCTCACTCGCAGAAGTGGGATCGATCGGGTTGCAGCGGCCGAGATCGAAATATCGAATATGCCACATGGCGGACCGATCACACTCACCATACAGAGTACAGGAGCGGCAAGTCGGGGCTGTGAGATCGAGCAGGGAGGACGCGTCATCTCGGAGCTCAGGGTCCAGAACGACAGAGAAGCTCAAGGTATGTGAAAGAGGATTTGCAACCGCAAGATTTTCGTTGGTCGTTCCTGAGCCACAGAAATTCGGTGACCTAGGCCACATTTCTGTGTGGAGGTTGATGCTCCAAAAACTCAAAATGGTGAAGGTTTCGCCACAAAAAGCGTCAGTCTCAGTCAATTTGAAGTCTCAGCCCGCGCCGTTGACTCAGGTTTGGTGAGGATTTGTGTGGAAATTGCGTGTCGAATTGTGTCGATTTCGATTCGAGAGACTCAGCTGCTGTCGCAAAATTTTCGACCCATTCCGAATTAGGCTAGTGGCCTAGATAAGACAGAAAAAATATTTAAAACAGAACAGCACAGCACAGTGAACAGTCTCGACCTGCAACGGCCCAACGGGTGAAATTGGGTCCCGATAGTTTCAGACTCAGCCTAAGCCAGGAAAGTCTAAGTGACGCGTTAGATTGGCCTCGCTTGCATATGGCGCATGTCGCTGTCTCCTGTTGCGGGCGTTAGAGTGTGAGAGATAAACCAGCGTGCAATCACAACATTACTGCGCTCCGCTGTGCTGTGGAGCTACGCAATTGCCAGCTCGCCTGACCCGAGTCACACACGCACACACAGCCCCCGCCTAGCATGTATAAGACCTTGCCACTTATCTCTCTGCCCCCCCACCATCATCAGCATACACCGACACCTACGTTCAAGCCATCTCGACGGACTTCCCTCGTCGACATCGCCATCAGCAACTTCCAGCGTCCTCCATCTGCCGTACGCCGCGGGCTCCTCTATCCCGCATCGATCTGCAAGTGAAGCCGCAGCAGCGAGCCACTCTTGATTCAAGTCAACCCAGCATACTTCAGCCCATCGTTCGAACCTAGCTCGCATCGTAAGTAAGCTGCTCGGCGTTCATCGCACCGCTTCTTCTGTCATCTCCCAGCCCAGGCATCTCAGTGGCTAACCCTCGATCCTCGTATTGCGCATCTACTGGCACCCGCCATCATTTGACCCGGACAGATGCAGATCTTTGTCAAGACTCTTACCGGCAAGACCATCACCCTCGAGGTCGAGTCCTCCGACACTATTGACAACGTCAAGGCCAAGATCCAGGACAAGGAAGGCATTCCTCCTGATCAGCAGCGTCTCATCTTTGCCGGAAAGCAGCTCGAAGACGGCCGCACCCTTTCGGACTACAACATCCAGAAGGAGTCGACCCTTCATCTCGTACTCCGTCTCCGCGGTGGTATGCAGATCTTTGTCAAGACCTTGACAGGCAAGACAATCACCCTCGAAGTTGAATCTTCGGACACCATCGACAACGTCAAGGCCAAGATTCAGGACAAGGAGGGCATCCCACCTGATCAGCAGCGACTCATCTTCGCAGGAAAGCAGCTCGAGGACGGCCGCACCTTGTCGGACTACAACATCCAGAAGGAGTCCACCCTCCACTTGGTGCTCCGCCTCCGTGGAGGCGCCAAGAAGCGATGCCAGAACGGCGCAGGCTCTGAGGGTCAGTGCAAAGACGCAGCCATCAACCTGGTCGGAGAATGCCCCCACTGCAGCCTCAAGTTTTGCGGCAAGCACCGTTTGCCCGAACAACACAAGTGCGCACAGGTAGAGCAGGTGCGCAACGCCGCTTTCGCTGCCAACAAGGCCAAGCTGGAGAGTGAGCGTACGCAAGCCACTCGTGGTCTCGCTCATTGAGCGTCAGCTTGTGAATGGCTCTTTCAGCCGCCTTTCTCCTCCGTCCCTCGTCACAGCATAATCTCAAATACCACAACGTCGTCTTTCAAGTCATCATTGCACTGTCCTTCGTCCTCCGTACCTTTCTTTCTTGCAACACCCTTATCTGTATTACTAGCTTCATAGAGACTCATCAACTAGAGATCTTGTTTCGCCTGGCATCGTGAGTGCGCCGAGAGGTGTGTGAGAGGCGAAATTTCGACAAGGTGAGGCCGTACGTGTTGGGATGGCAAGATGTTATCAAGCTGATCAACGTGCGCGTTTGCGCGGCTTGATGTCCAACTCTTCGTCGCTCTCGTCGTCCTCGTCCTCTCCTTGCTCGTTGTGTGACCGACGTCGAGATGGCTGTTGCAGAGGCGTCTGTTGGTGATCAGGTTCTGGTTTGACTCGAGTAGATCTTCGCGGTGTTGGCTCGTCGTCGTCCTCGTCTTGCTCTTCGTCGTCTTGTGGTGTTACGGCAGTTCTCGTATGTTGCTGCTTTACATCTTGCTCTTCCTCCTCCTCGTTTTCTTCATCGTCATCTTGCTCGGACGCTTGCCGTCTCCCGCGGCGCTGCGGTGGCTCAGCCTGTGATGCCTCACCCTGCGAGCTGAAAAAGCCATCGTGATCGGCCGTGCTCAACCGCAACGCCCTCGGACCGATGGGACGCGACTTCCACACCCTTCCGCAGTCGGAACACGAGAACCCGCCGGCCAATTTTTGCAGTGCATCGTCGTCGTCCACGGCTGAGCCGATGGTGTTTCTCGCGCAGTGCAGGTGGTACCTCGTCGTACACCCACGCGAAGTGTACGAGCATCCAACGCCTAGCGTGACGATGTCTTTGCAGTGGGAGCAGGTGTGGAAGTACTCGTCGCCAAATTCGTTCTGCAGGTAGTTGCGAAGTTCGAGTAGCGCTCGTGTTGACAGGGTGTAGATGCCGTCGGAGGAGTAGTCGATCCAGTTGTGATCTACGAGGTTCTTGAGCAGTTCTTCCGTGGCATCTCGAGTCAGGTGGGTTCGGAGTTTGCTTCCTAAGCGGACCGCTTCAAGCGATGGTATCGCATACGCTTCCCTCCTCGCTTTGAAGATCTCCTCAATCAGCTTCTTTACGAACGCAATCTCGTTACTCGAGTACCGTGTAGCGCCCTGAACCAGCGCGTCGTCCTTGGTGTTGACCAGCGCGAGCATCGTCTGCCCCGTCTGCTGGTCGCGAAAGTTGCGCAGCTCAAGGTCGAGAACGGACAGGTGTTTGGCGGCTTCGTCGAACATGGTGCGGTAGGCTGCTTCGGTGTACTGCAGGTCGAGGATGGTGCAGCATCGTTTGTAGAGGTGTTTGGCGAAGGGGGCGGGTACGATTCGGTGGGAAACGATCGATTGCAGCCATGATACGCGAGCGGTGGCTGCCTTGTCGACGTCGGACATGGCGCCGAGCGTAGAAGGTGAGGTGTATGTGCTCGATGCGCAGGGTGAAGGAACGTGTGAAGGGAGGCGATGGGATGAGGAGCGGAGGGAAGACGGCAAGTGTCAAGAAGCTGCTCGAGATGCGGGTGTGGAATTTCCATAAGTGCTGAGTCGGTGCAAGTGTTGGTCTCGACCAAAATCTGACCCGCGCGCCGTGGACCGCGTCTCGCTCAGGGTTTCGAGGGATGCCGCGTAAATTGCATCCGTTGCGAATTGACAGTTGATACAGGACGACTGGCTCCCAAGCCCTTCAGAAAGGTTGTCTGCGGATTCTTCAGCGGATCCTCCTTCGCATCAAGGCTCAGTCATAGATGTCACTGTCGAATCGCTGACTCGAGCCAAGACCAAGCGACTCGACGGCGTGAGATCTGGCTCTGTCCTCAAGCTTCATCGAGAGCGCCTTTCGCCGGGAATGCCAAGCGCTTCTCCCAACCTTTGATCGTAGTTGCGGATCAACTGCTCGAGACGCTGAACGTCTGGCTGCTCGCGCTCGCCAAGAATCCGACTTTCAATCCAATTCTCCAGGTAAATTGTCCTGACGTCGCTGAAAAGTTGACGCAGTTCCCGCATGTCTTTGATTGGAACAAGCGGCACCACATGATAGTTGTCCTTGTGGAAGTACAACTGCGTCGTAGGCTTCGTTGATGTGCTGTCTGATGGCGCGTTAGGAGACCCAGCAATGGAAGACTCGTTCTTGACCGACGGCGTGTGAACGAATCGCTCCCGTTGGAATACCACAAGGGCTCTGTCTAGGTCTTTGACATCAAGCGAGGACTGCGATGTCGGCGGCGGGTAAGCCATACCAGGAGAAAGTTGTGTCGTGCCTGCAGAGTACAAGGGCCCCAAAAGGTTCTCGTTAAAGCTCTCTTGCGGAGGAGCGGAGCCATACTCCTTGTGCTTGTCGAGCGGACCGCCAAGAAGACCAGAGATCTTTCCAAACACCATCTGATCCGCATGTTCAACGTCGACGCCTTTATGCAAAAGCTCCTGGTATGCACGAACGTTCGACCTCTTCAGCCAAACACCGCTGCTGCACGCCTTCTTGATCCTCCTGCATCTCTCACAGATCCACTGCTGCGTATCGGCCGCAGGGCTAAGGCAGGCCGTGTGGTTGCGTGCCTTTGTGCAATTCAAGCAGTCGACCCAATGTCGATCCAAAAGCAGGGCCCTCACAGTCTGCAGGTCGGTCATACGTCTCTTGCCATGCTGATCACTCCGAGAAGGTCCGTGAGAGTCAGCATCAGCCTCAAGCATTGTGTTGTAGCTTCGTTTGAAGTGACTGCCTTGCGACGAAGAGGTAGATGATCTCATTGTTGTCAATTTCTGCTATTTGGACGGTATGGCTGGAGAAAGTATGATGGAGTACGGGAGGAAGAAGCAAAGTGCGGAAAGGCGTTCCTTTATACAACTCAGCAGGCTCAGCACCGAAAATCGTGACACAGTACACCTTGACTATGACCAAGTGTCTGCGCAACGCGTGACGATCCGCAGTAAATCCCACCCTGCCTTGCAATCCCTGTTCAGAGGTATCGGTGCCTTCGCTGCGGAAGTGGAATCCAAACTCGAACACAGCCGCAAGTATCTCGTCACTCGACAACCTTGACGACAGACCTTTTGAATCTCGATCCTGCGTGTTCGACGTCGCTCAGCAAGCACTACAACATATCAATATCGTTGGAGTCGCGTCCGTCGAGCTCTGCACACCCGCACTTCGGCAATCTCCAAAAAAGGCACCGGCAAAATATTCGCCGCCGCCTCGCAAATCTCCCTTTTCCGTCACATTTAGCGATCTTGGCACCGATGCCTCCTTGCCGTGGTTTCGCACTCCGGTCCGCAGGAGCGACACGGTGCTTTGGCAGCGATCCGTCGGGTATATCACCGTCTTTCCGACTCAGCCCCCCGGCACCTGGCTCAACGTCAATACAGTAAGTATATGACATCATACTGCCCTGTCGAATTCTCCGCCGCTTTTGTTCTTGCGTGCATACGGACTTTTCGTGGCGGTTTCTGCTTCCAATAGACAGCTTCCTACCAGGTGTGAGCAGCACACTCTGAAGTGAGCGCAGACGACGATGCTTCGCGAGCATTTGGTATGGTGAGAATGCTATGGAAAACCCCGTGCTCGGTGTGGAAACGCGGAAAATTGACCGATGCAATCCTTGACATCGGCTAAGCGCGTTACAAGCGAGGTTCGTGTTGGAGGCTGTTTCGGTGTGGTGGTTCGAGTTTCCATTCGAGACTTGGCGTGGGGGTAAACAGCAACCACACCCTACTTCGGCGGTTTAACCGGCGCTTGTCAAGTTGCGACCCCACCTGGCTCCCTCTGCCTCTGGGGTTGCTTGATTGTGGGGCAGCCGGGGGGCCGAGGGTGCGGAATGTATTTAATCCACTGGCTCCTTGATGAGCTCACGGACGCAGTTGTCTTCCGAACAAGTCCCTACACCGACCTGAGATCGTATCATCATGGAGTCTCCCGACTCGCTCACCAGAGGTCCGGTCACACCGATCGACACCGACAAGCTCACCAAAGAGACGTCTCCAACCGACGTCTTCAAGACCACGACGCTGCACAAGATTGACACCTCCGACTTCCCCGAGCTGCCAGAACCATGGTGGAGCAAGTACCTCCTCAATCCGTACAACGAGAAACGAGTGCTCAACCTCTCAGCTTTCCAGATGAAATGGGCGGTCCAAATCGTAGCAGGTGTAGCCATCCTGTTCTTCGGGTACGATCAAGGAGTCATGAGTTCGGTCAATGAGTCGAAAGACTACCTTCGCCTCATGGGGACCGCTTCTGGCGTCAACGGGAAACAGACCGAAAGGGACTCGGCTGCGGTGGGAGGTATCGTAGCGATCTACTACCTCGGAACGCTGATCGGCGGTATGCTGGCAGGCTACATGGCCGACAGCGCTGGTCGAATGAGGACCATCATGTTCGGCTCCTTTTGGATCCTCCTCGGCGCTAGCTTGCAGGCTTCTGCTCAGAATATCGCATGGATGATGGTGAGCAGAACCCTGACCGGAATCGGTACGGGTATCTACAACTGTTGCGTGCCCGTATGGGTCGCGGAGATCTCGAAGCATGACAAGCGTGGCCAGGCGATAGGTTTCGAGTTTACAGCCAACATTGCCGGTCTTGCTCTGGTGTACTGGATCGGTTTCGCGGTCAGAGACATGGAAACCGGCGGGTTCAACTGGCGCTTCCCTCTTGCCTTCCAACTGGTCTTTGTTCTCGCGCTCATGGCCGCCCTGCCCTTCTTCCCCGAATCGCCTCGATGGTTGGCCAAGATGGGTCGAGTCGACGAAGCACGCCGCATCCTCGCTCGACTGCGTTCGAATCCGTACGACGAGCAGGATGCCGAAGTCAGCCGCGAGCTCGCCGAAATCCTTGCTGTTGCGAAGGTCGAACGTGTCCGACAGGAAAACGGCGAAGACGGCTTCATCCGAATGTTCGTCACCTCTGCTGGCAAACTTCACATCCGTCGTCGAATCGTGCTCGTCGTGTGGCTGCAGATCTTGCAAGAACTAGCCGGTATCGGCGTCATCACCGTCTACGCCCCCACGGTGTTCCGGTCCGGAGGGTTCACCGATACCCTCGCTCGACTTCTGTCTGGATTCAACGACGTCTCGTACATGTTTTCCGTGCTCATCGCTGTCTTCCTACTCGATCGTACCGGAAGACGCAAAACGTTGTACTGGGGAAACATCGTCATGGGTATCTCGCTGCTCATCGCCGGCGTAGCTGCCAAATACGCACTTGAATACGGCGCCGGTTCGGCCATGGAGAATCTCCCGCTGGCGAAGCGATGGGGTGCCGCGTTGGCTGCGATGGTCTTCCTCTACACGGCGACGTTCGGTGCAACATGGCTGAGCGTGCCGTGGTTGTATCCGACCGAAGTGTTCCCGCTGTTCATCCGGGCCAAAGGTGGAAGTTGGTCGGTGTTCGGTTGGAGTATCGGTAACGGAATTGTGACTGAGATCACGCCGTTCTTGTTCAACGCGATCAGCTACAACACATTGTAAGTCGCCTTTGGGGAACAAGGTATGAGCACTAGGATGATGATCCGTTACTGACACTAGGACTTTTTTCTTCTTCCTTCACCACTCAGCTTCCTGTTCGGAGCGCTCAACTTCTTCTGCATGCCGTTCGTTTGGGCTTTCTACCCAGAGACGAGTTGCAGATCACTCGAGTCGATCGACGAGCTGTTCGAGGGTGACTCGGCTTTCATTGCCTTTGACAAGCGTCTCACTTCCGTAGGGAGGGTCAAGAGCGTGGATGAAGAGAGTGACGCTAAACACGCTGGCGACTTGTAATTTGATCAATCGGAACACTCGACTAGCACAAGCTTCTCAAAAAATCTTGCCAGCGTCCCTTAACGATTGCGATTGCCTCGTAGCATCATGTGAAATGTGTCATGGCCCGCAAGACATGATGTGAGGTGCAGCTCGGGAGGAGCGCCCAATGTCCTACTCCTTCTTGGCACCAATCTTTTTCGCCTCTCGCTTAGCCTGCTTCTTCTGCTGCCGCCTTGACCCCTTCGCCGGCTCATCTGCCTTCCCGTCCTCTTCCTTCTTCTCTGCCTCATCCGCAGCCGCCACCGGGGTCTGAAAAGTGCTGCTCGCCCACAGAATCGCACAAACCGTAGCCGTCGCACTCAACCAAACCACATACCTCGGGTCCGACCCCTCCTGATAATACCCCGACCTCTTCTTGATGTCGTTCTCGTACGTTATCAATAGCATCGTGAACGCCAACAGCGACAGCACCATACCCATCACAGGATGACCTGCTATCCCGAGTCGTTTTCGAAACTCGTAGTTGACCAAAGCACCGAGGTCTTTAAATGCGACCAGGAAGAAGGCAGCAAAGATGGTGGTGGCGGAGAGGGCGCATAAGGACGGCATGACGGAGTCTACTGGCCAGGAGGGTTGGGCGAGGCGGAAGATTGAGCCGGGGGAGAGGGTTTGGAGGGGAGCGGGAATGGCGGGGACGGCAGGGGTGAGGAGGAACTCGCGGTAGTTGCGAGGGAACATGGGTATGCGGGTTGGCGGCGTGAGTTCCAACATCTCGATGAAGACAATAAGCGAAGGTTGGTGACAAACGGTGATTGTCAGGGGTGTGGTGGTGGTAGCTGAGATCGGAGAGGTTGTGTTGAGGGTGGTACGATGTTTGAAGGAAGAGTATTGGATGGGAAGAACCCCGCATTTTTGGACGTGTGGCATCGCCGACGATTGGCGCTTCTCGACTCGACTCGTGCGGTATTCTTGCCTTTCCAAAAAATGATCGTCATCGTGCCGCTGAGAAGAAATATAAGGCACACAAGAACCCGTATCCGAAGATCCGGTTGCAGATCCGTCAAATTACTTTGATTGACAAGCTCGATACTCTCCTCAGCTCCGTCTTCTCCCACCATCTACATCGCATCACCACACCAAGACCCGTCATTCACAATGTCCTCCTCAGACGCCGCCGCAAGCACCTCCAGCAAACCGTTTTGCCTGGTCAAGTCCTCCATCAACATCGACGAAACCTTCCTTGTCCCTCACATCGTTCGACCGGGTGAAACGCTCTCTTCCACCGGTCTCGTCTCGCGCCCTGGAGGCAAAGGAGCCAACGTCTCTGCAGCGATCGCGCTCGCTGGTGCATCCGTCTCCTTCTCTGGAGCCGTCGGCAAGGATGCACCGTGGCCGCTGAAGGAACTCGAATCGCGCCATGTCATCACCACCGACGCCGAGATCCTCGACAACGTCCCCACCGGTCGAGCCTTCATCCAGATCGCACAGGATGGCGAGAACAGCATCGTCCTACTCAAAGGCGCCAACTTTGCCACGGACAGCAAATCATCCGATCCCGAAAAATCTTGGTCGGATAAGATCACGCATCTGGTGCTTCAGAACGAGATTCCGTTGCAGACGACGGTTGCGTTCCTGCAGCACGCAAAAAAGGTTGGGAGGCATGTGACGACGATCTTCAACCCAAGTCCTATGCTGACGCAGGAGGAAGTGGAGCGATTCCCGTGGAAGAGCGTGGATGTGCTGGTGGTGAACGAGGGAGAGAGTATGGACCTTTTGAGGGTGCTTCAACCGGAACACGCAAAGAAGCTCGAATCGCTTCCCGAGGGTCAGGATCGATCACGACAGGTGCTCGAGACGCTGTCATCGCTCGAGCAGCTACAGGAGACCGCATGGGTGGTGCTGACACGTGGTGGACAGGGTGTCATGGCAAACGTCGTGTTGGCCGAGAGTCAAGAAGGGAAACGCAGCTTTTTCAATGTGCCACCGTTCAGGCCGAAGCAGGTGAAGGACACAACGGGTGCGGGTGACACATTTGCGGGGAACTTGGTGGCAGCGTTGATGGGTCATAATGTCGATGCGGATGAGGCATTGTTGAGCTCGGCTAGACCGAAGGGGGAGAAGTTTGTGGAGGAAGCGTTGAGGTGGGCCGCAAAAGCGGCCAGTTTGGCGTGTGAGAAGGAGGGGGCGATGCAGAGCATTCCTTCTGCGGACGAGGTCAAGGCGAGGAGCTCATGATTTTCCTATCGATAGCCTTCTGACCGGCCCATTATCTTTGTCTAAACAATGCCAATACTCGTTCATCACACACCAATCCTCGTCTGTAGTCGGTAGGAGTATGCAACTGGAATAAAGAGCGAAAGACAACATGTTCTCTACATGCCACGTCACTTCTTCTCGCGCACCACCTTGTCGATCCACTGAGCGACGTACTCGACGTTGTTGGTCGTCAAACCAGCCATCGAGATACGCGAGTTGGCCGTGAGGTAAATGTGACCCTCCTCCAACAACCTCTTGCACTGGTTGGTATCGAGGCCCAAGAAGGTGAACATGCCGATCTGCTTCAAAATGTGATCCCAGTTTCCGGGCGTCTGGAACTTCTTCGTCAACAGATCGAACAAGCTCTGCCTCATGGTGATGATTCGACCTGCCATCTCCTTGACGTCGGCCTGCCACTGTTTGAACAACGCAGGGTCGGTCAAGATCATCTTGACCACACGAGCACCGAAAGCGGGAGGGTTGGAGATCTCGGAACGCTGGATCGCGGCGAGCTGCGAGAACACGGCAGCGTTCTGTTCGGGCGTGGCCGAGACGACGTGGAGCGCACCGACTCGTTCACCGTACAAGCCAGCATTCTTGGCGAAACTCTGGCAGATGAGAAGAGGGATGCTCTTGCGCTCGACAAAGTGTCGTACCGCCCAAGCGTCCCTGTCGAGATCGCCGGATGCGAAGCCCTGGTAGGCGCAGTCGAAGAAGGCAAAGTGACCCTTTTCGACGAAGATGTCGGCGATCTGCTTCCACTGCTCCTGCGTAGGATCGACACCGGTAGGATTGTGCGCGCACGCGTGCAGCAGGAAGACGCTCTGGTTCTTGGCCTGCTTCAAGGTGTTGGTGAAGCCGGCAAAGTCCAGCGCGATGGTCTTGGCGTCGTAGTAAGGGTAGTCGACGGGCTTGATGCCGACGGTGTTGAAGATGGCCTTGTGGTTGGCCCAGGTTGGATTTGAGATGTAGATCTGACGCTCGACGCCGAATGCCTGGTATTGGTAGAAGCGCTGGAGGAAGACGGCGCCAAGATGGTTGGCACCGGTACCGGAGATGGTTTGGACGGAAGCGACGCGCTTCTCGGCGATGGCAGCCGAGTCGGAGCCGAGGATGAGCTTGGCTGCGGCGCTGGTGAACTCGGGTAGACCAGTGATGGAGAGGTACTCATGGTCGACCGACTCGTCTGCGATGAGGTCTGCCTGCGCCTTCTTTACCGATGGGAGGACGTAAGGCTTGCCATTGTTGTCACGGTATGCACCGACACCGAGGTTTACCTTCTTGTCGTACGTGTCAGCCTTGTAGGAAGCGGTGAGCTTGAAGATGCTATGGTTGGCGAAGCGAGCGGAAGGGATTCGAGTCAGCAAGCCGTCAAAGAAGCCCTGAAGTCGAGGGGAAGGTAGGTTGCAACTCACGCATCTTCAGGAGCCTGTGGGACGGCACTCCAGACAGCGAGTGCTGATGATTGTTCCGGAATCGAGCCCATGATGTGAGTGTAAAGTGGCGGTCAGCTCGAGCCTAACGTCGCAAAGGTTCCAGAGAGTCGCAACCGAGAGTGATGGGAGAGGGGGGAGCAGTCCAGCGGGTGGTACGAGGCTAGATAAGGCCTTCGGTGAAGCAGTGTCGGACAGGAGGAGTGGCGCTGCCGTCAAGAAGAACACTCTTGCAGCGCGGATGTCGATTTACCGACGAGAGGCAGCATACCGCTTCTCCCACAATTTTACCACGGCAGCGGCAGCAGCTCTATGCGCTGGAGTCACAGCGTGGGGGGGCACAGGGTTGGCTCACCTGGGCGGTGAGCGTGACCTTGCGGAAGATTGCCGATACGCGCTGCTCGAGCGCACAACAACCAGAATTGTCTCGCAGGCAACCGGCGATTTAAGTGCTTTCGACCACTCTCGCTTTCCGCGCGATAAATTGGCAGCTAATTGCATGGTCAATTTGCGACTTAACAAGGCTCTGCTGACCAACCGGTCCGGATGGACTGAATGCCGCTCAGACGAGCACGGCACTGCAATCATCGTACAGACGCTACACCGACGGCGCAATGCATCTCGCAGAAGCCTGCCAACCATCGCTCTTGTCTCCAAGACCTTTCTGCCTGTAATGCCTTTACTTCGCCCTTGACCGCTCGCTGCTTCGTAGTCAGGTGAATAGCAGTGCTTCTTTGGTATTGAAGAGTTTCGACTTACCTGCCTGACTGATGCCGTTGGATCCAGAGATGTGACCCTGGATGTTGCCGAGACGATTTGCTGCCATGATTGCAGATGTGGTGATTCCGTTTCCTATTGTGCGTCGACGAGTGATGAAAGGATGGGATGTCCGTCCAGGTGAAGTGTTGCAGCGGTGCTGGTGACTACGACGTTCAACAATGATGATACGGGGGCGTACAGCGGGATGTGTTGGTCGGGAGGACAAGTTGCAAACCAGCCATTCGAAGAGCAAATGACGAAGAAGCCGATGCAGACCTCCACGATCAAAAGACCCTCTCTCCTCTCGGGTGTCGTGCTGTTGCCTGGTGCGGATCGCTGGATGCGGGGCGATGCAGTGCGGAGTCGCGTGAATTTGTCTTGTGAGAGTGTCCAGGATCGAGAAAAATCCGGAAAGCTTCGGGCTTTGCCCTAGTGTGCAGCAGCTGGCAATCTCGCGCTCCACCGCACACAATTCAACAAATGGTCTTCGGGTCGGGCTTACCATCATATCGCACACTCCTTTTCAAATCGAGTGATCATAACGTCGATGCTGTAACAGGCTCGGACTGAGCAAGCCGATCGAGCACATAGCACGCTGAACAATATCAGAGCACGAGTGAGAAAAGAACAGACGCCAAAGGTTGGTCAAGGCTGGCATTTCTCTTAGGCAGCTTCAGACATGTCTACGTCCTCTTCCCTGACGGTAGTTGTATCCCGTGCCGAAGCAGGATCGGGTTTGACTCCTTCTGTCGTGGTCTCTGTCTCTACCTTTGCGTCGGGCTCTGCCGAGGCCTTGATGTCGTTCGGCTCAGCCCTTGCTTCTATTCCTGTCTCCGAAACCTCCGTTGTTGTTGGCACAGCGGGGATGGCAACCGGGATGTCTGATGAACCTGTGGCTAACTCGCCTTCGTCCTTGATTTTCGGCTGCTCGGGGGACAGCTTGGCAGGTCCCTGCGAGGTGACATCCGTCATCTCCAAATCTTCCGCCTTCACTGCCTTGCTCGTGCCGTCTTCTGCGCCCTCCTCTGCCTTGCCGGCGTCTGTATCCTCGGTCTTTGTAACACTGTCAGCTACAGCCTGCTGCACCGGCATTGCCGCCTTTGGCTTGGGATTGCGTTCGTCCTCCATCTCCTTGAGCAGTCCCTCGATGTTCTCCGGTCGATCCGGCTTGCCAAACAGATGCAAGTTGTCCCGACTCGCCACACGCAATGCCCTCCACGCCAGACTCTGCATGGTCTCGATCGTTGCCTGAACGCGTTCATCCTTTTCCAACTTGTCCCGTTCCTCCTTGGTCAGCTCGGTCTCGGCGGTAGCCGGATCGATGCCGAGCTGCTTCTTGCGCATATCGAGCTTCATCTTTTCGCGCTGGATCGACTTGTTGTAGTGCTCGAGGCTCGGAGCCGCAGGTGCAAATTCGAGCTCTTCCAGTCCATCCGTTGCCACGGTCACGTACTCGCCCATCTCGTTCTCCACGCGTCGTGTGCCAGGGACAGGCGGTTTGAGGCCGTCCTCCCAGAGTTCCGACAGCGCTGCGGTGCCGAGTTTGTGAGGATAAGGCTCGGCTTTGCGCAGCAGTAAGGCCCTTGCTGACGCGAATTGGGCCATCTGCTCTGGAGAAAGAGGCGGCTTCTCGATTGAGGGGCATGACTCTGTCTTCCATCGGATCCAGTTGGCTTCGCGTTTGAGCACTTCGAGTACCGACTCGAGGAAAAGTCTTCCGTCCGGTTGGATCTCGCGGATCAGCGCCTGGATCTCCCTCCATGTCGATCTGATCCAACGCTCATCCGCTTCCTCGAGCGTGAAGAGCGCCTGCAACGTCTTGTTTTTCCAATCCTTCCAGCTTTCTTTGGCGGCAGGTGTAAAGGACAGGAGGTATTGGAACAGCACAAGGTACTGGACCAAGATGTGTTTGCGGAACGAGGTGTCGCGGATCTCGTACTCGAACAGCTTGCGTCCCGTGAGGTATGTGGGGAAGAAATGTCCGCGTTCTGCCACCGCTTCTCGCTCCGCCGCTTCCGCAATAGGGTCGAGCATGTCTTGATCAATATCAGCATTGGGTCCTACGACGCCGTCTTCGATGTCTGGTCGGGAGCGTTTCGTTGGTGGTTCGTCTGCCTTGCGCCCTAATGAAAGCCCGACGACGTAGCCGGTGTTCGCGGCAAGGCTGTCGTTGGGCCTCTTATTGGACAGCGGCGTGGCACTTTCTGACCCAGCTCTTAGAGCACCGCCCTTGCTTCGATTGTTTTTAGCTTCCTCAGCGCTTGCGGCACCTGCAAGCTCCTTTTCACGTTTGTTGACAGCGCCGAAAAGCTTCAAGATCTTGGCAGTGCTGATGCGCAACTCTGCCATTGGACCCTTGGCTCCATCAGGCGCAGGGTCGTCATCCGAGATCGCTCGATCCGTCTCACCCGCCTCGGCCGGTGTCGTGCTTCTTGTCGATGGCCTTGACGGGTCCTGGGCGCCCATGAGTGTTGGTGGGTTGGAAAAGAAACGCTGGACCTTCCAGAAGAGCTCGTAGAACTCGTAATCGACTTTGAACACCTGGTCCTTGTCGTCGCTGTCGATATCGTCGTCAGCCTGCCCTGAGTCATTGTCTGTTCTGTCCTCGATGATGGTCTTGTTCTCGACATTGAACTCTCCTCGTAGGTTGACTCCACTCCTTTCGCCAAGCGGGAAGACCTTGGCGAGCAAGCTGAGAATGCGACCGGCAAACACCGTGTGTTGTTGCGATGGCTTAGAAAGCCGCCGAAGCAACTCGTTACATGTCCGCAGAAGTACGAGTCCCTTTCCTCTGGTAGGATGAAGGTCGATAGTGAGGGGCTGTACGCGTGATTCTGTGTAGCCAAAGAGGCGTGAGCATGTCGAGATGGGTTGGCTTTCGATGAGCTCCTCGACCAGCGAGAGGGGCAATGTCGGATCGATCAAGTCGTGAAGAGACAGAACGAGAACAGCATCCAAGCGGTCGAACGTTGAAGCCAGACGGCTCTGCAAGGTGGTTTGGTCGATGTCAAGTTGTCGGTCGGCAATCAAGCCCGATGGATGTTCCAGAACTATTTTGCGAAGTTGATTGTTGCTGATCTCCAGGCACAAGTTGCGAATGCGCACTTCTGGGCCAGCCTTATCAGCAGTTGCAAGATCTGCGGTCAATCCGAAAGCCTCTCTGGTTGCTTGGGTGTCGATGAGCGGCTTGAGAGCGTCGTGCACCTGCGTGAAAGGAAGAAGAGCCAGTGCCTGACTCGCTCGTCGCAAATGTGACAGGCTCTCGATCAACGAAGGTATGAGACCATCCAAGCATTGTCGGAGCCTGTCCGCCGCCAGTTCGGTTTGGCTCATGCCAGAGTTTGGGTCGCCGATGGGCGGTTGATTGATGCTTGATGGGAACGAGAAAAGGAAAGTGGCTCGAGAAGAAATGAACGAGAAGGCCAAGTACGGAAACAAGTCTCGGAACGCGGCTCAAAATTGCGGACCCTTGCTCCACAATCGAAAGCAGGAGCCAAAAACGTCAATTCGAACCTTCTTCTCGCTCCCACCACGGATCCCTCGCTCAGCATCACACCAAGGCGACGAAGCTGCCACTGGCATCTCGCAGCCTCAAATACAATGTCTGAGGACGAAGTCAGAATGGACGACGACCGCGGAACGGACGCAGTGGACGATGTCGACATGCACGATGGTAGGTTCTTGCTTTCAACTAGCAACGTAGGCGTGTGTTGGAGTGCATACTCACAGCTTTTCTCGCTTGGTACACGGCTCTTGATCGGTTTGAATAGATCCCAACGTCAAGCGCAGAGGGAGAGGCTTTGATCCGCGCGGCAACGGTCCCGCATCCGAGGGAGTGAAAGCTGGAAGATTCGATACGCTCGACGAGACATCAGACAGCGGTGCACGCGCAGTCAAGTGTAAGTAGCCCCACCTTTGCCATGATGCGATCCTGGCTTGTGGCTGATGTATTCCTACATGCTTTGACTGTACAGCTGTGGAGGGATGGGTCATAGTTGTTACCAACGTACACGAGGAAGCGTCAGAAGAAGATGTCACGGATAAGTTTCTAGACTATGGTGTTGTCAAGAGCTGTCATCTCAATCTTGATCGACGGACAGGCTACGTCAAGGTGAGTAAGCGCCCGCAAAACCATCTTCAGTCACAACATGATCGACGCGAGCTGACCACTGAAGCTTCTTACGTCGTTTCGATAGGGATACGCCCTGCTGGAGTTTGCGGAACAGGACGAAGCGCAAGCGGCGATACAGGCTTGCAGCGAGGGTCTCACACTGCTCGACGAAGAGCTCAAAGCCGACTTTGCATTCGTCAAGCCGCCAGAAGGAGGCGTTGCGATTCGAGGAACAGGGTCGAGACGGGGCAATGCGAACAGAGATCGCAGCCGCAGTCCGGGCAGATGACGCAACGGACCGATCCCGCTTCCTCATATCCGCTGCCCAAAAGACAATCTGCATGTACTTGTACCACAATCCAGCGTTCTCACACCATTCTGACATGTGACCTTCGGGGTCGCCAGTGCCCTTCGATGAGATCTACGCCGATACGACTGTTGTTGAGGAGGACAGAATGCTTTCTCATCATTGATTTATCGTCGAAATAACACCAATTTATCTTGGCTTCAAAAATACGTTCTCATGATCTTGTTGCAAACTTGCTACAGGTCTCCTCGAAGCGTACCTTACACTTTGTGATGGGCAAGAGATAGGAGCATTAAACATTCGGATGTGATCGAGGTACAATCCGACTCTCAGAGCAATCGAAGGAGTGAAGTAGGGCGTTTCGACGAAAGGCATCACGGTGATGGCTCGGGGGTCTTTGCTTACATAAGCAAGCGAGCGTGATCGCCTGGCCAATTTAACCTCCACCGCGTCTTTGGCTCGGGCCGCGCAGCTCAACCAACACTCACTGTGGCTTCGCCTCACCTTCCAACACCTCCTCGACTCGGTATCCAAACCACTCTCACCACATCCAATTCACGTATACATACCAGCGTCTGACTTCATCGAACAGTACCTGCTTCACATCCGAAATCGCCATCATGACGGACGAAGAGACGGTTCTTCCTATCCCCAACCTCAAGCTGCAGCAGCACCTCTTTCTGCTCGCGCACCACTCCAACCACCTCTCATCATCCGCCGTCAAAGCATCGCAACAAGCTCTGCTCGAAGGAATAGAAAAGGATGAGATGGCACCGTACTACCAACTCATCCTGAGCGATGCTTCGCTCAAAGGGCTGTTGAAGGAGGACAAGTCGCTGATCAAGCGGCTCGAGGCCAAGAACAAGGAAGAGCTGCAGAAGCTGGACGAGAAGCAAAAGGAGGTGGAGGAGAACGAGGGAGAGATGGAAATCAACGGTGTGCTGCGACAGAGGGCTGCGTACTATGCCAAGATCGGGGACAAGGAGAAGGCGCTAGAGGCGCACAACTTGGCCGTGTCGAAGGGTGCAGGGCTCGGGTCCAAGTTGGATTTGACGCTGACCAAGATTCGCATCGGACTGTTCTTTGGCGACACGGATGTGGTGACTGCATCGATCGCCGAGGCGAAGAAGCTGGTGGAGGAGGGAGGTGATTGGGAGCGTCGAAACCGACTCAAAGTGTACGAGGGCTTGCATCTGCTCTCGATCCGCGACTTTAAAGCGGGCGGTCAACTCTTCCTCGACGCACTCAGCACGTTCACAGCAACCGAACTGATCGACTACAACGACTTTGTCACCTTGACCGTCCTCGCCAACGCCCTTACGCTCAAACGTACCGACCTGAAGAAGAAGATCATCGACTCGCCCGAAGTGCTGCAGGTGATCGACGACATCCCGCACCTGCGCGCCTTTGTCACGAGCCTGTACGCGTGCGAGTACGGCAACTTCTTCCGCGCACTCGCCGAGGTCGAACAGACGCACATCCTGAGCTCGCGTGCGCTGCACCAGCACGCGCGGTACTACGTCCGGGAGATGCGCATCATCGCCTACTCGCAGCTGCTGGAGAGCTACCAGTCGCTGTCGATCGACAACATGGCCACGGCGTTCGGCGTTTCGGGCGAGTTCATCGACAGCGAGCTCTCGAGGTTTATTTCCATCGGAAGGCTGCCCGCCGTGATCGACAAGGTGCACGGCGTGGTCGAGACCCGAAGACCCGACCACAAGAATGCGCAGTATACCAAGATCATCAAGGAAGGCGATGTTTTGCTCAGTAAGTGTTGCGAGAAGTGGGTACGATGAGGAGTGGTTGCTGACTTTTACTTTAACTTTGCGTGTTGATACAGATTCGTTGCAAAAGCTGTCTCGTACTGCGTTGTAGATGGGTGAGCGGCGGGAATACATCTTTTGAAACTCAGGGTGGATTGACCGTGATGCTGCCTAAGAATGCTCGTGAGCTGTGTAATGAAACTACATTTTGTGGTGGAGGATTGTCTTTGACAAACCACTTGTTGCGATCCAAGCTTGCTTTAGTCGACCTCGACGAGGTGGTAGGAAGGAGCGTCCAGCTGGTCGGCACCTTTGAGGAAAGGGATAGCCACGACGAAGACGTACTCTACGACCTTTGAGCCGCACTTTTTGACGAGCTCACCGGCGGCCTTTGCGGAGCCACCTGTGGCGATGAGGTCGTCGATGACTAGGACGCGCGAGTTGGGCGCCAGCGCTTCCTTTTGCATCTCGAACACGTCCTCACCGTACTCCTTGAGGTAGGAGGCCTGGACGCACTCTCCGGGGAGCTTGCCGACTTTGCGGACGGGGACGAAGCCGCAGCCGAGTCGCTGGGCGATGATGGGGCCGAGGAGGAAGCCGCGCGCGTCGAGGCCGACGACGGCGTCGATCTTGCGGGAGCCGTACGACTTGGCGCCTGGTTCGAGCGGGGTGGACTGGGTAGAAGGGGTGGAGTCGTCGAGGGATGGGATGGTGTGGGTGAACAGGTGCGAGATGATGTTGGTGATGAGCAGTTCGAAGGCGAGCGGATCGCGAAGCACGGGAAGGATGTCACAGAATCGAATGCCCTTCTTGGGGTAGTCGTCGTAGAAACCTGGATCGTCGTCACAATATGAAATAAGGTCAGACTCGTCAGCAACGATCACAGTCTGGGCGGTGAGTGTGGAGAGCCGCTGTGCTTACGGAAAAGAGACTTGAGATGTGCGACGTCCGACATGATGACGATATGAGCTTCCGAGAGGATGGTGTCGGCCTCGGAGAAGGTGCAAATGCGAGATGATAGGCAAGATGCACCAACCAACACCTTGATAAGTCGGCAAAATTGTCGGATCGTCGGAAAGGAAAAATTCCAGAAAAAGTAAAGCAACGTGCGCTGCAACCTTGACAGGTAATTATCCGATATTCCCCGAATGTTAAGTCAAGCTTGAGCCGGCTCTTTTCCAGCCGATGCACGAATCGATTTGATTCATGCCTCTGCAGGGAGACGAGATTTGCGTCTGAAGCGCTTAGACGACTGTCTGGCTTGAGTACTGCACGAGGTCTCTACGTCTTTCGCTCGACCACTCGATTGGAATTGCCTGATGCGTCGAGATGCACAGACAGCCTCATTGACAATGGAGTGCGATGCAGCGGACTAGCTGAAGAATCCCGGCGGTCCATAAGCAAAGGGTCAAATTGTTCGGGGCGCGTCGATCTCGGTCGCATCTAATTCAATCTTGCCTGGAATGCGCGTGTGTGTGTCAACAAGGGTCAAATTGGACATTTTCCAGAGGCTTGCACGCAGGCACATGCATCGAAGCTAATCAATGCGTGACGTGCGTTGCGTGGGTGACATTGAGCTACAGTAGCTGTTCTTGGACCCCTCTTGGCTGCACCCGGCTATGTCCCACCTCCTCTCTTTTCATCCACACCTCATCCCATCGTCCCCTCGTGGCGACTGCCCTCGACCCTCTCTCTCCTCGAGCTCAGCGTCTATATCTAGAGATTGCAATGTCGCTCATCTATACATCGCGCGAAGCACTCCGTCGACCGGCAGGCATCGTCTTCCTGCACCCCTCCGAACGAGTCTCACGATCCGAGCTCGATCGTCTCGACCGATGCTATCGCGCCAAACGCGAAGCCGAATACGCACGTTCCTGGGCAGAAGACGCAACCCTCGTAGGCACCATCATCTACTCCACCGAAACCAACACACAACGAAACGCAAGCGACAGAAGCAGCATCAGAAGGAGAAGAAGAGCCAACAACACTAGCGTCGCTCGTCGTTTCACCCGCTCGTTCAAGCTCAAGAAGCTCAAGAATCTATTCACACATTCTGCAGCAACCGTCAGCTGAGTCTCACCACGCGGCTCGTCTTCACACATCTCGTTTTCAAAGGAGCCACATTCACGGTCCGGGCTCCTCTTCCTTTCCGTCATCGTTGTTTTCTGTCGCATGTACTTTTGCATTGTTGATAACGTCGTCTCGAGTGTCGCTTAATGTCAAGGGTATCTACGTTCAAAAGTTCTCTCAATCTCGTCAGAGAGAGATACCCCTCCATGCACTTTTGAAGCGAATATGATTTGAGATGCACGCATTCCTAATTACAAAACAGTCTGTGGTATCAGAAGAGATCGATCGACGGAGGTCAGGTGATTGCGGAGATCACCTTTTGTTGGCAGCAGCATCAGCTGCCACTCAGGGAATCGGAACAGGCTCTCCGTGCTCATCGCGAACCACGACCACCTCGACATCCGCCCTCTCTCCGTTGTCCATGAACGTGACCGAGGTCATATCGATCGGGTCGGTCCTAACACCTCGCTTCTCCATGAAGCTCCTTCCCAAGATCACGGGGAAGTAGCTATCCTCGGCCAGCATGACCGTGCAAGGCACGGCCTTGGATCCTACCTGAACGGGCCACTTGCCGAGGTTGGTGATGCCGTTGAAACCGTACGTGCCCGGCGTGGTGTCCTTGGGAATAAATCCGTGGTTGAGCGCAAAGCTTCGGCTGACGTACACGTGGCGATAACCGGACTTGAGCATCATGGGCACGTCCTGGATGGGGCCGATGCTGCCCTTGAGCAGACGAACGCCGAGCTGCGAGTGGAACTCTTGGAACGCGATCTTGTGCGAAGGCACCGACGACACCGTGGCGTTGGTCTTGCGCGTCTTGGACGTGTGCGTCGAAACGGCGTCGTCGAACGTCGCCTTGGCCGCGGGAGGTTCGGGAACGGTGGGTTTGCTGTAGCCAGGCGCGGCGGTGGGCTCGCGGGGAGGTGGGTACATGATCGAGTCGCGTCCACCGGCGGTCACTCCACCTGCTTCGCTGTAGTCGTCGGCAGAGGGGACAAACGGAGCCGAGACGCGGTGGATGCTGACAGCGCCGCTCTTTCCTCGACCAGGGGTGCGGTGGACGAGCGTCGACTCGTCGACAACGGGGACGTTGGGCCCATCGTGTGCATCAGCCGAATGAGCATCTGCTCCGTGGGATGGGATCTCGGGCGATTCGAGGAAGACTGTAGAGATGGTTTGATAAAGATGAGATGCCGGGTTCAAGTCAGCGTTTGTGTCCATTGGCGAATAGCATAGCTCGGCTGCGTCATCATACTCACGGTCAGCCTCCTTTTCGTTACCGAATCGTTCGAGGAAGATCTCCCAGTCGTCGGCTGGTCGAGGAGCGAATGGAGTGAAGGTCGAACGAAGGGAAGGGTGAGGTCAGCGTCCAACTCGTCCTGCCTCTTTCATGACACTACGAGAGCAGTTCCCCTAACTTACAATCTTCGAGTGTATAAGTCTGACCAGACCAGCCGTACTTGATCACGAGTGGAATGCCGTCATCGAGCTGAAGGCGGATCTTCTTGGCTGCACGACTCTTGAGGCTGGTGTAGGTGGGAGACGATTTACGCGAGTCACATAGAACCAGGTCAGGAACTCTTCTTGTCGAGTGCAGTGACGACATAGCAACCTTCCAACACTTACCTTTCGAGAGAGTCGTCCGACTTGAGACGCAGCGCAAAGCTAGGCAGCGAGCCAGCGTGGAACTGTTGTGTGTATATATAAAGCAGATGCGTCAGCTGAGTGCTGCAGCGAATCAATGGAAAGCGCCGTGTTCGAGATACTGATACCCACGTTGAGGATAGGAGCCATGATGGGAGGCTATAGATGCAAAGAACTGACGATGTGTTTCGGCGACCTCTGTCTGATGTGGATGATGGTGTCGAGACGATTACCTGTGCTGTTCGAGGGGGGTTGGTGTCGCCGGCAAATGATCTGCGGATGGCTTTGCACCCGACACAGCTCGACGGAGCGCTTTCGCCGACGCTGCAGTCAATGTGCACAGATCTGCCGTCATGACGCATGGGTGAGGCACAACGCGAGAGGCTGTTCGAGTCGAGGTTCGAGACCTGCAGAACCGCACGCAGGCTGCTGACACTGAAATTCCACCTCGTGACGGCAATTCACCGCATTGGCTCAGTCACTGCGAAGGTTAGATCGACTCGAGGCGAGGCAAAGGATCGACGCTTCCTGCCAATTGCTTCTATTTTTACGGCAAACATCCAAAATTTCGGAATGACACTGTTAGACCTTGTTTCTCCAGAAACCGTGTTTGTGCGCTCAGACCAGCTTGAAAGCCATTCACAGTGTCCCGATTGGGCGATATTTTGGTGCGGCTCACCACGTTGAGATTCTTCTTCAGCTTGGTGAGCCGCCGCCGCTTTGCTTCCATCCTGCTGATTCCACCTCATCATCCTCAGCCTGTCCACCAAGCGTCTCAAGTCTGTACAGGCCCCATCCCAACAGTTCGTGCTGTTGACCGCGGAACGGCGACACAACTCCTTGTACGATTCGACGACGGGGGGCGGCATTTGTGAAATATGGGGCTGCGAACGGGTCTCATCATCGGGACGACGTCCTTCTTGCTAGGTATGTGGTATCATCGTCGCGAACGATTGCTCATAGCGAATGCTGACTGACTTTCATGATACTTCATTGCTCTGCCTTCTTCTGTACAGGGACGCTGGCGATGCACTGGACTGCCGACCATCTCATCCTATGGCAGTCGCCCGTGACCTACGATTCCGTCGTCACCGCATACACTTACTACAAAGACACCATGGTGGAGATGCCGTCCATCTTCAGCAAATTTCTTCATGCTGTTGGTACGCTTGCGGCGTTGCTTCTCATCTCAAAGGCGCTCGGCGGCCGGGAAAGCAACTGGCTCTTTGACGGAGCCTCGCTTTTCCTCGTAGGCGCCGCCGGCCTCGTCTACTATCACAAGATCGCACCAAGCCTTGCCGCTCTTCCACTAAAAGCACCTTCGTCTGGAGCAGCCGCTGTCAACGCCAGGGACGCCGTCTTCGCTCCGCTCCGTGAAATCGCCACTTCCCACACGGTCCTCGCCGTCGCCCTTGTCGGCGTCATATTGTTGCAGAGCGGTCAGTACTACAGCGAACGTCTCGAGGAACGCGAACGCATCGAAGAGGACGAGGCCCGTCTCAGAAGAAGACAGCGTCGACGCGAGCAAGAAGAGAAGCGCAAGCTGCAGACAACCGCTTCGACTCAGTCCTAGTTTGCGTCACAATTCAAGTACAATGCTCACTTGCGTGCCCCGGTGCCGCACCAGCTTGATAGCAACACTTTGCACTTTGATTTCAATGAGTGATCGACGTGTGCTTGATGATCGCGTTGAACGCATCGATAGCTCTGGAATGATTACGCGTGGTGGTGATCAGGCTCGACAGCTGCGCCTTGTCCTCAATCTCATTCCAATGCTGCAAGACGTACTCAAGCCGTTTCTCAAACACCTCTGCGTACCGAAGGCTCAAGGATCCGAATAGCTCGTTCAGGCAGTTCTTGGGCGTAATCTGCTCGTCGATGACGCTGCTCGCCAGCCTTTGCAAAAACACCAAGCGGTACTTTTTCGCGGCCCGGTATACCGACTTGGGGCTGGTCACCACAGCGCTCGAGAACGTGGGGCCCACGGGAAGCGCTTGTGTCTGCGAAGCTCGTTCCTCAGGGATATCGACGAATGTATCGACGCTTGCGTGGTCCTCTTCGTCATCGAACTCCTCTATGAAGCTCGTCACAGGCGCGAATTGGATATTGCCTGTCTGAAGAAAGTCGATGATAGCCCGCATCGTCGTGGCACAAATGTTGGACACTGGATAATAAAGCATTTGACGATGACCGTTCTCTGCGCGGGTCTTCGAGGTCGTTCTCGTAGGCTGACTGTGCGCAGCGGCAGGCGAACGAAGGGCGGCGACAGCATCCTCGAGGCAGTCAAAGCTTGATTGCTCCACGCGATCTGCCAGGTAGTCAGCCCCGTTGGCGCGCAGCAGGTTCAACCATGCCCAGAAGCGAACAAAGGCGAAATCGCCGCTACTCGACTTGACTACGAAGCATGCGTCGCCCCATTGTCCAGTCGCAATAGCATCCGTGATCGCTGCTGTCTGAGCTTCCAGCAGGCCGGGAGATACGAGCGCAGGTGAGCCTGAGGAGGGAATGGGTGGACGATGCATCTTGACGAGCGATCGTTTTGAAATGGTGAGAAGGGATGACGAAGGGCAAAGAGGAAAGGTCTGGTCGAAAGAGGACGGGCTTTTGAAGACGAGGTGAGAGTGGGATGGGGTTTCGGAAGCGAACGACACGGTAGCTGGAACAGCGTCTTTATATGCGGGTGCGAGATTTGCATTTTCTATGAGCAGACGGCGAGTGAGCTAGTATGATGCGCCTTCTGCGGGCTGTGGGAGCTTTCGGTTAGCGGGCGAAGCCATCTCTCTGTAGTAGTGGGATAGGCGAAAGGAGGTAGCGTCAGTTGTCTGTGAACTGTGAATGCGAGAGCGCAGTCGCTAGAATTGGCTAAAGTCGCTGCGCCAGATAAGCTCAAGCGTGGCGGGACTGTGCATCGAGCACGGAGCAGCGAGGCGCAACTCACCTTCGCAGAGACAAGAGGATCGTTTCGAGTGTGCTGTCTCGCGACCAGTGGGAAAAGATGGGCAAGGCGTTGTAGTCGATGCTGCCGTCTGCTTTGACGCAAGGAAGGTTGATCTTGGTGAGGAATTTCACCTCGGGTGGCCTGTCTGGGTAACTTTGACCGCAGTGGATGCTGAGCGAATAAATGCGGTTCTGATAGACCGAGTGTCCTGGTCCGATGATGGTCGCGTTCCAGTTAGACATCACTGATGCGATGCGCGATGGCAGAGCAGCAATACAGAGGGAACAAGGGCGCCTCGTCAGCGGCTGAACTCGAACGCGCGAATGCCCCGGCTTAGCGAAGCTTTCGAGTGAATCGCTAGAAGTCGTATCCGGTACGCAGTGAGCATATACATACTAAGATCACTGCCATCGTCGAGGCCGTAGGAGCAGCTGCCATCTCCAATACCTTTTTCGCCCTTTTCGAGCTCCTCGAGGAGGCGAAAGTTGCGCGGAACTGCCGAGGCGTCATTGTGCGGGTCCAGAAGCAAATTGCGGCGTAGTCGAGGTGTAGGTCGTCAGTATATGTAGCCAAGCAATTCACCTGATGAAGCGAGCGCTCATTCAAGGATTGTGCATACCTTTGGCCATGGTGGTGTGGTGCTCGTGAACGCGGCGGAGGCGGCTTCGGTTGGTGCGGAGATAATCACAGGTATTGCAGTCTGAACGGCTACGCCCTACGAGAGAGACGAATGCGAGTAGTCGAAAGCCTGATTGAGTGTCGTTTTGCTGTAGCTGATTGGCCAAACCCGTTTCCTATGATGGTTGTGATGATTGCGACGGAGGATGATGGCCCAAGACGTCGAGCACCAGACTCATTTTGGCAAAATCACGCAGCTCCGCAGCTTGACGTTGCTGAAATTGCTCGTGCACGGCCACGCTCGGATCGGATCACGCGATCGGGCCTAGATTCTGGTGGAGGCTGCAGCAGGAAACGGTCGAGGCAGTCAAAAAAGCTTGTTGGCCATCTTCCATCGTTTGAACCAAACAAACAACCATCACCTCAGATCAGACACACATGACACGCCGAATCTTTTCACACGCCCGCCATTCCACGGCAACTAGGTGACTGCGGGGCGTCCGCTCTGAGCTGTGAGGCTGCGGCGTGCGGCGTGCGGCAGAGTTGGCGATCCAGAAAGATCTGCTTCTCTCGGAGATGCCGGTCCTGCTTCTTAGCCAGTTTCTCTAGCGGCTAGAAAACTGCAGCCTATGCCGAGCTGTCGGGGCTGTGAGCGAGTATCCATGCTTACTACAGGTTCGCCTTCAACACAGCTCTGAGCTTCAGGAGACGGTGTGAGGATCTATACCAGGAAGGCAGTCGCGAGATGATTATCGATGGTCACTCTTTTGCCCACGCGCCTCGACCAACCTGTAGGTTCGGTGTACCGCGCTGCTCTCCGATCTTGTGCAGTAGGGCGACGATTGACTCAAGACCTGAATGAGACTCTCGCAGCAACGATCAACCGCAGAGGAACGGATGCTCACTAAACCACGCCTCATATTTGTCATGGGCGATTGATAGAGAGCAGCGTGGATCCCCAACGACACTGAGTCGTTGAGGGTACTGGAAGAACGACAATGCAGGATGATTGATCGGGATCTCAAAGCACCATCAATCACAGGTTGCCATGTCAGCACATGTGCGATCCTCCAGAGGCAACACGGTCCTCCCGTCGTGGCCCAGTCAGCATGGTCTTCAGGGTACAAGTGAATCTTTCTGAACAGAGAGGGAATACTGGCGGTCCCTGGATGCTTGCCGAGTCTTTCCCCTTCTCGTTCTGAGCACAGCGAATGTGCACGGTATTTGCAACCGGTCTTCCACCCGAGGGTTGTTTCGCTCTTTTTCTTCTTGTTTTTCTTCGTCTTTGATTTTAGGTTTAGAGTCCAGCATGACACGGGACCGCCTCGCATATTCGGGAAGCAGGGTCCAATCTGCCAGGCGTCACAACGGTCACTCTACAAGACAGATGCGGACAATGCACATCGCAACGACCGGGGCAAGGTCGACGTCTCTTCCAGCTTGACTCGTGTTCGGCGGGATCGATTCCGCCTGTGATGGCACAATGAATCTGTGATATGGCTGTGAATATCAATGCCACTTCTGTGACCAAGCGAGAGAATCTGCGTGGCCATCGAACGTTAAAACGCCCCTGGCAGGGCACGGAAGGGTTCTTGCTAGCCACGGCCTGGCCGATGATGGCGTGAGAATCGTGCGACGACAAAAGACCGCCAACGCGAGCCCGTGCTGACAACAAGCCGATGCTCGAGACATCACAAGGCGAACGACAGTGTATTCTCGCTCCCTTTTCGCCGACCAAGCGACGAGGCCTTCTTCGGCGGCTGTGTGAGCAAGTCGAAGAAAAGCTGGCACCTCAGCCCGCGTCGGAGTTGATACGCTGCGGGATAGCCGACCAACAGGGTCCAGTAGGGCCTCCTGGGAAAAAGTCGCTTCTTCCTGAATGCTTCGCTTGCAGTGCCGCACATGGTGAGGTCTGAACCGCCAGGGTGTCTCAGCTCGAGAAGCTGAGTTGATTGCAAGGGTGTCCGACTCTGTCCAACTGTCGACATTGTCTGTTCTCGTCCCAGTCATTGCCCAAGCAAGCGCACGAAGCCCGGATATATATACGATCCCCCAATCAGCATAAGGCCGATTGGAAACCGTTGCTGCCCTCGCCTTTCGTCCACCTGATCACGACGCCCGCCACGACCTCCATCCCTTTGTAACAATATCCTTGATCTGATCGCCGCCTTCGACTTGCCGTAGGTCTTGAACGACACTTAGTCCTACTCGTCACGATCGCCACGATGGCGACAACGACCACGGAGAAGATGGCTCAGGTAGATATCCGCCGTGACACTGCATCTCAATGCCAACGTGCTTGGCCCGCCGTATATGGCTTGTCAGCGAGTAATTCGAATATATTGACTGATCCTCTCTTCCCTCTTCCTGCCTGTCTCTGCAGGTGAAGACCTTTGTCCGGGACAAAGTGTCTCAGACCACCGATGCTGCCGGTCTTTCCGTCCATGACGCTCGCATCAAGGGGCAAAACACGATGAGGCAGGCCCAGCAAAAGACAGCGTCGGCTTCCAACACCTCCATCGAGTCGCTGCAGTTCTTGATGGACAAGCTGAACCGCAGCGGCATCGTCAATGATGCCAAGCTGCTCGGCCAGGCGCCCAATCTGCTCATCTCTGGTCTAACGGGCGGAGGCTTGGACGATCGCAAACTGCTGCTCGAGCAAATCGTCACATTGCTCTCTGGCCTGCCCGCCTCTTCTCACATCAGCCAAGTCCTTTCGGACACGCTGATCAAGATCATCTGGGGCGACTTGCCACATCCAGCCGTCTCTTTCATGGGCCCAGAGCATCGCTTCCGGCGCCCCGACGGCTCGGACAACAACATTCAGAATCCCAACCTCGGTGCCTCCGGTCAGCCGTACTCGCGCAACGTGCAGCGCACACATCCGCAGCCGGTTAACCTTCCCGACCCTGGCACAGTCTACGACCTGCTCCTTGCGAGAGACGACTTCGAGCCTCATCCATCTGGCATCAGCTCCCTGCTCTTCAATTTTGCCAACATCATCATTCACGACATCTTCTCCACCACTCGGGAGCCGGGCGCTCGCTCGGCCTACAACCAGCACTCGTCCTACCTCGACCTACAGGTGGTTTATGGCGCCAACAAGGACGAACAGCGGCGCGTGCGCACTGGCGCGCTTGGTCTCCTAAAATCCGATGCCATCGGAGACTGGCGTCTGGCCATGATGCCGCCTGCGACGGCCGCACTCGGGATCCTCTTGAGTCGAAACCACAATGTGATCGCCAAGCGTCTTTACGAGGTCAACGAGAATCAGCGTTTCGACAACCTCAAGGATGAAGCCTTGGACGACGAGCTGTTTGGGACGGCACGTCTAGTCAATTGCGGGCTCTTCCTTCACATCATCCTCCGCGACTACATTCCGGTGATTCTCAACACCAACGACTCCGAATGGTTTGTCGACCCTTTGAACCCCATCAAAGACCTCGGCGGCGCCCTTGACCGTGGCAACGGCAATTCAGTCGCTGCCGAATTCTCGGTCCTTTACCGCTGGCATGCAGCTGTCTCGCAGAACGACGAAAAGTGGATGAACGACTTCCTCGAGTCGCAATTCCCGGGCCAGCGACCCGAAGACGTCGATCCCATGGAATTCCTCGGCGCAGCTGCAGGACTCAAGAAGACCTTCCAGGACGCGGATCCGAGCGAGTGGAATCTGCACGGCTGGGAACGTGATGAACAGGGCAAATTCGACGATGGCTTGCTCGCCCAGATCATCAAGGACGCCGTGTCAGACGTCGCTGGAGCATTCCGTGCACGCGGTCACCCGAGCTGGTTCCGACCCATCGAAATCCTCGGAATGATCACAGCTCGCAAGGATTGGGCTCTATGCACGATGAACGAGTTCCGTCACTTCTTGGGCCTCAAGACCTATTCATCTTTCAGCGAGTGGAATCCTGATCCCAAGATCTCCCAGGCAGCCGAAATGCTCTATGGCGACATTGACAATCTAGAACTCTATCCGGGGCTGATGGCCGAAGAGGCCAAGCCAAGCATCCCAGGAAGTGGTCTCTGCCCCGGATACACGATCTCGCGCGGCATTCTCAGCGACGCTGCCGCCCTCACGCGCGGTGATCGCTTCTACACGAACGACTTTTCGACCTCAAACCTGACGAGCAGCGGGTACTTGTACTGCACCACGCCCCAGCCCGGCAGCCACGGCCTGATGGGCAAGCTGATCATGACAACGCTACCCGGCCAATTCCCACACAACTCGATCTATGCGCTGTATCCCTTCCGCGTGCCTGAAACGACGGTTGGAATCCTCAAAGAGAAGCGTCTGATCGAGCACTACGACACGTCCTACCCGGCGCCTGCGCGACACTGGTTTAGCGTCGAGTCATACTCGGCGACGAAAGACATCATCGAGGACAGCCGATACTTTGTCGCGCTGCCGCCCATGTCGTACGACGAAGGCTTGATGACCTCTGCGCTGGCCTCTATCCCGCGCTGGCAAGACGAAGTCACGGATTACTACAGCATCAACGTCAACACGGTGATGAACACTCGGAGCATTCCATTCTCAAATTCGGGCCGTCAGCACATTGTCGACCTTCTTGAGGTAGTCAACACGGTCTCAGCCCAGTTCACCTCGAGGCTCTTCGCTCTGCCTACCCCTGGCAGCCATGGTCTGCATCTCGGGATGTCACCCGAGCAGCTCTCGGCGACACTTGCTAAACCCCTCGCCTACGCCATGTACGGCTCGTTCGATTCTCAGGGCCACCAGACGTGGCAGCTCGAGGAGGAGTCCGAGGCATGCATGCGCCGTCTCAAGACCCTCATCTGGGCTCGATTGCACACGGTCGATGGTATCTTGTCGCCAGTCTTCTCGCTAGTGCAGAACATTTCGAACCTCGTCGGTGGTCCGGGCAACATCGCTGCCAATGACATGGCCAGACACTTCTACCACACGCTGTTTGCCTCTGGCAAGAGCAACGATGAGCTCGTTAAGGACTGTCTGCACATGATGGTCTCGCTCACTGCCACGCACTCTCTCGTTCTCATGCAGACATTCAAATGGTTCTTCCGGGAAGAAAATGCCGACCACCTCTCGGCCATGCACCAGCTTGCCCACAAAAACGATCCCGCATCGAACTCGGAAATGCGCCACCGTCTCATGGAAGCCTACCGTCTCAACGCCATCACGCCTCCGCAAGCCAAATTTGCGCTTCAAGCAGTGGCTCTGCCGGACGTCGGTGGAGACAAGAAGTTTGTGCAGGTGGGCGACGGCGTCTACATTCCGCCTTCTGCTTTGTACCGCGACCCACAGCTGTCGAAAGAACCCGAGCGTTTCAACCCGAACGGCAGCTTGCCTGTGCGTCTCGGTCTTGGCGACGCTCCCAGCCAATCGATCCTCGAAGTGGCACTTCCTGCCATTGCAAAGCAGTTCTTCAAGCATTCCGGCCTTCGCATGGCGCCTTCCGGTTCACCTCCTGTCGTCAACGACGCTGGTCCTACCCCGAACCAAAAGTTGCCCTACTTTGTGAGCAACCATGGTCTTGAGTATCCTCTCCCCATCGATACGTCGATGCACGTCATCTACAATGTTCGTTAGCCAGCCTCTGTCACTCGGTTGCTATTTGCATTGCCACTGTTCTATGTTTCGTTTTCGCCAATGTTGTTTCATCTTCGCTTGTTGTTTCATCTTCACTTCTTGTATCAATGTCTCGTAACGCATCTGCTCATGCAATCAAGCTGTCGCTCATTCTGACGCATCTCGAGTTTCATTCGCGTGATGAGAGGAGAGCATGCGCAGCAGGGTATATTGATTGGAGGTGCGATCATACATAAAAGGTGGCGAAAGCTGGCCCTGAGGCAGTACGTTGATGCGAAGTTGCTCCAGGGCTCATATAGGACTGATTGTGGGTGCTTTCGGCATCGTTGCGGTATCTTTGTCGAGCAGATTGACGGCGGCTGCAATCTTGTCCGCTTGCTCTGCTGCTTCGATTCGCTGTCGGAGGCGTACGATCGAGTCTCGCAGCTGCATCGGGAGTGGCGATTCGAGCCTCTGCGTGGGCAAACGGTCGCTTCTGATTGCGCTGCCGAGATAGAAACAGAGCTTGCGTTGCACAAGTCTGCAATGCTTTGGTTTGAGATGTGTCGGGAGGGCTGAGGCGGAGGAAGCCACATGTTCGAAGAAGAGGAACAGATCGGCGACAGCGTTGAGCAGGAGCGGTATTTGCGCAGCTGCAAAAGCTTGCTGTGACGGCAGTGAGGCGAATCTGGATGCAATTCGGTGCTTGGGCTCAACCTGTTGTCCTTGTGCGAAGGTGGGGACGAGCTGTTCGTGATGCAAGAGCTTGGACAGGTCTTGAAGCAGTTGCAGGTTGATAGCGTCGACACTGGCGTGACCGACGTCGAAGTCGAGAGATAGGCGAGAGACAAGGTAGATGGATGCGTCGTCGAGCGAGGTCAGGAGCGTCTTGCTGTGGTCGCTGTGAGTTGCTGTCGTGCGGGATTTGTCCTGTGGTGGTGGTGGTTGTGGGAAGAGGAAGGGTACAAGATGAGCGAATTTGTCGAAAGCTTGCGAGATCGTTGTCAGGTTGTCGAGCATGGACGAATCGGAGTCCGTGCTGACGGATGGTAGGGGAGCTGCGAACTCTGTCGAGTTGTTTAGATCGTCGGGCTCGAGTGGTGGAGGTTCGTCGTCATCGTCGGCATGCCAATTTGGCAACTGGAGCTGAGACCCGCGTGACGATGCTAGAGACGAGCCGAGTTGAATCTCACCAGTCGAGACTGTTCGGACTGGAATGAGCTGCGACAGGCTTGTTATATCCAAATGCCTGAGGATGTAGGCGTATGCCATGAGAACGGTGCACAGGTTGTATATCAAATCTGCCGGTGCCGATACCCTCGCTTTCGAGCCACTGCTTTCCGCCGAAAGAATTGTACCGACCAAATGTACGAAGGTCGTGATATGATCGGATGACTCGCTGGGGAAAGCAGGGCTTGCTTCTGGGTTGTCGAACCATGGCACGGACTGCCACTGAGTCGTGACGGTGCGCGGTTGCGTCCGGTCTTCTGAGATTGTTTGCGGTGCCACTAAGATACCCTGCGGCATTGATCCAGCCTCAGCTGATCGTGCTCGTCGCTCCGCTTTGCGATCTAGCTTGTCCATCAGCGCACTAGCCGACTGCGGATCCTTGACAGCTTCTAGAAAGTTTCTCCGCTCTTTCTCCGTAAGCATAGCCAGCAGCGCATCTGTCGAAGCACCCTCGATCTGATCCTCCGTCACATCTGCTCTGACACCTGTAAGCTGCTCGTCTTCGGCATCTTCGTTATCGCTATCGCCGTCATCATCGTGATCTTCTGAAATCAACCTGGCATCTTTCTCGTTCCTCTCGAGTCGAGCCAGGATGTCAACGACTTTCGTTCGATCCTCCTCCGCTGCACCCTGGTCAGGCCGTCCCACGAGGCTGAGCGAAGACGAGCTGAATGCGGCAGAGCATTCCTGATGTTGCTGTCTTCGAAAACAGACCAGAGAGCAGAAGGGAATGTTGCATCTCGGACAGTTGTACGCAGCTGGCTTGGCATAGCAGATGTTGCAAAGTCGAGCTGGAGTCGAGGAGGTAGTCGTGGGTGTGGGGAGAAGGTGCTGAGCTCGAGCTTTGTCGCGCCTTGTTGTTCGTGAGATGTCGAACAGCTCGGACAGCGACATATTTGCAAGGCTGCCTCAGCGTCGTACGATCGGGTGGGTAGGTCGAGATGACATTGTGGACCTTGCCGAGTCGAGTTGGTAGCAATTCGTTGTCGAGAGGGAGAAAGCTCGGCAGGAAAAGTTGATGGTTGGACCCTGAAAAGCTTCGCGAGGCGAGTGGAGGCAGGAAGCGTTTTCGTGCGAGAAGTACGGTTTGGCAGATACACCGGCTCCGCAAGCTTTTTTTCTTTCTCCGTTGTTAGCAGGGGGAGGCCAGGAAGAAGTGCGCCCAAAGCGAAATTTTTGACTTTTTTGAACATTTCGCTACACACCAAGTCGAGCTGCAACACCATTCGCAAGCTTGTGCTCACCATCATCACCTTCACCTTTGCACTACTCGACTGCAACTGACTCGACCAGGACAGCATTCGACAAAGCGTATTCTCGCCCCGCATAGGCTGTCTCGCTCCGACTGTAGCCAGATCTTCGATCGCAAAACGCAACCAACCCTACACCCAACACATCATACACATAGAACCATGTCGTTCCGAGGAGGAGGACGTGGAGGCGGTGACCGCGGTGGACGAGGCGGTTTCTCTTCCCGAGGTGGACGTGGCGGCTTCGGCGGTGGTGGACGTGGTGGATATGCCAATGCTGGTCCTCCCGAAACAGTGCAACCCATGGGAACCTTCATGCATGCCGTAGAGGGAGAAATGCTTTGCCAATCAACCGATGCCAAGCACGTCCCATACTTTAACGCTCCCATTTAGTAAGTCTTCCCCTTCTTTCCCACCCGACATAAACATCTCATTATCCCGCGGAGGTAGCATCATCGTACTGACCTCTTTCTTCTAATCTCTTTGAAACTCACTCCGCAGCTTGGAAAACAAATCTCAAATCGGCAAGGTGGACGAAATCCTCGGTCCCATCAACGAAGTCTACTTCACCGTGAAAATGGACCCAGGAATGGTAGCGACTTCCTTCAAATCCGACGACAAAGTGTACATCTCTGGCGAGAAGCTGTTGCCGATCGAGCGCTTCTTGCCGAAACCCAAGTCGTTGACCAAGGCGCCGAAGAAGAAGGGTGGTGCACGAGGCGGTGCTGCCGGCGGCCGAGGTGGATTTGGTGCTGGAAGGGGTGCGCCAAGAGGTCGTGGTGGATTCGGCGGTGGAAGGGGTGGTGGACGAGGAGGTGGATTCGGCGGTGCTCCGCGAGGCGGCGGATTCAGCGGTGGAAGGGGAGGTGGATTCGGAGGTGGAAGGGGCGGCGGATTCGGCGCTGGACGTGGTGGTGCCGGCGGTGCGAGGGGTGGTGGCTTCGGCGGTCGTGGTCGCGGTCGTGGCGGATACTAAGCGCACTTCGTCTTCCGCTGCCTACGATCCTCCGTTCCAAAGGTCTCTCTCTCCTTTTCCTTCGACTTGTGTATTTGTGTTAGTACTGCTCCCATCATCATTCGTTTCGTCTCTCACCAACACGCTTCCATGCTTGTGCAATCTGCATCGCAGCGGTTCTCACGATCGTCAAAACCCACGCGCTTCTTCAGCTTCAGACAAACTCATTTACGCTCGCATTATCGTTAACGATCGAGGGGAAATTGCGCTCGCTCCGCATCTCTATTTGCTCGGTTTACAATGTTCAGCATCCTGCAGCGGATTGGCCGCCCAATGCGGCACCGGAGCGTACTTGAGCAAGCTCAGCGTCAGCACAAAGATGGTGAGTGCATTGACGCTGCTGCCCGCATCCAGTGCAGCCGACAGAACGTAGTTGAACTTTTCGAACCACGCCGGGTGTTTCTCCCGCAGGTGCTTCTGCGACAACCAGCTGAAGAAGAAACCTGTCATGATCACGTTGGTCGGCACAGCCGGTGGTAGAGCCGCCGAATGAAGAATGATCGGGAAGGCGACTTTGGGAAGCCACTTGAGCTTGTACTTCTTATGCAAGAAATACGGGATGAGGGGCAGAATCGCACCGAACAAGAATCCGGAGTACAGCCGACGGTAGTCGCCGGAGAAAAATTCGGCAGGCCCGACCAGACCCCAGATCACCGAAGCGGAGAAGAAGATGTGCACCTTTCTCCCATCCCACTGCCCCGAAGGATCCTCCACCGTCCCATCCAAGAACGCTCGGTAGCCCGAAGCTGGATCCAGCACAATGTTGACCACGATCAGGTTGACAACACATCCGATCATGGTACCCCAGAGCTGTGCGACAAACATGTGCTTGGGTGGGATCTTGATGTAGTGACCCAGCTTGAGGTCGTTGACCAGATCAAGCGCTTGGTTGAGCGACATGTACGCCATGGTCTTGAACAGGATGTTGCCGATCGGGTTGCCTGGCATGATGTATCCGATGACGAATTCGGAGATGATGTTGAGGCCGACACCGGTATCCGAGACCGCGCGAAGGATGCCGAGCGGTGCGATGAACAGCAGCCCCATGGCAATTGCCAGCAGCAACGCCCATACAGGCAGCTGCAACGCAGGCGTCAGCACGACCAGCATAACAGCAGCTGCCGTCGTCAGCGCAAAGGTCGTCGCGTACCACCGCTGCGGTACAGGCTCGTACGCGCGCATCAGTCGATTGTGCACGTCGTCATGCACAGCATTGCTCGCGGCCTTTTTGATGTCCTTCCAATGCCAAAGCAGCACGTGCGTGACCGTACTCGTCAAGGTCGCAAACCCAAGACCATAGGAAAGCGCAAAGTACGGAGTGAGCAACATCGGCTTTTGCGTCTGCCATGCCTCGGCGTTGAGCGTGTTGTCCTTGTTGAGCAAGGTATCCACGGCAAACTTCTTGTGATCCTTGTTGTACAGCCCGGCACTGAGGATCTCTGGAAACGCCTGGGCGTTCCAAAAATTGAACCCCCAGTAGAGGATGGGCATGACGATGTACATCATACCGGCCAACCCAGCATAAAAGTTGAGTGCCGCCCACCATGGCTGGTAGAAGGGCCCGCTCATACCAGCGGCGTTCCAGTCGAACGTGAGGTTGAGAAATCCAAGACCATGGTAGCCGGAGCTGAGGAAGCGGAACGCCGGGACCTTGTTGTCGACCAGGCACAGCATGGCGACGCTCGACAGCGTGGGTGCGAGCAGAGCGGGAAGGAACTGGTAGATGTAGATGGCGACAAAGGCAAACGCAAAGAGTCGCAGCCTGGCTCGATTGTTGGGTGCTTCCTTGTCGTGCAACGTGTGGAAGAGCGAGGTAGTGACCAGCGTGCTTGGCCAAATCATCGACGTTGGCTTGACGAGGAGATTTGTGACCATGCCTGCGAATCCGAAGCCAAGCACCTGCGTTGTGATAAGTAGCGTGAGCGAGGAGACCCAGTTCATATGCTGATGATAGAAAAGTTCTTGAATGTTGATGATATCGCTGGCGTATGCAGAGGTGGCACCGGCCGAAGCGATGATGGCGACAAGCATGTGCTCCTTGATGCTGAACGGACCTGGATTGAGCTGAAACGACCATTTGCCCACCTTGATCGTGCGCTCCGGTAAGCGCTTTGCAAGCCATCGACCCATCGGTAGCGATATCAAGATGACAAAGTAGCTGCTGAAGGAGGGCGAGTTGGACTTGTAGAAGAAGAGTTGCGCAATCGCTGCTCCAATCACGCAGAAGAAGGATCCGATGATCAACGCTCTCCACGTAAGAGCCGGAAGGGTAGGGTCGTCGTGTTCCGGAACCGCCTTGCTGACCAGATGCATGGGATCGTCCGGATCGTATTTGTCCGACACTGATCCCGTCGAGACGTGTCTACGGCCAGCGCGACGTCTCGATTTGCTTTCTTCCATCTCGTATGCCTCTTCATCGCCGTTGATGCCTGAGGCGGAGGCTGGCCCGAGCATGAGAGCATCCTCGCCCTGCTCAAAGTCGTCCTCATCGTCATCATCTCCAGCGCGCTTGCTCGACGCTCCTGCGCGGTGACCGAGTTCGTGCTCGTCCATTTGGATGGTTGTGGTGTCTTCGCCCGAGTCTGGGCCCAATCCGCGCTGGTGGTGCGACCGCGGTCTCGATCTGGGCCGAGATCTTGCTGTTTGATAAGGAGAGGGAGAATTCGACTCTACGCCCCTAGGCGAAGAAGTTTTGGATGCGGTGCTGTGCATATCAATGGGAGCATTTGAGTGGTTGCACGATAGAAAGCAGAGGAGGTCGACGCCCCCCTCATCATTGGAAGTGGGCTCGAGCGCCAGGTGCTGGCAAGAGGGTCCGTTTCGAGGAATTGGGCCAGGGTCCAAGCAGGTTGTGACAGGTCGCGACCAAAACTTTCTTCCTTCACGGAAATGAAATCAAAGCGATGTGAGATCACTGCATGTGCACATGATTCTAGGTTGCCGGAAAAGCTAACATCTGAAATGCAAAAAATGTCGGCCTCCACACTCTTCTGACGGCGCTCAATGACGCAAACGTGAATTACGCAGAGCCAAGCGCCCAATCATAGCATCCTCTCCTACGAAGTGCGATTGTTCACACGATCTGGTAAGATCGAAGTCCGCCTCTCCTTGACAGAGATGCTCTGCTGTAGTCCGCAGACCCAACCACATTTTGTCCCGTCCCATGCACCCTGAGAGTCTAGCGACTGCTATTTTCGGCGTACCGGTTCTTCTGACAGCTGCACAAGACCCGCTCAGACGGGATGACGTGAAGCTGCGCATTTCCGCCTGCATAGCTTAGTCGTCGGCTGCAGCGTGTTTCTTTGCCAGCCTTTGCGGATCCATGCAGAAGGATCAGGTGTGTGACGATGCCTGCCGAGCGTCGAGAGAGAATCCGTGCGCCGGGGGTGAACCGTATATATTCTCTTGTTGCTTCGAGGTTGTCGGGATTTGATCCCACACCACGCATCTCCCAGATACCCACATATCGTTCATCAACAACTTTACCAACATGTCGACCCAATCGCAATACGAGACCCACACGTAAGTAGCAGCCAATCTCAGCTGACTCGTTAACTTTCTTCGCTTTAGCAAACAGGCGCTGACTTGACATGACACCTCCCCTTCGACTCTACAGCGCCGACGGCGACCAGCGCAACGCCCCTGGACCCAACCCTGATGTCGGCATGCACCACGATGACGACCGCAAAGACCACGAGAAGGGTCAGCCCGAATCGCACCAGTCTCTCGACGCCAAGGATGAGAAGTCCATCAAGAATAAGCTCGCCCAGGCTGGTAAGGAAGCTAGGGAGGAAGCTGAGGCCGAGAAGGCAAAGCAAGAAGCCAAGCCCACCGATGCAGCTCGTGCAAATGGTAACGAACCATCGCGAGGCGCTAAGATCGACGAGCAGATCGAGGAGGAGGAGCGAAAGATGCTCGAGGCCAAGGGAATCAAGCCCTAAGAAAGGAATCGCGATTTCTGCGAACAAACAGTGTAATTCTTGCAACCAACTGTATCAGTAGCAATAGCGTTTCGTCGTATTGATCTTCAGATCCTCAAACACCACAGCTGGCACCGTTCGCCAAGGTATGTGCGTATAAGTATATGTGAAGTTGCGATCTCGAGGATGGTGGTAGTACAAGCGCGTAAACAAAAAGTGAGGCGGACACGTGGACTAAAAGTTGAACCGGCCAGAGGCATATCCGCCCATGTCATGCGAGGGCGTTGCGGGCTCTGACTCAGCGTCAATCACAATAGGATCGGCGGCCGTTCCGGTGTGGCTCGTCTGCCTTGCCGTGTCTGTGCTGGGCAGAGCCGTGGATGAAGCAGCTGTGGTATTCGCAAGCAGCGGATGGTGCTGTTGCTGTACTCCATTGACGTGCACTGTGCTTCCTTCGGGCGTCGTGATGTGGATCGTCTCGTTGCCGTTCTGATCCACTTTGCGTGTGACGGTCTCTTTGCGTCCGTTGACGATGCGGGTAGTCGTGCTTTCGCTTGTGCCGGAGAATCCGCCGTAGGTGGTGCTCGACATGCTGCTACTGCTTGTGCTGCTGCGATGGCCGAACCCTTCGCCAAAGGGCCCACCTGGTGCCTGCATGCCCATCGGCGGACCAGGTGGACCTCTTGATCCTGCAAATGGCATTCCAAACCCGAATCCGCCGGTGTCCGCCATCCTGCGATGATTCTGGAAGAAGGGATCATTGTCGCCAAACAAGCTGCCGCTGCCCATCGGATGGCCCGCATTCATCATCCCGAAAGGGTCTTGGGCTCCGCCTCGTCCGCCTCCTACGTTCCCGCCACCGTTCATCGAACCGAACTCCTTGGTGAACATCATGTTAAACAGTTCGAATGGATCGAATCCGTCCGCACCAAACGGCCTACCCGCACGTCGTCCTGCTTGAGAACGCCTGGCCGAATCAGCACTGGATTCCCACATAAAGCTGAAAGGTACGCCGTCGGGACTCGTGCCAAAGTGCTTGCGGCTGATGTCATCTTGGTAATCTTCCGCAGGTCCGAAGCCCTTGCTGCTCCCGGGGCCAAATGCATCGTATTCGCGGCGCTTCCGATCATCGGACAACAGCTCGTAGGCTTCTCCGACGATCTTGAAGCGAGCCGTTGCTTGTTCCTTGTCCGCTGGTGGTGCTCTATCGGGATGGTTTTTGAGTGCTAGCTTCTTGTAGGCCATGCGGATATCGAATGCGCTACAGCCTCGAGAGAGGCCGAGCACCTCGTAAGGATCCGTCTCGGGAAAGCGGTTCATGTCGGGACGGTTTGGCCAATGCCTCTTGTAGACCACGGTGTGTTGAAGCAATGAGGTGGCCGTTGTTTCTGGCTATTTGTCCTTGTCGGTGATCAGCTGCCACAGGGCAGGTATCTCGCAAACATAGTTGTAAGTACAAGTAAAGGTGAGCTGTCAATGTGCGGATCGTTCAAGGTTTCGAGATAAGAGTGCAACACGAGCAAAAGTCACGCATGGACCCTGCGATGGAAACTTCGATGGCTGATCTAACAACATCACATTGATTCTTGGCGTTGGTGGAGGATGACGACGAGCTTCGCTTTCGCTTGGACCCTGAATTAGCTCGACCGACTCAGCCGAATCTACTCAACATTCCTTTCCGCAATCGTGCTTTCCTCCTTAGCTCAGCCATCCCCAAGTTGAGAAGCTGCGACTTTCTCTCGTAACAGCTTCCTCGAGCTTAAGATCCCTCGTATAGAGCCGCAGGGCAGGATGACAACTCCACAAGCAACCGAGGACGGAGAGTTTCCGGTCAAGCTCTTCGTTTACGATCTTTCAAGAGGAATGGCCAAGTCTATGTCGATGCCCTTGACGGGACGCCAAATCGACGGGATCTGGCACACGAGCATCGTGGCCTATGATCGCGAGTACTTTTTCGGACAAGGTATCTCGATCGTCTATCCGGGCACGTCCCATCACGGGGCACCAATAGAGACCTTTGACCTCGGCACCACCTCGATCGATCGAGAGACGTTTGAAGGCGCTCTTCTGCCCGACTTGCGCGATCGTTTCCGCCCGGAAGACTACAACCTGCTGTCCTGGAACTGCAACAACTTCACTCAAGAGGTCGCGCAAATCCTGACCGGCGCAGACATTCCTGCACACATCCGCTCTCTGCCACAAGACTTTCTCAGCACCCCATTCGGTCAGATGCTTCGCCCACAAATCGATGCCATGTTTCGAGCGCCGTCTGCTGAGATTGCCCCAAATGCTGCCAACGGATTTGGCGGCGATCTGCTGAACCAGGTCGCCACTCGTGCGTACACTGGCAACACGTCCGTGGAGCAAGGCTCGCCTTCGAAAGCCACGACGTCGAATCCGGTCCATCACATCACGACCAACACGCAACTCCACGAGATCCTTTCAATCTTTCCTTGCGTCGCCGTCCTCTTTACATCTGAGTCTTGCCCTCCTTGTCGGATCATCAAGCCCGCATTCACCGATCTGGCACACCATCACCATGTCGACGAATCCAAGCCAGGGAATCACAAGCGGATAGCTTTTGTGCAGGTGGACTCGAACGCCTCTACGTCGAGTCTGTTTGCTCAGTCAAGTGTTACCGCCACGCCGACTGTCAAGCTCTACACTTTCGGAAAGGAGTCTAGCCAGGTCAGAGGAGCTGATGTGGGCGAACTCAAAAATGCGCTCGACCTCATGCTTTCCGAGGTGTATCCGACCCACCCGCATGCTCGCCTGTCGAAGCCACTGAAAGGTCTCCAGTCGCTTCCGTCGCAGCCGCACCTCTACTCCTCCACACCCAACCTCAACTCATTGCTTCAAAAGATAGACACAATGATCGCACAGCATCCAGCCAAGAGCTTCGCCGAGAAAGCGGACCTTCAAGTGGCTCGCAAGACTATCGCCTCTGGCTGGATTCCCTGGCTCGAGACAACGCGCGACAGCAAGAGCAAGAAATCTGCGCCGAGCAACTTGACTGACGAAAGCACCAAAGTCGCAAAGCAGCTTTCCGACATATTCCCACTGGACGCAATGTTCCCCACCCTTGACCTCTTCCGTCTTTCGGTGTTGGACGAGTCGTTCGTGAGGACGGCATTCCGACAGCCTGCTGTTGCCGATCGCAGGGACATCAATGGCATCACACGTCTCTTGTCACTTGTTGCTGACGTTGCTTTCAAGGGGGAATGGTCAGCAAGTAAGAGACCCCTGTTGCTCACTGCTGCCCGACTGCTGACGAACTTGGCAGCTTCAGCACCCTTTGTCGAGGTCATCGAGTCGCACGAGAACGTCCGCAACCTCACCCTCGAGCTTACAACGAGTCTCCTGCTTTGCCCCGACGCAACGGTACGCAGCGCTGCCGCCACATGCGCTTTCAATCTAGCGCTGCATCAGCATGCCGAGCGAGCAGAGTGGATAAATCGAGACCCGCAGGCGCCACCCATGCTTGGCAGTCGTCTCGGCGAAACGTGGGAATCTGAAATGGCATCGGCTCTGCTGCAAGCCATAATCAACGAGTCGGAATCGGACGAAACGCTGCATCGTCTCGTCGCCGCTCTCACGCTCCACATCCACCTGTCGCAGTTCTGGCAGGACAGTGTCGGCCCAATGTTGCAGGTTTTGGACGCGCAAGATGCAGTCGCAGACACGCGGCACGGTCAACTGGTGACAAGCTCGGCAAAGAAGCAGGAACTATCTCGGCTCTTGGACGATCTTGTGGTCCTATTGTCGTCGGCGGAGACTTTTTAGATCAATGGACACGGGATTATTCGGAATCACTTCTTGCTCGCTTCGATTGGAGAATGAGGGTCCCCACAAGAACGCTGACTGCCACGTGAGATATGAGGCGATATTGTTGATTGAATCTCAGCTTCCTTTCACGCACGCTATCGGCTTCAGACAGAAAAGCGACTCCGCCTATCAATGAGGTGGTTTGTGCATCTAGCGCTCAGGTCGACGCTTCCTTGTGGTACGCATTCTCGTGTTGGAAATGATGGCACACTCGCCAGTGTTTGGGGGAGGGTTCCTTTCGCATGGTGAGTGAATGCCTCGACGACAAGCGGATGGCGGAGTTGACCAACAGAAAGTTCCTCGACAAGCGAGACTGGATTGTCTTGGATTTCTTCTCGCTCTTATCTGCGACGCGCCTGATTGGACGACGCGGCATTTTTCACGGATCAGAGCAAAGCAAACTCGGCCGTCTCCAAGTTCTTATCTCATCTCGTTGAAAAGAATACCGTAGCGAGGTAGACACACGAGTCATTGATTGTTCCGTCAACTCCTTGATGAAATCCGGACTTGTACCTGTAGATCAAGCGCCCCAAGGCAGCTGATTGAGAAGCAATATCTTGATCTGATGTGTTCGAATCGTCTAAGGGGCCCGAGGCGCCGCTGAGCCCTCTGTTGCCGCGACCGGTACGGCAGTCAGTCGCAAAAATGAATAACGCGAGCGATACTTGACAGGTCGCCTCCCATTGTCGTCAGAGATTCGACCCGATCCGTACAAGCATGAATGTTGTGTGGCATGCTCATGATGAACAGCCCAGGTTCATGCTGATCTCGCGGAAGTCAACCCCTCTTTGACCAGCGAGCGGTTCTCGGGAAGAAATGGTAGGGCGGCTGCACCGCTGAAGCTAAGCGAGATGTGCGGAGGTCGACTGATAAGACCGCGCCGATAAGCAATTTGACTCAACCGCCTCTTGCCGATTTCATCCAGGTCGTGACTGCTGCCGATTAAGAACATCACACAATCGTCTGAAAGCTTGGCAAAGCATGGCTGTCGGCTAGGAAGCGCCAACAGCGCATGGGCTTGCCATGCTCGCTCCGTTGGCAAGTGGTCATGAAAGTCCTATAAAGGTCGCGGCGTGAATACACTTGCGCTTCTTCTTCTTCCCGTGCCAGATCCTTCCCTTCCCTACATCACCCTCCCTCATCAGCACGTCACGATGGCTGCCTCCATCACAGTGCTCCCTCAGGCAGCCGGCTGGGCCGTCGTCTGCGGTCTCGGCTTCTTCTTCGCCGCCTTCATGATCGGGCTCTCTTTCATCCAACAACGTTACACCAACCGCTCGATAAAGGACACAGATGAGTTTGCGTCGGCTTCTCGCTCGGTCAAGCCCGGTCTTGTCGCTGCCGGTATCGTCTCCGCATGGACATGGTCTTCAACGCTGCTTCAATCGACGTCCGTGACATACAAGTTCGGCGTATCGGGAGGGTACGCTTATGCGGCTGGAGCAACCCTTCAGATCCTCCTGTGTTCCATCATGGCATGCAAGATCAAGCTCAACGCGCCCTTTTGCAGCACTTACCTCGAAATCCTCAAGGTGAGGTGGGGCAAGCTGTTGCACTGCATCTTTCTGTTCTTCGCCCTCGCCACCAATCTTCTCGTCTCGTCGCAGCTCGTTGTCGGTGGATCCGCCGTGGCTAGCACGCTCACCGGAATTCCGGTCCTTGCTGCTATCTGGCTCATCCCTCTCGGAGTCGCATGCTACGTCCTTGTCGGAGGCATGAGAGCGACTTTGCTTGCAGACTACACCCACACAGTGGGCCTCTTGATCGTCATCTTCTACTTCTTCTTCAAGGTCTGGGTCACATCTCCAGAGATCGGAAGCGTTTCAAAGATGGTGGAGCTACTACAGACCTCAAACGACATCCAGAACAACGCTGCAGCAAGCCCGCTGACATTCAGGTCTTTGGAAGGATCGGTCATCTTTTTGATCATCAACATCATTGGAAACCTCGGAACGGTCTTCTGCGATCAGAGCTACCACCAACGCTCGATTGCCTCGAACCCGGCCACTGCAGCTCGAGCTTTCCTTCTGGGAGGTTCGGCGTGGTTTGCCATCCCTTTCCTCTTTTCGATGACGATGGGCTTGAGCGCCAGAGGTCTCCTCTACTCGGGCAACCCTCTGATGCCAGCGCTATCAGCAGCTGACGTTAGTGCAGGTCTTCCGGCTCCTGCAGCAGGTGTAGCGCTGGCCGGTAAGGGAGGCGCTGTTGCGGTACTCATCCTGCTCTTCCTCGCTGTCACTTCGGCCTCCTCGGCCCAGCAGGTCGCTGTCGCATCCGTGCTCACTTTCGACGTCTACAAGCCCTACATCCGTCCTCAAGCAAGCAAGCAGGAGATCTTCATCATGAGCCATGCAGGCGTCGTCATCTGGGCCATCGTTATGGGGGTCTTCGGTACGATCTTCCACTACGCAGGCATCTCCCTCGGTTGGCTGTACCTCGCGCAGGGTATCATCATCGCACCTGCTGTTGTACCCGTCTTTTGCGGTCTGGTCTGGAAGCGGACCAACAGGATCGCTTGCTTGGTAGCCATGATCGGCGGTGTCATTTGCGGTCTTGTGACCTGGATCGTGACTGCCGCTGCCCTCGAAGGCGAAGTGACCGTCGCCAGCACCGGCAAGGACTACCCTACGCTGGCTGGAAATGTCGTCTCGCTAATGGCTTCAGCGATCATCACCGTCGTCGGTAGCCTGCTCAAGCCCGAAACCCAGGACCACTTTGTGCTCACCCGCAGCATCAATGCGCCAGCCGACGTTGTCGAGCGCATGAACGCACACTCAAGCCGCAACTCGACCTCCTCCGCCGCATCACCGGCCTCGCCCGAAGCGGAAAAGACGAATCTGGACGCCGAAAAGACCTCGCCCGCAGCAGCGTACACAGTCGAGACCATCGACTACGTCAAAGCTGCCGGTCTGAATGCGGACGAGCTTCGAAAGACGCTTCGATTGACAAGCTGGGTCAGCGTTATCGCTTCCTTCGTGTTGTGCATTCTGATTCCCGCATGTCTGGCGTCACGCCGCGTGTGGAACGCTACAGGTCTCGCAGCGTACATCTGGATTGGGTTTGTATGGCTGATCTGGACCACACTAGCTGTCGGCATCCTGCCAGTGTGGGAGTCGAGACGCGAACTCGCTGCGATTCTGAGGGGAATCGGGAAGGATTTGACCGGCAAGAATGGAAAGTACCAAGAGGCGAAGGAGAAGAATGCTTCGTCGTAGGCTGGATACACGTGCAATACTTTCTGTAGCACGGCGATGGGACACCTCTACGAAGCAATACACGATGACAAATGCCCAATGTGTCTGCACTCACAATACAACGTGCAACCCTCTCACACATAGCGATACTTTTTTTCGCCACATGTTGAGTGGAGTTTGAACCGATCTGACAAATTGTAAAAAAGGGACCGGCCAGAGCTGAGCTTTGCGGGTGGCAACCTCTTTTTCTCACGTCGGGCTCCTTGCATGACTTGAAGAAGCTTTCAACAACGAACTTGCACAGGCCTACATAAGCAGCTCGCAGTTCCATTCACTGTCAGAATGGGAAATGAAGTAGCGCCGCCAGTCGCTGTCCAGGCTGCATTCAGTAATGCACCATCGGTCAAGCGATGAGACAACGTCTTGCACGGAAGGATGAGCTGCGCTACGTGGTGTCGGTCCAAATCTGTGCTGACAGCGTACAGAAGCGGAGTGAGAAAAGCGTGTTTCCAGTGCGGGGAGACGTGGTTCCCTCTCGGCCACGACTCTCGCGCGCGAGCTGCCTTGCTGTGTCACTCTCCGAGCTTCAGGGTCTGAAACGAGCGTGCAGCAAAAAATACGCGAGCCAGAAGAGCCACGCACGCAACACTCGGACACAGTGTGCAGCATGGGCTTAAGCGCTTTCAGCCACGCGCTTCAAGCTCTGCGAGGCGTGTGCGTGTGAGCGTGCCCTCCAACATCACTGAGCTAACTTAGCAGAGTGGCTTCTTGCTTGACACCATCATCCTATCGCTGCCATTCCAGCTTCCGTGCAATCCATTCGCGACAAGTCGAACATCACTCGTGCTCAACTCCCTGGACCTGAACAGCGACACGGCTCGAACACGATGGTCAAAGAGGTCTCGTCCGCCTCCGAGTTCGACTCGGAGCTCAGCGCGGCCGGCTCCAAGCTCGTCGTTGTCGACTTCCACGCCACCTGTAAGTTACTCACGAGCATGCGTCTACGACCTCGAGGTTTTCCGTCTGACTCTATTCTCGCTCCTTTCATCCTTCGGTCTTGTCATGACGGTAGGGTGCGGACCGTGCAAAGTAATCGCCCCCATCTTCCAACGACTTGCGTCTCAGGTAAGTTCGCAGGACCAAACTCCTGTCTCCTCGGACACGGGAAAACGCTGCAATCGAAGTGGATAGACGATTTACTTGATTCGCCCTCCTACCTTTGTGCTCGCTCTTTTCAGTACACTAGCGTCGTCTTCCTCAAAGTCGATGTCGACCGCGTTCAGCCAGTCGCACAACGATACAGTGTCCGTGCCATGCCAACATTCCTGTTCCTCAAGAACAAAAGCGTCGTCGACACGCTTCAGGGCGCTGACCCCAACCGACTCACTGCACTTGTCAAGCAGCACTCTTCCGGTGCATCTTCGGCCTTCTCTGGTTCCGGCCAGACTCTCTCCGGAGGTAGCAGCGGCTCTTCGTCCAACTCGTTCGGTGCGCGAGTCGCAGGCATCACAGACGGCCATGTAAGCTTCGAAAATCTCCTACCGCTACTCGTGCTCGGTGCCTACCTCTTGTATCTCTTCTCTGGCCAGTAGGCAGCAGCGACACTTCAACATTGCTTCCATTCTACCATTCTCGTGTCTGTCCGTGATCGCTTGGTCCGACAAAGTTCACAAAAGCTGACGCAAGTATCATGTCTCTCTTTGACTCTACCTCTCCTGCGTCGGTGCTGCGACCCTCCTCACGACAGTCTTCCCTTCTCACTACCGTAGAGCCGAAACGATCTTCAGCGCTGAACGAGAAGCCCGATCACCGACTGCAAGACATTCTGGCCGGTCCGAGCGGCAGCAAGTGGCTCGAGAGCGATGCAGACGAGCAGCTTCTTATCCATCTCACTGTAAGTTCAGAATGATGGCCAAATAGTTGTTGCAGCTCATGACTCACCTGTCATCTGACTTGCCGATCTGCATACACAGTTCAAGCAGCAAGTCAAGCTGTCAGGGATCTTGCTCCGTACGCTGCCATCGCAACTGGCTCATGCACCCAAGCAAGTCAAAATCTTTGTCAATCGACCCGGTCTCAGCTTTGACGATGCTACCGACGAGAAAGGTGACCAAGAAGCCGACTTCTCTGAGGAGCATGTACGCGGCGGTGAAAACGGCGGAGGCGGAAAAGCGCTGTCCCTGCGCTTTGTCAAGTTTCAGAAGGTCGACTCCATCACCATCGCCGTACTATCGAATCAAGGCGACGCAGAAACCACACGCATCGACGCCATCGACGTCTTTGGTATCGCCGACCAGGCCACTGATATGAGCGAACTGCAAAAGATCGCTGCCGAGGGCGAGGCCCGCGACCTGGACGTTCGTACCGCATCCAGGACTGGCCTGAAGGGTGGCAGCTCGTCTCACGGCGGAGTCAGGTCGGGATTCAGCGGACCGAGGAGCTCCTCGATCCCCGACATCTCAACGCCGACCGAACGACCCGCTCGTCACAATCGATCTCATTCGACATCCAGTCTCAACCCTCCCATGCCGAGATACAGGCGAACGGCCTCGTCGCACTCGGCGCCTCCGATGCAGCACGTAGATGAGGAAGATGAAGACGGCTTTGCCGATGACCAAGACTTTGGCAGGCATGGTCAGCAACAGATGGGCTTTGTCCCGCAAGCGCCGCCGTCCATGACGGAAGAGGAACAGGCAGAATTCGAGGCAGCTCAGAAGGCCGCAGCCGACACACTTGGAGGCTGGCACTACGCTCCACTCGCTGTAGCGCTGGCACCTCCGCTCGGCGCACTTCTCGGCGGACATTCCGATGCCTGGTCCGATGCCATCCTGCTCATCCTCGCCAGCTTCTGGCTCTACCAATTCCTTCGAGTACCGTGGGAGATCTACTACGCTTCCAGGACTCGAAGCATTCTCACGCACGACCAGGATGAGGACGAAATCGAATTCGCCGAGCAGGATCCCTCTGCCGACTCGTTTTCTTCGACAGCAAAGCCTTCCGAGACAGCCGAGCAAAAGGAGGCTCGCCGCGCAGCTGCCGCCGAGCTTCGACGCTCCGAGCTGCTCAGTCTTGCGTTCTGCGTTCTGAGCCCCATCATGGGCGCCTACATGCTTCACTGGATGCGCGAGACCATGACCGATGGCAACAAGTACCTCAACACTTTCAACATTCGTCTCTTCACTCTCGCTGCCGGAATCAAGCCGTGGTCGCACGCCATGAGCCTCGTCCGTCGAAGGATGCTGCATCTGCAAGAAGAGGTCCACCACCCGTCATCCAAGGTCGAGAAGATGAACCAGCGTCTTCGTCGCCTCGAAGCCGACCTTTCGAGTCTACGCAAGCTGTACGCGACCAAGAACGAACTTCGTCTGCTGCGCGAGCACGACGCTCAGCTCGGTCGAGCGGTGCGTCGCTCCGAGAGGAAGGAGGAGCATCTCAGGCTGTCTGCCGAGGAGAAGTTCAGCATCGTGGAAGGCAGACTCGAAGATCTGCTTCGCGAGGTGGCGATCAATGCGGAGCTGATCGAAGAGGAGCGTAGGGAAAGGGAACGGGCTGCAAGCCTGCGCATCTCGTTGTTCGAGGCGGTCAAGTATCTTTTGGGTTCCGGGATCACGATTCGTCGTGCCAGCCCGAAGCATTATCTTCACGACATGCCTCGCAGCCTTCCGACCACCGCGTCTCTGGGAATTGGTGCCATGTCACCGGAGGCTGAGGTCAGCTTTGACACGCACATGTCAGCTGCACCTTTGCCTTATCCTGGACAAAACTTTAGCTCGACAGGACCAGCCCGGAGCATCTCTAGCGTCGCCCGAGAAAAGTCACCTTCTGCGACCAAAGGTCAAGCGGGCTTCCAGAATGAGAAGGCCTCTTCTGCAAATGCCGCCTCTCGCACCTCGCTGCCGGCCAATACCGGTGCTGTCGTACCCTCCCTTCGCCCACGAAACATCGCCCACCACGTCTCTGACCCCTGGTGGGAGCGCGGCCTGGCGTTCTACCTCTTCCTGCCTCTCAACGTCTCGAGCGCCGCCGTGCGCTTTGCCGGCGAAAAGGTCAAACACATCATGGAGGATTCCGAGAATGAGGCGGCTAGGAACCAGAGGAAAACTCTGCAGTACCAAAAGCACCTCGCCGATCAGCAGCTTCAGCAGCACCAACGCAAGATTTCCCAGCAACAGCAACAGCAGCAGCAGGTGCTCAGCCCAACGCGAAGTGCTCCAACGATCAAGGTCGCTCCTGCCCCGGTGGGCAATCGATCGCGTTGAGGGTGCACAGTCTCAGCCCTCCGTCAATTTGTTTTTCATGGATACCCGTTGTCACGTCGTTTGTTTATACCTCTGTATTTCTGATATGCCCTTTTCGAAGTTTCGTTCCACTCGCTTGAATGCTTGTCTTTGTGGTCGTCGAGGTGATCACGCAGCGGGGACGTTGTGAGTGGATTGAAGGTCATCACAGCCGGCGGTTGTCAGTTTCATTTGTTGTAGTGTGTATCTAGTTCATTTCACCGGGAACATTACATGAGCTGTGATCAAAGCTGGTGGGATTGCGAAGAGGACATGTGTATCAAACACGTTGCCTCGTGCAACGGTGGGAAGGCAAGAAGTACGATTGGAACTCTCGATGCGAAGGGATCGACCGACGAACAACATTCGCACGGCGATCAGATGCCGAAGAACTGCATAGTCAGATCGATCTTGAGAGGATTCTGATGGGTAACACCCTGAGCGCTGATAGCCAAGACTTGGTTCGGACCGTACACCGAGACCTCGTAGTTGCTCTCCCCGGGCAGGGTGTTCTTCTTGCTCGGTTGATCCGGGTTGAGATCGTGCAGACCACACCACTGCTTGACCGCTTCACGATGATCGTTGAAGTTGATCACTTGATCCTGTCTACCATGGACGAGCATCATTCTGGGATAGTCTCCACTGTAACCAGGGAAAGTGTTCTTGCCCTGTTGCACCCAGTACTCGGGACTCTCGTTGAGGGTGCCTCCAGTGCAAGTGGCATTCCAATCAGCACCCTGGGCTTTTTCCGTCGAGAAACATCCGGAAGGTACACCGCTGTAAGCCGAACCAGCGACAAATACATCCGGATACGTAGTGCCGAGCACCTGAGTCAACATCGCTCCACTACTGTGTCCCACAACAAACGCCTTTTCGCTACAGCCGTACTTCTGAACAGCATACTTGACCATCTCGACGATAGTCTCACTGTCACCACCACCTTGATGTTTGAGCGAAGCTTTGGACGATACGTCCCAACATCCACCGGTGCCTCCGGGAGAGCTGGCGTAGATGAGCATGAAACCTTTGCTGTCAGCCATCTTGGGCCAGTCCGGATACTCGTGGAAGTAACCAGGAGCGGTTCCGGCGCAATGGTGGAGTGCAACGACGACGGGGTTGCCCTTCTTGAAGGAGGAAGGGACGTAGGTGTACATGATGGCGGCGGTGGGTTTGCCGGGGAAGCCGGATTCCTGTTGAAGGCCGCCAGCCCCAGCAGGGCTGCCGAGCAAGTTGCTAGAAGCTCCACTGGGAGGACCGCCAGGAGAACCACCAGGTGCACCTGGCCCCTCAGTGCCAGGAGGAGCGCCTGGGAATCCGGCAGGTCCACCACCACCGCCGGGAGCTCCTGGAAAACCGCCCGGTCCACCGGCGCCGGGAGGAGCGCCTGGCCAGCCACCTTGTCCACCAGCACCACCTGGCGCGCCTGGCCAGCCTCCTTGTCCTCCGAATCCAGGCGGAGCGCCAAAAGGGCGTGGTTGCATGCCGCCACCACCGCCAGGACCACCGTGTGGAGGTAGAAGAGGTCCAGGCATCGGGCTCCAGTGGCTGCTGGCGAGGGGATCAATGCCGCCAGGGGGAGGCTGACCATTACCGTGACCACCAGCCCAGGGAGGTGGACCCTGAGTCAAAGCAGATTGGGCCAGGAGCAAGCTCGTGGCTACGAAAGAGACAATTGACCGCATAGTGTAGGAAGCGGATTGGTGGAAGACGTTGATGACGGCTGAATCTCTTGATCTCCCGAAGGGGCTACCTTTATACGTGTTGAAGTTGCTAGACTACGTTGCGTCCGAGCAAACTCCTGTCGCAATTGTCTGAAACTGTTGAGCGCTCCGCATGGCCCAGCTTCTCTGACAACCGCCTCGGTCGATGATTCAGTAGTAGCCGAATCAGATACATGCATCCTACGCGGGTCGTACCTGGGCGGAGCGACGTTCATATGCACTGCGGGCACGAGTCCGACGGTACTTCATCCGAAAGTATTGCATTACGCCAGAAGCAGACAACCATGCGCGTCGGGAGCATAGCAACATCAGCCGCCGACGAGTGGGATCAATCGAAGCATGTCAACTTAACGAAGTAGCTCCGAGGGTCCGAAGACCGAGCATCGCGCACGGGCTGGGAATGTGGTGCTCCAACGGCCCCTCCGAGACATCATGAAGTTTGGTTGACATCTGTTTGCTAGCTTTCATCTGTGCATGCACTGATACAGACCGAGCACGATCCTACATCTCACAGGTTGCAACCAAGCGAGATTGGACTTCGGACGAGAGCGTAGCGCCGACGACCGAGCTGATCCACGACGAAAGCAGCAATGTATATCACCGAGCTTTCGGTTTCTTTCCGGGCTCGCTGACTACGAGAACGATTTCCGGCTGACGGGTCAGCACTAGTGCGAGGGTTTCGACGTGTTCCAAAGATCTTCGGAAAGCTTGACCGGGACGGAACGAGGCTCAGACCGGACTTTCATCCGGCTGAGTGTGTTCGGTGTTCAATATGTCAGCAACCAGAACCCAGAGGCAACGATGCCACCACCGATGGCCAGCATGACACCATGAACGATGTTGGACGTATGACCGTCGTTCAGGAATACCCCTTCCGTCTCATCGAAATCCACGTGCTCCTTCTCCAGCTGTCTCTCTGCCGACAAGTAATCGGCGAGGCCTGTCCCCAAGGAAAGAAGCGAGAGGATGAAAAATATTGCAGCAAACGCCTTGGATGAAACAGGGATATCGTCCCAGTCCACCGGTCCATGGTCTGACCGGCGGCGTGGCGGATCGCGAGGTCGGTGATCGGCAATGCTTGCCTTGTCGGGGAGTTGCAGTTGCAGTATAAGTGAGGCGGAAAGGATAGCGAGAAGGCAAGAAAGCTTGAGCCAGCTGAAGAAATTCCTCTCGCGGGCAAGAAAGTCTCGTGCCGATGCGGAAGAGGTTTCATGCGTGTCGAAGAAATGCCTAGCGGCAGAGAATGGACTGAGGAGGCGACCAAGGGTGGTATTCCGGAGATGAATTCCAGCGTCGTGAGAAGGATCGGTTGCGATGGTCTGCGAATTCAAAGCGGAATCTCCTGCCGGATGACCGTCGCTATCTTCGATGTCGCCAACGGCGATGAGTGAGCTCTCCTTTCGGAAACTTTGAGTGTTGGAAGCCAGGCTGCTCGCTCGAACTGAGCCATCGCTCGGGGGCTCGACTTGCTCCTCAAGTTGCGGACCTTTCAGGGCACTGAACGACGATGAGGCGGTCGGCGGCCGCCGATGCTGCCCCGCACCCGATGCTGAGGGAGAAGGGGCTCTCGAGGTCTCTGGTGTCACATCTTTCGAGCCCGGAGACCTCGGCGAATGGGCTCTCGGGTAGGCGTTCGGGATGTGGAGCGAAAGGCGGCCGCATGCGCTTGCGCTGCTTCGAGGTCGATCTCCACTCGCTTCAGAAAGACCCGTGTTGATGCGTTTGATGCCTTTGAGGCCGGTACCGGGCTGAGAAGATGATTCTCCCGGCATGTTATCGTCGTCGTTGTGATTCGAAAGCAATCATAATCGTACCGGTAGTGGCAATCCTTGATACGGCGTCAAGAACCACTTGTCTGGCGTGCGGAAAAGGCAATGATGCACGAGGTGCATGACGTGCTTTCCTCGTAAAAGCGAGAAAGCAGGGTCTGTGCCCGGAGCAAATCTCTAAATGTGCGCAACAAAGGCCTGACATGTTCCAAATTTACGCAGGCTTCTGTCGTTAAGTCTTCTTCAACACACAACAAGACCGCTTTGAACATCCGGCTCGGCTGAGCCGCCCGGTCACGATCATTGCTCTTCGCCGGGTCGTTGTGGACATGCCGATGCGCGGACGAACGTGCCGATCAGAATGTCGGACTGTTCCACAAGAACGCCGGGTGTCGCGGCTTGTGCGGCGGAGGTATGGTTCTTGCTCGTTGACTGCTCCCTTTTCTGCCAGCCCGAAGCAAGGGAACTGCATATCTGGTAAGCGTTCATGAGACGCGGGCCCGGGAGCTGTAGAGGCGACTGACTGTTCACGATATTCAGGGGCGCTCTGCGGCGACTGCATCAATTGTTGTGCTTTTGTTATGCTCAATGCTGTTCGAGTTTGGTACCTGCTCGACCTTGTTGAGCAACGGACTAGGATGAACGTTTCTTGTCGCCACAGAAAATGAATAGTGAAATTGCATTCAGAAGCGCAAAAGGCATGAATTTACCTCCCCTCTTTGTACATTGATGCACTGGGAACGTTGTTGATGGCAGAAAGGGACCGTGATGCAACAAAGGCCTTGTACGCCACCTCAGAATCCTTCCTCCGAGAAATCACAAGAATGCATTGCTCCCTTTCTCAAGTCAAAGTGGACTTGGCCGAAAGTACGTCCTCCTTTGCGCGAGGAAGTCGACGGGGTTCCCACGCTTTTTTGGCAACCCGACGACGCCCTTCCGCCAAGTTGACAAGCACTGCTCCGTACCGGCTACGCAAGGGATTGTAGCCGACTAAAGGTGATCGACACTCCTGTCATCGAGCCCACTTCGCTGCGAGTAGAAGCTGAACAGTAAGAGCTAAATATAAATCAGCTCAGGTTCAGCAGAAGTCTGAACAAAAGCGAAAAGGGGGGAAACGGAAATCAGCAGAAGGCACGGACGAGATTCCAGCAAACTTTTGGAAGCTGCTCACTGTTTGACGGCCTGCGGAGTTGGAATTGCCAGCCACCCGGACCTCGTGGACAAAGGACGCTTGTCGCTATGTCGACCAACGCCGGACGAGAAGCCCCCCCCCTTTCTTTGTTGGCTGCAGAGCGTCGCTTTTGTCTGCATTCGCCGCCGCCACCGCCGCCCTGACCCATGCAGACTCTGTACCTCGTTCGACTCGTCGGCGTCTGAAGATGATCAGCTTGTCGATGGCACCGCAACAAAAGGCGGCGATGTATCGGGAAAGCTTCTCATCAATAGCGCGAATCCCGAGTCAGTGGGGTCGCTCCGGGAGCATGCTGGGCATCAGTCAATGCTCGCATTCAGCTGATTCAACTCGCCCCTGCTGGGCTGACGACGTGAAGGGGTGAGAGATCATTCTTATAAGTCCTGAATTCAAAAATAAAAATGAATAAATGAAATCTAAATTCCATCGACACATCAAAATTGTCAAAATGGAGGTGTCTCAGTCGGCAAGGTACCAAAGCGCTCCTTGTTCGCCCCTTGCTTGTGGTCCTTCGTTACCGGGTAGGTCTCATCCCCTTTCTCGCCACGGTATCCCTTGGTGGCTGACTTTGAATCCTCTTTAGGTACCACTCCTTTGGAACGCTTCCACGCGCGAGACTGGATATCCTCCTATGGCTGAAAGATGGCGTGCCAATCCGCGCCTTTGGTTCAGGGGATGGATGGGCTTTGAAACGAAAGCGACCTCGAATGATGAAAGGGGTTGTGTAGGTTTCAATGCCTCCGTCGGCATGGTCCAGAGTACTTCCAGTTGGCAGTCTTGCTTTTCCCGCAAGACGCTGCTCCGGTCAGCCAAGATTCAAATTCCCTACGCGACTTGCGATGGACACTCGGCTAGGCGCTCCGACTGTGCTCAGACCTTCCGACAGCAATGCTCGGTTAGAAGCTAAGCGCTTTGAAGGGCGGCAATGTCGCGTCCAGCGGACGAATCACAGTCGCCTATCTCTGTCTCTCTCGCGAGCTTCACGGCGTGACAGACAGGACCACAGAAAGCCGTGCTGGTACGGCAGCGCACTGGCGCACTCGGGATCGGTCCAAGCGAAGCCAGGACCTCTCGAGCGGCAAGCGGGTCGGTTTTGGCGAGCACAAGCTAAATTTGGAAGAAGCGAAGCTAACTGAAAAGCATCACATCTTGCGGCGCTAGAAATCACCACCCGAGAAGAATAGAAAGAGTCGCGAAAGCCTGAATTGCTGCACGCCGTGCAGATCTGTGCACGCCTGCATGACGAGCTGCAGGAGGCCAAGCTCAAAATCTCTATTCTTCCTGTTCTTCTTCCTTCCGTGAGACAATTCGATCCCAGCGGTTGCCTGTGATACGACAAAGGTTGTCAACTGCTTCTCGGACAACATGTATCATTCCGACGGTGCCCTTGTGCACACAATCAAGCTGTGAAGACGGGGGAGCTGCTAGCTGCAAGTCGTCTTTGCGATCTATTCAGAGTCGCTTCACAGTGCGGATGGCAGATTGTTTCAGTGAGTGCGGAAAGTGGCGTGCGATTGTGCGTGCCTCGACGTGGCATCGGTCATTCCGCGGACAGCTCCTTGCAAAGCGTCGGCCGGCCTTCAAAGCCGCTGTTCCTTCCCCTCTCATTCGACGATTGCGAACGGGCCAGATAAGCCCCTGCAACAATGCTCGGCAGCATTCAAGAGCAATGCGAGCCCAAGATGCATGAAGTCCTCGCTTGCTCCCTCCCACAAAGGGTCAATGATGGAAGGAAAAGCTTCTCGTTCTGACCCCGCTTTGGACAAGAAATTGTGGCTGGTTTGACGGCTCGCTTGCTTGACAGAAGCGACTCGATAGCCTCCTCCTCCGCCATAGACTGCGCTCCGTCTTGGTCCGTCTAGCATACAACTTGATCTGCCTGTGACACGAGCCTTGACCCTTGCTTCTATCATTCCGCACCTTGCTGGCACGGTCCAAGCTCAGCTCACTCGAGACAAGAGAGGCTATCGCTGCTCTCTGTGCTGTCCAAGTCCGCTCGCCGGACGCAGCAGAACCCACTTGTAGTGTCGTGGCATTGTCCGAGTCTCCGCTAGCGTACAGCAGGGTCGTCCAGCCTGACCCGGCCCGGCCGTCTGTTCAGAGCTTCGAAAGGTGACTGACGATGGCCTTTTGAATTCATCGGAACGCCACACCGAAACGCGACCTGCTCGCCACCCTTTGCCCGAATCGCCTGCTAGTATGGTGCTTCTGTCTACTTTTGCCCGCATGTGCATTGCTGTTCCTCTAGGTGCCTGATCCGTGTATGCGCTTGAGATTCACACCTAAAGATAGGCTTCCAACCAGAAGACATCCTCTGCACGGTCGCCAAACTCTCTTCGCGCCAACCTTAAAATCACAAAGGGGACGTCGGCTTCTCCGTTTCTGGCTTCTCCCTTTCCTTCCTCTTTCCCCCCATCCGCTGGCTGGTCACGATTCTCCTCATCACTGCTGATCCTGACTCTGCCCTTATCGAACCCCCTTGACGACCACTTGTAGCATTCAGTGTCCTTCTCACCCTCTTTTCCCTTTCCCTGTTCCTTTTCCTCCTTCTTCTCTACCCACCTCGCTCCAATTCCGGCAACGACCTTCACCTTCTTTCATCACGTCCGTAGCTCCTGTCTCGCACATATACCTGCATACCTGATTGTTGCCCCTTTGAAACCACCTGCTCACTTTCGGGTCCATTCAAATCCACTTCGACGTTCGCAAACCGTCTTCATTACGGAGCCAAGCCGCAGAGCCGCAGGGGCCCCTTCTCGAGCAACTCGTCCCCACCTTCATAGCATCGGCACGTTAATCATACCCCCTCTCGGCGAGCCTCATCCCTCTCCTCGCTGCATCAAGATACCACAAGCACCCACATTTCAGGCATTTCAACAGCTTCCAAAATCGACGTGCACGACCTCAAGGCGCTCTCACTCTCTCCCCACAGCCTTGCATTCTGCTTCTCAACTTCTTCCTCGATCCTCGTTTACTGATCAAGATGGCTCGTAACAAGCCCGAAGGCGTCCGAGGTCGATCCCCCGGCCCAGCAGCTGATCGACGCGAGTCGAGCCTTAGCGAGCTCAGCATCCACGATCACGACGCTGACGATGCGATGCAGAATAACGCTCCAGCCAGGACAAGCAAGCGACGCAAGCGTTCGGAGCTCTCGCCTTCATCGAAGGCCACCCACAGCATCATCGAAAAGGAGCGCCGCGAGGCCATGAACGAGAAATTCTCCGAACTCGCCGCCAACATTCCGGAGCTCGTCGAAGCCATCGCAGCCGGTAAGCGTCCCACCAAAGGCGAAATTGTCAAGGCGAGTATTGCAAGGCATCAAGATCAGGAGCGACGCGTTGGCGAACTGATGCACGAGCTGCAGATGCTTCGAGCCGGTAGAGATGCCACCACTTCCTCCTCGAGCAGCTTCCCTCGTCTCGAGACCCCAAGCCCCGTGACCACGATAGTGCACGAGCAAATCATGCCCCCGACCCAGGCGCTCTCCTTACCCTACCAGATCCAGGCCTCCCACCCCGTCGGACTGCCCGGCACGGACGCCCACGGCAATCTCTGGATCGGTCAGCTGTTCGACAAGACGCATCAACAGCTGTCCTTTGACGCGCCACAGCCACTGCCGATGCTGCCGGACATGATGCAACAGCCAGTCTCGCCGTTCAAGCAGACTTCCATGATGAACTGGAATCTTTCGTCGCTGCCTCAGCCTCTGGATGCATCATCCTTTGGCATGGGAGTTCCCGCGTCTGGCATCCTCAAGGGATTCATGGACAACGGGATGTTGGCCAACCTTGCTCGTCGCGACAGCGTTGCAAGCGGTCCTACTGCTACGTCAGGCCTCTCTTCACCTACGTTTACCTCTTCCTCGGATAGCGATTCGACGTTCAGCAGCGAAGCAGTGGACCCGAGCCTCGACGAGCGCAAATTCCTTGCTGACAGCATGTCCTTCGAGCCGTTCGCTATGCCGACGAGCATGCCAGAGCAGACTCCATTGACATCGCTCGTCGGGCTGCCGGCTACGGCTGACCTGCTGAACGCAAACAACCAGGCGCGGCGTGTCTCTGCGCATCGTCGAGCACGAAAAGACGGCGTCAAGGAGGAAGCCGTTCAGTCTTCCTCGAGCCCTCTAACCGCTTCGCTCGCCGCGAACACGTAAAAGCGTGTTGGAGGAAGCGCTGGTTTGTGGTTCCTTTGAATCCTCTGTACTAAGCTAATCATAAGTATTCGCGGTGCTTCTTGTACAATGTCATATATTGCCGCCAGATGATCCGTCGTGTTTTGAGGACGTCGGACAGGCACAGGGCAGGTTTGCCACGCGTCGCGGTGACGACAGTTAGTCCCGAAGCCTTTTGCAGATTCGCAGAGATGTCCCAGGATGTTCGAACTAGCTCTCTTGCCTTCCAGGAGAGAATCTTCCGAGATGGGAAAGCAGTTGCAAGGTGAGCAAGCAGTATAGCAGCTGAAAGCATACAAGTGAGGCTAAATGAGTACAAATGTAAAGACAGTGTGTTGTCGGTGCAGCAGCTATTCCTCGCCTTCGTCGACAAAGATCTCCCGGTACTTTTCCAAGATGGTCTCTACCGCTCTACACTGGAAGCTCATGTCGTGGATCTGGATTCCCCCAGCCGCTCCACTGGCGTCACCATTCCCAGCCGTACCCATCGGCGGCGACAAGAGCGTTGGACCAAACACGATCGCCAAATTGCTCGCCGACATCTGATTCAACCTCTCTGCCGATCTGACCTTGTCCAAATGACCCATCAAAAACTTCAACGTCGCATAGTTCGCATCCGGCAGCTCGTTCACCTTTTCGTGCAATCGAATATGTCGTAATCGATCATTGTCGATCTTGGCCGCTTCGATGAATCCGCTGTACAGCTCGTGCGTCAACAGCGGTTCCGGCAATTCTCGGAACCAAAGCTTCAAACACCCGGCAACGATGTTGATATCTTGGATCGCTTCGTCGTTCATCAGATCGACACTGGTCCAATCCATATCGAACTTGGCTTTGAGCTTTTGCACCTTCGAGGTGGTTCCAGAGAGTCGATAGATACCCATGTTTTCGATCCCGAGTTCTTCGATGGCGAGAGAACACTTCTCGAGGATCGGCGGGATTTCGACGTTGTCGCGCGCCATCTGTTCGGCTAGATCGACGCCAAAGATGGGACGTTCTGAAGTGGCGGCGGTGCGAGTGGCGGGGATGGCGGCGTTCGGTTTGGCCGCGCCAGGTGCGTTGAGGAATCCTTCCTCGTAGGGTCCTTCACGTCGTGGGCCTTTGTAATCTCGACCGTGGACGACTTGGTAGTTGCTCATGTACTGTTTGAAATCGGCCCGATTGTCGATAGTCTCGACGGCGCCCTTCAGACCGCTACCCGGTGCAATCTCTGTGCCGACCGGTGAAATCGACATTCCATCGTTGAGAACCGTGCTTTCGAACAGGAAGGCGTAGCGGGCCAAATGGTACTGCGTCCCATTGTCGATCTCTTCCGCGTTCTCTTTGAGCGTGCGAAGGATGCGTGGCAGCTGCAGGTTGAAGTATTCTTGTCGTACGCCTTGCGTAGTGAGAACTTCACGACGGAAGGCGTCACTAGCAGTGCTCGTACGGGCACGAACCTCTTCCTCCTGCTTGAGGATTTGCTGCGGGTTCTTGTTCTTGAACAACAGCCCGCCCTTACCGATCGCCTTGCCCAAAGTCCTTTTGCCGCTACTGACACCGCCGCCACTCGACTGGAGATCGCCCGATTTGGTCGATTCGCCCGATTTGAGCAGTAGCAAACGCTCCAAATCCTCTGCTGCAGTGTCGAAGCGGCCGCGAGCCTTCTCGACCCCGGCTTCGGCGTCCTGCAGGTTCTTTTCGAGCCGCATGCCCGTGTCCTTTGCCTGCTTTCGACTCTTATCCACCTCCTTGGACAGGTTGCTGAGCTCGTCGCTCATCTCGCTCAACTTGCTGGCGAATCGCAGGCGGTTGTCGGCGATGGCCTCGTGCGTTTTCACGATGGAGTGCCAAGACTTGACGAAAGTGCCTGCTTTGGCATCGCTGAGCGAGTAGGTCTCGAAGGTGGAACGCGCAAGCTTTGCCATACCGCGGGCATACTCCTCCTCAAGCACCGCACGCTTCTTGAGGAAAAGGGAGGCTTCTCGAGCCGAGACCATGCTCTGCTTTATGCGGTCGAAGAGGAGAGGCATACCGCAGTCAATGTCGCAGAGTGAGCGCAGCACGCCTTCGTCGAAGCTGGTTGGTACGATATCCTCCATTGTTGGCCCATTCGGATTTGAAGATACGCTGTTGGAGTGTGCGTGTGTGAACGTGCCCGTTGTGTTTCCGGAAGGTAGGCTGGTCTCGCCAAAGCTAGTAGAGGAGACGAGATTGGGGGCTGTGGATGTGCTCTGAGTGCTGTAGCGAGCATTGGAGCCGGCTTCGGTCGAAGAGGCAGGGAGTGCACCGATGTAGCCTCGACCAGCGTCGTAAGCTGCTTGATCGGCCAAAGTTGGTGTCGCGAGCGCTGAAGAGCCTTCATACTGGAGCGACCTGTTGGTGGCTCGATTGTCCGTATGATCCAGTTCCGACATGTCTATAGCGTCCGAATACAGATAACTCGCGGAGGGATTCTCGTAGCCTGTCGGAGCAGCACAGGAAGAATCAGAGGAACGGCAGCGTCAGCGTCAGCGTCAAGATCCATTTCCGAGAGCATCGCGTCAACAGGGAAGGCAGAGCGCAAAGAAGTCGGTAACTTACCTGTTGCAGATATGTCCGAGAGCGCATCATTGTGGTGGAATTGCGCTTCGTTTGACATATCTGAGTGGTTGCCGGGCGAAGTGCCGAAAGGGGTGGATCCGTGCACATGCGGGCTGAGACGTTGAGGATTGGTAGCGACAAGATCGGCAGCGCCACCGAGCCATGCACCCTCGTGAGCGTTGGGAGACTGGAAATCCGTAGAATTCATCTTGATCTTTTCACCGGGATTGGAAAGTGCAGAGGTAGCGGTAGGGAAGGGTGCGAGTGTGGGCAAGTCGGAAGCAGCGCTGGTGGAGGGATTATTGTCGGGACGTTCCGATGTGAGGTAATGTGCGGCGGGACCTTCGTAAGAGGAGCCAAAGTCGGGATCCACGTCGGAGGATGTTCCGATCGGGCTGAGAGTGGTTTGCAGCGGGGCACCGCCAAAGAGCTCTGCTGTTGTCACGCTGTTCGGAGTCGAAGGCGATCTGTTGACGGGTGAAGAGAAGGCAGCACCGCTAGTGAGGGGAGACGAAGAGCCGGCAGGAGATCGTTCGTCGGGTGCTAGCCGGTCGCGCGATGCCCTCGTAGTCAGGGAGGCGAATGAGCTGCGGAGCTTGGCGCTCGAAAGACTGGAGGTGCTAGTGGTACGCTTTCGGAGGAAGTGCGGTGCGGAAGCCGGCATGAGAGTTGGCTCGAAATGGTCACGAGCTGCACACGACACGGACGTTGATGATGCTGGATGTGCGGAGTGCCTGTATCGCTGCAACGACCCGAGCGTGGCAGATCTGTGCTAGTAAGAGGACGAGATTTGCCTTGCAGATGAAGAGGATGGGAATGCGGCGCGTACCGGAGAGGATCGCCAGACTCGCATGTGCAAACGCCCTGGATAGCCGATCGGGGTTGATACGTGATGTGTCGTGCACTGACCGTGGCCTTTGTTCAGGCCAAAGTCTGGGTATCCCGATAGTGATGATGAGGTCGGTAGGGAATGGTTGGCGAGCAGGACACAAAGTCGCTCAGCACGAAGTTGAAAGACATCCGAGGAGATCTGCGTGAGAGCTCGACGGTTGGCGTACACCTGTGGTGTGCATTCCTACTACCGATCCACCAAAAGCGGGTCCAAGCGCCCGGCGGAATCATGTTAGAGCGAAGCTTCGCCCGTATCGCAGCTTTTCCGCCCTCCCACATCGACGCTGCTCGCAAGACACGTTACAACAACCCGCGACCATGGCTCGTGTCGCCGCATCAAACGCTTTCTCGACAATTCCTGAATCCCCGTTTGGCGTGACGAAGTCGACAGCAGCCAACGTGCGTTGAGCGCCGCAACGTCGCCAACCTTGCGTGTCGATGCATTGAAATAAAGGAAGGGTTTATCTGGCAAAGTTTAGGGGTGCTTCCATGGGTCCCTTCGATATGTAGGACCACCAGATGTGGCCGCGCTCCTCTTGTTCATCACCATTTTCAATCCAGTGGATTCAAGCTCAGCTGAGGTTTTGAATACAAATTTCGGATTGAGTGTGCTGTGTTGCACCCGTCTTTTGAAGTGGGAGGTCTGTAAGATCCATCCGCCTCGTTCATATTGTTCTTTTGTAGCAATCCTGTATCTGCATGCATCGCGGCGCACTCTCTTTCTCGACTGATTCAGATGGTCTGTACCTGTACCTCAAATAGAGAAGACAGAGACGAAGAGAAGGCGTTGGGAGATGGACGTCCGGTTCGTGCGTGGATGGCTGTGTGAGGGATCTCGGCGACCTGGTCAATCCAGCGCGCAGACCGATTGACCTATGGGTTGTGTTGAACCGTGTCAACCACCAGCAGCGGAGGAGCGCCAGCGGGCTACTTGGCAGCGCACGCGCCTGTACGCACACACACACATTTTACGCACGAGGCCGCGCTTCGGACCCCTTCCTTGTTGCTTTGCTTCTTCGCTGTGCTGCTTTGCTCTGCCCAATTTCCCGGTGTGCGTTCGCTTAGGCTCGGGTCGTCTTCATTTGGATGGCTCGTTCCATTTCGTTGTTGGCTCACACCATCCACAGCCTCGACCTCAATATCTTCTGCAGCATCATCGCGAGACTCCCTGCCTGCAATCACAGCACCAGCTTCATCGATCTCCTACGATCGCTGTCTTGATTCTCGCCTCGCTTTCGGTGCTCGCTTTCATACGCGCCGACACCAACATCGAGAAATATCGACAACAGCAGCGCGACGTTACACAACATCTGCCGGGAGCTCATGACGCGCTAGACTCATAAACATCATTGTGACGTTAGTCTTTGTTCTTTCTACAGCGTACCGGTACAATCTCTTCCTTCGCACCTCAACTCCCTCGAGGTGTTTGTCGTCATCATCGCTATCACCACCACATTCTCGATCTTGCCGGGATTTCACACGCGTCCAAGGTAGCCGCGCATCCACTCTACCTCCCTTCCAACGTTGAAATAGCCGGAGCAGCCATCGGACAGCGTTGAAATCGATCAGGATCTTTGGACACAGCCGCACCTCACGACACCCGAGATTGGATTAAATCAATTCGCTCGCATTGAGCTCCTTTCTGGCAGAATGCATCCATCACCAAAGCGCTCGGTGATCAAGCACCCTCACGAGTTTCACGGCGCTCAAGTCCTGCCGCGTAGTGCCGATGCCCTTGCCGAAGCATCTGGTCGCAATGATCCGTCCTCGTCGTACAATCAGCCCGACTCGTCGGTAGCGCCACCGAACTATCTCAAGGGCGTACAGGGCATCGGAGGCACAGACGGCGCCTTCACAGGTCTTGCAGGCAGCTTCGACTTTGACGACATGACCCTCGTGCCGCAACGCAGTGCGCCTGCTCCGCCGAGCAGCACCACCGGTGCCTCTGGCTCCAATCTTGGCTCCCAGGGCGCATCCGCCTCGAACTCTGCTTCGCCCACGTCGGTCTCCACATCCACGTTCGCCAACGGTTCGTCGAGCTCCTCCGGCGCATATCGCCCCCAGCCTACCATCAACACCTCCGTCAACGGATCGCAGGGCGCCAGATCGGGTCTTCCCACACAGACCGGCCTTCCTTTCAGTGTCTCTGGGCTGTCCAACAACCCTCCGGTTGCATCGCCGATCAACGGACCAAGCTCGGCTGTTCCCTGGTCATCTCAAAACCAGTCAGCATCCGGTTCTAGTGCCCCTTTCCCACCGCGTCCGGTCCGATCCAACACCTCAGGTCCCGACTCGCTCCATACCATTTCTTCGGTCAGTGCTTCCCAACATGTTGCCCCGATCATGGCGCAACGATCCCACTCGAGCATCGGTCCTCAGCAACATCAATTTTCGCCCAATCTCAACCAGTCTTCACCAACGCTCGAGGGTGATCCGGCGCCATCGCTCACAACACAGAGCCAGTTTGTCCATGGCAGCAGAGATCGCGAGAGAAGTCGGGATGGCATCCCTACTGCCGGGGGCAGAAACACGTTCAAGAGTGTTTTTGGCGGCTTTGTCAACTCGATGAGCGACGTCTTCTCGGCACAAAAGAAGATCGAGATCTCGACACCGTACGACCCAGTGCACTTGACTCACGTCGGCTTCAATTCCGATACGGGCGAATTCACGGGCCTGCCCAAGGAGTGGCAGCAGCTGTTGCAGGAGTCGGGCATCTCGCGTCAGGATCAGGAGGCCAATCCACAGGCGGTCATGGATATTGTCGCCTTCTACCAGGATGCCACCAAGAGCGAGGGCAGCACCGATGTGTGGAAGAAGATGGGTGCCGCCAAAGGCACCAACGCGCCCGGCACACCACGCACCGACACTAGCAGCGACGATGGCGCCTTCAGAGGTCCTCAGCCCGTGCTGTACGAGAAGCCCCGCTCTGCGCCTGCACCGCCCGGGCTGATGCACGCCAAGAGGCCAGGCGACATCGGCAGTCCGGATCTTCGACATCCCCCTGGATCCGCTGGCAGCTCGGGGGACACAGTCCTCAAGTCATCTCGACCAGCGCCCGCCCCAGCACCAGCTCCGCCGGGCAAGACGGGCTCGCCGTCTCTAGGATCCAAGCCAAGCGCTGGCTCGCGTTCTCCAGACGCGTCTGCTCCACCGGCGGCCGCAGTTGCCAACGGAGCACCGTCAGCTGCTGCTTCCGCCACGGCTGCCTCGGCGGCAAGCAAGAATGTCAAGGGTCCTGGCAGCGTTCCACGTAGACGCGAGACCAAGAAGAGCACCATCAAGGATTCCGAGGTGATCGCCAAGCTGCAGGCTATCTGCACCGACGCCGATCCGACCAAGCTGTACAGGAGCCTGCAAAAGATCGGCCAAGGCGCAAGCGGAGGCGTGTTCACGGCGTACCAGGTGGGCACCAACGTTTCGGTGGCGATCAAGCAGATGAACCTGGAACAGCAACCCAAAAAGGACCTCATCATCAACGAAATCCTCGTCATGAAAGAGTCGCGCCACCGCAACATCGTCAACTTTATCGACTCGTTCCTGTTCAAGGGCGACCTTTGGGTGGTGATGGAGTACATGGAGGGCGGTAGCTTGACCGACGTGGTGACGTGCAACATCATGACCGAGGGACAGATCGCCGCGGTGAGCCGCGAGGTGCTCGAGGGTCTGAGGCACTTGCACCAGCACCGTGTGATCCACCGCGACATCAAGTCGGACAACGTGCTGCTGAGCTTGCAAGGAGACATCAAGCTCACCGACTTTGGCTTCTGCGCTCAGATCGGCGAGTCGCAGGCGAAACGAACGACGATGGTGGGTACGCCGTATTGGATGGCACCGGAGGTGGTCACGCGCAAAGAGTACGGGCCCAAGGTGGACATCTGGAGTCTGGGCATCATGTGCATCGAGATGGTGGAGGGCGAGCCGCCGTACCTCAACGAGAACCCGCTCCGTGCGCTCTACCTGATCGCCACCAACGGTACGCCCAAGATCAACAACCCGGAGAATCTGTCCAACACGTTCAAGGACTTCCTAACGACGTGCTTGGACGTGGATGCCGAGCGTCGTCCCGATGCGGTGGGCATGCTGGCGCATCCCTTCCTGAAACGTTCCGAAAGCTTGAGGACGCTGGCGCCACTGATCAAGGCCGCTCGCGAGCAGTCGCGCAAGTCGTGAGGGCCAGCTCCAAATCTGCAAGGTCTCGCCTCTCTGTCCGAGTACGATGGCCGGTGTACACCTTGAACATGCACCGTAGATCTGTCACGCATAATCTTGAGGCAATAACGAACAATTTCTTGCACGCTCTCCGCTGTGAATGCTTTGCTACGCTGACGGTGCCAACAGTGTGTGAACTGAACATTTGCGGAGGGGTTGGGCTCCCCGAGATCGGTCCATAGATGAAGTGGACGGCGGCCTTAGCATTTGTATTCTCACACAAAACGGCACAAGACGCTGGCGGTGCGGAATCGACGTCCGGTGTGGTCCGAGCTCTTGCAACATCTGGGCGAGCTATCACTATGGAACGAACTGCACCGACGCAGACGAAGAAGTTTGGACATACGACGCTAGGCGTAGATTGAGATGCCGAAAGTGTTAGATAGCTGCCCTAGTCGGACCGGACTGTGCTCTCAGGCTCTCAGCGTAGAGAAAGTATGCGGTTTCGGGGAGGGGGGGCAGAGCAAGTCTGGCGTTCGGAAGGGCAGCGGACGAGTCACACGGCTTACCAAAGATTACCGCTGCTCTGCGAGTGCGACATGAAATTTGGAAATTGAGAAGAAATCCATCCAACTTGGCTTCTGACTCTGACTCGCTTCGCCACCCGAGAAGTCCAATCAAACAAGCTCACGTCGCCGTCTGCTGCCTTGAACTGTTCCGCTGTATAGTCGCTTAATCGACTGAAATTGGACTCGGTTTTGGCTTCTTCTCAGCTGGTCGGCCTCCCCACCTTCTCACGCTGTGCGGTGAGAAAGTTGTGCATCAATTTCGCAAAGGCCGACGACAACTGCTTTGTTCCACCAACGGTCAAGTTGTTTCTTCATCAGCACAGCACACCACCATCACAACCTCCCCACCTGTCGTCGCCTTTGTTGATCTTTGGTGACTCGAATACTCTCACGTCATCCTGTCCGCTCCTCTGCAGCGGCGTGTTCTCGCTCTACCGCGCCTCCTTTCATCAGCATCGAGGTCGTTGCCTTCACATAAATCTAGGCTCGCTTTCCTACACCGCTCACAGCCGGCCCGCCACAATACCCTTTCCCCTTCCTCAAGTCAAAACTCATTCGCAACCATGACCGACCAGATCAAGGCTACCTTCGCCGCCAAGGCCGCCAAGGACGAGGCGGTCTTTGTCAGTTTCGTCACCGCCGGTTTCCCAACTAAAGATGACACCACAGAGGTCCTCCTCGCTCTGGAGCAAGGAGGAGCCGATGTCATTGAGCTCGGTGTGCCCTTCTCGGATCCTCAGGCTGACGGACCTGCCATCCAGGAGAGCAACCAGGTCGCTCTGGAACAGGGCGTCGGCTACACCCAATGTCTCGACTACATCCGGCAGGCACGCTCAAGAGGTCTCAAGGCACCCGTCCTGCTGATGGGCTACTACAACCCGACCCTTGCCTACGGTGAAGAGAGAGCAGTGCAGGATGCCAAGGCCGCCGGTGCCAACGGATTCATCATGGTAGACCTGCCACCTGAAGAGGCCGCCGACTTCCGTGCCTCGTGTACCAAGCACGGCCTCTCGTACGTGCCCCTCATTGCCCCTTCCACCTCGACGAAGCGCATCAAGCACCTTGCTTCCCTCGCCGACTCCTTTATCTACGTCGTCTCCAAGATGGGCACCACCGGTGCCACCACCACCGTCTCGAGCTCGCTTCCCGAACTCATCTCCAAAATTCGCAGCATCACCTCTGTCCCGCTCGCCGTCGGCTTCGGTGTCTCCACCCGTGAGCACTTTGTCGAGGTAGGCGAACACGCCGACGGTGTCGTCATTGGCAGCAAGCTGGTCGCCAAGCTCAAGGAAGCTCCCGCCAACACCGCCGCCCGCGTCGAGGCCGCGCGCTCCTACTGTGCCGAGATCACCGGCAAGAACGAGGGCGGCATCCGTCGCAAGCAGCCGCTCAACATCAAACAGGTCATGGACCAGCCCGACTCGGTCCCCATCCCCAAGGTGGACGCTGTCGTGCCAGCTGACAGACCACCCGTTCCTGGTCTGGACACCATTGTCGACGGCGAGGGCAAGGTCCGACCCCCTCGTTTCGGCAAGTTTGGTGGCCAGTACATTCCCGAGGCGCTCTTCGACGCTCATCAGGAGCTCGAGAAGGCCTACCTGGATGCGCTCAAGGATCCCGAGTTCTGGAAAGAGTTCGAGAGCTACTACGAGTACATTGGCCGTCCCTCGGAGCTTTACCCTGCTGACCGCATGACAAAGGCGGCAGGAGGTGCGCAGATCTGGTTCAAGCGCGAGGATCTCAACCACACCGGTTCGCACAAGATCAACAACGCCGTTGGTCAGATCCTGCTCGCTCGCAGGTTGGGCAAGACAAGAATCATCGCCGAAACCGGCGCCGGTCAGCACGGCGTAGCCACGGCCACTGCATGTGCCAAGTTCGGCCTCGAGTGTGTTGTCTACATGGGTTCCGAGGACGTGCGTCGTCAGTCGCTCAACGCTTTCCGAATGAAGATGCTTGGCGCTAAAGTGGTGGCGGTCGAGAGTGGAAGCAAGACGCTCAAGGATGCCATCAACGAGGCCAACAGAGACTGGGTGACCAACCTGCACAACACGCACTACATTGTCGGCTCGGCGATCGGCCCGCATCCCTTCCCATCGATCGTGCGCGACTTCCAATCGATCATCGGCAAGGAAGTCAAGCAGCAGCTTCAGGAGAAGAAGGGCAAGCTTCCTGACGCCATTGTCGCCTGCGTTGGTGGTGGTTCGAATGCCATTGGAATCTTCCACCCCTTCGTCCAGGACAAGAACGTCCGCTTGATCGGCGTGGAGGCGGGTGGTGACGGTATCGATACCGACCGCCACTCTGCTACGCTGAGCAAGGGCACTCCTGGTGTGCTCCACGGCGTACGCACCTACTTGTTGCAGGATCAGTTCGGACAGATCACCGAGACGCACTCGATCAGTGCAGGTCTCGACTACCCAGGTGTAGGGCCCGAACACTCGTTCCTCAAGGACTCGGGTCGTGCCGAATATGTCGCAGCTACCGACGAGGAGGCTCTGCGTGGATTCAAGCTGTGCACCGAGTTGGAAGGCATCATCCCCGCACTCGAGACCTCGCATGCGCTCTGGTCTGCATTCCACCTTGCTAAGACTATGAAGCCGGAGGAGGACATCGTGGTCTCGCTCAGTGGTCGTGGTGACAAGGATGTCGAGCAGATCGCCAATGCCATTGCCCATGGCGGTTGGGGAGAGCGTCTCGGCTGGAACATTGCCTGAGCGCGTTCGAATGCGCTCGGTGGGCATCACACCAACTCCTGTATTCGATGTCTCGCATTCATACAAAATTTGACTCTTTGAACTGTCCAATGACCCCACAGTCTTGTCGTCGTCGTCTTGCTGAAGGATCGATTCGCGGTGAATGAGTTTTCTGTATCTTCTTGACAGCGTCGCGTGCTGAAATGTTTCTCGTCCCCATTTCTCGTTGACTTTTATCGTAGCCTGAAAACATGCTCATGAAAAGGGAAGTGCTCTTTACGCGACCCGTCCGATTTTTGGGACGCGCCTCTGCTGCAATGCAAAGACCAACACTTTTTCTGTTCGGCATGCGCTCCGACCGTTCTCGACTCAGCCACCTTCTTGTCACAACTTGTCTTTCCCATCCTCGTCCCCTCGCCATCACTTGTATAAGCCTCGAAAAGCCTCGAGAATGCTCAACAGGTAGCTCGTCAAGTGCTTCCGTTGTCCTCACAACCGAACCCAATCCGCACTTGCACGATGAACGCCGTCATCTCGGCGAGCGACATCAAAACGTTCTACAGCGCACTCCACTGTCTCAGCCGCTTCTCCGAATCGTTCTGGCTACAATGTAGTCCGCGTATTAATGGTCAAGCGCAGATCCGGCTTTCAGCAATCAACCCGACCAACTCGGCGTTCTGCATGTTTGCCTTCGACCCGGACTTCTTTCTCAACGTCAGCACCGAGTCGAATCAGAAGATCGAGTGTCAGATCCAGCTCAAGGTACGTGCACTGTCCCGACTCTCATACTTTGCCCCCTGAAGTCTTCTCAGCTGACGTGATGTAATGTGGCATCCCTGACAGAACATATTGTCGATCCTTCGGACTCGAGGTCGAAACGTCGAACGGCTATCGCTCACCCTCACCACCACCTCCATCTGTCGATTCACCCTCACCCTTCACTGTCACCATTCGATCCTCAAAACCCACCATCTCACGTACGAACCCAAACGAGGTCTCCTGCCCACCGCCGACCCCAACCCGCCCAACTTCTTCTGCCTCAATCCTTCCACCGCCACCGAATGGCTAGACCACTTCCTCTCATCCTCCCGCACCGGCGAGATCACCCTTCACTGCACCCCGGACGCGTGCATCGCACGCTCCAAGGAGGAAGAGATTCCAGAGGCAAAAGGTGGGATGAGAAAGGCCATCAGTACAGAGGTCAAGATCGCGGTGGAAGAGTTCAAGGAGTACTGCGTGCTGGAGGAGGTCAAGATGACCTTCAGTTTGAGAGAGTTCAAGGCCACGGTGGGGTTGGCGGAGGGGTTGGGGGTGGGGGTCGAGGTGAATTTCAGCGGAGGGGACGAGCCGTTGTTTGTGAGGATGAGGGTGGAGAGTGCGGTCGCGGCGGAGTTTGTGATTGCTACGACGAGGGGGGAGAGAGGGGCTGGGGGAACAGGGGGTGGATCTGAGGGAACGGCTGGGGAGTCTGTGGAAAGATCAGGAAGGAATGGAGACGGGACAGGGACGATGCCACCTCCGCCAGCTCGTATCGCTGCTTCCGTCACAAGTTCCGCTTCGGCATCAAGGTCAGATCCATCCTCCGTATCAAGAATTACAGTCGGCTCCAATCCCTCAACCAGCACTCGCGCAGACTCATCCCTCCTTTCACAACCCACACGGCTCCCCTCAGCACACACTTCCGACCGACAAATACCCAATCAATCAACCCCTCTCCCCCCGCTCGAAAATGGCTGCAACGAAGAAGAGCAGGAGGACGAAACGCAGCCGCTGTTCTTTCCAGGAGCTTCGCAGCTCTCGCTCCAGCCGACGCAGGAGGAAGAATCTGGGTTTGTTCAGCCTACACCGGTGGCACAGGGTGGTGACCCGGGAGAGTTCTTGGATCCTCAACAGCCGCCGGCGACGATGCAGCGTCAGCGACGGGGGATCGAGGGAGACGGTGGGAGTTATGCGCGGTCTCGGGATGAGGAAGAGGAGGACGACGAGGGTCAGGACGATTCGGAGCGTGCGGATGCGGGACCACGGAAGCGCTTCAAGCCATTATTCTAGGTCACCTCTCCATTATTCAAGGTTCAGAAGTGACGAATCTGAGACGTCACAATGGTAACGGTGTAACTTTCGCCGATCAGTGTCTGTGATCAGTGTGATTGCAATGCGATTGATTTTGTAGCTCGTTCGACGAGACGCCGAGCTCCGCTTCAAACCGCCTCTCCTAGCGGAAGAGCACGTCAGGCAACGTGCCCTCTGCAACGTACTCGTCCGCTCTCCTTCCTTCCCCGTCTCCGTCCACTTCTCCCTCCTCTTCCTCTATCCATTCTGCCTCTTCATCACCCATCTTCACTTTACCACTCGAACTTCCGCGCATACCTTCGCCGGCCTTCGCCTCGTCCGCTTCGAAGTTCTTCAGCTCGGTGCTCTCCAAAAACACTTCGTCCTTCAACAACTCTGTCCAGCTATCCATCCTCTTCCTCACCACGGCTCGGACCGTTGCTACGAGTACGATGCTCTGGATGGCACCAAACACTTTCCGCAGGAGCAGCTGTTCTTGCTCCTTCGAGCTTGCCTCTGCCCATCCGCTGGTAGCGAGCGCTTCAGCCACCGTGAAGGGCACGGACAGGAGAACAAATCCAGCGACGACGACAGGGACGACCACGCGCTTCCAAGCCAACTTGACTTTCGGTCGAGGATACACCCCACCACGAACCACTTCGTCGATGTTCGACATGAAGGTCGAGTACAATCCCGTCGTTGGCACACCAATGAAGCGGGCGGTGAACAGGAGCAATCGAGTCTCGATCACTCCAAGCGCCCAAATCTGACCCAGGTGCAGCACCGGAACCTGCGTCGAACGATATCGCAACGGAACCAGCACGTACTGATCCACTAAAAGGCCAGTGACAAGCGGAACGATACCAGCGACACCTGCAAGCAGGAAGATCGACTTGAAGATCCGTTTGATCTCTACCACGATGCGAACGGTGATGTAAAGTCGAGGCGTGGTCCGGATGTATCGTGCGCGCTTGATGCGGCGGTTCCACGTCTTTTTCGAGCCCTTGTACAGCTTGGCCGCAAGCACAAGGAGGGTGAGACCGATGCTGAACGAGTAGAAGTCGTGCACTTGTCTCCCTTTCAGCAGATAGGCGAACCCACGACCTAACAACAGCGGGAGACTGAGACCGAGGATGAACAGCGCGCAATGGCTGAGCCACAACAGGGTCAGGATCGTAGTGATGCGCACCTGATGGCTCGGAGGAAGATAGAGGACCTCGTAGGTGGGTTTTGGCGTATGCTTCTCCGCATCCGCCTCCTGCTTCACCAGTGCTTCTGCCATACGCTCTGTCGCAGGCGTGCCGTCCGACTTCAAAGGTATGATCAACGGACCCGACGTGATCGCCTTGTCATCCGCTGGAACACGACCGAGCGTGCCGTCCTCCACATACTCTTCCTCTCCACCCTGCTGCCCCGTCAACGCCTTCCAGACATTGACCACCATATTCCCCTTCCGCCCTCTTCTCTCCTCCATGAACCGTCCTCCGATCATATACGTGCTCAGCCTAAGCATCTTGGACGCGCCCTTCCACCACCATTTCAGCCACTTCTCCGCCAGCTTCTCCGGATCCACCTTCTGCGTTGCCCACGGGACCGCAAAGTGAACCAACAGCAGATCCACCGGAACCTCGGTCCACGGATCGAACGGTTTCCACCTCAACGGCAGCACACCGCTCCAACCCATCGCGTATCTCAAGAAATATGTGTTGACCCCGACACTGGCCACCAACACTGCAGCGTACATCATAGCCGATGCACCGATCTTCTTCAGCTGCGTCCACGTCTTCTTGTCCAGAATTTCGCGGATGGGATGGAAGCTGGGATCGTTCGGGTCCCTGATCCAACACAGCACTCCGGGCCGCAACACCTTCCTCGTTGCACTTACGTACTGCGCAAAGACGAACATGTACACGGTTCCACCCATCCATCTGGTGAATGCAAACGAGATCGGTGCGGCCTTGATTTTGGCCGGCCAAAGCGCGATGGATGCGCCCGCAAAGATGGGCATGGTGCAGATATCGAACAGCAGTCCGCATCCAAGAGGGAAGACGAACAACTCGATGAAGATGAAGCTGATCGCCTTGAGGATGAGCACGTGTTGATCCATGAACATCTTGAGCGCGGATTGTTCGGCGACGGCACGTGGAAAATCAGGTTTGGAGAAATGCTGGTGGATGAAGAGGATCAGCATCCAGTAGGCGTGTCCGAAGGCGATGCAGACGACGCGGTCGGTGGTGGAGGTGACGATGCGGTGGGAGTCGAGTTTGGCGAAGAGGTCGGAAACGGTGTCGGCGAGACGCTCGAGGGTGCCTCGGAAGCCGGTGGCTAGGGCGATGTCGAAGGCGTTGCTAACAGCTGTCCATTGCGAAGATGCTGTGACGCTAGCGGGTAGGACGCGGACCAGCAAGCCGGCAAGCGCGCTCGACTTGGCAGCTACGGCTTGAGTGTCCAATGCTTGTCCGCGCACGACCTTCGTAGCGTCCGACTTTGCATGGCCGACGGCAGAGGTGAAGAAGCCAAGCCACGCATTGATCAGCTTTCCATTCTTTGCAGCGTCCACCACAGTCGAATCCGTCTTAGCCTGCCCCAACCCCATTGCAGCCACCACCCTCGGCCATCCCTTTGCACCCACCGCAATCAACCCGTCAAACACTGGATCCGTCACATATCTCAGCAGCCTCACCGGCAGCGCCAACACCTTGATCAATCCAGGTCCGCTCCCCAACAGCCTTCCCACGACATACGGCACCATCACGAACGCCTGCATGACGAAAAAGCTGAGGAAAATCATGAGGAAGAGGTTCTGAACGATCCCAAAGATGGGACCTCGCATGCCGACCGCCTCGAGGATGCCGTCCATCTCTTCGGCCAGACCGATCTCTGCTTCTGGATCATCGGCGGCTTCGGCGGCGGCTGCAACGATTTCGATCTCGTCTTCTGCGGCGATGGGATGCGCGATAGGTGGTGGGAAAGCGGCTGCCGCGGCTGCACGGAGCGCGACCTCGTCTGCTGGATCTGGCTGGGCTGGTGCGTCGGCGTCTGCGTCTGATTCGTCCTCCCAGGCTTCATCGTCGTCCCGAGCTTCATCCGCGGCGGCGAGTGGCAGCTCGTCAGCTTGTGGGAGAGGTTGAAGAGGTTCTGCTGCAGGTGAAGCTGTGTGATCGTCCCCGGTCGATACGGTTCGAGTCGTCACATCCCTTGGCGAATCCGCCTGCGCGGGTTCGGTATAATCTCCCGTCCGTGAGACAGATACGTCATTTTGTGCCGCTTCCTGCAACTCTTCAGGCTGAGCTTCGAGCTGAAGTCCCACTGCGGCTTCGTCCGCTTTGCGATCATCATCTGACTGCTCGAGAATGTCCTTGCTGGTGCCTGCTTGTGGGTCCTGCTGCGTTAGACTTTCGAGTGCGATCGAGTTTGTCTCTTTGAGTCCTTCAGAAGATGGGCCGGCCTCGGACCAGCCGAGCGCGTCTCGCAGGTTTTGCGTCGATGTTGAAGGGTCGGTGCCATTCGACGCAGCCAATTGCGGAGGCTCCGACGAGCCGGCTGAATCGCTGCTACCTTCTGCAGTATCTGCTGCCGCATCCCCAGCAGGACGCTCTCGCGCAGCCATGACCTGCTCCAATCTGCGGAGCCGTGCCAGCCTGGCCTGCACTCTCTGCTCCTCAGGATCCAACTCGAGCTCGCGCTCCCCTCCCACTTCCTCATTCGCTTCGTCCTGCGGTGTTTCCTGTAAGTCGGCCAAGACGCGTTCGAACTCGTCCCTTCTCTGTTCGAACTGCGCCCTGATCTGTGCCTGACGCTCTTCCGCCGCCCTCGGCTGCCCGTCGGCCAGGTTCCTTGGCCCCTCCTCCGGTTGTACCGCATCCACATTTTGTGGCTGCACATCAAAGTTCTGCGGCATATTCTGCAAGATCCATTCTCTTAGCAGGAACACGCCGACGAAGAATACCACAATGACGCAACTCAAGATCTGACCTTGAAAGACATCGTGTGCCAGATGCTCGAGCAGAGTTCGGACCGAAAGCTTTACGCCAGAGATGGTGATTGGCGTGTGCGAGGAGGTGCTGGATGCGAAAGGCGATGCGATGCGAGACCACGCGTCTGAGGAGGAGAACTTGACCATCCCATCGAGGTCCTTTACCGCTGTAGCGTTCGCCGGAGGAGCAGCTTCCTGGTATGTAGGTATCAACCCAGCCATGCCCAGCCTGGTCGCAACATCGACAAACCAATACAAGATCGCGTAATCGATGCACCAGAACCAAAACCTCCAGACGTTGATGTTGATATAGGGCAACAAGGCAAGCCATGTGAACCCAACCAACAGCGCCCTTGCGGCTAACTTGACCGTTTGTATAGATCGGATGACGAGTCGACGCGCGTAGAGGTACCGGGGGAGTTTGCCGTCGGAAGGCATGTCCTTGCGGTACTTTTTGTGGAAGATGAAGGCATGATTGCAGAGTTCGCAGTATTTTTTGCGCGAGTGCTGGAGCCATTCGAGCAGACAGTCCTGATGACAGTAGCGGATGGATCCAGTGCATTTGCAGGGGTGGTAGAGGGGCGATGAGGGTTCAGGGCCGCTGCGACAGATTCGACAGGTGTCTTCGTCCTCCATGGTGGGCGGCGGTGTTGTGGGGGGTTATGCTGCGTGGATCATTCGTAATGGTGGTTCGCGGTCGGTGGGAATGGAGCTGAAGGTGACAGGAAGGCGTCAGAGTAGTGTTGTTGAGACTCGATGTCGAGCGGCGATGCGACTAGAGCGAGGTCGGTACACGAGTGTGCACGGGTCTGTGCTCTTTCAATGCGATGTCGACGACCGGAATGTACGACGTCGGAGACGTTCGAAGGGTGCGTGCGTTGGGTGGAGATGTAGCGGAGGTGATGTATGCGGCCTTTCGATTTCGATTGGGGGTGGTTGCTGCCGGTAAAACGCTTTCAGCGTGGTGATGAAGAAGAGGAAGGAAGGTGAAATGTCGGAGAGCAAGGTGAGCCAACTGCATACGGCGACATTTGCATTTCGGCTGTGACGACACGGCTCAACTCAGCCAGAGTGTTGCTCTCGGATGAGCCGAACATGGCTTGACTCGGAATTCGGAGTGTTTTCCTGACACTTTCTCCACCTCATCCTCGTCCTCGTCCTCAAGGCTTGTTCGCCACTGACTACAACCATCCCTGCGCTGACCATGACGCCAACAGCATCATCAAGCACGTCTGCTGCTCCTGAGCAGCGCGATGTGGGTGCTGGATCTTCCATGTCGGCTGTTCAAGCTCTCAAGCGTCGACGTATGCTTCAGCAAGCACAGGATGACAGCCCGCACTACAGCTATTCGGACGAAGAGGACGACGGCAATGCTTCGAACGTCGCTTCATCATCCATTTTTGTTCCACTGAAACAGCGACGTATGCAGCAGCTGCAACAGATTCAATCTCGTGCACGCGGCTCACCTTCCAGCCTATCAGGTTCGCCCTCCACCAAAACAACGGACGATGCCGACGACGATGAGCAGGACCAGCAGGACCGTGCAGCCCAACGACCACAGCGATCGCTTCTCGACGAAGCTAGATTGCTTCGAGAGAAGAAGCTAGCCGAAGAGGGTGAAAAGACGCAGGCCGAAATCGAAGCGGAGGAAGAGCGCAAGATCCTCGAAGCTCATGCGGCACGTCGGAAGCTTGCCAGTGACATGGAGCTCGCCAAGGGCATCCAATACACCGAGCCTCTCGCCACCTCGTGGACAGCGCCTTCGTACATTCGCAATCGATCGTTCGAAGAGAACGAAAAGCTTCGCGAGAAGAACCACATCCTCACAGACGGTATCGACGTTCCACCCGTCATCACTAATTTCCGCGATATGAAGGTCCCCGACTGCGTCATCGACTATCTCAAGACGCAAAAGAAGATCGTCAAACCTTCTCCCATCCAAATGCAGGGTCTCCCCACAGCTTTCTCAGGGCGAGACATGATTGGCATCGCATTCACCGGTTCCGGCAAGACCCTGGCCTTTTCCCTACCCATCATCATGCTTTCGTCCGAAGAAGAGCGCCGTCTCCCTTTCACGCGTGGCGAAGGCCCCGTGGGTATGATCGTCTGTCCATCGCGAGAGCTAGCCCGACAGACGTACGACTCCATCAAAGGCATCGCCGAAGCGCTCGAACATGGGGGCTATCCTCAGATCGGCGTCTTGCTCTGCATCGGAGGCATCAGCATGTCCGAACAGCACCACACCATGTCCAAAGGCTTCCATATCGTAGTGGCAACCCCCGGACGTTTGCAAGATATGTTGACCAAGAAAAAGTTCACACTCGATTGCTGCAAGTACCTCTGCCTGGACGAAGCCGATCGCATGATCGATATGGGTTTCGAGGAGGACGTTCGTAACATCATGGGATTCTTCAAGCAACAACGACAGACTTTGCTCTTCTCTGCCACCATGCCCAAGAAGATCCAAGACTTTGCGGAACAGTCCTTGATCCGACCTGTTATCATCAACGTTGGACGAGCAGGTGCAGCGTCCCTGGACATCATCCAGGAAGTCGAGTATGTCAAGCAAGAGGCGAAGATGGTGTATCTGCTCGAGTGTTTGCAAAAGACCGCTCCGCCAGTGATCATCTTTAGCGACAACAAGAACGAAGTCGATGACATACAAGAGTATCTCTTGCTCAAAGGTGTAGAAGCCGTCGCGATTCACGGCAGCAAAACGCAAGACGAACGTGAGTACGCGATCCGAGCGTTCAAATCCGGTCAGAAGGACGTCATGGTAGCCTCCGGTGTCGCTAGCAAAGGTTTGGATTTCAACGAGATCCAACACGTCATCAACTACACCATGCCCAAGGAGATCGAAGACTACGTCCACCAAATCGGCCGTACCGGTCGAAGCGGAAAAACAGGTGTAGCCACCACATTCGTGAACGGAATGACCCAGGAACAGACGCTGTTGGATCTCAAGTATCTGTTGATGGAGGCCAAGCAGAGGATACCGCCCTTCTTGGCGGCGATCGAGGATCCAAGAGCAGTGATGGTGGGAGGTAAGGTGGCCAGTTGTCCCGTATGTGGTGGTTTGGGTCACAGCATCAGGGATTGTCCAAAGTTGGAGGACAACCAGAGAAGACAGACCGCTCAGTTCTCGAGGGGCGATGAAGGAGGCTACTGATCGAGTCAGTGGCGTCATGTGTTCGCTCCTGCTTTGTATTTGTATCGGTTGTAGAACACGCACTCGCATTGACAGCAACGTATCTGCCCTAGACGGACGTCATTCTCATCAAACTGAAGTTGAGGCACAGCACAAGGAAGAGACACAGGCAAAGAGTGAGATATACCATGCAGAACGACAATCTGGGCATTTCGAAATGAGGGACAGTGACACCTATCTCGCTCCGAGACTAGACACAAAGAGCAAAGCCGAGCGACATCGGACATTGCCAATGCATCGACCTAAAAAGACGTTATTGACCTGAGAACATGGTGTAGAGGGTGGTGCAACCGTCAGGATGCTCCGCGATTAGGCGGTGGGGGGCTTGGTGCCCTCCTCGAACATGAAGGTGAGCTTGCACTTTCCGCAGTACTGACGGTTCTTGTGCCAGCTCATGAAGATACCGGCACCGCACTCGGGGCTGGGGCACTCCCTGCGCAGCCTCTTGATGTTGCCATCGCCGTCGACCTTGTAGTACTTGAGGATGGACATCTTGACCTTCTTGCGCTTGTGGGGGATGCGCTTGGGGGTGGTGTAGACCTTCTTCTTCCTCTTCTTGGCACCACCACGCAGGCGAAGCACGAGGTGGAGGGTCGACTCCTTCTGGATGTTGTAGTCCGAAAGGGTGCGGCCGTCCTCGAGCTGCTTGCCGGCGAAGATGAGGCGCTGCTGATCAGGGGGAATGCCTTCCTTGTCCTGGATCTTGGCCTTGACGTTGTCGATGGTGTCCGAGGACTCCACCTCGAGGGTGATGGTTTTGCCCGTGAGGGTCTTGACAAAGATCTGCATCTTGTATCACGGTTGTGCTAACCAGTATAAGTGGTGTCCTTGCTGTGAACCGTGAGGAAAAGAAGGAAGGAGGATCGATGGCGAACAGCTTGGTCTTCTAGCGATCCATCGACCCGCGCGGTCTCCTAGCAAGTTCGAATTTCTTCTCTTGGGCTCAGCTTCAGCCTCAAAAGCGCAGTCAAATTTTCCTTCTTTGCCGTCGCTTGAGCACTGCTCACGTGCCTGGAATCTGGATTGCTTGCGCAGAGAGTGCGGGAATTCACTTGCAAAAGTCACGTGCTATTTCGGACTGACCTCCTTTCGTACGATATTGAAATTTTCTGCATGCGTCGGCCTAACAAATGAGTTCGGCTTTGACCGAGACGTAGCTTTTTCTATACCAAGGCTGGTTCGAACCGTCAAATCTTGAATTGTAGAATTTAACAAAGCTACTTCGGCCTCGAACTTCCACACAGAAGATACGAGGAAGGTTTTTCTGCTTGACTCTTGCGACTCTCGTCAGCAAAGGCGTCCGACATGTTAGAACACCCCACGCTGGGAAGGCTCACGGACTTTCACAGGCTGGCTCGAGCTTGTTGATGATAATGCCTCTGTGACCCTGCATTATCCATCAGAAGGCAAGGGTATATATCAGAAACGGCGAGGTGTGCGAAGATCGAAATGGTCAGGTTGAGCCAGGGTGTGCGCTGAGGCGACTGTACCCATGATCGCCAGCTGGTCAATTAAGGTCGAGGTCGAAAGCGTCCTCGTCCTCGTCCTGTCGCTGCTGCTGCTGTCTGAGCTGTGAATACGACGCAGCAAAGTCGGTCGCGGGCAGCTCGTCCGCATCCTCCATCGTTTCGTCCGCCGGCTGCTCTGCCATGGGTGCGCCGTTGAGCATCTCTTGACTGTTCAAGATGCCCTGCCGCATCATGGCGTCCGACGGGAAGGGCATCTCTTGCGGCATCGACGGTATTGCTGGATCGTAGTACGCTGCGGCTCTCTTAGCGTACTGGTTGTAGTCTGCTCCTAGCGAGATCTGTTCCGCCGGCTCGCCATCCGCGCCCTGACCCGGTTCTGATTTGACTCCTGCCCCATCGTCTTTCGCTGCAGATGCCAGTTGTGGCAACTTGTAGCCAGGAGGCGCCGATGTGTACCTCGCGAGCCTCTGCGCGTACGCTAGCAACGTCGAGTGCCCGATCGGCCGCTTTTCCGCTCTGTCTATCGACGCTACCTCCTCCTCTGACAACCGTGTGATCTCGGCGAGCTCAGATTGTATTTGGCTCAACTCCAGAATTGCATGTCTGGTCTCCTGATCTCGTTTCTTCGCCTGTGCTTGCAGCTCCTCGATTCGACTCTGGTTGACTGCGTGTCTGTGGGCGATCTCGAGACGAGACAAGAGGAGGTGGTCCACATCGTGCAATGCTGTGAGGATAGATGTGATGCCGTCGACGTTCCATGATTTGCCTGCTGATGCGTCAGCTATTATTTTGGTCCTGGAATTCGATGGATTCTCTATGAGAGAGAATAGCTGCTTGGTGAGGTCCGAGTATGCGCCAAGTGTGGAAAGAACAAGGGACGACGTAGGTGGCTCGGTTGAAGACGTCCCCGCCATGGACGTAGAAGCTACGGCAGACGCTGGCATGGCGGTCTGGATTAGCAGCGTGCGCCGTTCAGTCAGCGCCTCTATCAGACCGTAAGCACGGCGCCGTGAAGTTCTTCAGAGAGATCGATGGTGGAAGCCGGGCAAGAGACTTGGTGGAAGAATGAGTCTGAGCGAGCATGGCGCGTGCGCTTTTCAGAAATTGCCGCGGTGCTCCGGGTTCCGGTCTCGGCGCTGTCAAAAAAGAAGAGGATCGTACCAAGTCTTTCTGACAAGCAGCAACCATCATTGTTCCTGCTATGAAACGGTGGCACACGTACGGCTGAGATCCGCAGGTGGACAGCCGCTGGATGCACGAGTCCGATACCCACGATGCCGGCTCCAAATCAGGCCTTCCGAGGTGCTTCACTTTACTCTGGAATCTTTGACGAACCCGAACAGCCTAAGGAGGCGCAGCAGGAAACATCTGACCCGCAAGCATCTGCGTCTTCTGACGTTGCCCTTGCCTCGAGCTCCACAAAACGTTCAGAGCCTGTTGCTGCTACTTGCGGTGCTACAGCTGATGCAGCCGCGTCTTCCAAGTCTTCAGGTACACTTCTGAAAGCGACCTTCACTACACGCATCGCACCGGCGTCTGCTTATCACACCGCCACGTGCTACGGCTGAAGGGCAGGAAGCAGTCTGGAAGATGGTATCGTGTGAGAGAAGCTCGTCGGTGCGCAATTCTACGAACAATGTTGCTCACTGACCTTCCTGCTTGCTTCAACACCTCTCTTCCCTCCTCACCGCTTACATTCATGATGTGATCGCAAAACAGGCTGGTCCGCAGCACTACGATTCGCACCACGTCGCACAGCAGCTGCTGCGAAAGCAAAGGCCAGGCCGACAGCAGCTTTTGTAGCCTCTTTTGCGCCACCGGTTGCCAGCACCGCAGACACGGCTGAGCTTCCCAAAGGTGCTCTCAGCAGGGCACCTGGTGTAGCACCCAAATCGCCACCAATTGCTCCGGCTTTTACCGCTGAACCCGATGTTGCCACGACCTCCGGCATCGCCGGCCCATCCCCTTCAGCTGAAGATGACAAACTTCTGGGCAGAACTCTTGCCGGCGTGGACACCTCGGATCTCAACCTCACAGCTCTAGCTTTACCTCGCACGGACACAGACGATGCGTGGCTCATAACGCAACTCGAGAAATACCCCGTCACCGAGCCCCCACCGTTCACACTCTCGCAACATGATCTCGAACGCGACAAGACGTATGCGCAACGGGCTGCTGCAGCTCGCGGCGAGACGCGCCACCACAGCCATCACGACGACTTCGAACGTGATGAGGAGGACGATGCGGATGTCAACGGGTTCTTCTCCAGCGGTGCGGGCAGACGGGTCGTGAAGAAAAGGGTATGTCAATCGATCGCGAGTGGCCAAATTTTGTATGAACGAGAAGCTGAAGTGGAGTGGTTGCATTGGACTTGACACAGAAAAAGCGCAAGAGAGGAACGTCTCCTCCAGCTGGACCCAATATGAATGCTGACTACGATCCACGCATCCCGAATGACTATCTGGCGTACAAGCAATTGGTGTACGATCGAAGGCGTGCCGAGCTGGACTACAGGCAATGGCAACAAGAGCAACACGCGCGAGTTTTCGACGATGAGGGAGAAGATGCTTGGAGGGAGGACGAGCAAGATTGGCAAGACGATACCATGGAGGGACAAAAGTCAGGGTCCGGTGATGCGGAACTCAAGCTGACAGAGAGCGAGCACACTGCGCCACAGACTTCGCCCATCCAGATCTCGCCCGGTAAAGATGCACACGAGCGTCGCGCAAACTTGTCTTCTTCCACCGGCGCTGTCCCCTCGACAAACACTAACGCCCCACCATCAAGTGGAGAGGAAGCATATCAACGAAGAGCCGCGATGACCCCCGCAAGCACAGGCGAAGAAGCCTACCTTCGGCGACTCGCCATGTCACAAGCTTCACCATCCAAAATTTCACCCCCGGGGCCTCCACCTGGACCGCCTCCGGGACCTCCGCCCGTCCGACCTCCGCCAACCCACGACTCGGATCCGCTCTCATCGCGTCAATCTGCAGCAGCAGCCATCGCCGCCCGACTCAACTCCCTCAACCCGCTTCCTCCCAGCTCTTCCTCCTCGCCACCCACAACCTCAGATCCTGCCACCTTCGCCAGTCGTCTCATGACATCCTACGGCTACACCCCTCGTAGCGGTCTTGGACCCTCCGCATCCGGTATCATCTCACCCCTCACTGTCACGCGTACCACTTCCAACCGTGGCTCGATCCACAACCCTTCCCCCTCCTCTTCCTCCTCCAGCACTGCTTCCTCACCAGTCATCGTACTGCTCAACATGGCCACTCCCACCGACCTTGATGGAAAAGCATACACGGAGCTCATCGAAGACGTCACGGAAGAATGCGAGAAATTCGGCTTCGTAATTAAAGTCCTACCGTGGATGGACGAGGACGGAAAAGAGGTAAGGGTGTTTGTACAGTTCACAGGTCACGCTGCTAGTTGGAAGGCCGTCAAAGGGTTGAACGGTAGGTGGTTCGAGGGTAAACAGGTGGTTGCCACGTACTATGATGCGGATGCCTTCGAGAGGAAGAGGTTCGATTTGAAGTTGCATGTTGGGTAGGATTCATGCGAAGCGCAGGTCGGGGCATACTCTTTCACGGTCGAGGTCGAAATAGATGTGCAGGTTCTTTGTTGTTTTGATTCATTGATTGTGTTTTGGTGTGTGTGTCTTGTGTGTGTTTGTGTGTATCGCGTGCCTATCGAGTATACGCTCGAGACTAGGTGTCAGCGACAAGAAGAAACCCATCTTCAGAGCTCGTCTGTCCCCGACTTCGGTGATTGAGCGCTTCTCTCCTTCCCTCCTTCAAGGCTTGGGAACCCTCAAGGTCTTGCTGACCATGGCGGTAGCCCAAGCCAACCACAGGAATGTGAGCCAGTGACCCTCGACCTTGGCCACCTCTGCCCACTTGCTAGCCTCCTTGACGCCCAATCCTGGGACCAGCTCCAACACCTTTGCAACATACGGCGAAGCGTCCAGCGTCCACATGCCCAGCGGAACACCTTTGCCGCTCAAGCTAGCGGGCAGATAGTCCTTCAAGGCACCGGTGAACGTCAAGCCTTGGGAGGCAATGTATCCCCTCTCCTTTGCCAGCGCGATGGGCAGGCCGCCGGGTGAGATTCTACCGGTCAACAGGCAGACGGCCATTCCTCCGACGAGAACGAGCGATGAAGGGATGGGCAGCCCCTCGAAGTACCTCGCCTTGCCCGTGCTGTCGTGGGGAATGGAGGCAGCGGTGACGTTGAACCTGGCCAACCTTGCGACTCCGGCGCATACGAACAAGGTCAACAAAAAGCTATCGAATCCGGTCCTCAAGCCCAACGCATACGCAGCAAAGGCGGGTGCAGCACCGAATGAGAGAGAATCGGCCAAGCTGTCCAGCTCCTGACCCAACATGCTCGAGCTCTTTCTCCACCTAGCCACCTTTCCATCCAACAGATCGAAGATGGCGCCAAAGAGCGGGAACCACAGCGCCAACCAGGCATGCTGTGGATCGGAAGTGATCAGATACCTCGCCGAGGCAAACAGGGATTGAGCGCCGCAGAACGCGTTCATGAGCGTAAAGGCGTCGGCGAGGTGAAAGTTGCGCACGAGCGAAAAGTGACCGTCGGTTTCGATGAACTTGACCAGCTCGTTGTCGTGCTCGTCATCGGCCGCTTTGGAAGAAGGCTTGCTTTTGCGCTGACGAACGCCATTCTTGGCCGCGGGTGAGGAGAGTTGTTTGGTCATGTTGGCTTGCAAATTGGAAGGTGCAAGGGCGGAAGCGAGTGCACTGGTAGAGGTGAGTTGAGCCGCGCCTTTGCTTGCGACGCCGGAAGTTGGATGCGAGAGAGGGGCGGGTGTGATGAGGGACGGTGCTTGCGGATCGTCGAGCGACGCGTTGGCTACGTGAGGATCGGAAGCTTGTACGGGAGCTAGCGTGGCTCGAGAGACGTCGGACGAGGCAGAGTCGACGAGGGCAGGATCGGTGATGGCAGGGATGGTACCTGGCATGTAAGTACACAAGAAGTCGTCGACCGATGGTGCTGGTTGGCAATCCTAGATGATGGACGTGGTGGAAGAAGGACAAGTAGGACGAGGTTCAGATGTGGCTTGACAAGGTGACGGAATGGCCACGCCACGCCAAACGACCTTTCGATGTTCTTTTTTCCAGTGGTGGATGGCAGCGAGAAAGGGCACACACGCAAGCCAACGCAGCGACGCATCATCGTGATTCATTTTCACTGCGAATCCATGAAAAAAGACGCACAGACGCTCGGCAGTGTGACATGTGGAGACAAGGCAACAGCAGAGCGCGTCATCGCTTGATTCACACGTGTCTCCGAGAAATCAATGTCGGGAGGATAGTTTGTACGATCACACATTGCTATTTGAGAGACAAAAATGCACGGGGTCCACAAAAGATCGCGGCAGCCTCCTCGTCCGACACTGGCCTCGAGCAACTAACTCAACCACTTGACTGCTCCTCCTTCTCTGCCTCACTACAACGACCCTCAAGCTTCCCCACGCCTTCCGGCTGTCTAACGAAGCACAGACAGCGGTACGCCATGCGCGCTCGCTCATAATCTCTGGCCACTGCGACGTCACTGCTCCACCGTCGAGCGCCGCCGCCGCCGCCAACATGGCCGACTGGAGCGAGCATGCCCATTATGGCAACCCGAATGGGCCCATGGGCATGCCGCCAGCCGTCACTGCTCTCGCATTCGACCCGTATAGCGAGCTGCTCTGGCAGGGCACCTCTTTCGGAACCGTCTCCTCGCTCTATTCTTCCCAGCTATCTCGCTACACTTCGTATGCTGCGCACGGCTTACCTACCCGACCCTCTCCTGCCAAGGCGATCCTCGCAGACGAACGTCACATCTTTTCGCTTGGAGACAATGGTATCAAATGCTCTCAGCGTCGAGGCTTGGCCAAATGGACCACCCTTACCCACGACTTTGGCACAAATGCCATGAACCTCGTCTCCATGTGCGCCTCTCCGCTCGCTGCTTCCTCCGACATTGTTGCAGCTGGTCTCTCCCAGTCTGCCGCCAACACGGGCGAGATCGACAACGACAACGACCTTATCGTCACCGTGAACAACAGCACAGGTGCCGTCGTCCGTACTGTACCCTCCGAGGCTCCCATCGTCCATGTCCGTAAAAGTGGACGCTATGTATGCGCAGGTACCGTCACTGGCCACATTCAGCTCCGCGACCCTCGCACGCTCAAGGTCGAGCATCGACTGCATGCGCATCCGGGCGGTCTCGTCGACGTTCAGGCAGACGGTCACATTATCTACTCGGTCGGATGGACGGTGCGTCAGGGTCACCCCGTGCCAGAGCCACTCGTCAAGGTGCACGATCTGCGTACCATGCGCGCGCTTGTGCCTATCCCCTTCGCTGCTCCCGGTGGTCCATCGCTCCTCGCCATTCACCCAAAACTCTCCTCCACCGTCATCGTCTCCGCGCCTCAGGGCCAATTCCAGATTGTCGACATTGGCATGCCCGGTGAAGGCAGATTCTTCTACACCAACGCAACCTCCTTTACCACCTCGCTTTCCATCTCTCCCTCTGCCGACTACATCGCTTTCGGCGAGGCAGACGGCAGCGTTCGCCTCTGGAGCAGCTCTTCGGACACCTCGAATCTCCGCTTCAACACCTTTGCATCTTCTTCGCTCGAGTTCCCCGACATGATAGAACCGACGCCGTTCGTCAACTGGTCCACCGAGACGCCCTTATCTTCCATCGGCATGCCGCACTATGACCAAAAGCTCATGTCCTTCTTCGACTACGACCAATACGTGTCGGAAGCATCACCGCTCTTCAACCCTCCGTCCAAGGTCGACCCCGCTGTTCTCAACAACATGAAGACCGTCGACTATCTCGGCTACTCCAGCTTGCCACCGCATTTGAGAGGCAAGCGAAACGCCGTTTCAGGCAAGGGCCCAGGTGGTATCCGCGCCAGTGCCCTGCATCGACCCGAAGATCGCAAGAAGATCGGCATCCCGCTCTTCCGCAGCGAAAAGGAGAAGGAGCAGAGCAAGAAGGCCGCCGCCGCTGCAGCCGCCGGTATCACTTCCGCAGACAAGAAGAAAAAGAAGGCCGAGAGGAGGAGGGCCGAAGCTGGTTCCGACAGCGTATCTACTTCCACCGATTCTCGGGCCGAACGCAATGCGATGTCCGACGGTGCAACCGCCACGCGATCCAACGCTGCAGGTTCCAAGTTGGCGACCAAGGACGATGCCCCTACGGATGAGGCTGCTGACGACGTTCAGAACGCTGCAGACGGGTCCGAATACAACTCGGACGACACCTCGGACGACAGCGACGCATCCGACGACGACGACGAAGAAGGGCAGGAGGATGTCGAGACAGCCGAAGCAATGCTCGCCAAAGGGCAGATGCCGTCCTACTACCGCCTCAAGACCATCCAATACTCGAAATTCGGTGTCGAGGACTTTGATTTCGACTTTTACAACAAGACCCAGTACAGCGGTCTCGAGACGCACATCCAGAACTCGTACGCAAACTCGTATCTTCAGTCACTCCATTATCTTACGCCATTCCGGGAGACGGCCAAGGCACACATCTTGCAGGACTGTCCGCGGGAGAACTGCTTGTTGTGCGAAGCAGGCTTCCTCTTCCGCATGCTCGAGGATGCCAAGGGCGCAAACTGCCAGGCATCCAACTTTTTGCGAGCATTTGGCAACAGTCACAAGGCCGTCAGCCTTGGGCTGATGGATCGCGAGGACAGCTCGACCAACATGTCGAGCGCCAGCGGAGCGGCCAAGAACGAGATCGTATACAGTCAACTCGTTCAGACATTGAACCGGTTCGTGCTCGACTGCACCGCAAACGAGGCGCAGATCTCGCAAGGAGGCTCATCGGCTACCACGACGACGGGCTCGGGCTCGAATACGGCAGCAGCTCGCTCTTCACCTGCAGGCGCACCGCCTGGCTTGGGGCCTCCGTTGAGCAGCAACCGTGGTGGTCCAGGGGCAGGGCGCAGGCTTGTAGGTGACTCGGCTTCTCCGACATCGCCCTCACCGGCGGACAACGTCGCATTGGCGGCCAACTCATCGATCGCAAAGCTCTTTGCGCTCAACACGGTGACCAAGACCACATGCATCCACTGCGGACGCGAGACCAATCGACCCAACCCCCTGCTCTCGGTCGACCTCATCTATCCGCGTCGACCCATGTCCAACGAATCTGCGCCTCCGTCCGACTTTGCCTCGGTGCTGCGCGCTTCGCTAGTCCGCGAAGTGCAGAACCGCGCACCGTGCCGAGCGTGTCAGTTCACTGCCATGTTCCGGACGCGCCGAGTGATGCCGTCGACGACGGAGCTGCCGAGGATTCTGTCGGTGAATGCAGCGATTCAGGCTCCGGAGCATCTGCAGTTTTGGTTGGACGATAATCAGAAGGGAGGGAGGGCGACAGCTGGTGGGCCTGGACGGAATAGTGGACCGCAACAGCAGCAGCAACCGTACAGCAAGATGGCGTATATGGGCATGGGTGGTACAGGCCAGCGCGGAGGCGGTGGTATCCCCACCGGACCGCGTGGGGACATCCCCGCGAGCGGTGAGACGAAGCGCACGTATCTGCCACCGCGCATCGCCATCGGCGTCTACGGAGACGACGTGCGCGTGCTTCCCATCTATACGCCAGCGGACGCCGATCGAGCCAAAGCATCGCTCGGAGGTCGATCTGCCATCTACAAGCTGCGCTCGATGGTGGTTCAGGTTTCGGCGGATAAAGAGCAGCCGCATCTGTGTGCGCTTGTCCGCGTACCAGAAGCCGAATTCCACACTCAGAGCGGTAGCCACGTCGACGCCGCGACGACACCAAAGACGACCCACGCCAGTCTTCCGGGAAGCGGTGCAGCTCCGGGTTCGAGCAAGAAGAGTACACGTGCCAAGGCAAACCAGCTTGGACCGTGGCATCTGTTCAACGACTTTTTGGTGCGGAACGTCAGCGAGGCCGAAGCGTTGGGTTTCCAAGCCACGTGGAAGATGCCCTCGGTGCTCATGTGGGAGAGGGAAGACGTGGAACCGCTGTGCATCTCTACGCTTCGACAAGGACGAACTTCGATCGATCCGTTGATTTTGTGTCGTGACTACAACATCGCACAGAATCGGGATCCCAAACGGATCCGACACACGCTCCTCTCGGAGGATGAACTGCCGCAGCCGGGGACGTTGGTTGCGATCGATGCGGAGTTCGTTGCGCTGAATCAGGAGGAATTGGAGGTTCGATCGGATGGGACGAGGTCAGTGATTCGACCGACGAAGCTCTCGCTGGCGCGCGTGTCTGTCGTTCGAGGTCAAGGGGAGAAGGAAGGGCATTCGTTCATCGACGATCACATCTACACACAGGAGGAAGTCGTAGACTACCTGACCAAATTCTCAGGAATCTTGCCGGGGGATCTGGATCCGACGACATCGAGGCATACGGTGGTACCGCTGAAATCAGCCTACAAGAAGCTCAGGTTGCTCGTCGATCGTGGTTGCATCTTCATCGGACACGGGCTGAAGAAGGACTTCAGGATCATCAACATCTTCGTCCCCAAGGAGCAGGTCATCGATACGGTGGATCTGTACCACTCCAAGGACCATCCGAGGAGGTTGAGTCTAAGGTTCTTGAGTTGGTTTCTGCTCAAGGTGGATATTCAGAGCGGAATGATGGCGAACAATCAGATAACGGTAAGGGAGAAGGAGGAGGAGGAGAGGCTGGTGACGGGGGCGGACAAGGGCGCGGGCGGGGCGGCGGTGGAGGGTGGACACGATAGTATCGAGGATGCGCTGGCGGCGTTGAGGTTGTTCAGGCTGTATGAAGGGTTCAAGAGGGATGGGAGGTTGGAGGATGTACTGGAGGATGCGTACGAGGTTGGCAGGAGAGTTAATTGGAAGCCGCCGAACAGTACCTAGACAGTGTAGTGGGGAAGGTGATGCAAACAGATACGTATGGTTTCGATAGTAGTGTCTGTGTTGCGTGAGTGATATGTGGTACACATCGGATGCTTTGATCGGCGATGGTCGATGATGCTGCCGATGGACTGTTGCAGAGATACAGCGAATACGATTGAGACGCGCAGCTCGTCACTTGTGTCGTATGGCCAACGCTGCAGGAATCCGGTTCATGTTTGATGCCAGCATCCGATTTCTCAGCAAGCAAGCTCTTGAACCGCAGTTTCATGCGGAAGTCAACACCCGTAGCCGCGGCAGGACGATCCTGGGTGTCGACGAGGGGAGCAGATGGCAGGAGTGTCGGGTATCCACCCCGACCACCGACCAGCCAATCAGAACGTGCGGATTTCAAAGCCTTGTCGAGCGAGGTGAGGTCGCTGTCAGCTACGGCGTTTGACGGCGCTCGGCAAATGCCCAGATTCAATTTCAAATTGAGAGACTGCGACACCGCCGGTACCTCTCATCCCTGTCGCTAAGTACGTAATGCGGCGTGGACTGGGGCCAATTCGTTTCGGATCTCCACGGACAACTGTCATCACCCCATGCGAGGAGAGCAAGTACGTCCAGACTGTTGCCGTCCAAACGGCGTCCTCTGCCAGACAATTTGCGCGGAGAGATTTGTGGGAGATGCACGTTGTGTCGGTGTTTGAATCACCATTGGTATGGTTCCGTGTGTGTCATTATGTGGTCCTCGACTTCGAAAGCACGCATAGGTGCAGACATTCATTCCTCGCGGCTCCGCAGAGATATAGAGAGAGAAACAGAGGGAGAGAGAAGGCTCTTCTGGATGATCCAACCGCATCTCGATGGGCTGCGAACTGAAATTGCCGACAGACCGCGGTCGGCAATGCATCGGCAAAGCACTTGCAAGAAAGTTTTCCACGCTGTGCAGCAAGACATGGATGAGTCAATCGTAGGCGAGGTGACTGTGGAGCGCCATGAGAGCCATTGCCCTGGCTCGCCTCTTGGCGTGAGCGGATGTGGATCCCGCTCACCCTCTGACTTTCCCACCTGTCCTCGTGCTTGTCCTGATAGCCGGTCGAGACATCACTCTTCACGCCACCCTGGGTCTTGCACACTTAGCCTCCACTGCCCCGCCGCCGGTGTTTGACGTGCTAGTGCATGACCTGACTGGGGTCCGGATCTCGAGCGCTGCTTCGCCCTGGTAACGATCCTTCGTGTGCGATCCGCTCCTGGATGTCATCAAGTTCGCCCGGTTCGTGTCTCGCTTCCACGAAACCCTTGTGCTCCCACTCGGCTAGTTCCGTTCTCTCCGACATTCGTTGCGATCGCCGTACTTGTCCTCGTCGATTGCTCGTCATCAAGCTTCTTCGCCACCACCATCAGCATCCACCCCACCGACACTGTCGTCGTCCTCGCTACAGTCTGGACTGCGAACACGAGGACGTGAACCGGAGGATCCATTCAAACCTCTTGCACTCGAAGTATACTGACTTCGTTCACGTCTCTGCCAATCGTCGAGAGATCATCACACGTTCCCTCGAGAACAACAGCCGATATCTGAATCAGAGCAGATCCCTCGTCTCACGACCGACCACAGGCTTGTAGCGCCGCCACCCGACTACGCCAACGACCGACGCCAGCGAACGCAAGGGCTGGCATTAACCCCTTTTCGATTCGTCCGTGTTCTTTGCAAAATTGAAGCGAACGCATCGTTCAGCGCCACTGTAGTGTGCACAATAACAGAGGCAATTGCGTTCAGCATACAAACGCTGACGGGAACGCCTGATATCGCCAGCAGCCGCGGCTACAGACAAAGTTGAGGCTAACCACTGGCTCGTGTCGAGGCGTGGCCACACGGACCCCGCTGTCACTGTTTGGTCAGTCGAAATTCTGAGAGCGTGCCCTCTCAACAGCATCAAAGGCGCTACGATCGACTGCATATACTCGCCTACATCACATTCGGGGATCTCGCCATACAACCACCTCTCCATCTATCTACCGCTACGCCCGCCCATGCTGGAGCCGTGAGATCCGCCTGTCTGGCTATCTGATCCTTCATTCTATCAATCATTCGAGGCTACCACCATGCCGCCCGCCTCTTCTGTTGGAAGCAGTAGGCGAAAGCTCGGTCAACCGACCGTCTGCCTCGAATGCTATCTTCGAAAGGTCAAGGTAAGTCCCTTCGTCGCCACCTGCCTTGGCGTTCTCATGTTGTTCCCGGCCATCAAAGTTGACGAATCTTCTCTCGTTTCCGGACATGGTAGTGCGATCGTCAGCGCCCATGCTCGACGTGTGTTCGCAGGGGATCTGAGCATCTTTGCAAAACCTTCAATACTAGCCAACTCGATCCTCAAAGTAAGTGCTTTTGATCAATCACACTCCGCAACTGCCCAAGCTTGCCTGACATTCTTGCTGACCTTGAATCTTCTCTGTGCTTTCCGGACCCACCTCGGCGCGTCATCCTGCGCTTTCCTCGTGACTCCTACAGCGCTGCAAAAGAAGCAAGCGAGGAGATCACTCGCCGAGATCAATGCTATCCTGGAGGCGTCACCATCAGAGCACGCCGAAGATTCGGATCCTCAGCAACCCCCAGAAGATGTGCAACAGACACCGGAGCACCCAATGATGGCGTTCATCAACCTCATGCTCAAAGATCTCAACGTTGAAAGCGATCCGCAAGCCAGCAGCCGCGCGTCGTTCGATTCCGCCTCAAGCAGCGCACGCTCATTCGCGCCATCTCGATACGCCGTCGCTCGTTACTTAGAAACTGCATGCCTCACAAAGATCCGCGACTTTTGCGCAATCCTCCCGGATTGGTCTCACTTACAGAGCCTTCTGCGACACTACCTCTGGCACGTCGATTGGAAGTTCCTCATCACGGCCCAGGATCTTCTCGAAGATCGCATGAAAGATCTTTGGGTCAGGATCATTTTCCCTTCGCAAAGCAGTGATCATGCCGTCGAGTCGCCTTCTTACTCTTCAGCCAGCCTCTCCCTCCAGCCCGGTGATCTGTCACGCCTCGCACTGCTGGCTTGCGTACTCGGCGAAACAGTCGAGTCCATGTCGCCGGACGCCATTGCAGAGGTCCTTCCCGTCTCTCGGAGCGATGTCGTGGCACCTGGACCTGTCAAAGTTGCAGCCGACGCGAATCCGAGAGTCAAAGCGCTCAACCTGCTCACGTACCACGTGGCGGCACTCATCGAAGAATGCGTTCGGCTCGACGAAATGACCCTCGATCTCGTACAAGCCAACATCTCCGCCTTTTCCCTTTGGTCCAATCAAGGATTGCACGGAACGGGGTCCACAGAGTTCCCGCGCTGGACCGTCACTATCCGAGCTGCAAAAGCTTGCAATCTCTTTGAAGATCCTGGCAACAACAGCAGCCTGTCGCAAACGGAACTCGATCATCGCAGAAGGCTTGCTTGGCTCGTGTACGGCTACGATCACGCTTTCGCCGTCGGAGCCAATACCAGCCCGCTGATCGTCGAATCACAGTTCAGTGTCGATCAGCCTAGCGATGCGGCTCCATGGGCCGCATGTGGTGCGCCACCCGACGAATGCCTGGCAAGACTCGAGGTAATGGGTGGCAAGATGGCTCAGCTCGTTTCAAGCACCTTGTGTTACGGTCCACCTCTGCATAGAAAGGCGATGGAGACGGATCAAAAGATCTCCGACATGCTGTCCGAACTCGACCCCTCCTACAAAGCAGACAAACCGGATCTGTCGTTCGACAGCAAAGACCCTTTCCGTGCCCGACGTCGATGCTGGCTTCAACTCACCACTTCTTGGCAACGAGGTTCTCTGCATCGGCAATTCTTCTCGCCCAATGGTCGCATCACCAACGGCGAACTCGCTACTTCACGGCACATTGCCACCGACAGCGCCCTTCGGTCGATCTTTGGAGCTCGCCAGCTGCGAGCCCTCCAGAATCGGTTTTCGGATCGCATAGGCTCGGCTTGGTGGTACCAGTACTTTACCGAGCCGTGTATGACGCTCGCCACGGCGGCGCTTTTGCTCATTCGAAGCCAAGGTCGAGGTGTTCCCGGGTTGGCAGACGAGGCCAACTGCTGGATGACGCTGATGCACTTTACACGCACCATCGACGAATGTGTCGAGGATCTCGAGGCGTGCATACGAGACACGGAAGCGTGCCTTTCCTCGCTCGTGCACTTTGCCGAGGGCTGTATCAAGCTGATCCGGCAGCTGAGAGGTGCAGTACAGAAGAGTTTCGACGCTTTTGTGCAATCGAGGCCAGAGCTGGGAGGGCTCAAGACATTGGAGATCGATGAGAGCATCATGGCGTTGTTGCATCCCAGGTCACACACAAGGAGTCCCGGATCGCAGAAGCGAGGAGACAGTGGCGACAGTTCCGGCGGCGGCGGCGGCGGCGCCAGTAGCAGCGGCAGCGGCAGTGGGATCAGCATCAAGAGCAACCAAAAGCATAGTGCAAAGCCTGCTGTCGAGTCGACTTCGAGGCGTGGCTCAGCAGCAGCTCGTGGCAAGCAGGCGCCCACACTTCGAACACCCGTGGCGACGCTGGCAGCGCCACGCGATTCTGCAGAATCCCTGCAATCACACATGCCGGGGGGAAATACGAATCCGGTTCTGGCTGCCGATATGCAAGCTCCGCCGGGGACCTTGAGCCTGTCGTTTCCACCCTCGACCATGAGCTTCCCCGATGTAGGTTCAGTTGGAACTTCAGCGCCTGCACCAACACCTCTGACAGCTGCCATCTCGCAGCACATCGCTGGTGGGCCAGTGGTAGCACCTCACTTTGGCGTACCTGCCTACGTTCCTCCCGGCACACTGCTGTCGCCTGCCGAGCCGTTCGCCCTTCGCGATTTCTATTCGTACGACACCGATGCTGGGATGGTGGGGCAGAGGAGCGCGTCGACGCGTACTGGTGCGCCTGGCGGTGGCGGTGGGTTGTCGGATTGGATCGCTGGAGTTCACATGGATGTCGGCTGATGCCGCAGCAACGCAGCTTGCCTTGCATTTGCTCGCCCAAAGATTACTCAACATTGACAATCGAATTTCATTTGAACTACCAAGCCTTGGTTGACCTGCCCGCGCGTCGCCACGGATTGTACTTGCGAGCAACTTTGGAGTCGATAGCCGAGTCTGCAGTGACGATCGACCTTGCAGCTTGCCTACATCTGCTCGTCCAGAGTACGCTCAAGACAGACAATCGATGACCAATTCCGTCACGGAGCCATCTTTGACTTGCATCCCCAAGCACGTCGCCATGTATTGTACTACTGAGCCGAGTCTTCAGTGACGATGAGAAGGATCGCTAGTCGGTAGCATCTGGGAGTACACCGTCGTCTCTCAAACTGTGAGGCGATGACGGTGCTCAGTGTTTCGACCGTCGTCTAGACCTACTCACTTCATCTTGCCGCAACCGTATTCTTGACATGATAGACAGACTTCCTTCGACAAAACACCTCCTCGACTCCAGCTTGTGACCACAAGTTTGCTGCGTCGAAATTTGCAGACCCACGCATCTTTTCTTATCCTTTGCCCGAGTTTGAGCCGTTGCGACGATCGGCAGGTAGCTAGCTGGTCAGTACGCCAACCGAGTTCCGTAATCACGATGAAGAAGTGGCGACCGTATCTGGGCGACTTGTCACACCGACTCGGCTTGAATTTGCGCACTGATATCGTTTGACTCGCGCTCTGGCATCAGCGGTGTGGACGGACACGCGACGACAAATCATCTCGCCGGTTCGAGTCGCTCGTAATTTTCGTTCGCCGTCTCCGAAGTCGATGCGATGATGTACGAAACTCCACCCCATCTCACTGTGCTCATGACAGGGAACGATAACGGTGATATGCGACGGTGAGGAAGGTTCGCACGTCAAGTAACATCACCGCTGCAAAAAGACCTACTGAGTGAGCGAAAGGCACTACGCTTTCAGCTCTCGCCAACCTCGTCGGTTCACTAGACAAACTCGTACCTCACCACTGAGCACACACCCATACGCATAAAATCCCTCGAAACGCGGGGGAAGCGTCCATGATGACCCTTTTCAGATTCCAATGTCGCTGTTTCGGACACCGTGTCTAGGCATACCGACGCTCAAAAGTGAATGCTCCTAAACACCAACCGCGGAACGCTCCTCAACGCCTCATCATCCTTCGCCACGCTCCACAGATAACCATCCAGATCGACCTCGTTCAACTCGGCCAACCACTCTCTCCCCTCCTTTTCCTCCTTTGCCAACACCTTTGCTCTCTCCACAACTACCCTCCCTACATTCAGGGTAGCTGCCCTGATGGCATACGTTTCGTCCTGACTCAGCTCTGGACCTGCATCCTTCCCACCCGCCGTCAGCTTCTCCCGCGGCAGATCCGCATTGCAGTGCTTCGTCCTCACCCATTCGTACAACGTTTCCATACCCTTCGGCGTCTCTTCGGGTACGGAGAACATGTTGAACCAGACGCACATGGTCGGAAGAACGTTGTCGACAAACATGGGTAGCGTGCGCTTCGTATCCGGAACGTACCAATCTTGCTTTTCTCCGAACCGAAGTCGTAGCGAGTGGAGGAGGAAAAAAATCCTCTTGAAGAGGAACACTTCTCCAACGCCGGTGATGGAGTGGGTATCGCGGAATTCGACGAAAGCGTCTGCGAGGCGCTGCGTCAGGAAGTCGGTGGCTCGGTCGTCGTCCAACCCCTGCTTCCTTGTGGCCTCTAGCAACCCAACGACGTACGAACCTAGACTATCGTGTCCAAGCTCCTGCAGCTTACCAGCCACACCCTGCAGCGCCTTTAAGATCATCTGCACAACATCCAGCATCTCACCGCCTCTCACACCCACCGTCACGCCCTTCAACGTCTCATGCTCCCTCTCCTCATGCACACTGACACCCATCAACTCGACGACCTTTGCTTCCGTCAACCCCCGCAACCCTTTGGCTGTCAAACTCGCCGCACCCACAACCCGATCCTCCGCATCGCTCGAGATGTAGAGCCCGATCATGAAGCGCACCACATTCTGATACGCCCCACTGCCGGTTGCACGGTGGAAAGCGGTTCGGTAGCCGGAGAAGCTGTTGAGGAGCGCGAGGATGGAGAGGAAATTGATCTCGGCGATGGGCGTAGGGAAGCGCAAGGGAAAGGTGAGGCCGTGCTGAGTGGCGAGACGGCGGAAGGTGAGGGGTGACAGGGAAAGGAGGAAGGCGTCGATGGCGGGGAGGTTGGGTGTGAGCGAGAGATGGGTGGAGGCGGAGAGGCAGGAGGAGCGGACGGCGGAAATGTACCCCGAGGTGGAGGGGAGCGGCGGTGATGGTGCTGAGGCGGTGGAGGACATTTCGATGTGATGGTGATGGTTGGAAGTGAGGTCGAGGTTCGCGTTGGGTGCACCGTCGAGGCAAGCAATGAAAAGCAATGAAGAAGAATGGTTCAGTTGGAAAGGTTCGAGTCGGTGTGGAGTCACAAAACGTCAAGAAGAACGCCGACGCGCGGTGTTGGACTCAGCCCAGCTTTCGATTTTGAAGCAATGTTACATCCTGGTTGAATGACAATATTGGATTCACGATTCCGTGCGGTACAACGAGAGCTGAGAAGAAAGTGAGAGGGTTTTGTCGACATGTGCCAAAGCAACTCATCCTCCCTCACCACCAGCAACATCACCAACACTCGCCTACAATCACAAGGTCCGGAAGCGGGCAACTGCGGCTACAACAAGCGACAATGGCGTTCCACACAACCCTCCCACGCACCGCCTCCAAGCACATCAGCTCCTACGGCAGCGTCCTGGACCGATTCATCGTCAACCACGCAACCACGCTCTCTGCTACTTCTACCAAATCCACCCCTTCCGCATCCTCATCCTCATCATCGTCAACATCCTCTTCATCCAGCGCAGCATCACTCTTCGAACCAACCAAATCGCCCACCACCGCCCTCTGGTCCCCACCGCGCTACTCGCTGCGCCGTCAATCCGTGCTGCTCAAACAAGCGGCGCTCACCTCCCAACTCTCGCTCCTCCCGCCCTCGCCCAAATCCACCCGTCTGACGCAACGTCTGCAGCGTCTCACCCGTTCGCTCGACTTCGAACAAATCTCGTCGCAATACCAATACATCCCATCAACTTCACCCGCGGTGCCCGTCAGACCGACGTCTCTCAGCCAACGTCCGATCAAACCTTCGCAGAGATTCACGGTCCAGGAGAAGGAGGCAGCGCTGCAGCACGCGAGACAACAGGTCAAGGATGTAGGTCCGTATGCGGGTAGGGCGAAGGTGTTCAAGGGAAGTAGGGTGGATAAGGATAAGGCGAGGAGGAAGGAGACGGTGAGCGGGAAGTTGCAGGCGATGGACAAGACGAGGCAGGAGTGGAGGACGGCAGAGGCGGAGGCGAGGAACAAGGCCAAGCCCGGATTGCCATTCTAGTGTAGCGAAGACGACAGCAGCGTTGCACTTTGTCAAATGTCAATACACCTATCTCGTTGGAGAGCTTTCAAAGCAGCGGAGCGTGAATCTCGTGGTACTGTGTGCGACGAGTTCGTGATGGCATGAAGCCACCTCGATGCATGGGTACGTTCTCATGTTTGTCGCAGACTGGGTCTCCGAGTGTGTATTGCAATACAAGAGTGTGAGCAAGCAGAGAAGTATGGTGTGAGATCGGGGCAGGTGCTTGCTGCAACTTGCGAAAGTGCCGGTGGGGACAGGCGCGTGATCGGCTCCGACCGGGGAAAACGCTGAGCGAACGGCTGAGAAGAACAAGAAAAAAAAAATGTGATTTTGGAAGAACTCCAGAAAGGGAAAAAAGGGAAAGGCGAATCAAGGCTCAGTTGACGCAGCGTGTGGTTGTGCGTGGGTGTTACGTTTTGCGGTTGACTCCTCCACACTTTTGCGAAACCAAGAAGGTTGAGCAAAGGCAGAGAAGGCAGACCTTCCAGTTGATTCACATCCATCACCATCCCATCTTCAAGTCGGTGATACTGCTGCCACAAACTCTGATCATGGTGCGCGCCACTTCATCGACCGCTTCGGCGGTACGAGTCTACCTCTCGTCGCGCGCTCTCAACGCCACCATTGCACCACGACGTGCTGCCATCGCCTCCCCCTTCCCCTCCTCGTCCAGCCTTCGAACCTTCACAACCACCCGTCCACGCTTCGACTCCCCGCGCTCCCCCTTCGCCGTCTTCGTCGAGACCCTCAAAGCCGAACTTCGCAAGAACCAGGAGCTCCAGGAAAACATGCGTCAGCTCTCCGGTGACGTCGGCAAGATGCAAGACTCGGAAACCATGAAGGCCATGCGTGATGCCTATGAACGTGCGCGCATCATCACCTCGATCAAGGAGAACCCCAAGCTTCAAGCTGCTGCTGATGCGCTGCGTAAGTCCGGTGGTCAGGTGGGAGATGCTGTCGGTGCGACGCTCAAGCAGATGGAGGAGAGCGAGCTGATCAAAGGACTCGGTGCCATTAGCTCCAGGTTGGCGAGGGGGTTGGAGGATAGCACCGCGCCGATCAGGAGGACAGAGGCGTACAAGCAGTTGAGCGAGACCCTGACGGAAGCGTTCGATGACGGTGGAAGCGCGTTGAGGATCTTCGTGGACAAGGACAAGGATGCGGCCGAGGTGAGGAGGATCAAGAGGGAGGCTAGGTTGAGGAAGATCGGCAGACCCATGCCGAGCAAGGATGTTGACTCGAAAGAGGCCGCAGAGGAGGTGTTGAAGAGCTATGCGTTGAAGGACGAGATTGAAGCCGCAGAGGCAGAGGCTGCAGCCAAGGCGGCTGAACAGCAGGCCGCAGCCGGTGCCAAGGCTGCCGATGGAGCCGATACACAGACGCCGCAGGAGGAAGAACCACCCGCATCCGAATCAGCCCAATCGACCACCCCTCCCGGCACCGAAGACTCCGCACCATCATCATCTTCTTCCAGCAAAGCTCCTCCCAAAAAGCCCGCCGGGTACGCCGTGCGCATCCGCTCCGTCACCGAAAACGCCTCTGCCGGTCAAGCCCTTGTCCTCCGTCCCGAGCCCGCCTACAAACAGGCCTGGTCTTCCTTCAAATCCTCCAACCCGCTCTTCCGTCGCCTTTCCGACCTATCCGAAGCGTACCATGAATCCGAGAATCCGGTCATCGAACGCGTCCGCACCGTCACCGATTGGTTCTCCTCTCTCTTTGAAGAGAACGACTTTGCCCGCGTTACACGTCAGATGAAACTCCTCGATCCATCCTTCACCCTCGAAAGTTTCCAACGAGATCTTCGCGAGTACGTCGTACCCGAACTCATCGACGCCTACCACTCGGCCGCCCGTCACCTCCTTCGCCAATGGTGCGGCGAAGCCACCTTCAACCTCCTCATGGCTACCGTCGATCCCTATCTCTCCAAGGGTTTCATTCCGGAGGGAAGACTGTTGGATCTCAAACAGGTCGAGATTTTGCAAGCCAAGGTGTTGGATAACAACGTTCCTGTACTGGTGGTCAGCTTTACCAGTCAGGAGTTGATGTTCTTCAAAGATCCCAAGACAGGAGAGGTCAAGGCCGGTAGCGAGGAAAGACCAGAGTTGTGTAGATACGCAATGGTGTTGACTAGGGTAGAGGAGGAGCTCGATAATGAGGTGACGGGCGGTTGGAAGGTCGTCGAGTTGGCAAGGAGAGGTCAGGCCGCGTATTTGTGAGCGGGGTACGAGACTCGGGATGCCACACACACACACACCACTTTTTTGTTTTGTTGTTCACATTTTCAGCATATGCACTCGAATAGATTTACTGCGGACCATTTGCCTGCTCCGCATCGCATTCCAGCTATGTCTGATTCAATGGCAGGCATTCCGTCTGAGGCTCCATGAAAAACATCCATGTGACACATGTGATCTGAGAAGAATGAAAAGAAGTGATTGATTGCAATGCGATAGACACGGACGAAATATGTAGGGGTGTGTATGTGTGTGTGTGTGTGGGTGTGTGTGTGTGTGTGTTGGACGTGCTTTTGCGTGAGACATCGTGAAAAGAGTGCCGAATCTCGCTACGCCTTGGGCGCACGCAACGGCGTGCTCAGACTAGCCGCGATGCCAGCCCCTGCCGTGCCGGTAGCAACGCTTCTCCTCGGACTAGCTGCGTACCCGACCGACCCGGTCCCGGCTCCCGCGCTGTTGCTAGTCCTACTGCTGCTTCCACCGTTGACCGCCGAGGCTCTCGCCGACAACGCCTTTGTCCTCGGAGTTGTGGTCGCCGTCGCAGTGGTCGTCGTCGTCGTCGTGGCCGCCTTCCCCGCTGTGCCTGCGACCCTTGCGCTCGAACTGACCGTCTTCCTCGGCAACGCATTCATCAAACTCGACAGTCCGCCTCTCCCCACCCCACTCTCCGCAATTTCCTTCACACCCCTCCCCTTCCCCTGCAAGATCCACGCATGCCTCATCGCGGCGTCCGGCTTCAGCCTCCTCTCCGGATCCCAAACCAGACATTTCCCAATGAAGTCCACAAACGCCTCGTCCTCACACTTCAACGCCTGCGCCAACGTCCTCCCCCCGGCCCTCCTCCTCTTCCCCTTACTGTTCACTACCGGCCGCGGCTGCCCCGTACTGTCAAAGAATAGCTTCTTCCGCGAACTCTTCTCGATCAGGTACCGATCCGGAACGCCCAGCACCTCCATGATGCATGCCAGTTGCTCCTGCTCGTTCTCCCCCGGGAACAGCGGGTAGCCGGTATACAATTCCGCAATGATGCATCCGAGACTCCACACATCGATCGCAGTGTGGTAGTTCATACCCAGGATCACCTCCGGACTGCGGTAGAAGCGTGACTGGATGTAGGTGTACACCTTTTCGTTTTCGAAGCAGCTCGAGCCAAAGTCGATCACCTTGATGCCGCTCCTGCGCGGATGGCAGAGCAGGATGTTTTCCGGCTTCAAGTCGCAGTGTACGATCCGATGCTGTTTCATCAGAATTAGCGACTGCAGAACTTGCGAGGTGAACCGCCGGATGAGGTTGGTCGTGAATCCGGCAAAGCTGTTCGCCTTGATGAGCTCATACAGGTTGATGCTGAGCAGCTCGGTGGCGATGCAGAGGTGGTTTCGGAACAAGAACGACTCGGTCATCTTGATGACGTTGTACCGCTCATCCGGATCCCACTTGGTCAGGTTCTCCAGGATCCTCACCTCCACCAACGCCTGGTGATGGAACCTCTTCTTGTTCCTGATCAGCTTGATCGCCACCGTCTTGCCCGTCTTGTGGTCCAAACACTGCAGCACCTGTCCAAAAGATCCCCTGCCCAACAGATCGATGATCTCGTACCGGAAAGCCAAATGATCTTTGCTGATCACATTGTAATCCCCCCTCTCATCGTCATATCCGTGGTTCTGATCCGGCTTCTCCACTACCGCCGCATGCTTCCTTCTGGCGTTCTGACCGCAGTACCAGATCTCGGTGTAGTTGAAGATCTCCTGCAGCTCGAACGGAGACATCTTGTTGCCGTACATCACCTCGGCTTGACGCGGAGAGAGCTGACGGCTCGGAGCCACAGGCTCGGGGAATTCGAGCATCTTGTCGAGCTCGGCTTGCGAGGCACCGGCGGCGAGCTTGCGCGCCTGTTGACGCCGGATGTAGTCTTCCATCTCGGCGTCTCCGAGACGCTCCTCTTCGTCTTGGATGGGTGTGGCGCGGGCAGAGGCGGTGGACGCGGCTGCTTCGGGGGAGGCGGGACTGCGGCGTGCGAGTGCAGAGATGGCGGTTGCGGCAGTAGACGTGCCACTGGCAGCGGTGGAGCTGCTGCTGCTGATCTTGGTGAGGCGTTCGCTAGCAGGCGTTGGCAGGGTGCTTGTCTTGGAAGTGCGTGGAACGGCACAGGCGGTGTTGAGCGAGGCACGCGTCTTGCGCACCGGCACCAAGACGCTGCTCGCCGCGGTCGCCGGCGACGGCGCTGTGGCTCCGTTCGAGCTCGACGTTGCTGCCCCAGCAGCAGTGCTGCTGGACTTTGCGGTACGAGCAACACTTTTGTCACTGCCGACAGCCGACGACGACGGGCTGGCAACCCTCTTCTGTCGATCCTTGCGTTCAGCGAGGCTGTTGAGCACCTCGCGATCGCTAGGAGTGAGCGTCGATGAGTAGGCAGCGATGCGAGCACGCCTCAACACGCCCTCGATCTCTGCAGGCGTCTTCGCCGCTGCATACGCGTTGAGAATGGGGATCAAGCTGCTCGACACTTGAGCGGTGCTGGGCGACGGCGCCACCTTCGACGAGGCATGGCTGTGCTTAGCGGTGCCGGCCGTTGTGTCGGAGCCAGCGATGGACCTGGTGTCGTCGTCGTCGTCGTCGTCGAATGGTTGCGTCGGCGCCGTCATGCCCATGCTGGCCGCCAGCGTGGGGTGGTGCGACTTGCTCATCGGGATCGACGAGGAACCAGCGGCAGCAGCGCGCATCACGCTTACTCCGCCCGCGTCTGAAGATGCAGAGGTGGACGCCGTGCTTCGCGGGATTGCCTTCATGGTCGCCACTCGGGGAATACGGCTTGAGAGCGAAGCGGATTTGGTGGGAGAGACGGTGCGGCTGCTCACACTGGGACTCGACGAGGGCACACCGCTTATGGCGATGGTCCTCGCAGATCGTGATGGCGTCTGAGCAGATGCCGACCCCGCGGGGCCCGCAGCACTGACACCGTTGCTGGCCTTCGAAGTGGCTACCAACGGCCTCTGCAGGGACTTGCCGCCGGCGGAAACGATCGACTGTCCACGTCTGCGCACAGGAGAAGAGGGTGCCTGCGACCCGCCGGTAAGCGAGCCCGCCTCGGAAGCACGTGCGGTAGCTGGACTAGCCGCTGCAGCGTCTGTGTTGCTAGCTGCCGCGCGACGCCTCGAACCCGAACGGCTCAGCAAGCCTCCCGCCATCCCCAGCAACGACTTGCGCGAGAGGCGACCGCTGTCTTGCGTGTTGGCAGAGTCCGTGACCGACGCGCTGTCGCTTGACTTGGGTGTTCGACTGAAGAACGACGCGGAGCGGCCAACTTTCGGACTGGTACTAGGCTCTGCCGAGGCAGCGTTGGACGGTGTTGCTGAATCGATCGACGCCTGATCCGCATCCTTGTCCTTCTGCGATGTGCGCATGAGTCGGCTGAGAGATGCCACGCTGGCACGACGCAAGGCGCTCGATCTCGATCTGGATCGCGACAGGGAAGAGGTGGACACATCTCCGCTCGCGGCATCGGTCACGGTCATGGCTGCGAATTCGGTCGCAGGAGGATCAGAAGATGCGATCATCTCTTCCATCGGCTCTGCTGCAGCCAACTGCGCCGACACGTCGTGCGTCGACGAGCCTATGGATGTACTGTTGCTGAGCGTACCCGTGCTCGGCTTGCGCACGGCAAGCGCAGCCATCTCGGCGAGTTCCTGGATGCGCGGACTGAGCGGCGATCTGGGTGTCGGCATCTTGTCGCTATCTCCACCACCGCCGCCGCCGCCGCTGACAGACGAGACGAAACTGTGGCTCGTCGTGATGCTTGGCGTGTGCGCTGAAGCAGCTCGGAATGCTTCCGAGGTGAGCGAGCTCGAGCGAGACCCTTCCCACACCTTTGGCAGCGGCGGCACCGGCGGAATGGCCGCATGACGGCTTGCATCCGAATCGTCGTAGACACCAGCGGAAGCATCGAGGCGACCCGCATCCGAAGCAGCTCCCGAAGCGTCGCTGTTGCCGCTCATGCGTTTGGTGCGAGAAACGCTGCGCGAGATCACGGGCGTCCCGATGAGCGGGCTCGCCGAGGCGGACAGGTCCTTCCCGTTGTTGACCGTCGCTGCCGAGGCTTTACGCGACCCCTGCGTGATCTCATTTTGAGGCAGCGGCGGCAGCTGCGACCGACGCAGACGCGGGCTCGAGTAGGCCGAGGTGCGAACCGAGTCTCCAGAGGTATTGGCCGACGAAGTGCTTCCATCGTCTGCCGTTCGCACGCGCGCAACCAACTTGGAAGCTCGGAGACTGTTTCGGGCCGCGGCGTCGTCTGCCGGCCTGGCCTTGTCACCGGATCGCGAAGACGCATCGTAGTTGCTAGAACGTCGACTTCGAGAGGTCGGCGAAGAGGCCCGGCTGTTGTTGCCAGGCGTCCTTCGACCTGCACTGCCAGGTCGCGACGAAATTCGACTATTGCGAGGGCTCTTGGTGTCGGTTCTGCCTTCGCGGCTTGCTCTCGGAGTGCTGCCGAGTCCGTCCAGCTTGCGAAGCGCGTCAGCGGCAGCATCCTCGCGCGAGTTGAGACGGCTCTCGTACTCGTCGGCGTGGCCGAAGGGGACTGAGCCTCGCAAAAGCGATTGGCCGATGCTGGCCGAAGATGCGCGCTTGCTGCGGAACGAGGCGCTGTTGCGCGACGTTCTGGGCGTGCTAGGTGCAGCCGAGCTCGCTACGGAGGTGGCTGCCGAAGTGAGGTTTTGGGAAGAAGCACCGGTGCTCATCAGACGTTCTCCGCGTGCCGATGCCGCGGCGCTACGCTGGCTGTCTGATGCTCCGGCGAGCGGCGTACGGGAAGAACCTATGCTCGACATGAGACCGGTGACGCCAGCCTCTTCTGGCTGCTTCAGAGAGTCGGACCTCAGACGTGCAGAACTGCGTGACGCTGCAGTGGAGCCCAGCTCGGAAGCATCTGACGCTGCTCGGTCTCGCAATTGCCTACGTCGATGGAGCTCGTCGTGATCGTTGAGCAGATCCGTGATCGCAGCGTTCAAGTCGAAGCTCTGACGCCATTCCTCGTCGTCCATGCCATTGCCAAAGTTGGCGTCGCCAAAAGGCATTGATTTGGAAGCTTCGATGCCGAGTCCAGTTGTAGCGCCGTCGAACGGCCCAGTCTCGCCTGCCGACCACGAGAGGTCACCGATGGCCGGTGATCTTTCTGCTGCCGTCGCGTGCGCCTCTTTCTGAGTTGCGCCGCTCTTCGACGCTGCAAATGAGACGTCGCTGGAATCGTGCTGTGCGAGGCTGTTGTCGGATTCCGTGCGTGCGATGATCGAGAACGGCGGGCTCTCGGGGACGGCACCGATGCTTGCCGCTACTCCATCGAGCTCGGCCATAAACTCGGACTGCGTAGCTGGGTAGCCACGAGCCAAGGCATGGAGGGACTGGCTGCCGGTGAGCGGCAAGTGTCTGCCTGGCACCGACGGGCTGATGGGGACGCTGGAAAGAAACTGATTGGGGTCGCGCAGAGCGTGGCGCTGCAAGCTGTTGATCGACGAGTACGAGATGGAGCGCGAATGGCGTGCGGTCTCGCCTCGTCGCGGTTGTGATTGTGGACCGTCTGACTTTTGAACGTCGATATTTTGTTGCAGAGCAGATCGTTGGTCCTTTGGTAAGGACGTGGTCATTGACTCGGGTGCAGTGCCATCGTCGGTCAGCGCGCCACTGACGTTGCGCCGTTGTGCCATCTTGGAAGCAGAGAGCGGAGTGGCGTCTGCGCCCGGCTTCCAACCGGGCAACGCCGTGGAAGGAAAGTTCCAGCGAGGCGTAGCTAGCTCGCCAATGCCGATCTGTCCCGCTCGATCGTAGACACGAGGCGTGCCACTTGGCGTGCGGCTCTGGATGCCAAACTTCTCGGGCGTCTGGAGGGTCTCGACTTGGTCCGCCGCCGCCTGTCTGTTTCGTACTTCCGAGGCAAGATCAGGAAGTCCGATGCCGAGACCATTGCTGCCCTCGCCACGCGAGGACCTTTGCGTAGCGGCTGGGCGACCGAGCACTTTGCTGGGGTCATCTGAGGCTTCGGGCGTGTGCAGTGCGCTCGAAAAGTTGGAGAAGTGCGACGAGAGGCTGGGCGATTCACGAAGGCCAAGATGCATATGACGTGCTTTGCTGGCGGACAACGAGGCATTGCGCGTATCTGAGCCCGGAAACGGCGCAGACGATGCTTGTGGTGTGTGGCTATCGTCGTCGTGTTCTTCGACCTCTGCAATGCTGCTGCTGTCGCGGAGATTGGAAGCGCTCGGACGCTTCCGTGATGATATGCCATCGTTCTCGAACAGGGCAGCACCAAAGGCAGGACCAAAGTCGGTGAGCGACGGCGAGATGAGTGGCTGTTGAGCTTGGCCGAGGCCGGAGGCGGCAGTTTGGGAGGGATCATTGGCTCTGCGTGCGACATAGCTGGTAGACCTGGATGCAGTGAGTTGAGGTGGACCCATGGAGCCGCTGGTGGAACGCGATATGGAGGATACGCTGCTGACCGAGCTGCTGGAGCTCATCGAGGCAGAAGCGGCGTTGCTTGCCAGGCGTGAAGAGCGCGCGAGCGAGTCGGAACGAGCTGGGAAGGTGAGGGACGAACTGGATGCAGACGACGCGAGCGTGGGAGGCCGAGACGAAGAGTCGCTGGCTTTGCGTTGGCCGAGGAGGGCATCACCAAGTCGAGGCTGCGAAGAAGCGGTGCGACCGAACGACGGTATCCTCGAGCCGGTCGAAGGTCGGGAGAGCGATGCAGTGGAGGAAGGGGTATTGCCGACGATGTTGGTGGAGCTGGAAGAGGCTGAGAGATTTGGATCGAAATCAACGAGCGACGGCGCCCCGGATTGAGAGAGCTTATGCGGGGTCCACGAGGTTCGACGCGACGTGGTCGTTGAGGAATGTGAGGGGCTCTGTGCGATCAACGAAGGCGTTGGTCTGGAGCCGAGGGTGGCGTAGGCGCGATCCGTCATGTTGCGAGGCTCGGTAGAGGGTTCGTACCGCGGAGATGACGATGAGGTGGCGGATAGCCTCGATGCTGATGACATGGTGCGTGAGCGTGCACCGGAAGAGCTCGAAAGAGGGGTGGTGGAAGAGGCGGCGGTGGTCGAATTGAGGCGTGTGCGAGCTGCCGTGTTCAAGGAGGGTGTGGCTCCCGAAGTGAGCGATAGTGACGTTGCCGGAACTAGACGGCCGTGTTCGTCGTACGCAGAGCTCAGACGTGGCCGCGAGGCGGTCTGCTGTTGATCTGGGCGGCGCATCCGATCAGTCATCGTGAGGAGTCCTCACGTGCTGGGCGCAGAAACGACACTGTGGACCGGAAGGAGCTGTGATCGAGGCATAAGCTTAGAAGCCAGCGGTTGCAGGTGGGAGCGGGACGTTGGTGAGACCCGTCGGATACTGAGTGCAAGCGTAAAATTGTTTTTAGATCCTGGTCTCAAGACTAGACGCGGATCGTTCCGGATGCGAGGCGAGCTCAAAGCGAAGATGCCGAGGTGGTATAGGATGAATGGATCGATGCTGTTGCAGCGTGGTGGTATATGGTGGAGTATGCTTCAAAGAAAGAATGGCCGGCTGACAAAGAGCATTTCACCAAGCTGCGAAGGAAGCCGTCGAGTCGGATTGCGAGGCTGTGGCCTGCTGTGTCGGGTCGTCGATGGCGCCGAAGCTGAGCGGAGCGTGACCAAGGAGAGCAAACGCAAGCGAGCCAGCGGAAGGTGTTGCTTTGACCGCGGCTCCTACCTTGACGGAAGGACTGGGTGGACTGACTGACTGAGCCAGCTTACCACGACGACGGAAGGAATGAATGCGGTCTCTGAGAGGCAGAGATGTGTGAGTGGAAGCTTTGGTAGGAAGAGATGGAGAAATGCAGAGCACATGTACACCGACAATTAGCCATTCACAATAAACCCTCAAGTCAGTCACCAAGTCAGCAGCGTCGGAAGGGAGTCCGAACCTCGACCTGGGCTTGCTCAGCGCGATCTGCGTGTGTGGGCGTGAGCGAGATGCGTGCGTGTGGGTGAGTCCACCCATTTCCGAAAATCACAAATCAATTAACGGAAGGCCTGTGCTTCAACTGCTGCGTGCTGCCTGCTGCCTGGTCTACGAGCAAATCGATTTTGTGACAGAAAAGGGTCGCAGAAGTGTTGGTTTCTCGTTGACCCCGAGCGTGACAGGCAAGACTGCTGACGCGCAGTCGACCGTTCAACCGATCGAACGCGTCTCTTGACCTGTCAGTGGGTGGTGGGTGACTAGGAAAGAAGGTCGCACCGAGAGGCACACACACACGCACACCGGCTGCATGAGTTTTTGATTTTATATACCCTTGGTGGCCTTGTGTCGTCGCTTGTTGCGTCGATCGGGAGATCAGACTCAGTGATGTTGCTCAGATATTTACCTATATCAGAAAGGTCCTGCAAGTGAAGCGGAGCAATCATACCAGACCTCTTCTAGAGCAGTTGGCATTGCACAAACATGGATCGGGCGTTGGGAAGGGAGGGAAGGCATTGTACAAACCTTGACCTCCGAAAGAGGATGGACCAAAGACCGGGTTGCTCCTTCAGGGCCTCATCAAGCAGATAGGACGTGTGCGCAGGAAATCAGTGCATCTAATGTACAGAAGATCTGGATCTGGAACGTTTTGGACGTCCGTTACAAAGTGTTTGACCTCTCTTTACAGATTCCAGGTAGCTTTCCATACGGCAAACACAAGTGTCCGAGCCCTCACGTTGGAAAGTAAGAGGCATCGTTTCGCGATGAATATGTTCAATGACCTACTGACGCCAAGACACGACGCACGAACTCGAATGACACAATGACGAGCATGGCTGCAAAGCTTGATCATAGATTTGTTATGGAATGAAGATGAAACGAGGTCGGTCTAATCGCGAACAGACAGTGTAGAGCGTGGAAGATGGACAGCAGCCACGAGGATGCACGCGCTTGTCGAGATCAACGAAGTAAAGATAAAGATAAGTTCTGGTACGTGAGCGTGCTGGCTAAATCCGTAGATCCATGAGTTCAGCACGGGACAAATCGTACAAGCAACGTTGTTGAGGAAAGAGAGTGTTGCAGAAAGGCTTTCGGTTGAAGTACCCTCTGGGCACAGTATCGACGCAAGTGCGGCTAGAGTAGACTCTGACGGACACGACATGCAATGAAGAGCCAGACCAAGTAGGAACAGGGGATAGTTGGCGGCTGACCCAGCTGCCGCGAGAACAAGCCAGCTCGCAGCATCTAAAAAAAGGGTAGTGATGGAAAGGAATCGTTCGGAAGCAGCAGGTACACCATCATCCTCCCGCTCATCGGAACCCCTTTGGTGGATCCGTTCGAAGCGCAGACGCGTCCGTTTGGCAATAGCAGGGAAAGCGAAAGCCAGCCAAAGAAATGTGAAAGCACCTGAGAAGCCCAGCATCAAGCCGAGTTCCTGGGCACGCAGTCCAAACCGAAATGGGCAGTATACAGCGAGCGTGCTGGTCGCGATTGCAATCTCGTTCGTGAGCATGTATGCGAGGATGACCCGGCTTAAGCTCCATTCTAATTTTCCAGTCGTCTGATTCCGGATTGGCTTGACGAGAAGGAGCAAGGGCCGAGCGGCTTCCACCAAGCCAAGCCTGAGATTGCCTAGAGTACCTCTGTCTTCGTCTTCTGTATGCAAAGTACTTCCAGCCCGTCCGCCAGTATCGGTACCGGGTCGTGATGGAGGCGTGCAATTTCTGTTCGTGAGAGAGGTGACCGTAGAGCTAGCCAGAATAGCGCAGATCGATACTGCCGCTCCGAGCTTAAAAGGGAGTAGATCGACCAAGAGGTCGGAGCGTGTGTCGAGCCAAAGGGACTGTAACACTAGTGATGCAGTCACTGCACCAATGGATATGCTTGCACCTAGCCTTGCCAGCCAGGTTGATCTTGATAATGCAGGTACCGAGTCAATCACAATGGCTCTTGAAACGACTTCGAAGAGCATATCGGGGCTTCCGAGGACGCCAGAGATCAAAGACTCCGCCAACAGCATGTGAAGGGCGAGGGTGGGTGTGATGTGCCTTGAAGCGAAGAGTTTTGATTCGGGTGTTTCTCGAGTGAGTTCTGCGACCAGGATAGGGAAACAAAGGTGCAACGAGAGAAGCACTGCACCTAAAGCCATGCAGCCCCTGTAACCGAGTCGCCTGATGAATAGCGGTGATAGGACAAGTGCGAAGAAGCAAGAGGATAGATAGTTCAAGCTGAGATTGTAAGCTATCACCCTGGAAGTACGAGCATCGACAATTTCCACGAGGCAGTCCACAGCTTCAGGACTTGACGACGGTGACAGCCCATAGTGCTCTGCGCAAGCAAAACTGCGAAAAAGTTCAACCTTGGAGGTCATGCCAATGCTCCGTGCGAATTGAGTAGAGAAGTTGACGACGAAGACGCTCGTCAACGCTTTCTTCGCTGTATGACTGGGATCTGCTGGGAGAGCGGCATGGCTCGTAGAGGGCACTTGTTGATGGTGAGCATCACTATTGAGCAGATGCGTCTCTTCTGTTGGGGAAGTGGAGACCATGATGGAACGATGCCCAGATGTGTCCGAGCTGTTGCAGTGGGTGAAGAAGTCCAACAACATAAACAATGTCCTGAGCTTTGCGGAATAGAAGGCAAGAAAAGAAGCAAACCTCTTCCGGACCAGCAATCTATTAGTACGGTTCGACTGTGCTTGGACGTAGGCAGACCTTTGCAATATCGCCTAGCCAGCTGAAGCCCTAGCCCAAGATTGACACACGTACAGTGTGGAACTTTTCTGCCGACGGAAGCCTTGATGCACGTCGTTTCTGGATGTTAGCGCGGATACGAAATTGCGAACAGAACGTCGAAGTGTCGTACATCCATTACAGTTGCTCGCGGCTACAAAGGGACAACGCAGATTACCTGCCAGTTTGCATGAATCTCTTATCGGCTGGCCTTCTTCTAGCGATCCTGAGTGGAACTGCGAACATGTCTTTCCCGAAACAATCCCCAGTTTGCGACGCTGCAATCAGCCCAAAAAACCTTATGCGAATCCCAGCTCCCTGCTTGATCTTGGCTCTCCGTGATTGAGAATGGAGAAGTGGGAAGAATATTGATCAGCCGACTCAAGCGAGTTTCCAAGGCGACAGAATTTTTGAGGCTTCCATCCTGATGCTGTGTGTACCTGTCTCGTTGACTCAGTTCCTGCGTGATCTGAGCACTCTCTCTGAGTTGTGGCAATCGTGTTCAATGCCAGTCATCTTGAGTGTGATATGGCACTCTCTTCGAGGAGTCGCTGAGGCTCAACGGGGTCTTCTCGAGGAGGTGCGGCCTGATCTTCTCAAGCGTAGCGCCAGGAAGTAGGTAGACGTACCGGCGGAGCGTGGCGATATGCTCGTGCTGTACCAGTGTTGCAACAAACGCTCCTCCTTTCTTCTTCTGAGAGCGGAACTCGCCCTGTATCTTGAAATTTTTTTATTTTTCATACCATGCTGTCTACTGTTGGCCAAGGAGGCCTGTATCGCTTTGCCCACGCGGCATTCGTATCTCCTCTGTGAATGGCATCGTCCACAGTGCGCACACGGTTGTGAAATGCAAGTCCAAACACATCACACAGTGCAAGCAGATGCGATCTTGTAAAGTGACCATAATTTCCCGCAGCTTTGGGCTTCAAATGCACAAGGCTGGCTCTGGACAGGCCTGGTTTGCCTAGTATGGTGTGCATTGGTTGAAAGATGCTGACACCGTGCGAACTTCCAATGACACCACGGCATCCTTGAATGAGGCCGATCCAGACTAAACAATACATCCGCCTGACTCCCAAAGAGCATGCAGAATCGAGACAGGCCTCGCTCGGCCCAAACGGATCGCTCTTTCTGCAATTCCCAATGAAACGCTCGCGTCAGTATCTCGGCAAACAAGACATGTCGAGGGCCTTCTTTTTGACGTCAAGTTGGCTAATTGGCTCCAGATTGTGTGGGGAAACCATTTATTAATATTAAAAATAAAGATATTGCGGAGAATCAGCACGACAGTTGTTGCACAGATGGCTTTGAAATCTTTGCGAGTAGTATTGGGCTCCGTACTGGACGCTCATAGAAAATCTAACTTGTGTTGTAAGATCGACACAGGATCGTAGCCCGAAGAAAAATTATCGCGATATATTGGCACGCTCGAACTGAGGAATCGGGTTGATGGCAATTCGAGATTTCCGTGACACTCTCCACAAACGAGCGGTATGCATGCTTCTCTCACTCGCTTCCATTCTTGTCCGCCTCAGCCTGACATCATCAGCATCATCGAGTCCCAGCCCAGGTTAGCAATCCATACGGCCGCTTGGGCATACACGGCTTGCAAAGCTGCGACACAGCCAAGGAAAGCTGCCTCGACGCATCCCAGCAGATCCTTCGTCGCTCAGTTCACTTCCCGACGCACCGGTACCGCTCACCCTTTGGCATCATCCTTCACCAGTACAGACCCCACATGAGCATCCATCATACCACAGAAACAATGCATTAAAGCCGGTCCTTCACCTCTTGCGAACAATCCGGCTTTGCGAAACCATGTCGTCACAAACAGAGTGGCCCCAGTCCCTCAAGGACTTTGCCAATCGTGCTTTCGCCGCTTGCACGGATGTCAACCGCAAAGCCGTGTCCGAGGAGCTTCGAGCGCTCATCTTTGACTCGTTCCAAAATGGCACCATCCACACCACCGACTGGACCAATGCCACGCTCAAGAGCTTAGGGGCTCCGTCCGCATCCACCAAGAAGTCGCTTTTGAAGAAACGAGCAGCTCCCTCCTCGACAGCGTCCGCGAGCTTGTCTGCATCCGACTTGGAAGAGCAGCAGAGGAAAGAGAAGCGCGCAAGACGCTTCGAGAAGGAGCAACAAGAGTTCAGGCGCCAGGAAGACGAGATGCTTGAAACAGCCATTGCGTCCACCAGTCTAGCATCAAGGTTTGGCGGCGGCAGCGCTGGCCAACCTTCGTGGTCTGCAGCTGCATCAGCAGCAGGCACCGCGCGCCTCAACGGCAAGTCCAAATACGGCGCGCAGACACCGATAGGTGGGCCACATTTCACAGACACCGAGGTAGCAGATCCCAACGTCATCGACTGGGACGAGCATACCGTCGTAGGCACCAGCAGCAAGCTCGAAAAGTCCTACCTCCGCCTCACATCAGCTCCCGACCCCAAAACCGTCCGTCCGCTCTCTACGCTCGTGCAGACTCTCGAGCTGCTGAAGAAGAAATGGCGTACCGAGAACAACTACTCGTACATATGCGACCAGTTCAAGTCGATGCGACAGGATCTGACGGTGCAGCGCATCAAGAACGAATTCACCGTCAAGGTGTACGAGATCCACGCACGAATCGCGCTCGAGATGGGCGACTTGGGCGAATACAACCAATGTCAGAGCCAATTAAGAGGACTGTACGCGTACGGTATCAGAGGCAGTGCCATGGAGTTTCTGGCTTACAGGATCCTATATCTTTTACATACCAAGAACCGCAGAGGTAAGCAGTCCCTCATAGCCAGCCATCTGTGCAGGTGACGGTCAGATTACTATAGCACCATCTTGATTCGCTTCTCGCTGCTCGTACAGACGTCAATGCATTGATGGCAGAACTGACAGAAGAACACAAGGCCGAACCAGCAGTCGAACATGCGCTTCAGGTGCGCGCCGCACTGGTGACAGGCAACTACCACTCGTTCTTCCAACTGTATACAGATGCACCCAACATGAACGCCTACATCATGGATCACTTTGTCGAGCGCGAACGCATCAACGCTCTTCTCATCATGTCCAAGTGGTAAGTTTGTTTCCCTCGTCCTCACCTGTAACCACCGCGAGATGCTGACATGCTGATCCGCATTCTTTCGATTCGCATCTCTTTGTTTCGTAAAGCTATCGACCATCGATCGCGCTAAGCTTCATTGCCGAAGAATTGGCGTTCCAAGATGTGGCAGAAGCGGATGAGTTCCTGTCAGCAAAAGGCGCCGCTGCTTACGTCGAACCTACACCGGCCGAACTCGCTGCACTGGCACCACAGACGAACGGCAAGAAGAAAAAGTCGAAAGCGATACCCAGCTTACCGTTGGAAAAGCGTCAGTGGGATGCCAAAGCCGCAATGCAGCCACTTACGGATGCGATACAGAAGTTCCGGAAGGTAGATGTAAGTGCAAGAAAACGACTCGATGTCTTGACGACGGATGATGATGTTTGAGCAGTGATGCTGATCTTCGGATGCTACACCTTTCAACTGGCTCAGATCAAGGGTCAAATATGATGGTCTTACGGTAGGTATCCGTTTCCTAGCCGCTTCCCTGCCTTTTCGCTGTGGTTCGACACCAATTCAGGGTAGCAGTCCTCAAGCTGTCTAGCTCTGACCCTCTGTAACACTATGCAAAGCAATGCAAACCGTCGCATATCATGCTACCTGTCAAGCCCGCTCTTGGGTCAACCTATGAGCTGGTCGAGAGCTCCGAGATTGTTCATACGATTGTGTTAGGTTCTCCTTTTACAAACTTCGAAGTAAATTTTGTTGTGTGTTGATGATCACGTTTCGAAGGCAAAGTGGAGGATTTGCGTGCGCATTCCGGAGAGCAAAGGTGATGGGCCATGCTCGTGCGCAGTCGATCTTCTTGCTGAACGACCATCGCGATCTCACCTGCACACTACTACGAGACTTGACACGTTTGCTTCCAGGAGCCTTTGACAGGATAACGGAACGGCAGACGTCCAGCTGCAAACATCCGCCGAACGGATACAGCATTTCGTGGGAAAGTCATTCTCTTCCAGCAACAGCACAGAGAGACCCCCATACGCAAAAACCTTGTCGACCATGTCGTGGTTCTCCTCACAATGGAATCGTTGGTCGAAAGAGGCCAATGGACCATCTCGTTCGGGTAGCGATGGTGGACCTATTCGTCGGATCGAAGTCGTCTGGGGTCGGGAAAGGTATGTCGTATTCTTCCAAAAATTAACTTCTTCAGCGCAACAACTTACTCACTGACACCCTTTTCTTTCCCCTCTTTACTCCTCTCAGACTGCAAATTGTGCTTCCACGAACCGCCGAACCAGTAACCCTCGGTCATCTCCGTCACGAGATCGCATCGATAACGTCTCTACCCTTCGACAAGATTAAATTGATCCATCGAGGACTCGTGATGAAAGACGATCGACTGCCTCTCACAGCGTACGGTCTTTCGGAAGGATCACGAATCGGTCTGGTCGGAAGCAGAGAGGAAGGCGACAGACCGGGAGCAAAGACCTCTGTGGGGATGGGTGCGTTGTCGGTAGGCGAGCAGAAGGCACGTGAGAAAAAGGCGAGGGAAGCCGACACGAGCGAGCAGGGGTTGATGTCGAGGATCACGGAGGCGCTGGAGACGAGCAGAAAGGAGCTGTTCCCGGAGGTGGAGCAGGTGGAGACGGCGATTGCCGGCCACTTGGAAGGGAAGGAGCAGACAACGACAGAGGCTGAAGCGGGAACGACGATCGGAGGAGAAGGAAAGGGAGAGAATAAGGCGGGAGGCATGTCGTATGCGCAGATCGCAGACGCACATCGACGGCTGTCGGAACTGCTGCTGAGACAGTTGCTGGCTTTGGATTCGGTCAACGTGAACAGCGATACGACAAGACAGGCACGAAAGATCGCAGTCAAGGAGGTTCAGGCACATCTCGATCGACTCGACGCTGCATTTTCCAAGTACAAGAGCGCTCACAAGTAGGTCGCAACAACGGAAATACAGGTGCTGGAGTTCTTGACTTGTCCCGCAGAGAGGATCTTTCGTCGTTGGGGCGATGGTGCAAGAGGCACAGGCAGATGCAGTCAGAAGCTAGTAAAGAAAACATTGTTCAAAGAGGCGCGATAGATTGACGTGACGATGCGGCTGAGCAAAGCCCAAAGCCTGTATGAGTGTCGCCGTCGCTGTCTACGGGCTAGTCGATTGCGTCGAGTATCCCATATTGGCATCACCTAGCGCTGTGGAGAGTTGAAAGACGACCTGGCGCAAGATAGAATCGGGAGTAGATCGGGTGAGGATGGCGAGAAGAAGAAGAAGAAATGCCCACCAAATTGGTCGAGACTTGTCTGTTAGTTTACCTCGTCATCCGAGCGAGTCACACGGCCACGGCCTTCTAGACTTTCAATTTCTTCGTCGACGCAGAAATGCACGCACGGACAAAGTGAGAAGCGGTCATCCTTGGAATTCTTCTCGACACTCAACCTCGTCACTGCTTTCTGTATCCCCTCCACGACACACTCTCATCCACCTCAATCGTCGGCTCACCATGACATCCGCAGCACGCAAGTTCACCATCAAGGTGCCCTGCACCTCGTCCAACATCGGTCCAGGTTTCGACGTCGTCGGTCTCTCGCTCTCGCTATACCTCACTCTCCGCGTCACCGTCGACCCGTCATCCACCAACACCTCGCCCAAACTCTCCTACACCGGTCTTGGAGCAGAGGAAGCGCCGCTCGATGCGTACAAGAACCTCACCACGCGTACTGCGCTCTACGTGCTCCGATCCAACAATGTCCAGGCGTTCCCGACGGGAGTCGACATTCAGGTTCACAACGAAGTGCCGTTCGGGCGCGGGCTCGGTTCGTCTGGTGCAGCGGTCGTAGCGGGGCTGTTGCTGGGAAACGAATTGGGACAGCTCAACTTGCAAAAGGATCGATTGTTGGATCATGCGCTCATGATCGAACGACACCCGGACAACGTCACCGCCGCTCTCATGGGTGGATTTGTAGGTTCCTACCTGCTCGAACTCTCCCCAGAGGAAGAAGAGCGTCGCGACGTACCCCTCTCTGAAGTCATCCCCGAATACCCGCCCAACGCATCCTTCGATTGGGGCACCAACCCGCCCTCTCCTCCGCACAACATCGGCCACTACATCCGCTTCGGCTGGTCTCCCCAGATCAAAGTCATCGCCATCATCCCCGACTTCCAAGTCTCCACCGCCTCCGCCCGTTCCGTCCTCCCACAGACCTACTCCAAATCCGACCTGATCTTCAACCTCCAACGTCTCGCCGTCCTCACCACCGCCCTGACGAGAACGCCACCCGATCCGTTCCTCATCTACCAGGCGATGCAGGACAAGGTCCACCAGCCGTACAGGAAGAACCTGATCCCCGGATTGCCCGATGTGCTGGCGAGTGTCACACCGCAGAGTCACAAGGGTCTGTTGGGCATCTGCTTGAGTGGTGCCGGTCCGACGATCCTGGCGCTGGCGACAGAGGGTGAGGAGAGGATCGTGGAGGACGTGGTGAGGACGTTCAGGGAGAAGGGTGGGATCGAGAGGTGCGATGCAAAGGTGCTCAAAGTCACCGAGGAGGGTGCGGTGGTGAGTTACGACTGATGTTAGATAGCTGCGGATGGATGTAAATCCCAGACCGAAACGAGATACGAACAAAGTGTGTGTTATGACTTGCATTCAGATGTATGAGAGCATTCTACGTCCGACCCGTAGTACCCGTAACCGCACTCTCCGGCGTCAACAACCTACCCACCACCTCGCGGAACACCTCAAACTCCTCCTCCCCTACCATCCACAGTGCCTCACCCACATCGTACACGTACACCACGCCGTCCGACCCACCCGTCGCCAGCTTCTTGCCATCCTTGCTCCACGCCAACTTGTTCAACGCCCTACCCGCTACCCCCTCCATCAGCACGCCACCATCACCTACATTCTGCTGTTGCGTTGACGTGGTGGTGGTGGTGGTGGGGGAGACACTAGCCACCGGTCGCTCCGTATCGACGTTGAGATTGAACACCTCCAATTTTCCTGTCCCGTCGACCTGAGCAAAGACGGCCGGGTGGATGGGACTCCACTTGACGTCGTAGATGTAGTCGTTGGACTCTTCGAAGCTCAGCACCTCCCTAAAACCCTTCGCCGCGGCGGGTTTGATCGTGTTGCTGGGTCTCAACCTCCACAGCTTGCTCGTCCAATCCATGCTCGACGTCAAGAAGAGATCGCTGAAGTCGACACTCCCACCGTTGAGCGGGTGGAAATCGATCGCGGTGATCGGACCCACATGGCCCCGATACACTTCGCCGGCGTTCAACCCAGCCTTCAACCCAGCCCGATCGTACCTGTTCCCCTGATACACATTGCCGTCCTCGCTTCCGACGAGGAACGACGTGGTCTCCCTCTCCACCATCCCCAAACAACTCACCGCCACTTCGTCCGTCTTACCGTTTCCAGAAGCGTTGACCAACTCCAACGTCTCCTGCGCCCGACCCAGTACGTCCAGCATCCACCAACACACGGTACCATCCGTACTGCTCGATACCAAGTTGTTGGCGTTGGTGGATCCGATGATCTTCAACCCATACACGGGGTGCGTATGTCCACTGGCCGAAAGCGGGGTCTTGAGCACGGGCAATTGGCGAGAGCGGGTGTCCCAGATGAGGATCTGACCGGAGTATGTGCCGCCTACGACGAGCGTCGGGTGAAACGGAGAGAAGGTGACGGAGGTGACGTCGGTGGGAGCGGTGAAGGTGAACTCGGGTCGATCGGTGAGGTGCGTATTCCAGAGAGCTACGAGACCGTCGCTGGCGTCGTCCGCGCCATCGCGCGTGCGGTTGTAGGCGGCACAGCACAGCTCCGGGTACTTGCTCGACCAGTCCAACCCCATCACGCTCCTCCCCGCAAACCTCGCATCACCCTCGCCAAACTTCCGGATCAAGCGCAGCTGACTGCCCGCACCTCTCCCCGCTTCGGCGGAGAAATCCTCCACCCCACCGCGATAGTCCCTCATGTAATCGTACGTGTCCGTCAAGGCGCGCTCCACGATCTTGGTCGAGTGCTCCACGAAATCGCTAAACTCCTGCACCGAGTAGACGGCGAGCCGTTCCTCGGCGGTGAGCTCGCGGAGCTGCTCGGCGATCTCCTGTTCTAGCCGGGACTCTTCTTGGCGCGCCGCGAGGTCGGCCGCTTGTTCGGAGAGGATCTTGGCCCGCAGCGATTCTTCCGTCACAGGAGGTGGGCGCGGCTCGGTCCCGACGCCCCCGGACGGTTGACCGGAGAAATCGTCGGTGGAGGAGGTCTGCACTTCCTTGGTGTAGAAGACACGTTGCTTTTGGGGTAGCTCGAAGAGTTCCTTTTCTACATCGATCAGTTCTAGCCTTTCGCTCCTCGCATCTTGCTTGACAGGTGTGGAGGGGACTTCGCTCTCACTCTCGCCTATCTCCGAACTGGCCACATGCGCTCCACCACTCCCACTGACCACTCGACTTGTCCCACCACCTATCAGGCTCTTCCTCGGGGACGACGGACGCGTCCCAACACTCGGAGCGGTCGAAGCGGGAACAGATGAACCCGAGATGAGAGAGTTGACCAGATCATCGAGGTCTCTTCGCGAGGAGAATGAATCTTGGGTGTTGGCGGAGGAGGTGGTCGCAGTGGATTTGAGTCGTTGTGCACGTTCCTCGCGCTGACGACGGATTTCCTCGAGTTTTGCTTTCTTTGCTTCTATCTGTGCTTTGCGATGCGCTACTGAGGAGGAGGGTGAGGACGACATTTTGTGTGAGGGTTGACGAGGATGGTGGCAGGACGAGAAATGAAAGCTAGAGATGGTTGGTGCGTGTTGCACTGTTTCTGTCGAGAAACCAACACTTTCACCAATCAACGCGTCGTTTACACTCAATGTGCATTTCTCTAGTCCAACATTTTCCAAGTATTTCTTTCTCAAAGTGGAGCAACTCATTCGCATGCATCTTTTGGACCCCTTTCTCTCTCTCCACCATCACCATCTTCCTCCAACGATGGCCAACGCAACCATCCGCAACGCCCACAGCATCCACGGCACCAACCCGCAACACCTCATCGAAAAACCCATCCGCTACCGAATCTACTCCTCCCCCTACTGGAAGCAGCACTGCTTCGCCCTCTCCGCCTCCACCATCCTGCCCCTCGCCACGTCGCTCCACCACATCGGCGGTCTCATCGGTGGTCTTCAACGTCCCTCGCACTTCCTCTGCTTACTCCAGAAGCTGCTTCAGATTCAACCCGATCCCTCGATCATCGATGCCTACCTCGACGCTTCCGACTTCAAGTACCTCCGCGCGCTCACCGCCTTCTACATTCGACTGACGTACGACTCTAAAAGCATATACGAAAAGTTGGAACCCTTGCTCGAGGACGGCAGGAAGTTGAGGTGGTGCAGAGCGGATGGGGGTTACGAGGTGATGTGCGTGGACGAGTGGGTGGATAGTTTGCTACGAGAGGAGAGGGTGTGCGATATCATCCTGCCGAGGTTGGTCAGGAGAGAGGTGTGTGAGGTGAGGGATGGATTGATGCCGAGGATCAGTGTGTTGGAAACAAAGCTGTTGAAGGCGATCGATAACGGAGGGGAGGTGGAGAGTGGAAGCGAAGAGGAGGAGGAGGAGGAGGACCAATTGAAGGATGTAAGGCGGTGGAAGCTGCAACGCTTGAGAGAGTTGAAGCGCATACAGCCCGCAAAGGTGGTGCGGGAACCGGTGTACGATGACGTGCAGGAATACTCTTCGCAGGAAGACTCGGACGCAGAACAAAGGAGAAGATTCGTTTCGCCCACTCCGAGCGTCTCTCCAGATCGACAGTTGGCCGCAAACCATTCCAGGAATAGGAGTCGCTCGCCTGATGCGGGAGGGTACGTCTCGAGAAGTCCATCTCGTTCACCTGATCGGGAAGGGTTTGTCTCGAGAAGCCCGTCTCGCTCACCAGATCGTGGGTTGGGTGAAGCGGAAGAGGAAGGATACGTTTCTCGCTCTCCATCACGCTCCCCTGATCGTATCTAATTGTTTCTCGACGTCGAAACCCAGAAGCATCTTTTTCGCAAAACCACTTTGTATACCCCCTGCATTGTCGTCTAACCTCTAATTGCAATGCCTCGACCAACAAGTTGCTTCATGTCGTACATCCAGACCTTTCCGAACGCATCGACTTGGATACGAGACCTTCTCCCGAGCATATATGCCTGTCCAGGGCGCTCTGTCTTTATCATCCTGCTCATGCAAATCCTCTTCCCTCAACGCACTTTTTCAACATCCATCGTCTTGCCTATTCAATCCGCCCATCTCGCACCTCAACAGCTCCACAACCTCCTCCTCCTCCTCCTGCTCCTCCCTCCTTTCTCCACCCGTTCCCTCCCTTGCCTTCCACCACTCTCCCACCGCGAACCCTCCCGTCATCCCCGCCACCACACCAACCAACAACACCCAATCCATACCCATAACCACGATCATCAGCAAATATCTTGCTATCGTCGCCAGTGCAAACACCGCTGTCCTCCAGCACACATTCTTGGAGGCAAGTCGCTCCAGTGTGAATGCGAGGAAGCGTTCGACCAGTGCAAGGGTGAAGGTGAACAGGCAAGCGAGAAGGAACTTGCTGCGGGAGGTGATGAGAAAGGAGGGAAAGAGGAACGGTTCCGGAGTGGGGTAGGGCGAGGGAGAGAGGAGAAGCGTGTGCAGGTAGGGTTGCCAGTGATCCATGTTCATTGTGGTGGTGGTTGGGAGGAGAGGTGGGAAGGGAAGGTGTGGTTGAAGGAAGGAGAGGACGGGGAACGGATGTGATGTGTAAGGGAAAGGGAGCCGTGCAGAATATGAATTCTCGCTGGCACAAGCACTTGAAGTGGGTTCGTATCAACACGGTTCTGGCTGACATACTGTCACTGCTGATTGTTCATGGAGGAGGATCTGACTTCCCCGATGAAAGCGTCAAGACGAGCAACGAGACGAATGGATTGAGGCAGATCGATGTTTCAGACTCCCTAAAGCTCGGTGAGCGCAATTCGACGTGTTGGCTTTTCCCCGCCTTGGGGTCCGCCTCAAGAAAATTCCGGTCGCCAAAATCATCTCCTCACTCTTCTCTTTCTGCTCTCCTCTCCCTCACCCCGTCAATCTGACTCGTACAGTCGCTAAACGTCGTCCACATCCGCCTTCCTTTCTCACACTGCTCGCACATCGTCCTCACTTCTTGAGTCTCGTTCTAATTCGATACCCCACTCCCCAATCAAACCGCAAACAGAACAACCACAACCACCACCACCGCAGCAACCACACCGCTACTCTTCCATCCCCCACCACCACCATTCCCACCTTCCTTTCCGTATCCGAACCTCGTACTACCGCCACCACTCGAGGTAGTGCTTGCTGGTTTGGTCGAGTTGCTTAGTTTGCCGGGAGGGATTTTCATATCACCATCGTCGGAGGTGGGAGAAAGGACGGGAATTCCAGAGATGGTTTGGTTCGTGTTGGATGCGATGGGGTGGTAGCGCGGATCGTCAGTGGGTGGTGCGGGAGGAGGAGGGGAAGGAGGGGTGGAGCTGGGATTGATCGATCCGACGGTGGCCGTGGAAGGCTCGTGCATTGAAAAGGAGGAGGAGGAGGGTGCGAGCGTTACCGGAGATGTGGTGTTTCGATGTTCGACTGGGTTGTGGTCTGATTGACCTGCGGAGTCGATGTTTCGACCAGACGTTGCTGCAGGGATTCGTTGAGCAGGTTCCGGTCGCGCTTCCCCGCTCGAGTGCTTCGTCGTCTCACCCTCTTCTCCCCACTTCCTCGGCCTTCCTCCCTTTAACCTCTCCCCCTTCTCTCCACCATGTTCGTCTCCACGACCAGGTCTCACTTCCACCCACGCAGGCCCCCTACCATCCTTCTTAAGCCCATGTTGCCCCTCGTCTGCCCTGATCATCATCCAAAGCGCATCAACATGCTTCCTCGATGCCTTCACCTTGACCTTCTCCAACCACCTCTCCAACTTTTTCCTTCCCTTCTCGTGATGCGACTTTCGATGGTGCGGAGGAAACGAAAACTGATCGTACACAGGTTTAACCAGTACCGGCGGGGCATCTATGTCCGCACCGAACTCTACGGGAGGTGATGATGGTGCGTTGTGCGTCGCAGTGCTCGCCCCGAGCAGCAGAAGCAGCAGGACGACGCGGAATAGAATCGTCGTGCGTGGTGAAGCGGAAAACATGCTCGTTGTGATGGTCGAAGCATCCGATGAGGGGAAATCGGGGTCAGAGTCAGAAGGTAAAGCAGCAGCAGATCGAGTCTCTTCAACAAGGGCTCACTCTCACTGTGCAGGTAAGGCTTCATTTGCGCTCACCCCTGTCACCCGAACATCGCAACCACCTCACTCCTCCCACACCTCCTTAATTCACCCACACTCCTTTATCGCTCCCGACCACACCGCATCTCTCACACACACACCTATCTGTCAAAGTCCATCCAAGAAGCCCCATTTCATTTTCCTCCTTTACAGACTCATCGTCATCGTCAACGTCTTCGCATGAACCCCCATAATCGGCGGGCCTCCACTGAACAAACTCTCCAACTGCTCCAAATACCTCAACGACTTCAGCTCGTCCGCACTCGTGCCCGGCTCCGGCGCCGGCAACGCCGTCAGCACCACGCCCGTCGCCGCCGAGCTGTTGATGCGGATGAGCTCGTTCAGGATCAGATACTGCGCCTTGTTCGGCAGCTCGTTGAACGACACTGTTGGCAGATCGGTCGAGTAGATGCTGGTGGCGCGGCTGGGTGTGCGTACTGCGGGAGAGGGTCGCGTGCGACGCACGTGGGCGGGCGAGGTGGAAGAAACACGCCGGTGCGAGTCGACTTCTTCGGAGCGCGATTTTCCGTGTCGAGAGAGAGAAGCTTTGCGGACCTTGCCGTTTTTACCTGCGACCAATCGGCCTTTGGCGTCGTACTCCGCTCCGGAGGAAGAGCTGCTCGAGGTCCCATCGCCACCGTCAGAGGAGGCGATCGAACCGGTGTACGACGACTGCCGACTGTCGCTTTCCACCCTGGGTCGCGGTGTAATCGCATCCGAAGGCACAGCGAGACCACTCGCCTTGGTCGGAGTCGTCTCTGTGCCGTTCTGCAGATCCCGCTTGAGCTCAGCCTGCATCTTTTGCCTTTCTGAGGCTTTGAGTGTCGAGGCGTCTTCCCCCTCGTCCTCGAACCTCTTACCCTGAGCAAGGGAAGACAGAGCGAGCCCTTCCGTCAGAGGCGAGGGTCGTTCAATGGTGTGCGGCACGGATGCCCGAGGCGTCGTGCTCGAATCGGTCGAGGCGTACGACGTGCCCAACAGTGTGGCAGAGCTCCCATTCGAAGCAGCTCGCACCGTCGCCGGCGTCGCAGTCCTCTGGCTTGAGCTGAGCGTTCCGTAGCTCGTCGCAACCGATCCCGGCCCCATATGTGACGACATGCTCGATCCCAGCAGAGGCCTGCTGGCTGCCGTGACCGGGTCGTCGGGGAGGCCGGCAGAGCCGCCGATCGAGTATGCTCTCGTTCGATAGTTGCGTATCTTGCTCGACGAGCTTGCCGGCTCCAGCGTCGAGGCTCTGCGGATCGCAAGTCCGCGCCTTGCAGGCCCATCGACGAGCCAGTCGTCGTCCTCGGATAGCATCGCCAGTTCGTCCTCATAATCCGAGTCGGAATCGGAGGACGAATCCTCCCCGTCCTCCCGACGCGCACGCGGGTGGGCGAGACCGAGACGGATGTTTTGTTTGTGATACGCGAGATGCTCGGCCGGAAGGCTGACGCCGAACAGCTTCTGCTCTCTTTTCGACTGCTTGCGTGGCGCATCGCCTGCTGCATCACTTGCTTGGCCCGGAGCCGGGATCGCTTTTGCAGGAGACAAGGCCTGCGACTTGCGTTTGGAAGCGGCACGCGCACGACGCTCGTCATTTCGTCGGAGCTCTTTCAACGTCTCCCACCACGGATCTCCACGCAACGCCTCGTCGACTTCGACAGCAGCGACGCTGCTTCCATGCACAATGGTGCGATAGGTGGTGACGCTCTGATCCGACAGGCAAAAGACACGCAGCGACGCCGGGATACGCAGGTTGTCGAGCAAAGCGCGGATACGCTTGTGCTCTTCGTCCATCTCGCTGGCGTGTTCAACGAATACGGAAACACGCAGCTTGTGCGACTTCCAGCTGCTGGTGAGGCTCAAAATGGTGCCGAGATGCAGAACCATCGTGTACGTGTCCCAAGCATGGCTCTCGTCCGTATCCGGGCTAGCGATCTGGATCGGCCATAGATCAATGTAGCGCTCTTCCTCCTGCTTGGCGTGCTTCGGTTTGGGCAGAGAGCTGGACTTGACCTGCACCGGTGGCTGCATGAGATCGAAACCATAGGCGATGGCCAAGGCCTTGTTGAGAGCGAGCGAGTCCTCCATGATACCGACGTAGGTGGTAGGCTTGATCGGTGTCTCTCTCCTCGCTACATCCGTTGGCAGACTGCCAACATCGACAGCCTGATGTTGACGTTGCGGCCAAGACAGGCCGCGGATGGTAATCTCGCTGCCGTCGCTTCGATGTCCGCTGCCATAGGTGGATCTGGCCACCTTTGCTGGATGACGCATGTCGCTCGGGTAGCCCATCACAACGATATTGGGTCGCATACCACCCAGACCGCAGGAGAGGATGAGGTTGCGAGCACCCTCTCGCTCATCCTTGGCAATGACAACGTCGACAAAAGACTTGATGCCGGTGAGGTCGACGAGCTTGAGCCAGGCGACCTGCTGCTTGCGCATCTCGGCTAGGCATTCGGTGAATTCGCCCTTGAGCACATGGCCGAGCACATACAGTGCACCCTTCTTGAGCGAGTTGCAAAAGATGATGAGGTTCCATTCGCTGCGTGGATTGTTCGCGAGCAACAGGATCTGGGGACGCCAGTACTTGACGTGCCCCTTGCGCTCGTCGAGCCGAAGCAGGTACTTGCGGACAAAGTGGTAGGTGATGTTGCGCGTAACGTCGCCCCACGGCTTCGGTGGTGAAAAGAAGTGAATCATGACGAAGAGCATGACGGCAAAGAGGATGCATCCTCCGGCAGCAGCAGGGTCGGTGAAGAACATGGCGCCGAAACAGCTAACAGCACCTCCTGCAGCCGTCCAGATGTTCCAGTACTTGAAAGACGGGCGAAAGCTAGGAGCGCCGCCCGCTTTGAGCGCGCACGTGGCGAAGCTGAGCGTGCCGAAGGTGAGCAGAGTGGTCATGGTGACGAGCTGGGCGATGGTGTTGACCGAGTCGACAAAGAGGATGGCTTGGCAGAAGATGTAGGTTGCGAGCACAGCATAGATAGGGGTGTCGCTGACCTCGGTGCCCTGAGCAAAGATGTCAAGCACAGGAAGCAAGTTGTCGCGCGCAATGGCTTGTAACACTTTACCACACGCCATGACACCCATCAAGGCCGAAAAGGCGGTCGAGGCGAGTGCGCCAAAAGTGATGATCTGTGGGCTGAGAGCCACATCGGAGACGATGCCGACGTCGACATAGAACGACTCGCGCTCGATCGTGCCTGCAAAGACGACAAAGCTGAGCAGGTAGACGAGGAACGTGAAGACCAACGAATAGTTGGTCCCTTTGGGGATGCTCTTGCTAGGCTTGCGTAGATCACCCGACATGGATGCTCCAGCGAGGATACCCGTCACAGCTGGGAAGAGGACACCGAATACGCTTTGCCAATTTTCGGGTTCATTGCCTGTCGAGGAGCCGGCAGCACCGGCGGTGAAGCGGGGTAACAGATTGCTGCGTGTTGTTTCCCAAGACCAGCCGGTGTAGTAGACACCGCGATCGTCATCGATGAAAGGCTGGACGGTGAAGGACGAGATGGGGATGCTGACGATGGCTACGCAGAGGACGAGGGCGAGCGCGAGGGTCGCGCGTGCGAACAGCTTGGACCCGACGAGGCACACGATGGCGCTGACGAGCAGGACAATGGATCCGTAGAAGAAGTTATACCACGGACCCTCCGGAAGGAAGCCGGATGCACCTCTGCTTTGTCCAAATGCGTCTGTGAGTGTCTCGACAAAACCGAGCACGTTCATGGCCGCGTTGAGAGCCTGACCGGCAAAGAAGATGAGGCCAATCGAGCCGCCGAACTCGGGACCGAGCGAGCGAGAGATGAGATAGTAGGCGCCTCCGCCTCGCACCTGACCGTTGGTGCTGATAGCATTCAGACTCATAGCTGTGAGGGTATCTATGGCGTAGCTGACGACGAGCAGAAAGACGGCACCAAGCAAACCTGCCTGGCCGAGAACGAAACCGAAACGCAAGAAGAGGATGATGCCGAGGATATTGAGACTGACGGGCATGAAGACGCCGTCCCAGGTGCCGAGCTTACGAGGCGCCATCTCGGCGGGATGGATCATGCCGAGGCTCTTCGTACGTGGAAGATGCGTTGTAGCTGATTGTTGACCTGGCTCCAGGAAGCCGCTATTGGACCTCGCGGGGCGACGGTAGTGCTTTCCATCCTGCGCTTGATGGCCGTGTTCTCCAGGACCAGCGTTGCTGTCGGAGAAGGAGACGCCTTTCTGAGTGCGACGTGGACGTATCGTGGACGCGCTTTGAGCTAGATTCGAGGAGGAAGTTTCGCCGTAGGGCTGATCCGCATGGACAGATTGCGCAGAGGCGGGATCATGGTGAGACGTCAACGGAGTTCGAAGAGCGCCTTCGTTCTCGACGACCGAGCTTGGCGAAGATGGCGTTGATGCTACGAAGGGGTTGCCGCTCAGCTTGCCGCTGTCAAGGTCGACGTGGTATGCCGCGGACCGTGAACGAGACGGGGTGGCAGCCGGTTTGGAGAAGTAGTCGGTCGCCTCGATCTGACCGTCGGTGGAGGATGAGCTGCTTGCCGGCACCTGGCTGGCGACGCTCCGAGGACGCGAAGGACCTGGAGTGGGTAGCTCGGGACTATTACGCCGCGAGTAGAGCGAAGACACGCGTTGGCTGCTGCTGTCGTTGCTAAGCTGGAAGGCGTCATCATTGTCGCGGCGACGGCGGCTGGCGAGAGAACTCGTCACTCCAGGTCGATTGCTCGCTTCATCGACAGGTTCCGCATTCGCGGCCTGACCGTCGTCGTCTTCGGGACTGTTGTCGACGGGGTGCCTCCGAAGCAGCTGGTTCTGCAGCGAGTCGAAGTCGTGAGAGGTGTGTTTGGAAACGAAGTGTGACATGGTTGCTGCACCTCGTACTGTAAAGAGGGTGAATGTGTAGGTGGAAGGGCTGTCTGTCGGTACATCCGCGAGGTGTAGTAGATGTAACGACAGGGAGGATGCGATTCAGCGGAACGAACGTGACGACTAACACTGTGCCTTTATCGCAGCATCGTCGGGTGGGGCCGAAGAAAGCACTGGCACCGGCAGCTCACGGATCGGCAGCTCCGGATCGACAGCAGAGCAGCCGTCTATCCTCGCAGCAGATGCGATGTGAAGGAAAGGAGGGAGCGAGCAAGGAAGGAAGGGAGCGAGCGATGTGACTGCGTGCGTCGATGCAGAGTCGTCGGTGCCTGTGCGTGTGACTGAGAAGGGTGACTGTGAATGGTGAATTGAGAAGCGTCTTGGCTCGAAAAGAAAGTCATGCTGCAAACAAATCAAGGGTCCGTGTGCTGCTGTGTCGTTCTGGCAGCTGCGTGTGTGTGTCTCTGCGTGTTAAAAAAGGCAGAAAGCTGGCAAAACGTCATGACCAGAATAATTAAGATGAGATTGTTTTTGACAAGGCGGCGCAGCGCACTCCACCTCCCTTTTCTTTTGACCGCAAGCTTGGCTGGGCTGCGCGTGTGCTGCGAGTCGCTGTCGGCAAAAGCGTCTCGCGTCAGAACGGATCCGAGTCGATGGCCAAAGTAACGTGTTGGTTGCTCTTTCTTCTCGATCTTCTTCTTCTCCTTCTCCTCATCCTCAAGCAGACGACAGCTCCGATCGGTCTCCGAACTTCCATCGCTGCTCGTAGCGCTCAGCACTTGTACATCGGCCATGCCGCCCAAAAAGGTGTCACTTCCACCGAATCCTCCGCCGGATCCGTCCCAGTCGATCCCGCTTCAGTACACCACCTTCTTCTCGGTAGCACCGCTCAACGCCAAGAACGTCTCATCCTCCTACCTCAAGACAGAGGCGCAGACATGGATCTCGCGCTCTCAAGCCGCCGCTCAATCGCTCGGCTCCAGCAAGAAACGCCGGATCGACGTGCTGAGAGATGGTGCAGATGGTGCCGATGCCAGCATCAACATGGATGACGACGACGATCTCGACGCCGACGAAGGCGAAGCAGAAGCAGCCGAGAACACGCCTGCGCATAGGACTATTGTGATTCATCCGGGCTCGCAGAACTTGCGTTTGGGTCGAGCCACCGATCTCTTCCCCATCACATTGCCAAATGTAATCGCGCGTCGAGCAAAGAAGGAGGCTCCGGCACCGCCATCCACACCTGCTGCAGCCAGCAGCATGGACGCGGCGAGCACATCAGCAGCCAAGACATCGGCCGGAGATGACATGGACGTGGACGTGGTCGACCCACAAAATTCCAAGGGGGGCACGGACGGATCCGACGACGAAGATGAGGAGTCCTCGAAATCTTTGCGCAAGAATCCACGAAGATCAGCCGCCAACGGATCCGCCACAGACAAGCACTCATCCAGCTCTTCAGCTCCCCGCGAAGATGATCTCGAAAGCGCCAAAGCTTCGCTCGACGTAGGCATCGAGGCGATCCGGAACGACCTTCGAGCCATCATGCGTCAGGAAAAGCTCCGCTCCGTCGGAAACGCCAAGAACCTCGCTGCCAATTATAACGACAGCTCCCAGCCTGAAGACGTGCCAGAGCACAACGACCTTTTCGGCCTCGAATGGACCGATGAGGACGCTGGCGGTGCCAACAATGTACTCGTCGGCGAGCAGGCCCTTCGCCTTGCGTGCTTCTCTCAGCCCAAAACAGCAGAGCCCAAGCAGCAAGGGCAACGGCGTCAACAGCAGCAGCAGCTTTCCACCATCAAGCCGCTCTCGCCTCCCGACTCGGCCCGACCATGGACACTCTTCCGTCCCTTCAAGCGAGGCTCTCTGGACCTCAACGCCTACGAGCAGCACTATGGCGCCTCTGCTGCCGTGCAAGCCCTTCTCGGAGACGTCCGCACCATCTTCGAGCATGCCATCACTTCACCGCCCGAAGACACCGACGAGAGGCAAGAGACCGGAAAGGTGGCACCGATCGGACTCGGCATTCCGCGAGACGAATTTGGCACCTGCACTGTCATCCTTGTCGTGCCAGACCTGTTTTGCCGCTCCGACGTCAAGGCGCTTGTCGAGCTGCTGCTGATCGACATGGGCTTTGCGCAGGCGTGCATTCAGCAAGAGAGCGTTTGCGCTACGTTCGGTGCCGGTCTCTCCTCCGGATGCGTCGTCGACATGGGTTCGGAAAAGATATCGATCTCTTGTGTCGAAGAAGGACTCATCCTGCCAGAGACACGCATCCAGCTCGCGTATGGCGGCAACGACGTCGCCAACTTCCTCGCCGAGCTTTTTCTCAGATCCAAGTTCCCCTATCGAGAGCTGGACTACCGGTCTAGCATCGCCGACAGCATGTTGATCGACGAGCTCAAGTGCAAGCTGGTGACGCTCAATCCAGCAGATGTGGGACTCAACATCCACGACTTCTACCTCAGGTTGCCATCGCGGCCGACGTTGAAATATCTCTTCAGGACCTACGACGAGCTGATCATGGGGCCGATGAGTCTGTTCGATCCGGCCGTGTTTGACCTGGATGGCAAGCCGAGGATCAAGGGCAACTCGGAAGCATTTGCAAAGGAAGACGAGGGGCAGGATGAGGGCATTGCGGAGGATCTGACGGAACTGAGCGTGTTGCATGGCTTGGACGTACCCGTGACCGGCGCCATGACTTCCTGCGTCAAGCATCTCTTGCCAACACCACCAGCGCCCACTGCCTCTGTGGCAACGTCGGCAAAGACTGGTACTGGTACAGACGCAGCCGCAGGTGGATCCGAGATCGGTACACCGGCTCCCCTGGATGATGTCAAGAGCAAGACGGACGCTGATGATGCGACGGCTTCCAGAGCAGCTTCGCCTGCTGCAGAAGCTAAGACCACTGAGACAGGGCTCGGCGTCGATGCTAGCAGCACGCTTCCGTCGGCCGACGCATCCGCCCGCCCTTCTCCCACACCACAGCCGTCCGCCGCCGGTGCTGGCCCAGCAGAAGATGTCGAGCCGCCCACACCAGCCGGTCCTACGATCGACATCCACTACGAGGCCTCCAAGACCTCTCTCGACCAAGCCATCCTCAACTCGCTCCTCACCTCGATCGGTCAAGTCGGGCCTGCAGGCGATGAGCGTCTGCGAAAAATGTCGAACAACATCCTGTGCGTGGGAGGAACCGCGCGCATCCCCGGTCTCGGTGCAGCGCTCGAAGCCAGGCTGACCTCGATGATGGGCAGCCACTTCCACGCTACGACGGGCGACGCTAACAACGCTCCGAAGGTGACACTGATCCCGCCTCCGAGAGACATGGATCCCCAGGTGTTGGCGTGGAAGGGTATGAGTGTGTTTGCAAGACTGGAGGCTGCGAGTCAAGAGTTGTGTTTGAGGAGGGAGGATTGGATGTTGTTTGGGTGGAGAGCGTTGAGGGAGAAGACGCTCTTTCTTTAAGAGGGCACAGATGCAGGGGGTCAGGAGCGTAATTCTATGTGTTCGACTGTCTATGGTGTGCTTGTGAGCATGACTCTAGCGCTTGAATGGTCCACTGGCGTCCGGAACGAAGCTTGATTCCGAGGAACGGTGTTCAACGTTGTGAGTCGAAGCGGAAATGTTGAGACTGGGGGAAAGTGTAAACGCGCACGGGGCGTTGCGCTTTTCCAGCTATTGGACCCTTAGTTTGTGCTCAACTCTGTCCGCGTTGCATGCTTTCACCACCATCATTGTTCCACCACCTCTGTTTCCATTCCTACCATCCTTCGAGCGCACACAATATGAAAAGCTCTTCGCAGCTGTCGGACCGACCCGGTGTGGAATCCACTCCGACCTTTAACCCGAACGCTGTCGCTCCAGCATTCGCTCGTCCAGCTTCGTCCTCCAACGCGTACGCATCTACATCACAACCCGTACTGCAAGCAAGTGCACCTTCTCAGCCCTCCCGTTACATCCCCGCATTGGGAGATGCATTTTACATGAACGAGCTACCCACGACCGATCCACTCTCCACTTTGCTGCAGAAACATCTTCCACCGCACGTTCGACCTCTACGAGATCTATCTGGAGCATGGCATGCCTCCGCCTCAACCACAGACGAAATCCCCGACCCCTTCACCACCAGCGACGCAGCTTCACCGATCACCGCGGAAACAGTTCGACAAGCAACAGCTTCGAACTCATGGAGGAAGATCGCTTCACTAGCACGCGAACGTATCGAAGAATACGGTAGACAAACCAAGTTCTCTCAACAAACACAGTTGATCGAGCAAGAGCGGGAGGAAACAATGCGATTGGAGGAGGTGCTGGAATGGTGGACGGCGAGGGTGTATTCGTTGGCGAGGTTGAGGTTGTATTCGATGTTGAGGAGCGAACTGGATGGGCTGTGGAGTATACTGGAGAGAGAGGAGGTGCTAGGGATGGAAGGAGCGGTGCCGTTTACGTTGAGGGTGGTGAGGGCGATGGAGCCAAAGTGGAGAGGAGATGTGAAGAGCACTCTTGAACAGTACACGGTTCTGATTCGGTCGTGTAAGGATCAGATTCGGAAGTCAAAGGGGCAGCAGGATGAGGTCAGGGTGTGGAAGACGAGAGCAGTGCGATTGGGATTGATGTTGTCGTTCGCCTTGGCAGAGGTGAAGGATTTCTCGGGGGCGATCGAGGTACTCCACCCACTGATCGAAACCTCGCTCAAATCAAGAGCAAACGAGACCGAGGCGGAGGTATCGGACAGACTTCACCTGGTCATCGTGGCTTCGCGCATCTACATCCAAGCCGGCGACCTCTCCTTCGCCACCTCCCTCCTTGACCGCATCTCCCCCCTCCTTCCCCCCTCCTCTCCACTCCACCAACTCATCACGCAAACGCACTCGATCATCTCCACCATCTCCTCCTCCCCCTCCCCTCCCGACCCCGAACCCGACTCCACCTCCCCTACATCGCACCTCAACCAAGCCATCTCCACCTTCTACTCGGCTCACCTCGACCTCGCCATCTCCCAACTCGAATCCGTCCTCCACACGCACCCCGCGCTGGCAGCAACGGCAGATGCACTCGTGTTCAACCTGGCTACGCTGTACGAGCTCGACAAGGGAGGAGACGCACGCGTGCTCGAGAGGAAGAGAGGGTTGTTGCGGCATGTCGCGAGATGGGCGGGTGAACCGGGTGTGGGCGGATCGTGTTTCAAGCTGTGATTTTTTTCGTGTGCCTGGAAATGCTAGGGATTGCGTTACGGGGTACAAATACAAAGGTGTGTCGGGTTTTTCGTTCAATCTAGCTTCTCCACTGTTTGGATCCCAAACGCAATCGCTAAATGTCAGCATATCCGCCCTGCTCGGTCTCGGCTGAAGGGAAGGAACTTACACTGATCCAATCTCGCTAGAACGACGTGTTTCGAAGTCTCCTCGATCTCTCCTGCCAAAAACACCTCGTCCAGGATGGCGTAGACCTTGTAAAAGTTGAACACCAGGTCCAACTCGCATACGTTGCCAAAGAATGCATCTACAACGTCCAGAAGAGAAAGCGGTTAACTTCGGCGACTCCACGGAATACTGGAAGGGTTAAGGGATTACATACCTAAAACCTCAACAAACAGGTGTATCGCTTCGAGATACGCCAATTCGTTATCGTTCGCATCCACGCATACGCAGAAGAACAACCCTGCGTATCTTCGATACACCAACTTGTAGTTCCGGAACTGACAGCAGAAAGAAAAGAGTTCAGCGTCCGAAGAGATGACGATGATTTGGAGAGGGCTCAAGGTGCAAGAATCGACTCACCTCGACAAAGTTGCTCTGGTACTTTTGATCTCTCGGCGCGATGAGACGATGAACCTCGCCTCGGAGACGGATCTTCTCTTCGTCGTCGTAGGGGACGTAGAATTTGGAGAGTCGTGTTTTGCCCTGACGGTTTTGGACGAGGATGAAGCGGATCATGGTGCGTGTGGCTTGGGTGTGAGGACGGAGCGGTGGTGGTGTGTCTGATGGAAAGGTCGGGTTGAGAAACGAGAAGGGCGTGTATCGTTTGCAGCCGGTGCTTGTATGAAGGATGTAGAAGGGACGAGGGTGCGGTTAAGGCGATGACGATGGGTATGAGAAGGTGATTTGAGAAAGGCAAGACACAAAGGGAAGGAAGGTGCAATGAGGACCCTGAAATGTAGCACAGTGCAGCAGCGTCGGCTGTCCCGTGCATTTTGGGCGGCAAAAAGGTGCGAATCGGCCGGTAAGCCGACTCCGAGAAGAAAGGCGCAGTGCGAGGCATATCCCACAGCAACGCGCTTTTGATGAGGTGGAGCTTTGTAGCCTTTTGAAGTGCAACACACTCTACTCTGCACCTGCCAACACACATTCCACATAGATTCATACAAGAATCCACTCCTCCCGTCAATCATCGTCGCATCCGTCGTCCTTCTTCATCGCTTGCATCGCTCGTCATCAAAGCGTTCAACGGCATCTCGCTGCATTCCAGGCTCGCGCCATAGTTTCCACTCCCTCACTTGAAATCGCTGGGCTGCTCGCTCCTTCACACAAATAATAGCCGTCAAAGATGAACGCACCACCACAACAGCAACAAGGTCCACCGGCACCCACAGCCGAGCAACTCGCCATCACCGACGCTGACTTCCAGCAAGTACCTCTGGCACTCGATCCTTCCTCGCACACGCTCTCCACACCCGTCGCCTCGCTTGACCTGACCGTCCTCAACGCCCTAATCCGCTCTCTTCAAGGTCTTCCCCCTAACGTCGCCTTCCCACCTCCACCCAACGCCATCCCCCCGCAACGCAGCATGGCCATCAACCAAGCCAAAGAACAAGGCAACACCGCCTACCGCAACAAGGACTGGGCGGAAGCGGTCAAGATGTACACGCTCGCCATCGACGTTGCTGCCTCGCGTCCTCTGTGGGAGGCCAACCAAGTCGCCAGGGACGAGTTGAGCCTCTGCCTCGCCAACAGATCCGCAGCATTTGCGAGTTGCGAGGACTGGATCGGTGCACTGTGCGATGCAGAGGCGGTGACCAAGTTGAAGAAACCCTGGGCAAAAGGTCACTACAGGAAAGGGAAGGCGTTGGTCGGGTTGAAGAGGTGGAGAGAGGCCAGGGAGGCATTCGAGTTGGGCTTGCAGTTCGATCCGGAGAATGCGGATTTGAAGAGTGCGGTCGGTGAGCTGCCGAAGGATAAGAATCAGCTGTGAGGTGGATACAGCGGCGAAGGTTCTCAAGTTGTACTTTTAATTCTCATTGTCTGATGCAAGCACACACGTCGAGTTGACGCTTGATCTTGGATGATGCGTGCGACAAGAATGCGGTTCGGACGTGAGCCGATGTTCAATCAACACAATCGAACGAGCATTCGGTTCGTCGGTAGCTTGTCCGGCGGACAGCAGCAGCGTGGGAAACGAAGTGTCGGGTCCGTTCCGACAAGCACTCGGTCTGAAACTGTCGCCAAAAAAAGACCGGACGGTCAGCCTTGGAGCCAAAAGCTGCGATGGATAATGATGATTCTGCATCTTTCATTACGTAGAGCCAGCTGTGAACGATAGGGATTCTGCACGAATTAAGACGACGACTCTTGCGAGTTGTTGCCGTGGTATGGGTGGTCCACCAAGTTGAACCAAGGAAGAGTGCCTGTCGAAACAAACGGAACCGAGTCATCAAAAAGGTCAGTCAAATCGATCCACACTTGTCTTGTGTCCGCCTCTGCTAGCTGTCTACTTACTGAACTTCAACTGCGAAAAGGCGCTGTTCCTGTGCGCCACACCCTGCATATACGGCGTGAGGTCGCTCTTGCTCGGATCCGTACCCAACGGCTTGACACCGGAATCGATCGCAGCCTGGTTGGCCTGCTGCTCGAGCTCGTTCTCTTTCCAACCCCAGAAGCGGAACGACGTCCTCTGGTACGCAAACAGGAATCCACCGCACAGTCCGAGGAACGTCGACAGACGCAACGCGCTGCCCAGCCCGCGCTTGGGTCGTGTTGGGTCGAACATCTCCATCATGTAGATGGCCGAGGGGAAGGCAGCGGTGGCGCCAGCCATGGCGGCGTAGTCGGAGGTGCGGAAGCTGCGGATGACGCGCGAGAAGTGCGGATCCGCGTCGATGACGGGGTATGGCGTGTCGAGTTGCTTGACGGCTGTTGAAGGTGGAAGTGACGGTTGTAGCGAAGGGTATGGCGAGGCCAAGTTTACGAAATGTGTAGGAGAGAGAGCAGGGTTGATGGGACATGGTCAGTAATGCGATCCGCTATCAGGTGCAGACCGCAAGGACGATCCGTTCCGCAGCGCGGCGGAACTTCAGATTCGCCCTTCGACATCGTGTTGAAAACATCCTTCATTCCCTGTGTCGTCGTCGTCGCTAATCGTCGGCAATACTTACGCATCTTGTCAATGTGTGAGAGGGGTGGGTGAACGACCGAGTTGTGCTGACAGGATCCGGTGTGTTGGTCGACGACAACGAGAGCAAGAGATCCGCAATGGATATTCAACGCTGCGAGGCTGTCACTCGTCGACGAGCCGAGAGCCATTTGCAATTCAGCCTGTCGCACGGAATTCCTTCTCGCTCTGCAATGTCATGCTGAGTAAGCCAGATCATATTTCAACTGCACGGTCGGTGAGGCGTAAAGTGGAGTAAAACTCAGCTTTTTGGTGACATTTTCTTTTTGAGAAGAAAAGTTATCAACGAGAAGGACCCTGGACATCATCCTCCTCATGACCAACTCCGTACAGAATCTGCCCAGTCGTTTGGCATCGCAGCTCTTGGCAAGGGTCATACAGAATGCTGGCTAGAGCTTCCAGATGCTCTGCTTTCCGGGCATCGAGCAATGCGGCAGGGTCCGGGGCCTGTCAAGTAGCTTCCACCTCCTACTCTGCAAACGTCGTACGACCGTCCCACCTATCTGGAACATGTCGAGTTGCGCCTTCTACTCGTTTTCTCACCTCCTCAGCGGCTGCAGCGCTGCCACGTCAACTTCCGGGTCGCTCCCTACCTCGCGAAGAGCAAGATGACGAATCTCATGCCACTACGACCGCGATCTCGTCCAGCAACAACGTCAGCGACGATCTCAGCGGCACCGACCCTTCCATTCCATGGTTCCTCCAGACAGAGACAATAGATCCGCCATCATCGTTAGATCCGCAAAATGATCCTTCGCAAATGGAGACAGAATCCATGGCGTCCACAAACAGTTTTTCATACATCCCGCTCACTCCCAAAGTCAATGAGCCCAAGGCCATCGCCAAACTCAAATCGCACCTTCTCACCGGTCCTTCCGCCAACTTGATCGCTCGACCCGCCGAAGATCAAGATCAGCTCACGCCCATCACTCTGATTCACCCAGCATCCCTGTCAAAAGATTCCAGCTCCGACGCATACGGTACCAACGACTGGATCGTCGTGGTCCAAGTCAAGAGCAGCGCCGCGGGCAGCGTCCGCAGAGTTGCCATCGACATCGGGCGATTTCTCAAGCATCAACCGCCTCCAGCCATGGAGGACGAGTTCGATCTCGACGATTTCCTCGGTCCAGGTCCCTCTGCTCCGCGCTACACAAAGTCGACAGCGCCGAAATCGACCACCCCTCCGGCCTCACCTCGTCCCAAGGGCATGTCGCGGATTGAGCACGAACTCGGCAAGCGTCTTCCCGACTGGGCGGTACATCGCATCGCACTGCAGAGAAAGTTCCCCGACGGCTGGCGTCCACCCAAGATCCTCTCCAGAGAAGCGCAGGAAGGTATCCGCCTCCTGCATTCGTCCGACCCGGAGCAGTTTGACGTGGTCGAGCTCAGCAACCGATTCCGCGTGTCCACCGAGAGCGTCCGTCGCATTCTACGATCTGGCAAATGGGCCATCTCGGGTGAGGTCAGGAGCAGACAAGATCGCAGGGCTGCCGAACGCGCTTCCGAGCGCGAGTCGTCCGAGCTCGCCGAGATTCGACGTCTGCAGGAGGAACAGAGCGAGTTGGTGGAGGATGGCGAATCACCCTTGATTGAGGAAGACGATGCGTTTGACGATATGCTGGAGGAGGACGATGCAACGCCGGGTATACAGCCGGTTAGGTATGAAGGCCTGGTCATGTCTGCATCAGATGCTTCCGCACTCGGCGTGACGAGCAAGAGCAAGACCGGTGGCAAAAAGGGCGATGGCAACTGGTGTCTTGTCGATGCAGATTGGTGCATGGTACACGTCATGACGGAACAGGCTCGATTCAATTATGATATTGAGGGCATCTGGCGCGAGCTAGAGGTCGGTGCAACAACCAAGCCCAAGCCATGGGAACAAGAAGGCGCATTCGGAAACGCTACGGCCGCGACACCTTCTCGACCAAGAACCAAGCGTGACGTGTTCGGCGGAAGCCTCGGCAATCGCAAGCGGAACAAGAACGTCGCTGGTCACGACAGTGCATCCGCCAAATTCGGCAGCTTCAGCAGAGGTTTCTCGACCAGCACCAGGCGTCTCGCACCATCATCAACACCATTACCCACCGCTGCTGCTGTGGTACCAGAGAGCCTCGACCAGCTCCTCTCTCGCGCCCACCAAACCTTTCAATCTGGCTCGACCGACCCCATCCCCGTAGACGTCAAAGCCTGGCTCCGATCCACGCGCAAGCAAAAGTCCATCACGTTCCTCGAACTATCCGACGGTTCCCTTCCCGGCTCCCGTTCGCTCCAAGCTGTGGTACGTAGCACCAAAGATTCCCCCGATACGCTCATCGATCGACTTGCCGGTCTCACCGTTGGCACCGCTGTTCGTCTCACAGGTACACTCAAACCGGGTCGCGGTTCAAAAAAAGGACAAGAGGTCGAACTCGACGCTTCCTCCGTCCAGGTGCTCTCGAACTGCGATCTGACCTATCCGCTTGCGGCGGTGCAGATGCAGCACAACAGCACGGCGGTGGAGCAGGGCGGATATTCCGCCAGCCTTGCCGAGCGTCGCAATCCGCATCTACTGGGGAGGCTGCCTCGCTACGCGGCGATTGCGAGGACACGGGAGAGGCTCGAACGCGGGATGAGCAAGTTTTTGGCGGGGAAGGATTTCGTCAAAGTGACGTGTCCCGTGTTGACGAGTAGCGACTGCGAAGGTGCCGGGGAGGTGTTCCGTGTGGCAGCGGATAGTGATTTACGCGGCAAGCAGGGGCTGGATTCCTTTTGGTCTGGGACGCAGGCGTACCTGACTGTCTCTTCGCAGCTACATCTAGAGGCGGCGGGGCTGGGTTTGGGTAGGGTGTGGACGTGCAACCCGGCATTCAGAGCTGAGGGGAGTGCGACGAACCGACACTTGGCAGAGTTCTGGATGTTGGAGGCTGAGATGTACTTTACCGATCTCAACGGGATATTGGATGTTACGGAGGGGATGATCAGAGCGGGGATCGAGTCGGCATTAGCGGCTGGTGAAGACATGGAACTCTTGGCTGACAAAGATCATCTCGCCATGTTGGAAGGTATCACCCGGGGTGGGGGATGGAAGAGGATAACCTACCATCAAGCGCACGAGTTGCTCTCGTCCGCACCACTGAACACGTTCGAAGTGACACCGCACGTCGACGCAGGGCTAGCGAGCGAACACGAACGATACCTGGCAGCCCAACTTGGACCCGTATTCGTGACGCACTATCCGCTCGAGCAAAAGGCGTTCTACATGAAGCGGTACGATGCCGAGAGCGCGCAAACGCTGGTCGAGTGTTTCGATCTGCTCATCCCCAAGGTAGGCGAACTGGTCGGTGGGTCCGTCCGTGAACACCGTCCCGAGCAACTGGAACGGAACCTCACGGATTTGGGTTGCGGTGGGGCGATGAAGGATAAGCTAGGGTGGTACTTGGAGGATTTGAAAAAATTCGGCGGCGCGGTGGAACATGCTGGGTTCGGAATGGGGGTGGAGAGGCTGTTGGCTTGGGTGAGCGATACGGTTAGTGTGAAGGATGTGGTGCCGTTCCCGAGGGTGAAGGGTCCGATGAGGTTTTAGACGACGAGAAGGAGCGAGCAAAGCAATCCATGGGCAAAGAGATAAATGCAGGGACGCTTTGGGGGAGAGTGAAATTGCAGTCGTTTGTACCTTCAACCTTGTCATCGTGTGCACCTTGTGTGTGTGTGTGCGTGTGATCTCGACTCGAACAAACAACGTCTTCTATGAAACCAGTCGTCACGGCGTGCATAGTCTCTCTCATACTCGCTTTGGCTCTGTACCACGACTCTCGCTTCGCCTCGACGTCACAATCAGCGGTGAAACCGGCATCATCGTCATCCAAATGGGCAATCTCAACGGCGTTCTTTATTTCATTGCGAATCACGCTGATTCATTCTTCTGCGCCCGGTCCCGATCCTCCTCCGTTTACCGTGTGTTCCTTCTCGTGTTGCTGTTGCTGCTCAGCTTTCCTATCGGCCCTTCTCTTGCCCGTGTTTTCGGCCCACCTCCGGTTCTTGACCTCGTACGTCTCTTCCCTCGGCCTCTGCCCCAGTGGCACATAGTTCATTGCCCCACGACCTGTACCGTTGCCCAAGGGAATCACTCCACTCTTCAACCTCTCCTTCCTCGTTTCCTCTTCCTCGCTGCTTCGCTGCTCCTTCGTGCTTTGGAGACACGGATAGGCTGCATCCGCAAAATCGGTCCTGCTCGCCAACGTGCCCGTCTTTGCAGAGGGACTTGCGAGGACAAAGTGTCTGCTCAGTTCGGTGGAGATGGCCATTTGGGTCCAGGTCTTGTGCACCCGCAGGAGGGAGTTGCTCGCGGAAACGTTGTTGTCCTGCTGCTCGGGTGGGGAGATGGAGGAGAGAGGACCGTCGTACGCGCCGACCCTCCATTCGATATCCGAGGGTAGGAACCCGCATTCCCAGAGTACGAGAGGTCGATCCGCTGCCATCTCGTAGTTGGGTTTGGTCGCGTAGATCTCCAGCTCGGCATCGGAGCGAGCAAAGTCCGAGGGGTGGGTGGACAGCGCGGTGTGCATCCACATCGGTAGACCCGTCGGGGTGGAGTTGCAGTCGGAGGAGGAGGTCGCGTTGACGGGAAGCCACCATTTCAACCCTGCTTCTCGGTCCGAGGGAGAAGTGGAGTTGGCAGTTGCTCGGGTCCCTGTTTCCGCAGCCAACCGCATCTGTACGCGATCGGCTGCGATCCTACCCGTGGAGACGTTCATCAGCTCCTCGACGATCGAAGGAGACTCGAGTCTCGCACCGACGAGGAAGAGGATCGCCATGATGTTTCGTACCTGATGGTAGAGGAACGCCGTCCCACGCAGGTTCAACACATACATGTTCTCCTTCTCTCCATCACCGTCGTCAGGAACAACGTCGTGGTTCGATGGCCAGTGAGAAGAGACTCTATCGATGCTGACACCATCGATCCTCCGACGGAAATTCGTGATCTGCTTGGATGCATCGATCTTGCACAGGTTGCGGAAGTCGTGTTCGCCCAACAGACGCGACGCTGCATCGCGCATCAGGTCGATGTCCAGTCGTGTGGCTCCGGCGTCTTGACCTCCACCGATACCAAGGTTTGTAGCGGTGGACGTTGTTGTTGGTGGGTAAAAGATGTTGGGAGGACCGGAGGGGAAGAAGTACTTGTAGTGTCGGTAGACGCAATCGAACCTCGACGAGAAATCGCTTCTGACGGGAGACCATGCTTGGATCCTGATCGTCGCTGGCAAAATCCTATTCAGGATCTGAACGTACGGCAGTTCGTGCTCCTCCAACTTTGAATTCCTCTTGTCCTCCAACTCTCTCCATTCTTCCCCCGACGGTCTCGACGCCAGAGGTGTGGAGAGGGAAAACTGTTCTTGATGCGTCAACCTCTGCTCCCACTGATTGAGCTTCCTGCTCCTCACCCAAAGCGCCACCACCTGCCCCGCAGCACTCACCCCCCTATCGGTCCTTCCGCACCTGCTGAACCCGGCACCGTCCATCCCCGCCTTGGCATCTACCAGCCTCGCCGTACACAACGCTTCCCACAGCACCCCCTCCACCGTCGGCAAACTACTCCCGGCCCCCTCTCCATTCTGCGCCGCTAACCCGGCATATCCAGCACCATCGTACGAAAACCTCAACGCGATCTTCCTGCAGCCCGCCGAAGTAAAATCCACCTCCTTGGACTTCTTCTCCTTCTTCCCCAACCCTTTTTTCTTTGAACCTGGGGAAGTTCTCTCGACAAACGCGGCGGTATCGATCCCCGCCTGAGCTGCTCGCTCCGACTTCGTCTGTGCTTCCAGCTCGGCGATTCGGGAGATGAGCGAGTCTTTCGTCCACGAACGATACCGATCTTTGACTTCCATCTTCCGCTGCCAGATGCGTAACGCCGTGTCTGTGCGAAAGAGCGGCGCGGTCAGGTGTAGAGATCGGACGGCTGGAACCAGTCGAGGTCGGATAACTTGGATTCTGGTGAGTAGATGAGCCATACAATACAAGGCGATTCCAGAGTACGAGACGGATGGGAGATGATGTTCGATGGGCAAAAAGTGGTAAGGGGTCAATGGGAAGAGGTTAGGAAGCGTCAAAGAGGAAGGATTCAGAGTGGAGGAAGAACACCAAAAAAAAACCCCTCACTCCGAAACCCGAGACAAGCTTTCCAACGACCAACACCATGGTCGATGGTCAAGAGCAAAAAGCCCGCTCTCCTCACACACACCACAGCCCCACTTTCTCGCTACTGAGTAATATTGTCCTTTGCTTTCTTCTTTCTTCACGAGTGACTCAAATGATCCACCACCAGCACGCCATCGCTCTCCGCAAACGGATACGCATAGCTGCTCAGGAACTGCTTCACGAACCCGCCCAGCTTGACCCTCCTCTTGTCCGTCTCTTTGCTGCTGTGCTTCGCCTTGCCGATCGCCAGATACGCCAGACCCTGCACACCCTCCGCCTCCAACCCGAGCAGGAACTCCTCCGTCAGCTCAACCGCCTCCTTTGCATGCAGACCGTGCAAGTCGAGCAGACACTCTGTACGCTCGTCCGCCGACAGACTCGCCGTTATCGAAGAAGCCTGGCTGCCCTGCAACGCTCCCGGACGGACAACGCCGAGACAGAGTCCCAGACCGTTGCCCACAACCTTGCCCCGCAGGTTCCGAGCACCCGCCTCGTTGCTCTGTGAAGATGCGCTGGAGCCCGACGTGCTTGGATCGTTGAGACGAGAGCGCAGCTCCCTCATGCGCTCCTTGACGATCGCATGAGCTGCCGTTCGCGATTCATCCTCGTACTGATGGTTGAGCGACGAAGCTTCTTTGCTGAACTTTTTCGCCGAAGCCACATCGCCTTTACGGAAGGCCTCGGAGGCTCGTGCAAGCAGCTTGTTCCGTTGCTCGGCAAGCGAGAGCGCATCGCCCCGGTGCGTCTGGTACGTCTCGGCTGCACTGCTTCCTGTCAGCAGCGTCGGCAACAGCGCAGAAGGCCGCAGAGGTAAGCGCGCCGAGGTACGTGGGCCCGCAGCGGCGCCCTTGCTGGACGACTTGTTTTCGAGAGCGTTCGCACCTGGCTGAGAGCGTATGGGAGCTGCTTTCGAATGGATGCTTATGACGCCTTGCGTATCGCTCTGCGCCTTCGTGGCAGCATCGGTCGGCGCACGCTTCTGCACCGTCGAAGCCCATCTGTTCCTGGATGGATCGGCGCCACTTCCAAGCGTTGCGGCGTAGGAAGTCTTTGACGGTGCATCCTTTGCACTCCCACCGAGTTGCGGAAAATCGTCCCGGGTTCCATTCGATGCACGTGCTACTCCGCCAGCACCAGCTGCGTCAGCCGTTGACGCCGGCTGTTGCTGCATGCTTCCATCATTCACAGTGAGGCCCGACACGATGCCAGCGGCGAGCTGATTGAGGGCATCGTAGTCATGCAAGAAGTTGCACGGATTGTGAGCGCAGTGGCCCTTGAGCCAGTAGCGGCACACGGCTCGATTGTCGAGGTCGTGCGAGAAGCGGCAGTCGCTTCGACGACATTCGCCAGCCATAAAGTAGCGACAAACGCGATTTGCGCCACCTGATCCGGAGGGGTTGGATGTGGCCGCCTCGAACCTTGGAGTGAGCTGCGAAGATCCGGATCGGGAGAGGCCGGGACGCTGACCACGCGCAGCACCGAGGCCGAGAGCTTCCCTGGACATGACGTTGACTCCTGCTTTGACGCCCGCCGTAGCTGGCAACTGAGCTGGTACTATCCGAGGCGAGCTTGCAGTCGCAACACCGGCGAGCATTCCAGATGCAGACGTGCCGCCGGAGAGCAATGAACGGGTGCCATCACCGAGGGGCTTGCCGTCGTTCTCCCAGATGGCATTGAGCGTCTTTTCGACGTCGTAGTTGTGCATGACGAGGGCCTCATCCACCTGCTCTGGACTCCATTCAGACGAGCCGGCTTTGGTTCCGGTGACAAGGATCGAGTAGAGCATGTCGAAGGGTGTGAGAGGCGCTGTAGGCTCGGCTCCGAGCGGATCTAGCTGCGATGGGTCAACATTGGAGTTGGGCGCGGGATCGTTCCAAGCGCTCGCGTATCCGTCGGGAGCGCCGAAGGAGGGTGCCGAGGTCCAGCCAGCGTCAGAGTCATAGGAAGTGAAGCCAGCAAAGCTGAGGGGCTGTTGCTGTGAAGGTTTGATGGTACCAAAAGGCGAGAACTCGTCGTCATCGTCGTCACCGGCGCCAGCGTGGCTCTTGTTGGCCAAGGCGAGATTACTACTGCTGGCATTGGAGCTGGGTCGACGAACGAGATGCGGTGCTGAACGAGTGAGTGTGAATGCGGGCGGAACGGCAGCGGCGCTGGATGAGGAAGCGGTGCGCGGTTTGAACTCTGTGGCTGCAATGTTGAGCTTGGGCGAACCGAAGGGGGAGGGTGATGCAGGTCTGCTGGCTGTGCTGCCAATGACTCCTGGAGGAAGCGAAGCTGCGGGAGAAGCTACGCCCTGAGCGGCGCCACCGTTGGAAGAGACCAAGCTGGTGGTGGAGAGGTTGGAGAGGGTGCGATTCCACGGCTTGGGCGACGCACGCGGTGAACCAGAGCCAATTACGCCTGGATGCGGTCGTGGACTGGCGGCGGTGTTGGTGTTGGCAGAGGACCATACAGGGCTGGTGGCGGCAGTAAGGGAAGCCAATGCACTGGAGCCGACGTGTGGGGATGTTGGGCGCTGAGCAAAGGCAGGCGGTGTGGTATCTGTGGGAGTGGCGGCAAAAGATGAGGCGGGCGAAAAGGAAGGTCTGGAGGGCGTCCACGGGCGGGAAGAGGAGAAGGAGCGGATGCTGGCAGGACGACGGACTGGCGACTGGGTAGGGTTGGAGAGGAATTGGATGCCGGTGGGTTGTACATCCTCTCGATGACGATGCATGAGATCGAGAACGAGACTGTCGATGCGCGCGGATGGGGCGGGAACGCCTTCGATAGCATACAAGGCGTTTGCGAGCGTGGCTCTAACCTTGTCGATGCGCTCTTCCTCGTCTAGATGGACGTCATTGAGTATGACGAGGATGTCTGAAGTGTGATCTGGAACGGGTGCGGAGGTGGAGGTCCTACGGCTGCTGGAAGATGAGAATGTACGATGGTGGGAAAGCGCCTGAAGTGAAAGCTGCTGTGCCTTGAAGGAGGAGGAGAGAGGCGGCGAGGTGGCGAGGGAAGAAGCGTCGTCGTCCTCGACATCGTTGGATGCGAAGCGATGATCGACATCGTCCGATTGAGACAAGAGGGTGGATGGCAAATAGGCGTCGTACGCGGATGTGTCTCTGTCTGCAGCGCCGTCTTCCGAGGCAGAAGCGGAGGCTGAGGATGAGAGAGAAGATGGCTTGTGAGGTTTGAACGCAGCAGTGAGAAGAGGAGCTGCGCCTATGGAGGTAGCGACGGACGACGAGGCGGAAGATGTGCTAGCGTTGGTGTTGGCGGTGGCTGTGGTCGAGTTGGACGAGAAGGACTGAGGAGCGTTGGTGGATGCGCCGTTCTTTGGCACAAGCAGAGATTCGAGAAACGATCTGGCATAGCTGCTGCTGCTGCCGCTGCTTCTCTGGGTCGACATGACTGATCGGCGATGTGATGCGAAGTGAGTGATAGATCAAGGGTGCCGAAGACGATGGCGTGGACGAATGTGCATGGATGACGACTGCATTGCACTAGATCAGGGACGCCGCCCGTCTCTCTGTCAGGAGGCTGTTTGCGGAGAGGAGCCGACAGTCGTAGCTTGACCTCCAGTCAGCCGATCGGATAGGACGATGGCGATGGATCGTTTCAAGAGGTGCTCAGGCAAAGAGTAGAGAAAGGGCAAGCCGAAGAGACTCAGCCTTGCATGATACCGTGTGGCCAAATTCACGATTCAGCATTCTCTGAGCTTGGTGTCGTGGGTCTGATATCGGCAAGCCCGAATAAGGGAGTCAAATCGCTCACAGACCACCGCTCTTGGCCGGCCTGCTGCCATCACTTTTTTTTCTGGCAAGTTGGCGCGTCTCGTCTTGAGGGGTCACTGCACAGCACGGCACGGCACAGCACGTTCCAAGAGGGGTCCAACTCCACCTCGCCGGCTTCACCTTTTCATTATACTTAATTGTTACACCACTCGTTCAACAGCCGAAAAAGGAGCTCGGCTCCGAGACGCGTGCGAGTCAACTGCAGCGCATTGGCTCGGTCGTTGCATTTCTTCTCGATGCCACAAACTTACACCAACACCACCATCCTTTCGTCTCCGACACTCGATTGAGAGAAAGCCATCATGTCGTATTCGAACGGCACCGGCGCTGGCTCTGGCGCTAGTACCGCCGCCTCCAGCTCGCGCTCCAAGCGCGAGCTCATCGATCGCGTCAGATACCCCAATCCCATCCCTGTCCCACCATATCCGCCCAAGCTCGTCAAGATCCCTACAGAGCCTTCCAGATATGCGAATCCACACTTTGCAGACCGTCTCGCAAGCCAACAGCCTATTCCTATGGTAGTCGACCTCCACGCCGGCATGCACATCGATCTCGCCAATTTCCAGAACCTCTGGGAAGGCGATCTTTCCGAGGTCACCGCCCCCGCTTCTGCCTCTCTCGATGCCAAGGACCTCGACGATGTAGATGCATTCCTGCTCCAGGACTTTGCCACCAACCTTCCCCCTGCAGCTGCTTCCAGCTCGGCCGCCGGCGCCATTGGTCTCATCACATCCCTGAAGGCCACCGACGACCCCGCCTCGCAAGCTACCCTCCAAGCCGCCCTGCAACAACGGCATACACAATCCCTCGGACCCGGCGCAAAAGCTGCTCTGGCCGCCGACGATGTCACCTGGCTGCGCAGAACAGAATATCTCAGCGCACAGCAGAAGGCCGCACAGCAGCAGGTCCAGAAACCCAAAGTCGCAGAACGTATCGACGTTTCTCGAGAAGCCCAACTCGCAAAGATCGAGAAATCTTTCACAGACGCCCAAATGCCTCTCCGCTCCCTCGTACATCCGCACAAGAAGGGCGTCAAGGCCGTACAGGTCTTCGACTTCCTACCAGATCCAGAGACCTGGGCCACAGACTACCAGGTCGTTCGTTTCATCGACCATCCCGGTCGCATCGTCAACGGTGTCCCTCAATCTGATCCTCGTCTCGACGTCGCTCTCTTGCGTCCTGTCAGCGCTGCAGATGGCGAACAGCGCGTTTCCTACTACCTTCCTGCCGGCGAAGACGTTCCTGAGGACCCCGAGGAGCCCATGACCCTCATCGACAATCGTGACATTGAAGAAAACAATGCTCGCAGACTTCGCAAAAGGAGAAGGACCGGCAAGTTCCCCCTTCCTCCCGCAGCAGACGACCAAGACGACGAGAACCCATCGCAGCCCAAGCTGCTCAAGAAGGACCATGCAACTCCATACAAACTCTCGCGCGACTACGTGCCAAAAGACACTGCCGAGAGCGCTCACGACGTTCTTCTCCTCACGTTGGACGACGGCATTCCTGATGCCGACCCGGACGCCGACATCGACCCCATCAAAGGCGTCAAGTCTGCACCCACTCAGGATGGCGAAGACGATGACGACGACCTCTTCGGCGACGACGATGACGATGCCCAGGATGCCGCATCTGCTCGACTCGACTCGACTCTTCCTCCTCAATCCGAGTTTGAACGTCAAAAGCGATCCAGAAGGTCGGCCGCTACAAAGGGCAAGGAGCGCAGCGAACAGCCCGATGGCGATGGCATCACCAGCCAGTCCCGTCCCAAGGCTCGGGCCTACTACCACAAGGTCGGCATGCGCTTCACCCTTCGTGTCTGGCGTTCCAGATTCGCCAACAACGAAAAGCTGCGCAACCGGGACCGACGATACCCGGGCAAGTGGGATGCCGTTGTTCTCTCCAACCGCCAACTCGAGGAGAGGGAGAAGCTTCGAAGGTTGCATGCCCGTAGCCAGGTCGATGACGTCGGCGAGCTCGATCCTTACGACCCAGAAGACGAGTTCGAAGAAGCTTTGGCCGAAGACGATGGTGACGTCGAGGCTGCAGCAAATGATGCTGTGGCGGATGTGTTTGATGAGGACAAGGAAGCGGAAGACGACGCGGACGGTGAGGTCGATGACGTCGATCGCCCTCGCGCCAACGACGCGGACGATCAGGCTGACGAGCAGGTCGAAGATGATGGCGGCGATGATGGCAGTGACGATGACGACGATGATGATGAAGATGAAGACGACGACGAGGATGGCACCGTCGATGGAGACGAGGAGCTTGCTGCTCTCCGTGCAGAGGCCGGCGAAGCTGGTGAAGACCTCGAGGAGGACGGTCAAGGCGGTGCAAGACGGTCGCGTAGTCGACGATCCGGTGCAGCCGCCACGGGATCAGATGCCGTTGCCGCGGCCATGGATGAGGACGACGAGTAGGCCCGTCCACGAGTCATCACCAAAATACATTATCCGCAATGCGAACCCCATTTTCACACTTCACAAGCATGCAGATTCAATCGCGGAGCAGGCGTTGTGTCACACTGTGAGGAGGAGGAGAGCCATGGTTCGGAATTGACAGAATCGACTGAAACGTCGCGAAACTAAAGTACAGCTCCCGACCCTGCTCAGTTGAGCGACAGCGTCTCTCCGATGCGCAGACACTGATCGAGCGCGGCCTCGTTCGAAGCGTTTGTCAGCACGTCTGGCATTCCCTCGTCCCAGAGTGCTTGCGCGAATTTTCGTGCGCCACCGTTCGTTGACTCGTCTGTGTCCATGGAGGTTGGTGAGGTGCCGATCCCTTGTGCAGGTCCGGTCAAGCAGTTGCAAGGCGAATAGAGAAAGGGGTCGAAACCTGCCGGCTCGGATTTCAAGCGTTGCGGCAGCATGGTGTCGCGCGAGGAAGAGTCGGTGGAGGTGTCGTACGAAAACTCGGGTTCTGGCTCTGACATCGAGGCGTCGTCGTCATCGTCAGCAGCGACGAGGTTGTTGAGATCGTCTTCGGTCGATGGAGGAAGGGGTGACGGCGAAGACCCGATCGGACCGCTTGCAGATTGTTCCGAGGCAGAATCGTCCGAATCGACACGTGGATGCGGTTCTTCATCCGACGACACGGGTGTCTCGATCAGCTTCTCCTGAGACGACGCTGGCTCGACGACGGTGATTAGACCTGGGTTGAGCATATCGCTACTCGCAGCTGGAAAAGTACGCATCTCAAGAAGCAGCAAGTCGAGCATGTCCATCGCCTCGTTCGTGGTTGGTGGTGGATCGATGTAGCTGGGAACAACGCATCGAAGACCGACGTTGGGCACTGGACCATTTCGCAGATGACGTTCTTCCCAAGAATCGAGGCACATGGGGAAAAAGAGGAGATTATGTTTGTTTGCCACCGCCAATGTGTCGACGTACCATTCTGGTAGCGCTTGGGCTTGAGCAGTGTGCTGTCGGAGTGATTCTTGCGCGTTACAGCTAGGCATCTCGCCCAGCGTTACTACCTCAGCAACCTTCTTTGTGCTGCACGGATGGGAATTGTAATCATCGGCTGGAGTTGCTGGTGCCGATTCCTCGTCGTTTGTCGACGAAATTGGGGGCGACGCTGACGGCGGCAGGACATGCTGCGGATAGGAAGTCGGCTGGACCGATGGCGCCGACTTTGAGCGGCGGAACGAAGTCTTGCGCGTTTTCGTCGTTCGTGGCGATGCAGATGCTTGACGAGCCATACGAGCCTTGTGCTCATTCCATGTACACACCTTGTGCTGTCGGATACATCGCTGACACGATTCAGAACCAGGCGCTGGGCCTGGACACTTACGATGATTGTTGCCTGTTGTTGCCAAAAGCGACAGTGGGAAGCGATAAGCCGTCAATAAGTACTGGAGTTGCCAAACAATGAAACAAGGTTGACGGCGACTCACGGCATACATCGCAAGCACGAGCTGCTCGCTTTGCCTTTACCTTGGGGCTGGGAGTCGGATTCTCGGAACCACCCGAGGAAGTCGAGGATGGTCGTGTTTCACTCAGAGGGTCTGGAAGGGGATCTGCAGCGCTCTGAGTTTCAGGAACGACCGAAGGAGTGGAAGATTTGGGAGAGGCGTTCGAAGTGCTGACGAGCCTAGGAGAAGGCGAATGGTACAGACTGATCGGCTCGAGCATCTCGAGCATCGTGGCTGCTCAGCGCTGCGGCTATCCTGGTGGTGACAGCGACGGTATCGCTGAAAGACGACCAGGGTAGCAGGCCTGACAGCCGTGAACAGGAGAACAGTAGTTGCATTTTGGTGGGGTCTATATAGATGCGCGAAGTGCGGCTGTTAGGAAGCTGCGGAAGGAAGTGGATATCGAGAGAATCGGGGAACACTGTTGCGAGCGCGAGAGTACGACAAGAGGTGACACAACATTGTCAGCGGATGCAGCTTTAGTCGAAGAATCTCCTGAGAGAACGCCTTGTGGCGAAGATAACATTGGGAAAAGGGAACGAGACAAGGACAGATCTGTTGAAGCGTGTCAACATCTATTCATTCCGTCGAGCAGCGGAGAGCATGTGCAAGGGTCGCTGCCGTTGTCAAGAGACGTGTCAAAGCTTGTCGATCAGCTCCGTGACGCATGTACGACCTGCAATTTGGTAGTTCGCTGAGTTTGCTGTCACGGAAGAACTCGATGCTGCCGTCCCTGCTTGGCGGTCATACGTTCACACGCACACGATGGGTCGCGACGCGCTGTAGTGAGTTGAGAACCAGTTCTCTTTGCTAACACGGAAGTGGTATCGTACAAGCTTGTGATCTTTGATCAACGGTCCTCGGCCCATTCCTACATGTGAAAAAGTCGTCAAAGATGAAGAAAGAAGAGGTAGACAGATGATCAGCGTCATTTCTCGAGGAATGCATACGTTCCGGCGGCCGCGCAGGATTAGCCGTGTGATTGTGACGCTTACGTTTTCCTTTCGGATTTGTGCCTCTTCCTCCGCCGAGAAGTCGTTCTGAATGTTGAACAGCTTTCGGATCTCCTCCGGTGTCTTTCCCTTGATCATGTTGGCGCTGTAGAAAGTGAGCGTAGGGAGTACACGATGTTATAGTTAGCATTCCAGGCCAAACAGTCAAGCAGCTGCATGTAGTACGGCTGCGGATTAGGCGCAAGCTTACACAGTCTTGCAGCCGACGTCGAGGAGGGGCTTGATGTCGAGGTAGTTTGCTGCGAGGATGATCTCGAAGAGCATCTCCTGGTCGACCTGAATGAACTTGGCGTCCCAGTCCGAGATATCGGTGGTACGTCTTCGCGACTCCTCTGCATCGTCAGCGGGTGCGGGTGGGTCGCCACGGTGGTGGGAGCAGTATTCGAGAACCTGCGTGGAATGTATGTGGCGTCCAGAGAGTCAGAAGTCTGGAGGTATGCTGCCTAACCGTCTCGACCCGGTCAGTGATAGCTTACCTTCTTCAACACATTGGAGGAAACGTTGACAAGAGGAATGGGCTGATCAGTGTCTCCGATGTCTATCGCGATGAGGGACCATGACGAATGGTGAAAAACGTTTCGAATCAGTACGGCGATCTACGTACGGCGAGCAGCAACACGGGAAGCTAGTTACCTTCAAGCATCTGCTTGATGAGGACGGATCGTTCGGCGACGTCGCGATCGACGGTGAACTGCTCGTTGTCTGAGGTGGTGAGGCTGACCATATCTGCAGTAGTTGATGATGAGCGATGTGATGGATGACGAAAGAAGGCAACATTGTCGATGCGTCGACTGAGCCGATTGATGGAGCGTCAGTGCGCACCCACAGCCGCCGCTTGCGCTCCAGCGGGTCCAACCTAATTTCACCTGCAGTGACGCTGCGCTGATTGAGCGCTCTGCAGTTGCTCGTGCAAGAAAAGTCAAAGGGATAACTCCACTCGCGTCCGCATATCGGGTTGCCCGATGCATGTGCCTTTTCTCTCGAATAACGGCCACGAATCTGGCCGCCTCACAGCACATCGCAACGACTACAGCCTCGGTCAGTCGAGACACGTAGCCAGGCTCAGCGCACGATCATTCGAGCTCAGCCGACGACAGTGTGTGAATCCTTCTCTGATTGTATGAGTTGTGCGGGTGTTGAACAGCATGAGAGAGGAGACAAGGTTGAACTAGTCGTACAAGCAGATGGAAACATGGTATGTGTATGACGATACAAAGACGTGCGGACAGAGAGGAGAATGCGAGCAATGAAGAAGAAAGCGACCAATGATAAGAGGTATCTGAGAGTAGAATGCGTTGTTGAAAGCAAAGGAAAGAATGCGTGACGTTACGTTGAGAAGCCCCGAGAATGTCCGAAAGAAGCGTGATTGATTGTTGTATGCAGAGACGAGAGAGGTTATTCGATCGACGAGGTCAAAGACGGCGAGGATCGAAAGAGGCGCGCAGTTGATGCAGGCCGTATAAGAAAGAGGGATGCGCGCTACTTCACGCTGCAGGCGCAGGTGCGGGAGCGTGTCCGCTGGAGTAGCCGTTGCCTTTGACAAGCGATGAAAGCGAGTCGGCGACTTGACCAGCTACGTTGCCGACGGTCGAGGCAACGCCGTTAAGCGAGCCATTGGCCGTCGACGTAGCTTTGGAAGCGCTAAGGAATGGTTCAAAGATCGAGTGGTTTGCTTTGAAGTCGTTGTGCACCACATTGACTAGGAAGTAGCTATTGAACATGTCTTCGAGGAACTTGCGCGATGGCGACGACGGCTCGTACACCTTTGCCCAGTTCCTGCCGATCTCGTAAGCCTCGTCCTTCCAGGCGAGGAACGAGATCGACTCGACAATGGTGGGCTGGATGATCTCACAATGTGGGAACACGCCCCAGGTGACGGCGTTGGGCGCCTCCGAGTTGGTGTTGGTGCGCATGTCGCCCTGCGAATTGACGGCGTGGTAGGTGATCTGCGGGTCGGCCTCAATCCTGCTAATCAAAGCGTCGAGGTCTTGAGGTGAGACAAAGAATTCGAGGTACGCTTTCTGGTAGACGTAGCCGTTCTTGGGGCCCCAGCCGTGCACCTTGTCGTCGCTGCGAGCACCGTCGACGGCGGGCTGCGAGTTGATAGTGAGGAAGCCGAGCTGGTTCATCTTGGTGAGCTTTTCGCTGATGACCGAGGTTTCGCGTGCGACGGGCGTCTCGGACCATGGAAGTGCCTTGACCTGCCCTGCGCAGAATTTCTGAAAGAGGGCCTTGACATCTTGGAGAGAGGTGGGTGTGCCCCACATCTCCTTTGCCTCGTCGTTAGAGTAACGGAGCTTGACACCGTACGCGTCGACATCGCCGTATGCGGGCGAACGAGCGTCACCCCAGCGACCATTGGGGAACTCGTCCCAGGTCTCTGTGCGGTTGACGTAGCTCTTGGCACGGTTTGCCCAAAAGATGGGACGAATCTTCTCGTCACGCCTCTTGGGAGTGAGACTGGGCGTCCATGGAAGAGGGCTGACCTGGTTGACCGAAGGAGTGAGGCCGAGGTAGTCGAGCAACATGCGCGAGCCCTTTTCGAGATTCATGGTGTAGATGTGCAGTCCGCTGATGCCGAGACCGGTGCCGACGATCTTCTTGCACATTTCGCCGACGAGGCGGGTGCCGATCTCTCGCACCTTTTGGTCGTCGTCCTTGACGGGATCGAGAGCATCGTGGAAGTATTGTGGAACGAGGGTACCGAAGCGAGCGGTTGCACGCTGAAAACCACCGTAGGTTTGGATGGGCATGACACCGGGGATGATGGGGCAGTTGATGCCTGCAGCTCGGACGTCCTTGACCCACTTTGCAAAGATGTCGAAATCGTAGAACATCTGTGTAAAGATGAAATCGGCGCCGGCATCGATCTTTTCTTTGAGGCGCTGGAGCTCCAAGTCGGCACCGTCGACAGCTTCAGGGTGACCCTCTGGGAAGCCGGCGACAGCGATGGCAAAGTAGTCGCCGTACTGCTCGCGAATGTACTCTACCAACTCCTTTGCGCGGGAGAAGCCAGCAGCGTGGGGTTCCCACTCGGACTGACCAGCAGGAGGGTCACCGCGGAGGGCGAGAATGTTGCGGCAACCGAACTCCTTTGCCTCCTTGAGCGCGGTGTCGATCTTTTCGCGGGGCATGTTGGTGCAGGTGAGGTGCATGCAAGTTTCGAGACCGATGTAGGTGTGGACGGTCTTGACGAGGGAAGCGGTGAGATCGGAGGTGCGACCGCCGGCATTCCAGGTGATGTCGACAAACTCGGGACCAAGATCGGCCATGCGCTCGATACGATCGTAGAGGTTGGTGAGACCCTGAGCGGTACGAGGGGGGAAGTACTCGAAGCTCCACCAGATGCGGCCTTCCTTTTCGGCCTTTGCGATCTTGTTGGTGATCTTCCAGGAGGTGTCTCCCTTGGGAGGAAGGGCGGAGTCGACGCCGTTGGACATGGTGGCGATGTTGTGGCAGGGGGGGGAGGGGAGTGGTGAAGGGAGTATCCTGAATCGAAGACGACGTCAAGGTTGTGTATGCAAGACGTGTCTATGAAATCAGAACAGTGACCCGAACACGCTAGCGACGGTTGAGAGTAATGATGACGAGATATGCAGCAGCAGAGTGACGTCTACTCGACTGTTGACTGATCAAAATGATGGTGGTGATGGATACGGTAGGACGGAGAGTGGCTCGTTGGTTGAAAGTGTGGAAACGCACAAAGAACGTGAACGTGCGTGCGCCTGGTGGCGGTCGCGGTCACCAAGTAATTTCGCAGCGATTTCTTCCTGTCAGTTGGATTTTCTTCTTGATTTGACTTAGCTCAGGGTCCCGAGTCGAATCGGCTGTGGCATGATTTTCCCCATTATTCCGATTCGCAATTGCTGTGCTTTTTCCATGTGCTTGTTGACAGACGTGATTGCAAAGATGCTTTGATCTCTGATTACTCGACTGGCAAGAACGTGGGGTTGGCTGAAGTAACCATGACTAAGCTCAGGGCTCGCTCCGTGACAATCGCTTGGCAATGCAGTCACAATGCATCTGAATTGCCGAGCCGTGTCACTTTGGTGAAACACTCTTCTGGACACCCAAAGTCGACCAACACCATCTCAACCCTGTCTCCGCTTCTCTCCACATGGCATTGGTCTCATCATACACTACCCGTCGCAACCCCCCTTGCACAAGCATGTTCGCACGGCTTGCGACACTCTTGCTTGCCGCTTAGTTCGTCTTGAGCACTTCTCTTTCTTCCAGTAGCCGCACTCATCCAACTGCCTCTTGATGAGCAAAGATGATCACCAACATCCTCGCACATCTCAGGAGCCGTCCAACATGAGTCGCTTTCGCATCCGCAGCAGAGCAGGCTCGCTCCTCAATTCTGGCGTCGATTATCTTGCCACCCGTGACTGGCAGGCCGTTGCTGGCTCTGCCCGAGCAAGACTCCAACTCCCCTCCGCCGCAGCCCCATCCTCATCCACGCAGCACACCGCCGCCAAATCGGCCAACTTTTCCTCTTCCTCTTCGCTCCCTCGAATCAGAGATATGTCCGGTCGCGCTGGTGTCGAGAATGTCGTTCTCCTTCCAGGTTGGGCTCAACGCAGAGTGGCACGCGATCGTCATCCTCAAGGCTGGGCCACAATCGACGCTCCCGAGGATCTCCAAGACGGCGAGGTCGAACTACACGTCTCGCTCCATGGCTTTGTCGCAAAATCCCTCGACGCTCCCAGTAGAAGTCAGCGCATCTTCAATCAAATGGCGCGCCAACTTGCCGGTCTTCCCAAGATACGGCCCCAACCAGCCGGCTCCTCGATCCTAGATTCCTCTCCCAACGCCACCTTTGTCGACGAGCCGCAGCAGATAGATAACGATGATCCTCCAGCTTCCCAACCAGATCAGCACCACAATGAGCATCTCACCGAAAGGATCGCACGCAAAGTCATCGAAAACGCCGACGATCAAACCCTCGTCCGTCTCATGGAGGATCTCCACGCGTTTCCCACAGATTCTGCCGCCGCCAAGGAAGCCGCAAGGGACGACCAACACACTCCCTCCACACCCAGCCGATCTAGCACCTTTGATCAGCCCCCAAAGAGGACCGACACCATGCTTTCCGGCGGCTCAGCTCAATGGCTCTCCAGAAGCCTTGATGAAGTCACCCTCTTTCATCAAAACCTCTCTCGTCGATTGCAAGCCTACTGGGTCTACAGGTCCCCTCACAAAGACGTCCACATCGATGTCGCGCCCGTCATCAATGGCGCCGTCGCTCGCGATCAAAAAGGAAGCCGCCTCACCCTCGCTTCCACCCGTCTCACCACCGATTCAACCGGTCAATTTGAACATCGTCTCGTAGTTCCATGGCACATGCTCTCCGCTTTCTGTCGCCACTTTGCCGACCTGCTTCAAGCAACGCCCGATGAGATCGAAGCGCTCGAAGTGAGAGCAAAGCTGCTCGACTCCTTCGCCGAAGGCTCAACTCAAGCCGCATCCGAAAGTCCTTGGCGACGCTGCCCAATTCACGAGGACCATTCTCGCCGAGTGAGGGTCATATCCGACATTGACGATACCATCAAACACACCGGTGTCGTCCAGGGCGCAAAGCAAATCTTGCGAAACGTGTTTGTGCTTCCCTATCAGGAAGCCGAAGTAAAGGGCATCTCATCCTGGTATCATGCCATGACCGACCTTGGCGCTGGCCTTCATTATGTCACCAACGCCCCTCTGGAGCTTCATAGTCTCGTTGTCGACTTTCTCGAGACGGTCCGACTTCCCGTCAGCCACCTCGTGCTCAAGCACTACCCTAGTGGTGCTCGCAGCCTGCTCTCCAGCTGGCTCGAACCTGCAGGTGAACGCAAGCGTGCCAATGTCGTCAAGATCCTCGACGACTTTCGCAGCTCGCAGTTCATCCTCATCGGCGATAGTGGCGAGCTCGATCTCGAACTCTACTGCGCTTTGGCAGCGGAGCGTCCAGACCAAGTCCGTGGCGTCTTCATCCGCGACGTCAGCAGTCCTGCTTCCCTTCAGGCAGAGTCGTCTGCCTTTTCCGCCGCTAAAGCCGCCGATGGAGCTGCGGCTGTCCATGCTTCCACATTGGAGGATGCCATTCCGAAACCTCCTCGAAGTGCCGTCACTCAGCCAGCCTCGGCGCGCCACGCTAATGTGGCAAAGCCCGCCTTCTTCGATACTTCCTACCCACCCCGAGCCCCAACAGCACTCGACTTGCCGGCCAATCGATATGCAGATGCAGCCACCGGCGTCGCTCGATCCAATCACACCCTTTCCGAGCAGGAAGTCAGGCAAGCGCAGGCATTCCAGACTCGTCTCAACAGAGCTACCAGCATGCTTCCGCGCTCCACCGTCTTCAAGCTTTTCAGGGTAGGCGGCGACGTCGAGGAGCAGGCTTGCCAACTCGTGCGTGAGTTGCAGCACGGCACGAGACCGGCTGATCGCCCGTCATAGAACAATCTCATCACACATCGCATAGGCCTCTGCCCATCTGTATCAATTGAAGCACATTCCCCAGCATCCCCATTTAATCCTGAGAACGGTGCGCGCGCCAGCATCGAGAGTGAGATTGAGCGCATCTTGCTAGTCGCATCGGTCTGCGACGGCAAAGGTGTTTGCACTTCGTTCGCCATCCGCCCGTCTGAGTGCGACGCCGCAGGGTCGCATTCCTACCAGATCGTCTGTCAATAGGCCCACAGGTTTGAAATTGCTGTGAAATGCGTCACTTCTGTCCATTGATCAGAGTGCCGAGCGTGTTCAAACTTCCTCATATTTGTGTGGACATTTTCAAATATTCTCACTTGCATTTTTGGTCCTTTATATCGTGATAGCACACAAAAAAGAGACTTGCGATTTGACGTTTTGCGCACAGGCGGCAAACATAAAGACATGCACGTATCCCTAAACTGAGTCGACTAAAGAGACACGCTGCAATCTTGCACGAGCGAATTCGTCAATCCTGCACGATCGAATTTGTCAATACAACACACTTGTTAGACGAACAATTGCTACTAATGGCCTTAAACGAGGTGATCAGTGCATTACACTCAGCTCCGGCGGCCAATCGCAAGATACTCTCTGGATGCTTAACAAACCCTTAAACCTCTTTTACCATTTTCAAGTCATTCGAGCATTTTATCTCATTCTCGACAAATTAAGAAACATCGTTAAAATGCCACAAAGATACATTGTTGCTCTAGCGTCATTTTCCAGAATGCAGAAATGTGAATTACACGCCGATTATATTGTCACCAAAATACGACGTTTTTCTGTTGCGCCACCAAATGGAAGCAAGAACGGCTACAATAAGGACCATAGAACGCTTCAAGGCAACCGATCACGTATTATCCCTCGCAGATACCGGCTCACTTCGTCAGGATGTTTTTGTTGTTCATTGGACCAAGCATTCGTAATCACTGCTCTGGGCTCCAGTCAGAAAGATATATAGCCACCATGCGATGGTAGCTTTCCATTCGGACCCAGAAGCATAGATTAAGGCATCTCGATGCAATATGTCTGTTCTTTCGAATCTTCGCCGACAATATGATGCTGGTGTCATATGGCAACTTAATTCGTCGGAATTCTATATTGCAAGGAAGAAAATAGGACGCCGCTTCATAATGACAATCAATCCCCACCAAGGACGATGAAAAGTCTGGATAAACGACTTTAATTTTTTCGAGTTTTGTTTTGCGAGCAGAGGAAACATGTGCGTGGCCTTTTCTTGGTTGCAGGTCGCGTGCAGGAAAACACGACGACTTCCAGCGCGGGGAGTCCACGGCTCAGTGCGGATGATGTCCGCAGAGATGCCGCACTTCACCTTGGCGTGCCAAAGCTGGGAACGCACGTCATGGAACAACTCAACGCATTCAGACGCACCCGCACATTTCACCTGTCTGTCATCTTTTAGCGACGCAACCAAACTCGAAATGAGACGCGAAGATCCTCAAGTGGGCAAGGCAGTCTTAGCCATTGCCTGGCAGCAAGCGTGGCCCTAGAGGTTGCTCATGACTGGCAGGGCAGCCCACACCATTGAGCAACAGCTGTTCAGTTCAGGCAAGTCGACAGGCTTCAGAGAGGCAGTGAAATTCCAGACTGATGCACAATGATAAGTGACACTACTGAGCAGCTTCACTGAGCAGCACGATCGATCCTGTTCAATGACCGACGGGATGAGAAGGATAATTGCTGGAGCCGCCGATGTTCATGTTGCCCATCTGCTGGTTCAGAGCCGAAGCGTCGGGCTGGGATGGATACGCTCCACTGTACCCGCTAGAGGAAGGATGACCCTGGTGTTGGAAATGCTGTTGTTGATAGGCTTCACTCTCGGCCCTGGCTCGCTCGAAGAGCCTGCGCTTCTCATCGTCGTGGGGGGTCGGATTGTACTGTTGATCCACAGACGGCTGCTGGTAGCCCATAGACGGCTGCTGGGTTGGCTGCGTGCCGGAGGGGATGCGACTGCTCTCTCCATAGCCCGGGTCAGCGGCTGTGGAAGCAGCATCCTGAGGATATGTATGATGTTGCTGCTGTTGATTGTATGGGTATTGGCTTTGATCGTGCGAAAGTGAGCCGGACGCGCCTTGGTGGACGGGTGGGGCGTGCGCATTGGGGTATGCATAGGCAGACTGCTGGGCGTAATCGGCCGACGAAGCGGAGACCTGCTGGGTGAGTTCGGGTCGAGGGCGAAGATATTCTTGACTGGACTGGCCGCCGGGGTTGTAGCGAGAAAGACTCTGCTCCATCATTTCGTCAAATGAACCGCGAGCGTGTACGAACTTGTCATTCATGGCCTTGAGCTCGGTGATCTTGTTGCTGTAGCGGTCGATGAGCTTGACGATCTTTGGTCGCATGGCGAGGGACTTTTGATACAAGTCTTGCAACTCTTCGTCGTCGGCAAGATTGTCCCTTGCAGGATCAAGACCGCGAAGTTTGGTAAGCAGCCTGTCGATGTCGGCAGCTTGAGAGAAGATGCGAGCCTCCATCTCTGCTTCTCTCTGAAGTTCATCGGGAGTGGGGTCGGGAAGCACCTCGACGTAGTTGACGGGAAAGATACCTGCCTCTCCCCTAACTTCGCCTCTCCACCAGTGCTCGTAGACGCTGTCGAGGACCCGAATGATCTCTCCTCGAGAAAATGCAAGCTCACCTGGCTCTGTCGGCGAAAAATCGTACAGAGCTCGGACTCGAGACGCAACAGCTGGTACCGGGGCTGCCGAAGTGGGTTGCACACTAGATGCGGAAGCGGTGCCATTCTGTTGAGGCGGTGCGTGCTGTTGCTGGACGGGTGCATTGTGCGACGATGGCTGCTGTGAGTAGGAGGTGGTCAAGGCTGGTGCTGGGGCAGAGGAACCGGATGCTTCGGCCTGCTGTGATTGGTAGGAGTTCCAGGCGTTGCGTCCGCCTTGGTCCTGGATTGAAAGCTCGAGCGCTCTCCTCAATTCTTCGTCCTCGGCTCGGAGTTGCTCAGAAGTGGGTTCTCGGGGTGGATCGACTGGGGCGTCTTCGTCCACGACTGCGTCTTGTGACTTGAGCGACTCATAGGTTTCCTTCATGAGACCGAGGCTTTGATCGTCAAACTCTCCGGCCCACTCCTTGACGAGAGCCGAGCATCTTTTCTTGACGGTAGCATGCGTGTTGCGGTCGAGGCAGATGCGGGCGAGAGTCTGGGTGAAGGATCGGCTGGCAAGCTCCTGATGAGCGGTGAGACCGCAATTTTTGGCAACGGCGTCGGCGAGGGTGAGTGCATAGAGCTGGACGTTGGCGTTGCGATGCACGAGGCGCTTTTGAATGGCGGCGATGCAATTGCGGGCGCTGTGACGATTTAGGGCAAGGACCGTACGTCAGTGCACAATCTTTAGGTCGCAATGGTGTGAGCAAGGAACTTACGCTGATTCTCCACCTGACGAGACCTTGTCGCAGACCTCGAGGTTGAGCTCCCAATTTTCCGAGGTGAGCTCGTCGGAAGTGGCCTTGAGCACAATGTCCTCGAAAGGATTCTTTGCTGTAAACATGTTGAGTGCCTTGCTGCTGCGATTCTGAAAGCGTCAGAGAGCTGAGCGACACGGATGAAAAAGGGTAGATCGAAGTGGTGATGAGGTCGAGAAGGAACCGATTTGAAATGTTGGTGGTTGTACATGTACACTGGGGACCTCTGAAGAGGCTGTGTGGTCCGTGAGTCGGGGCTGAGCTGCACCAAATGCATGCGTTTCGCTCACGTTGCAGTTCAAATTGACCACACGCCGAATCGCACCGCCACGAAATTCTCGGGATCTAACAGCTCGCCTTAGAGCTTGTCTGATTACGTGGTGATTGAGTAGGCTTGTGGCTCAGCTTGGCTGATGGAACCCTGAAAATGCCAAATTGTGCGAGCTTGTGTTTGTGCGTGTTTGGATTCCAACACCACCGCATCCCTCCATCATCTTTTGCATCGCCTCGCACCACCCCACAGAGACCACTCGGCTCATCTGGAATTGGCGAACATGACTGCAGCAGCTTCATCAGCAGCCGAGCTGTCTGCGATCAATCTCGACAACATTCGCCTGTCCACACACCCCGACGACGCGGCAGATGATTCGGACGCCGACTCCTTTGAAAGCGCCAATGATGGTCCGAGTATTTCAGTACAGCATGACGACGAACCGCCCGCATTCCCCAGCTTGAACAGTGCTCAAAGACAAAGTTCGTCGTCCAAATCTAGTACTGCCCAAACGTCCTCGTCCACAAAGGCCGCCGCATTTCTGAATTCTGTAGCGCCGCGACCACTCCCGTCCAGCACGTTGATGGCTCCGCCACCCTCATTGGCTCCTCCTCGTAGCGGTGGTCTCGCTGCGCCCCCATCAACATCGGCTCTCACAGCACCTGCCGGTGTCGGGGGCGCTTCTGGCGCGAAAGCTTCGAGCGGCAAAAGCCGGAAGAAGGTAGCTCTTGCACCCGGCTGCAGTCCCCTAGACTGGGCCAGACTCAAGAACAGCACCGATCTCAGAGGCGGCGTCACTTCCCTCTTGAGAGTCACGCCCTCCGAGCTTAAAAAGCATAACACGCTCGAGGACGCATGGTCAGCTTTCTACGGCAAAGTGTACAACATCACACCCTACCTCCGTTTCCATCCGGGTGGTGAAGACGAATTGATGCGTTGCGCCGGTCGTGACGGCACCAGATTGTTTGGTACGTTTCTACAATGTGGCTACGATATCCAAAAAGCCTCATTCACTGACTTCTCACGTCTGATTTCGCATCGTTCCCTCCGTTCGGGTCACACAGCTCTCACACATTCGTGGGTCAACATTGACTCGATGATCGATACCGCCATGGTCGGTATCCTGACCAGCGAGACGTGAAGCACAGTCGCAAGCTGAGCAACCACACGCAAATAGACGCATGATAGATTGTACATTAGAATCACTATATACCCACTGCATCAATCAACGAGGGCTCGACCGTTCTCATACACGACTAGGCCCCGGGTGGCGACTTCAAGCAAAGCCTACCAGGCCGACGCCCTTTTGACGCTTGATGGCAAACAGCTGCTTCGAGATCATCCCGTACGTGGCTTTCCTCGCCAAGTTCTGACCGTCTTCAAATGCTTCGGCGCGACTGGCCACGTCGTTGCCGTCGTGCGATTGCGCGTGCAGCCAGACCTGCATTCCGGCGGTGGACCACCATTCGTGACCGCGTAGTTTGAGCTCGTCGATGTTCATGCGGTGCGGTTCTGGCGAGACGAGCATCTGGAAGATGACGAAGGCGGTCATGAGCACCTCGGGGGTCAGCTGCGCTGCCACCGCGGCCGACGCCTCGCTTGCGGCGCTCGACAAGGTGGAGGAGGTCTGCACGGATCCCACGGAATAGTCACCAGCGTTGGGTGCGTTGCCGCCGCTCATGAGCGACTTCAAGGCATCCAGAGTGTCAAAGTAGTCGGCGCTCTCGCGCTCTGGTACGACGGACCGAAGAGCCTCTCCGAAGACCTCCCAGACCTTGTTGGTGACGCGCTCGAGCTCGTCGCTGCTGTGCTCGGCAGTGGCGAGTAGGTGCGATGGCTGCTTGTGCGGCGGTGAAGCAGCAGGCACTACTGGCTCCTGAGCTGGGACGGGATCGATGGCCGCCGATGTGTCTGCGACGTCGGCATGACTGATCTCGTGGGTTTCTGGCTCGCGAGAACGCTGGATGGTGAGGTCGGCGGGATCGTCGAATGACTGAGAAACGGAAACGTCGTCCAGCGGTTGCGCCACGCTGATAGCGGACTGGTCGTGCTCATCAACCGCGTCGCGAGTCTGTGAGTCGAAGTTGAGCTGCTGTATCTGATCTTGCTCGTGATCCTCATCGTCTTGGGTGCGTTGAGTGATGTCGATGGTGTTGTCCAAAGAGTTTTGCTGGACGTCGTCGTCAGCGATGCTGGCAGCCTGATGGGGAGACTGCTGGGTGGTGTCGTCTGAGTGTTGCGCTCGAGCGAGGGAGGCACGTGGGAAAGCACGTTGAGGGGTGTGCTCACGAGGTTGCCTCCTGCTAGCCTCTGCGTCAGCCTGAGCCCTCTGTTGACGGTCGAGCTCTTGCTTCTGCCACTCGGAGCGCGCTTGACGGAGCTCTTCGATCATCTCCTCTAGAGCGAGAATCTCGAGCTCTTCCTTCTGAATTCTTTCCTGTACGGACGAGAGATGCGCGTTGAGCTCATCGTTAGCAGATTGGGAGGCCAAAGCGCGTGCGAGGTCGGTGTCGGCGGAGGGGAGCTGCGATGATGGCAAAAGTTTGCCGTCTGCAGTGGCACGAAGGTCGGCCTCGCTCTGACGGATCTGCTTCTCGTAGTTCTTGATGTCCTCGTTGAGCATAGCATGCGTCTTGATGAGACCTCTGATGTGCTTGCGCGTTCTGGAGCCCTTACCGCACGTGTCGTTGAGACGCTGGGCTGCGAGGAGCAGAACGCGGGGATCGACGCTCTGTTCGTTCTGGGACTGGAAAGACTGCTTGTTGGAGATGGTCTGGTTGCGCAAGGGAGTAGGAGGCTGGACTTGGCGAGGTTCGGGCAGACGAGGAGCGAGGAGGAGGTCTGCCTCATTGGCATCGTCTGCACCATTGACTCGAGCGTTGGGGACGTGAGCCGACCTGGTGCCACTGGGACCAGCGCGAGAGGTGGAAGCGGATTGGGGAAGCGGAGGATACCAGAAGAGGCTCGCTTCAGTGCGGTGATCGGCGTCACGAATGTAGGTGTAGATCTCGAGACGTTCGCGGTTCAGTACGGCCGAGGTGAAAGGGGTGGCATCGGCGCCCTTCCTGGCTCGCTTGCGTGCAGCGGCCTGACGCGAGTTGATGGCGTCGAGCGTGTTTGTGAGCGACTGTAGAGCGTTATCCATGATTGCGATAGTGGAGAGGACGAGGTGAGACGCCGAGATGGTGGTAGCGGCGAGACGGATGCACGCGCGCACAAGATCTTTTCAGTCGTCTTTGCAAGTGTTGTTCTCTCCAGTGCGGATGGCCCGATTGATCTGAGCCAAAGTGTTGTTCGAGCGGCGCGTGTTTGCTTGCGCTGCAGTGAGAGCGACGCGTCGAGCAAATAAGTAGCTCAAGTTTTTCTCGACCGAGAGTAGCCGCGCGTTAGTTGCTGGTACGGCCATGTCCGAGCATCCGTTCGGAAAGAAGCCACAAAAAAAGAAAAAGTGAAATTTGGTGTGACTTGGTGATACATATCGCGATGCTCGCTCGCAGCGATAAAAGCGCCTCGGACCCTGAGTCGCTCTTGCCTTCTGATTGTCGTTTTCAGTCAATTCTAGGTCGCATTGTGATACTCTCACTCAGTCTGCCTGCGACCCGTATCACTTGCACGTTCGTTCGTCGCGGCTAACTTTTCCGTCTCTCTCTTCCCCTCCTCACGCCAAGCGCAGCAGCCATCCAATATATCGGTGCACACCATGTGCGGTACTCGAAGGCCCAACGGCACCGACGCTGACCTTTCCGCAATGGCACGCAACCTGTCCATGCACGGCTCCGACAGGGACTCATCGCCCGCATCCAGCGACAGGCATCCTTTCGAGCAAGACGGCGCCTCCCCCGGTACACCTCCTGCCACCCGAGCAGACGCCTCTCACTACTCCGAGACCGACGAGAAGCGGCTCCACGAATCAGACGGTCATTATTGGGCCCACAGGCGTATCTCGTCGTCCCACCACAGTTCACCTGCTGTCGATATCCCTACCCGGCTTCAAGGCTCTTTCACAGCCGACTCGCAGAACGAACTCGAGCCCACTTTCGCCTCCACCTCTCTGGCAGAGCGTTCTTCCGTCTTTTCCTCTGGCTCACTCATCGACGACCGTCGTTCTAACGCAGATCTCGACTTCTCCGGCGATGGCAGCCACGTCCCACCTCCCAACGTCGCTACCATCTTCCATGACACTCAGCCCACTAACAACTCGCTGCCCAAACATACCAGCTTGCAAGCAGCTCACGATCAGGCTCACTTTGCTGCTTCCCCCGCAGAAGCGGCCGCAGCCGCAGCTGGTCTCGGCGCTGCTCCCCATGCACCTCTACCACCTCGTCTCGATGCTGATCCGTCTCACTTGAGCGCCTCCAACGTTGCCGTCCACTCTGAACTCTCCGGCGAGCTCCGCGCCCTCTACACAAGTCTCCAGACCTGTCTCGAGCTCAGAGATAAGTACATGGGTGCCAGTCTTCAAGGCGACATGCAAGACAACCCCAAGAACTGGGATGCCGAGTATTGCGCCCGTCACGCTTCTGCCAATGCCGAAAAGCCTCCTAAATCCAGCTCTGGTCCCGTTGCCGAAGGCTCCATCAAGATCGACGGCTCCTCCTGGGACGTCGATGCAGGCAAACCCAAGCCGTGGCGCATCTATCCCGCACCTCCTCGTCCGCACTGGGAGCTCTTCAACCCTCCACCTGAATCGTCCTTCGTGGTGCGTCCAACCTCTGTCAATCCGCTCCCGCCACCCATTCCACCTGCTAGCCCCGCCAACGCACAGGCAGCCCAGGCGCTTCTCGAAAGCACTGGCGGCAAGCCCGGCCTCTACCGTGAACAGGATGTCATCATTCCTTCCAAACACATCCGCAACAAATCCGACGTCACTTGGGACATGGACGAGACCGGTGTCATCCAGGTCTACGAGGGCCAAGCTCCCGCGGCACTGGCCACTCCCACACAAAGCGTCGACGACGCATCATCGCCTGCTGCCACGTTCACAGGATCCCGAAAGGAACCGCTCTTCAACATCCCCACCATCCGAGAATACTTCAAGGATCTCGACTACCTCCTTGGCGTCATCTCTGATGGTCCCGTCAAGAGCTTTGCTTGGCGTCGACTCAAGTACCTCGAGAGCAAATGGAACCTTTACTTCCTCCTCAACGAGTACCGCGAACTCGCAGACATGAAACGTGTCCCTCATCGTGACTTTTACAATGTGCGTAAGGTCGACACCCACATCCACCACAGCGCTTCCATGAATCAAAAGCATCTGCTCCGATTCATCAAGGCCAAAATCAAGCGCTTCCCCGATGACGTTGTCATTCACCGTGACGGTAAGGATTTGACGCTCCAGCAGGTGTTCGAATCGCTCAAGCTCACCGCATATGATCTCAGCATAGACACGCTTGACATGCACGCGCACCAAGACGCCTTCCATCGCTTCGACAAGTTCAACCTCAAGTACAACCCTATGGGCGAGTCACGTCTTCGTGAGATTTTCCTCAAGACCGACAACTTGATCAAGGGACGCTACCTTGCAGAACTCACCAAGGAAGTCATGGCTGATTTGGAGCAGAGCAAATACCAGATGGCCGAATATCGTGTCTCCATCTACGGCCGCACCAGGGGCGAGTGGGACAAGCTGGCCAGCTGGGTGGTCGACAATGGCCTTTTCAGCCCTAACGTCCGATGGCTAATCCAAGTACCGCGTCTCTACGATGTGTACAAGGCGAACGGCACCGTCGACAACTTCGAGCAGATCATTCGAAACGTCTTTGAACCGCTGTTCGAAGTGACACAGAACCCCCAAAGTCACCCCAAGCTGCACGTTTTCCTTCAGCGTGTCGTCGGTTTCGATCTGGTCGACGACGAGAGCAAGCCAGAGAGGCGAGTTCACAAGAAGTTCCCCGTCCCCAAACTTTGGGACTTCAAGGATAGCCCACCGTACAACTACTGGCTCTACTACATGTTCGCCAACATCTCGAGTCTGAACCAGTGGCGAAAGCTTCGCGGTTTCAACACGTTTGTCCTTCGACCTCACGCAGGTGAAGCTGGAGACACCGACCACATGGCTGCCACCTTTTTGACATCGCAGTCCATCTCTCACGGTATTTTGCTGCGCAAAGTGCCCGCCTTGCAATACCTCTACTACCTCAAGCAGATCGGACTGGCCATGTCGCCTCTGAGCAACAATGCGCTGTTCTTGTCGTACGAACGCAATCCGTTCCCCAACTTCCTCAAGCTCGGTATGAATGTTTCCATCAGCACCGACGACCCGCTCCAGTTCCATTTGTCCAAGGAACCGCTGTTGGAGGAGTACTCGGTGGCGACGCAGATCTACAAGCTGACGCCGGCGGACATGTGTGAGTTGGCACGCAACTCGGTGCTGCAGTCAGGGTGGGAGATGGAGATCAAGAGGCATTGGTTGGGACCCAACTTCCAGGCGCCAGGTCCGAAGGGCAATGTGGTGGCCAAGAGCAATGTTCCGGATATCAGGTTGAGGTTTAGGGAGGAGACGCTGAGGGAGGAGCTGGATTTGGTTTGGCAGAATCAGGCCGCACCCGCAGCGTATTGATCTAGAGGCGCGTTACTTCATCGTGTGAAGTGTAGAGCTTTAGCTCGACTGCAATTGAAACATCTTCACGGAAGACCACACTGTCAAGAACTTTGCCTGTGTTTTGCAGTCGTCTCAGAGGATGAGATGTGAATGTGCGAATGAGTTGCTGCATGTATTGAGGTGTGAAAGGCGGGACAATGCGGTGCGCGAGAACGGCAAGCGATCCTCCTACGCCTGCGAGAGCTCAACAGCCACCTTTACGGCGCCCAACAGCGCTGTGAGTTGGATCTTTTCCGAGCCGCCTGTACTCAATCGATGTCTGTGAGCGGGAATAACGTCAAAAGGATCAGCATCACGGAATTTCCTGCACCGCGACTGGTTGTGAGATGGTCGGTTTGCAACTTACTCGGTGTCTGCGAGGTGGTCCAAGAGGTAGATCCTCGATTTGGCGGGCAACTTGATGGTCGCCAGTAGGTCGTACACTCCGCTGATCATATCTGCCAGTGCGATTCCTTTGGACGTCTTGAGTTCCGATACGGTTCGGTAGGCCGTTGTGAATTCGTCCTCCATCATTGATTTGAGCACGGCCTCGATGTCCTGCGGATGTGGGTTTCCGGTGCAGTTGTAGACGGCGGTTTCGTCGATGTGATCGGTGGCAGCGTGGCAGGCCTGCAGAACGTTGAGTGCTCTCCTCATGTCTCCGCGCGAAAGCTTCAACAGCGCCTCCTTGCCATCTTGAGTGATGCTGCAGCCTTCGTTTTCGATGACATGGTTGAGACGGTCTTCCACCTGGTCGAGTTCGAGCGGGTTGAAGCGAAAACGTGTGCAGCGAGATTGGATGGCGGGGATGATCTTGTTGACGTAATTGCAGATGATGCAGAACCGCACGTTTTTGGTGTACTGCTCGATGACACGTCGAAGCGCACCTTGGGCGGCTTGGGTCATGGCATCCGCCTCGTCGAGAACGATGAGCTTGAACCCACCTTTGGAGCTGAACACGCTCTTGGTGCTGGCGAAACTCTTGATCTGCTCCCGCACCACTTCGATACCTCGATCGTCGGACGCGTTGAGTTCGAGCACGCTGTTGCGGAACTGTGGACCGAAGATTTTGCGTGCCATGGCGAGGATGGTGGACGTTTTACCTGTACCTGGTGGTCCGTAGAAGAGCAGATGTGGTAGACGATTCTTGTCGATAAAGTTTTGGATGGTAGAGGTGATGTCTTTGTGTGATACGAGGTCGTCGAGTGTAGCGGGACGATACTTTTCCACCCAGGGGAGCAGGTCGAGCTGCTGGTCTGAAGCGGTGGCATCGTCCGCTTTGCCTTTGCCCTTGGAACTCATGATCGGTATGGTTCTAGCCGCTGCTCTGGTGTAGGACGGATCCGTGGTCGTGATGTATGAAGGAAGGGGAAAGGTCAATGCTCAGTCAGGAATCTGTTGTTCTTTTCTCAAGAGTTGGCGGAATTTGTGTCAGATGCTTCTCTCGCATCACTCTACGCGACTCGCGAGTCGCGCGCCCTTTTCGGTCATGGTCGGCTCAGACAGACCACGCGCCGCCTGCCAACCCCTCCACACTCTGTTCTTGCTGAGACACATACTACCCTTGCACATCATACGCGCACACAGAGGCCCACTCTCATCGTCCGAATCTTGTTTCATGACTGCATTTTGTAGATCAAGCGATACCAACCTGCATCACGCCAACACGTGCCAGGTTGCGTGCAAGTGAGAGTCTGACTGCATCCAGCTTGTCAGATGCTTTGATCGACGATTGCGTTCGCTGCTTATTCGGTCCCGCTGACGTCTTTGACTGTTGCTGAGACGATTCGACGCCCAGCAGCTGGTTGAGGTAGCCCAGAAAGTGTTCCGACATGTCGGGATGCATGGAAACAGCGTTGGTGATGCGCTCGACGATGCGAATCAACTCAAAGGTCTGGGAGCGGTCGAACCAGGTGGCCTGACCGTCCTCGAGCAGCGGAATCGCATCCATCAGCAGAACCGCAAGGAAGCGCTCCGGTGCAGCCTCGGTGGTGACGAGCTCGACGAGCAAGCCTGCAGCTGCAGCCCACTGTCCATCGGCGTAGAGCCGGTGAAAGTCGCGGAAGCGTGCCAGGAACGCAAGTCGCTTCGAAAAGAAGCCTCGGGCGTGCTTGTCGAGCACCACGTTTTGTTCGTCGTCGAGGTCGTCACCGTCGAGATCCAGACCATCCGCTGGAGTGACGAGCGAGGATGGGAAAGAGTCGACAATTCGGTTGAAGGCCTCGGCGCCTCGTGTGACGTACTCTCCCAAGATGGTATCGCAGATGGTGCGGATGAGAACCGTGTCCGATGCTCTGACGCAGTAGGCGATGGCGATACCGTATTCGCCTTGCTCCATCAGCTTTCGCGACATTCGACGACACACGACGCGAGCTTCCAACTCGAGACCATGATCAGAGCATGCACGCAGAACCTGCTCTGCCCTCGCCACACCCGTCGCCTTTCTGCTTGCTCCACCGTCTCCTGCGTCGGCGTCCTCCTCCATCGCGTCGTTAAGTTCATCCGAGCCCTCGTTGGGATCAGGCCCGTCCAATGGAACAGACAAGACGATGTGCGACATCTTCTTCCTTCCCGCTACCCCACACGCCGCCAGATAGTCGATGCTGATCCTCCACAAGCCTTGCTCGTCCAACAGACTCTGAGCGTACTTCAGCAACAGATCCTGGCGAAGGTCGCTGGATTCTCTCTGCTCGTCATCCTCGAGAAGACCGACCTTGTCGGCAAGATCGCCCAGATGAGCTCCCAGCCAAATGTCGACGTCCTGCGCCTTTTGCACCGCCTGACGCACTTCGCCTTTGATGAGGTATTGCTGCACAAGCTCGCTCGGAATGGTGCCGTCGATGGGAAATTGTTCGAGGATGATGGCGGCGGTGGTCGGAACGTCGTCACGTTTGAGGGTTGGGTGTACCAGCGTGCCCCAAGCACCGAGCGCCTCTCGCCAGTCTTCGCAAGCCTCAAAGATGCGGTCCTTGACACCGGCCATGAGCTCGAGCAGACATCTGAACTGAGCCTCGTACTCGAGCCTCTCGTCTTCGATCTCCTCGGTGTTCCCCGCTTCTGCCTCCATCTCGTCCATCTGCTGCTCGAGACCGCTGATGAGTTTGCGTACGCTGGCGAGCCAGCTACGATGAGCTGCTACGAATTCATGCTCCATGGAGAAGTGTGTTGAGCGAGGCAGGGTGGAGAGGAGCTTGGCAGCTTTCTGAGCTACGCTACGGATGACGGGAGAAGAGTGCGAGTCGAGCGACTTGAGCACGGATGCTGCCGAGGTGTGGAATCCACGAAGAACGCAGCGAAGAACGTAGTCCCAGTAGGATGGGTGCTCGTGCGGCACGGCTGCTTCGGCGATCTCTTGACCCTCCTCGGTGGTAGGTGCCACGTCGAACGAGTTGAGCCAATGTAAAAGCTCCTCGCCAACAACACTGATACCGCGTCCGTCTTTCGGGTAGTAGAGCACTTCAGCGAGGCGAAGGATGGTCTGCGCATCTCGCCAGTTTTGGAAATGCGTCTCGTCCAAGTTATCGTCGAGCTGTATCCTCTCGAGGTAGTCTTGGATGGCGCGCGCATAGTGCTCGCTTATCCTGTTGTAGTATAGGATCGTCTCTGCCGATGGTAGGACGGATGTGGAAGTTGATGCACGACCAGCTCGGTCAGTGAGAAGGGCTTCTTGGTGGATACGCTGCAAGGAGGTGAAGATGGTGTAGGTCTGTGTGTAGAGCGCTTTGAGGTCGGACGAGGTGCCCCAGTCGTAGCTGACCACAGCAGGCGCTGCCGCTGCGATACTGGAAGGCATATCGAAATGCTGCGATGGCGAAGATGACTATACGGAGGACAGCATTGATGTTTGACGTCGCGACTGTGCACAGTCCGCGTTGAATGTTTTCGAGTGTTGGTTGACGAATTCGGGATTCGGAAGCTCCACTCCACTCTGGTCGGAAGAAAAAGAAAAACGAAACGCAGATTCGCGTGACGCATTCTAAGGACAAGAGCTGCTCAGCCTGTGGACTCTTGATGCAGCGCTGAAGATAGAGTCTGAGTACAATTGGCGTTAGTTAGCATTCACAGGCTAGCGTGGCGAAGACGAAAGGCGGCCTTTCTAAGTCAGGCGGCATTCGTGGAAAAGCAAAGAGAAGAGCATGTATGATTGCTTAGAAATACAGATTGCAGAAACGAGATGATGCGAGACAGGGTATATAGGATCGGAAAGGGCGCAGTGACAGTGACAGTGTGGTGAGAGCAGACCGGAAAGGCGACGAAGAGACATTGCCAGAGATCCGAGGTGGCTTGAATGGGTCGACGATGCTTGCAGGTGTTTGACTGCTGCCACTCATGCGGCCATCTGATCGGCTGACTCGGCAGGCTTGGGAGCGCGCTGTTTGTTGTCGATACCCATGCCAACGGCTCTCAAGCTCTCCTCGATGGTGTACGCGGGCTCCTGAGTGATCTTCTTGGCCTTTCGCTTGTGGAGTTTGGAGGCGATGTGTGTCAATTGGTCCTTCTGCGAGGGAAAGTTGCGGTCGCATTCGACGCAGTAGAACAGACCGAGACCGGCCTTTTCGACGTCGAGTTCCCTTGGGTTCTGCAGCTCTTCGAGCTTCTTGGGATCGTTGAGGTTGGCCTGGATCTGGTCGGGGTCGAGCTTCCTGGCTCTTGTCCTCATGCCACGCTTGACATCACGTCGTGCGTGGTGGGTCTTTTTGCCGTGTCGTGTGCGCGTCATGATGCGTAAACGAGAGAGAAAAGCAGGTGATACAGTCGGAAGATTGCAACACCCCGTCGTCGATGATGGTGGCGGCAGATGTGGAACGACAGTGAGGCATAGCTCGGCGAATCCAGAACAGCTACGCAAGCAAGGGTCTCTTGCTTTTTCTATGCATCTCGAAATTTTGGAAATTTTGGGAGCGAGACGGTCGCGACTCGATCGCAATCTTGGGAAAGCTAGTCCCGATTTAGCACACTACCGATCGAGGCCCATGCAGCATCACGTGATATAGTACGGCCGAGGTTTGATTGCGACGGAACCGAAGATGAACTCAAGCAGAATTTCGGACAGACTCTAGTCCGCGACTGGCGGCGGCAGCAGCAAAGCGGAAATCCCGATAGGAATCGAGACTGGCGCAACAGGCTCAGCAGCGCAGTGAGCGGTTATTCGAGCACACTGTACCAACACCAAGCCGCAACTCCATCGCGATCTTCTGTTCCACCGTCAAGACCGTCAACACATCACATATCGTCAAAATGGTAAGATATCTATCGACATCGGACAATGCAGAATCGACCACAATGCCAGCCTCATGCCAGTCATGCACGCATCACCACGAGGCAGTCACCAATCCAATCGCAGCAGCAGCAACAGCAGCACGACCAGCAGATCTACATGACCAGCACACTTCGACCACCTTCTAGAACTGTCCGCCTCGATACAGCCTTAGCGGCTTGATCGCTCTGTTCGCGGGATCATTCGCCTTGTTTCAAGGATGTTGGGTATATATGTGATGCAGGCGTCGCAAGGTGTAAGGCTGCAAAATAGTCGGTAGAATGGAGGATGAGATGGCGGCATGGACACGGGACTTCAGGATGGATACGCAGGGGGTCTATGGCCGCGACCCGGTGTTGCTTACGCTCTCCCCGCATTCGTTGCTCGTTCCGTCGCCGGCGTCGTATGGATGCATCACTGTACGCATGGATGTTGAATCGCAACACCTGGACACGCAACGGAACTGGTGTGGATGGAGCATCAAGAACAACTTCTCGTACACAAGCGGCTAAGATGCCCGTTCATGGATGCGTTCAAGCACGTGCTGTCATCGCTGTCATCGTTACACACCGGGTCATATTGAAGCGAAGGAGTCGCCTTGGCTCTTCCAGTTCCTAGGTACGAATGCTGGTCATAAACGCATATCCGACAACGAGTCCATCTTCACCACCTTGGTTAGAGATCGCACCAACACTCAAGGCGCCCTTTCTGCCTCCATTCAGTCTCAATTCGACATGCGTCTCGACATGACACGTTCGGCATTGTCTGGCAAATTCTGCGTTGTCCTAACCCAGCTACTTGTCTTCACGGCACCTTACTAACCTCTACCCATTCCTGCTGGTTCTTCCACCACAGTCTCGTCTTTACGTCAAGGGTAGGATCATGGGCCACAAGCGCTCGCAGCGCGTTGCCAAGTGCCACACCTCCCTCATCAAGATCGAGGGTGTCGAGAAGACCGAGGATGCCAAGTTCTACTTTGGCAAGCGCGTCGCATACGTCTACAAGGCCACCAAGGAGGTCCGTGGCTCCAAGATCCGCGTTCTCTGGGGTCGCATCACCCGCGCTCACGGCAACTCGGGTGTCGTGCGTGCCAAGTTCGCCCACAACATCCCTCCCCAGGCTTTCGCCGCCCGTGTCCGTATCATGCTCTACCCATCGAGCATCTAAGCGTTCCCTCTCGCCGAATTCGATACGACATTTCCTTTCCGACATTCCTCCACTATCACACACATACATCAAAAAGGCGATGATCTCGTCTGTAGATTCGTAGCGTCGCAGCAAGGAAAAGGTCAAGCATGATCGCGATTCTCCGGGGGAGTGTTTGTCACACCCCTTGTGTTTTTAGCAAATCTGGTTCTCTTTTCTTCTTTCTCATTTCTTTTGTCGGCCTTCCTCGCGCGAACACGATCGACTCCAGCTGGCTACCCCTTCTTCCGACGACTGCATCCACATCACAAAAGGCAATGATCAACTCACATACGCCGCACCACCTCCCACACACACACACCATGCATCTTGTGACGCGTTCCACCCATGAACGACCGTCATACACACATTTTTTTCTACTCTTTGCACCAAAAGAAATGCAGAACATACGCCCAAAAGACTTGCCTACTTCGACCTGGCCTGAATTACCTCTCTTCGCTTCCTTGTGATGTTGAACACGTTGTCCGGTGTTTTCGAAGGTTGACCCTCGCCCGCCGCTCCCGTATACACGCCAAACAATACTCTCCTGTCACATCTAGTCGCGAATCTTTTGTGCCCCCACGATTCGCGACTTAAAATAGACAGGAAACATTGATCAACCCGACAACCACCTCCCCTTTTTGGGGGTAATGGTCGTTGGCAGAGCGGTTCTTGCAGATCGTCCCTGATTCCCAATCATGAAGGTGTAAAACGTTTTGAAGGGATCGCACATTTTTTTTCTTGCCACCTCCCGTCAAGTCTTTCACATGTTGGGTTTGGTTTTATTGAAGATGAAGTTCAACATCACGCAAAGTTTTGGCGAAAGAGATATACTGTATGGTGAGATGCTTTGTTGTAGGAAATGCAAGTTGATACAAATACATGCTATGCTGTGGTGAAAGAGAGTGTGCAGTGTCAATTGTCAGACGGTGCGTCGGGATTGACCCGAGTGTATTGGGAGCGATCAGGAGTCTGACTCAGAGTCCTTCCGAATCGACCGAAGAGAGTGTTCCGTATCGAAGCGACACCCTGCATCGGTCGGAAGGATGGAAATCTGAGCTCGCCACCGATGGTATTGCGGGCGAGGATGAGCCACATGGGAGGCCAAGAGTCGTCGGCTGATACCGGTCCCAGACCCCTGTACGGTTCGTCTTGTTCGGTGACCGCCGGTGTGGTATTGCGTGGACGTCGAGAGAAGCGTCGAATGCGACTCGTGTCTGGTCTATTGGAAGGTTCTAGAGGTATTGGTGGGGATTGTGGGGATGGTGCAGGATCCGGAAGAGTTTCTTCGGCGGGTGGATCTGGTAAGAACTGTCGGGCCAGGATCTGGTCGTATATCGGTCGCAATCGTACAACTGCAACGTGATGGGTGAGGCTGGTATGCTGTCTCTTCCTCTCGTCATCCTGATCCAGCCCGAACAGATTCGCCTCTTCATCGCGCACATTCCAACCCTGACCCAAATCGTCCTCGTCAAACAACGTCGTTCGATCGTCCAGCTCGCTCGGCTCCTCGTCGCCCTTCACCTCATCCTTTCCCATCTCGAAAGCGATGACAGTCATCAAAAGCTGCGCGCCCCATACGACCGCATCGATGAGAAGCATGTGTAGTCGACCGGGAAGGGTGGTGTGACCGACAAAGTCGATTAGGATCGATTCCCCGGTATTCGTCTTGCTTGCGGGAGTCCACAAGTGTACTAGGGCCCAGGTGAGGTTGAGCGAGCAAAGAAAGACGACGATGAAGGGTAAGGACCATGTCGGGCAGATCTGCAGAGGATTGCAGAACTGGACTTGCAGGGCAGCCTTGACAAGGAGGAGGAAGGTGCGGTTGTCGAGAAGCCATGTGTAGACGAAGAGGACGAAGCAAAGCAGATCCAGCGACTGGATGAGCTCCTTCCTCTCGAAGTACATGGTTGTATCGGCAGGCTGATGCGCTCACGATCCCATTGCTGCCATGTCTGCGGTGGAGCTGAGGTCGATGCAGAGGATCGTCGTTGCAGAGACAGACAGTCAATCAGCGCGTCGTTCCCACGTTTCTTCGGAAGGTCCATGCGCTCGTCGGGCTGCTGCCGAGATGTCGCTGTGACTTGTTGAGAGGTGGAGCTTGGCAGCGAATCGGAACTCGCCTGGCACCGCGTAGCTGAACATCGGGTGATTCTAAATTTGGGCGAAGGTGGACCCTTGAAATGCAAGTCACAGACGCGCTTTAAGCGCTTTCGACAGTTCGCGTTGCTTTCGGCTGCTCTCCGACTGATTGACAGCATTGCCGTTCTTTCCCTTTCCTTGTTGTTCTTCTTCACCACCATCTCAGACACTCGCCTGCTACGTCGCGAGCAGCATTCGGTCGACGCCGTCGGATCCCTCTCCGGTGATGTACCCGGCGTACGCAACCGCCTACCAAGGCGTGGAGGCTGGCCCCTCTCGTCCACGTCTCGACCCACCTCGTGCTCCATCACCTTCCGAGCTCGGCCTCAAACCCAAAAAGCGCCGGCGCCTTCAGTTCTCCTCTGAACTTCGCAGCAACGCCATCCAGCGATACAATCCGGATGGCACCGAGACCGTCGAATACCTCCATCAGCAATCCACCCAACGACTAAAACGCAAATGGGACAGCATCTTTGAACGTTTCAAGGATGCGCACCTGCAGGACCAAGACGAGATCTACCTGGGCAACCGTGCCAACGGCGAACCCATTGTTGTGGTCAAAGACAGGGGCAGCTTGAGGAGCTTGAGGCAGAGCATGGAATTTGGCGTGTTCATCAAGGATGAGGAGCTTCAGGGCTGGAAGGATCGACCAGAAGCCAGAGAGATGCAAGAGCAGGAAGACGAGTACGAGGATGAGTTCGATCCGCCACATGCGCCTATACATCCATCGCAGCTGGTAGGTGCATCGAGTAGCGAGTCAGAGCAAGACGAGGATGATCCAGCAACGAACGATCCAGATCTGCGCGAGTTCCTGCAGGCCGAGGCAAGGCGCAAAGCTATGCTTGGCAGACCTGACGAGGGCAATGGCGAGGGAGAAGAGGAGGATGAGGTCATCGACTTTGGACATCCCATGTGGAATACCTACGAGCCTGCACAGGTGGCTCCAAAAGCCTCACCGAAGCCATCAACTACAGCTCGCCGACCAGACCGATCGAACGCGTTGCCCCGAGCGACACCAGACGCGCCAGACCTCATCACCTCATCTTCGGAAGACGAAAACGACTCTGACATCGCCACAGTGCACAGCGACTCGGACGAAGAGCTCATTGACTCCGTCCGTACCAAGCGTCAAAACATCGAAGAGCTACTTAAGTGCACAGCGCCCTTCGAAACTTTGCCGTACAACGATATCTTTGGACTGGCTGACCTGCTGAAGATTTCGGATAATACTTCGCGTCTTTACGTCGATCTCGTGTCGGATGACGACGACGAGGAGGAGAAGATTGTCAAGGTAGAGAAGGCGGCCGTGGAGGCAATCGAGGTCAATGGCTCGCTGCCGAGTTCTACGCGAGGAGAACCGGGTATCGAGAGCTCCGACAAGATCGACGTGATCGAGATCAGCAGCTCTTTGCCCACGACAAGCCCTCTACGCATCGTCAGCTCTCTGCCAAATTCATCAATCGTCGCCGATGCAACTTCCTCGCCGTTGTCGGAGATGCCGTGTTCACGAGGATCTTCGGTGGTGGCTGTCGCGCCTCCTTCCTTGCGAGCCCTGTCGCCTTCACGGACATCGTCACCTTTGGGGCACAGATCGCCTTCTGTACATAGCTCGGATGAGCAAGTGGCTGAGATTCGCCTTCCGTCCAGCTTTCCGTCGATGCAAAGCACGCAGCCTAGTCAATCGCACGCGCGTGAAGCGACGCCACCTGCAGCTTCCTTTCGCGACACACCAAAACCAGCTACGCTAGCACGGACGATATCTGATACCCCAGCGCAGGTCTTGCCTCGTCGCGAAAGCCACTCGCCGATACATACGCCTTCCTGCCAGCTCTCAATTCCTGATCGTCACGTCGCATCATCAACACCGTTGAGCGCCTCGCCGTTCAAGCTACCCACATCTACCAGCGCACCCCTCCTCACATCAGACTCCTCATCTAAGCGTGACCGCCAACATCACTCGTCCACGTCCTCCAAGCATCGCTCATCAGATCGACCCACCAAACACCGCAGCCATCGTCACAGCAGCGGCAGCAGCACTGGCGGGGCTTCGCATCGCAACTCACGCTTCGAAGAACCCCCCCACTCCTCCGATCTCGATTCCACAAACCGCAAAAGCAAGAAGAGAAAATGTGGTGGACCGGGGCAGTGCAAAAAGACATTCTGCCTGGAATGTGCTAGTGCTTTACGATGATGGTTTCTTGCTCGCAACAAGTTTTCTGATTTCTAAAAGACAACGAAGAGAGAGACGGGATGTGAGGGATCGTTTAGGCTTTGAGGTTGAAGAGGGTCTTGTTGCGGACGAGGAGTTGCTCGATCAAGAGGGTGCAAGCTTGTTCTTTGGGGTCCTTGATGGAGCCTGCGAATTCAAAGTTGGTTGCGGAGAGGTGGTCGAACGTGACGGTGACTGTGAAGGAGAGTGAGTGGCTGTGTGAGTGGGAAAGGACGAGATGTTCGAGGATGTCAGTTTTTGACTTCTTTGAGAGCGGAGAGGGTGGGTGTGGGGGAGGACTTACGCAGCACCAGTGGAGGTGTGGTTGAACGTGGGATCGTCTACGCTCATCTGAGCGGCGTATTCTGTTCGAACCCCAAGAACGATCCAGTCCGTCAGCTCTGCTACAAACATTCGTTGCCACTGCCGACTGAGATGGGCAGAAACTCACCATGAAGCTGTGAAACACTCGACCTGCTCTTATCCCACATCACCGCTCTACCCTTCCCCTTCCCCCTGATCTTTACGTACAATGGAACATCATTCGTATCTTCCTCCGAACTATCTTCTCCACCAACGATTCCTCCAAAGGTTCCATCTGGGATAATGCCGAATGCCTCGGACATGGTCTTTCTCTTGGGTGTAGTGGGGGAGGCGGTGGAGGTGGAGGAAGTGTCCTTGTGCGGGAAGGCGGTGCTGAGGTAGTCCGGGATGGATTGACCTCCAGCAGCGAAGAGGTTGGCCGACGTGCGGGTTGTGGGACTATCAGGGTCGGACATCTTGATCAAGTGTGATTCGCTACGAGCTCTAGATGAGGTGATTGCTGTCGAGATCTCACGATGGGGGGCGAAGGAAGGTAGAGGGCAGCGAAGCGATCCAAGTCAATCCTATATATGTCTTCCTCCTTCCTCCGCACCGCCCCCACTTCCCGCACCTTGCCCCTTCTCCTCCTTCACCCGAGCTGAGCAGTCCTGATACCCAATCTTCAAAGCCTTGTATGCTGCAGACAAAGCCTTCCGCAGCTGCGAAAGTCCTTCGCCGTTGATAGTCAGAAGACATCCGACAAATGCGCAGCCCCGCCAAGAACCCTGTTTCGCAAATTGACAGCCGCGCGCTCGCGTACCCGGGCACGTGTGTGTCAAACCCCTCATCTCCCTTTCCCATCTCCACCTCATTTCGGCACCTTCCACCGAACCTTACTTCCGATAACAACCTTGTGCTCCCGCAGACACACATCACTTCGTCGAGTCGGGAAACCACTTTATTGCAGTCACAAAAAGGAGATTTTCTATAACGGTGAAGCTGAGCACAGGAGAAGACCAACAAAAGCATACGAGAAAAAGGAAACAAAAGGGAGAAACGCCGCAACTGCTCTACTGTTTGAGGAAAGATGAGACAACCCCTCAGTCGTCTCAAGCAGACCTTGGTCCAGAGTGGCAGCGCGGCATGTAGAATCGTGTGTGTATAGGGGGTCTTGATGTCGAGAAAGTTGTGGAATGCCTTCAAAGACGACTGGTCGAACGGTCGCGGTAGAGGATGCAAGCGGATCCCTCAATCCGATGCTGCCTCCATCCTGGACAGAGTCCTGCCGCAAAGGAAACAAGCCCCAGACATCAACCAAGACTATCGGCGCGTGTTTACTTCAACGAAGCAGCCAACTGCGCCCTGAGTTCAGGATCCAATGTCGAGATCTGAGCCAAGATGTACTGAGCCTTCAACTGCTTGCTCGCCGCCAGCAACTGACCAGCCGATGCCTCCAGATGCTCAGCCACCGCCTTGTCATCATCGCTCGCCGCCGCGCCCACGAACTGTCGCAGAACGGCCACCCTCTCCACGTGCTTCAGCACCGGGTTCGCCTCCGCGATCGTTCGCTCAGCAGCGACCTCGGTCAACCTCCTCCTCAGACGCCAGTAGAAGTAGCGCCTTGCGTTCTCCCACGGCAGCGCCGATCGCAACACTCCAGTGGCAAGCATGCGTCCTGCACGGTCGTGCGCATCGGCGTACTCGGTAGCGATCGCCGTGAAGATGGGCGCGAGCTGCTTCTCCCGCTCCGCCAACGCCTTGCGCGCGGTGGTCTGGGCAGTAAAGTCGGTCGCCTCGGCAGCTTCCTTGCTGAGCTTGGCGTAGACGCTGTCGAGACGCTCCATGGTTGCGCGCTGCTTGTCGGCACGGTACTTGATCTCGACGAGACCCGATGCCTCGAGCACACCACCGCGGGCGCTGTTGACGTCGGCCGACATCTCGATCATGCCGTTGTCGTTGATCGCAGAGTCGACCACAACCCACGAACCACCGCGCAGCTCACCCATGGGCGGAATGTGAACAAACACGGGCTGCTTGTACGACGAGAGACCGTCGACGATCTTGGAACCCTGCTTGAGGATCTCGTCGTACATGTCCTGCTGACCACCCGAGAATCCACGCCAGTTGGCCAGGATGACGAGGGGAAGACCCTCCTTGTCAAAGTCCCAGATGGCTTGGGCAGTCTTGTACGCCGAGTTGGGGTACCACACCTGACCGGCTTCCATGATGCGCTGCTCGGTCGAGTTGGGGTTGGCAGGGTCGGCGGGGACGACACGCTCGAGCGTGCGGGTCTCGACAGCAATGACACCGACGGGAATACCGCCGAGGCGAGCGCGACCGGTGACGACCGAAGTGGCCCAGCCACCGAGGGTCTCGACGAACGAGCCTTCGTCGAACAGACCGGTGAGCTTGCTGCCGTCTTCCGCCTTGGTACCGTTAATGAGCCATCGTGGGTCGTAAGGACCGCGAGGAGGCTGGTAGGTGACGGCACGATCCCAGCTGTCGGTGGTGGGCATGATCGGAAGAGGTCCGTTGCGCTGAGCAGGAACGTACGACATCCAGTTGACAAAGGCCTTCACAGCGTCCAAGTCATCCTGAGCAGTGAGGTGCGAGACACCGTTCTTGTACATGATCTGAGGACCGCCGAGCTGCAAGTTTGAGGTGTACACCTCACGTCCAAGCAACTTGTTGAGCGCCTGGTAACCAGTGAGGATCAATGGCGATCCCTCGACCTGGATGACACGCTCGCCGAGACGAGCAAGGTAGGCACCGATACCGACACTTCGTCCAGTGACGATGGTGGCGGTAAAGATTTGGTCCTTGGCGCGGCTGGTCTCACCCGCGATGAGACCACTGCCCGACAAGCACTCGACACCGAGACCCTCGTGAGGCTTGCCGATGATATCGGTGATGATGTTGTGGATGGTGCCGTCGGCTGCTTGAACGGGCTTGGTCATGACGCTGTTGGGCGTCTTGGCTTGAACAGCCTGAAGCGACTGTTCATCGAGATAAATGTACTCGAAGCCTTTGGCGGGGTCGTCGCCGACGAACTTGACCTTGAACAGGTCGAGAGCCTCGGTGGCCAAGCCGATACGGGCACCCGAGTTGGCCGAGATATAGAGACGAGGCACGCCAAGCTCACGGGCCAGCTTGGAGGCAGCAGCGAAGAAGCGGTCCTCAATAGGGCCGAAGGAACCGGCTTGGATGGTGACATCGTTTCCGATGACCACAAGCTTGCGTCCAGTCGGGTACTCAGGGGTGAGCACCTCGACGAGCCAAGCGACCATGCCGATGGTGTTCATACCGGGGGCTCGCTTGACCTCGCGCAGGTTCTCCTGCTCGTCCAGGACCAGCTCAACAGCCGACTTGATGACCTCGCCGGGAATCTTGCTGGCGGCGACCTTCCTCCACGACGCGCGCACGGCCTGACCGAGGACGTCGATGAAGTCGTACACGAACGTGGTCTGCAGAGCGTGGGCGCGCGAACGTCGCGACTGGAGTGCCACCTTGGTGGTGTAGGCAAAGTGAGCGCTCTGAGCGTTGAGCGTGGCCTCCTTGCCCGCAGGCGCGATGCCGCGGAGGACGACAGAGCCGTCGTCGGCAGCAATCTCCTCGTAGGACTCGTAGCGCACCACGAGACCGGTCTCGTTGGTGACGAAAGCTCGGATGGGGCGAGGCTCGCCGTTGGGACCGTTGAGGATCATGCGGATCTCGGCACCGGTGATGCGGAGACGGAAGAAGCGGGTGCCATGTCGCTCAAGGAAGCCGGCGATGGCCTTCTCAACATCTTCCAGGCTGACGTCGAGCTGGTAGATGAACGACATGAAGATGTGCGAAGCATCGGCGGTGCGGTACTCGGCCTGGCCGAGCGCAACCTCGATGACGTTGAGAATGTCGTTGACGATGCGGTCCGACTCGGAGACGAGGTAGGCGGCCATATCGCCCTGAACGCGTCCAGGACGCACGAGCGAACGGACAAAGAAACGGGTGTCGGCCGAGTTCTGGATACCACGGGCAAAGTAGAGGTGGATGGTCGAGGACGAGACCGGCACAGGAGTGAGCTCGAAGTTCTTGCTGACCCTGTCGAGCTCAAGCTGGTAGGCAAGCGCGGGCTCGATGTTGCGGATAGCCTTCTCCTCGGTCCAGAGGCCCTGCTCGTTAGGACGGAAGGTAGCGAAGAAGGGATACATGCCGGGCTGGCAGAGCAGGTAGGTGACGCGGCGAACGCGGGCAGCACCGAACTCCTTGCTGCAAGCGTTGGTGTACTGGGCAAGCTTGCTGCGGACCTCGGCATCGACAAAGTCGGTTTGGTCCACCACAGCAACATTGAGCACGTTGATGGGCGCACCGCTGGACCCGGACGACTTGAAGAATTTGAGTACCTTGGGGAGGAGGTCAGGAATGTCGCCGACGTCGGCACAGCTGGTCATGGCACCAGTGCGGAGCTCGTGGATGGGGCGAGCCCTCTTGTTGTCCATCATGGAGAGATCGCTAATGGACACCTGGCGCTCACGCTCCTTGAGCGAGTTCGCGCTTCGCGGCAGCTGGAACTGCCAGGTGAGCACGGCACGCTCCTCGACGTCAAAGTCCTCGACGGCGTAGTCGAAGTTGACGATCTCGTAAGCACGGTAAGCACGAACCACGTAGGTGCAGAGCGCAGCGAAAGCGACGTGGTGCTCGCGGTGGCCAAAGAAGCTGTGCAACACATCGTAGACGCTGTATTGCGAGTCGCTGAGCTCGCGGAGAACCTCGAGCGAAGGAGCGTGGTACTCGTCGTCACCACCGTACTTGGAGGAGGTGACCGAGCCACGGAGAATGGCCTGCATCTGAGCAGAACGGTCGGCCAAGCTGGGCATGTCGGCGTCCAGCGAGACCTCACGGGCCTTGAGGGCGACAGGTGCGGTCGACTTGCCCTGAAGCGAAGCAAGCTTGCGCAGAGCCTCGATCATCTGAGCGCCGCTCGTACGCGAGACGAGCGAGGTGCCCTTGATGTGCTTGTCGAGAAGGGTGAGCAGCAGAGCGTTCTTGCGGTTGATACCGTTGCGCGAAGTTTGAAGAGCAACGACCTTGTCGAGGTCGCCATCGGCCTTGAGACGGAGCTCGAGCACGACGTCAGCCTCACCGGTGAACTGAGACTCGATGTCGTAGTACTTCTGGAGGAACGAGGCGAGAACGTTGCCTTCGTGAGCCTTGAGACCGCCAGCGTAGGCCTCAAAGAGCTGGTAGAGCGGGGAAATGGTGATCTGCACCTGACCACGGATGGCAGGGTCCACGCTGTCACGGAGGAAGTTCTCGGTGAGCTTGCGCAGACGAGCGGCGGGGAACTCGATGTTCTTCGAGTGCCCCATCTCGATCGTGTTGCGCACCGCCTCCTCGAGCCTGGCAGGGATACGGCCACCCAAGCTGGACAGGATCTGAGAGGCCTGGCCGTAAGGCAGCTCGGGGTTGCGAAGCGTCTCGATGAGCTCCTTGATGACGGCCTGCATGCGGAAGCTCTGATCGTAACCGTCGAGAATGTCGTTGAGCACCTCAACAAGAGCGGTGTAGCGCTGGTGGGGCTTGTTGCCGACGATGACGGGCATGCCAAAGTCGGGAAGTTGACCAGCAAAGGGCTTGGCGTGCTGCACACGACTAGGGTCATCGAGCGAGAGAATGCCAATGATGTCTCCGGGGCTGAGAGCAACACCGGCGGTCTTGACAAACGAGACGACACCGTCCTCGGCGGCAACGAGTGGCAGGTACATCTTCATGACCTCGATCTCGGCAATGGCCTGGTTGGCCTTGACGTGGTCACCGGACTCGACGAGGAAGCGGACGAGCTTACCAGGCGAGGGCGAACGGATCTGGGTAGGATCGTTCTCCTGCTCGATGAGGCAGGTCTTGGAGTCGACCATGAGACGAGTCATGCCGACCTCCTCACGCCAGTAGACGGGGTGCGACTTGCCGGACAGACCAATGAGCAGACCGCCGTCGGTAAGAGGTCGCAGCTGAACGAGCGTACGTCCACCGTTGAGATAAAGGACCCAGCCAGAGACGGAGCTGCGCGTGGCGGTGAAGTTGTACTTGACGTTCTCGTAGATGAAGTCGATGGAGAAGACAGTCTTGATAGTGTCGCGAGGTGGCACCTGACCCTTGTTCAGGATGCGCTTGTACTCGTCCTCGCACTCGCGAGCAAGCAAGTGAGCCTTGACGGCAGCACCGCAGATGACAGCAAGGTCGGCAGGAGGTCGCTCGGCGGTGAGACGGTCCTGGATGAGGCCGTCGAGCCAGCCGGTGGTGATCTTGTTGGATTCGAAAGCGTCGGTCTCGAGCAGCTTGATGAGGTACTCGACGGTGGTACGGAAATCACCGCGAATCGAGAGCTCCTTGAGCGAGATGACCATCTGCTTTCGAGCCTCGGATCGGTCGGCGCCGTAGGCGAAGATGTGACCGAACTGCGAGTCGGCGTACTCGTGGAGAGCACCGCTGGTACCGACCGAGAAGTATCCCCAGGTGGAGGTGCTGGATCGGAAGTTGAGCTCGGTGAGGGCACCCATGCCGGGCTTGAAACCGGTATCGGGGTTCTCGGCGGTGATACGGCAAGCGACGACGTGGCCCTGAGGCTGAGGCTTGCGCTGCGTCTTGAACGATTCGGGGCTGGAAAAGTCAAAGTCGATCACCTCGTTGCCGCGAGGGTCCATGCCGTAGAGGGTTCGAATGTCGCGGATCGAGTAGAGCGGGATACCCATGGCAACCTGGAGCTGGGCGGCGGGGATGTTGACGCCGGAGACCATCTCGGTGGTAGGATGCTCGACCTGGAGACGAGGGTTGAGCTCCAAGAAGGCATAATCGCCCGACTCGGGAGAGTAGAGCCACTCGACGGTACCGGCAGAGACGTAGCCGACGAGCTTGGCGAGACGCACGGCAGCCTTCTCCATGGCCTCTCGGGCATCCTCAGGAGCGATGGTGACGGGAGCTTCCTCGATAATCTTTTGGTGACGACGCTGGACGGAGCAGTCACGACCAAAGATGCTGATGGCGTTGCCGTACTGGTCGGCAAGCAGCTGCACCTCGAGATGGCGAGCCTGCCCGGCGAGCTTCATAACAAAGACGGGCGAGCCGGGGACCTCACCGAGAACGGCGTTGTAGAGCTGCTTGAATTCTTCGCCGTTGGTGCACTTTCGGATGCCCTTTCCTCCACCACCCTCGGAAGCCTTGATCATGACGGGGTAGCCGATCTTTTCGGCCTTCTCGAGACCCTCTTCGGCGGTGTGGATGCAGGCCTGCTGGTAGACGTCATCGGAGACGGTGAGGAAGCCCTGCTCGCTCATCATGGTCTCCTTGATGCCCGTACCGGACCAGGGCATGCATGGCACATCGGCATGCTGGGCAACGATGGTGGACGAGATCTTGTCACCGAGCGAGCGCATGGCCGAACCGGGAGGACCGATGAAGATGATTTTGTGCTTGGAGGCAGCGAGCGACTCGGGAAGTCGCGGGTTCTCGGAGGCGTGACCCCAACCGGCCCACACGGCATGGACACCGGCTCGCTCTGCGACATCGACGATGAGGTCGACATTGGCGTAGTTGTTGTTGTTGGAGCCACCGGGCACCTCTACGTACTGGTCAGCCATACGGATGTAGTCGGCGTTGACCTTGAGATCCTCGGGGGTAGCCATGACGGTGAATTCAATGGCGCGTTCATCGCCAAAGGTCTCGTAAGCCCATTTTCGGATGGAACGGATCTCCTTGACGGCGGCGATACCGTTGTTGCAGATGAGCACCTTGGTGATGACACTGTGACCGCCCTGCTTGCGGATGAAGTCGGCAACTGCGCCAGCGGGAGCGGTCTCGAGCGGGTTTCCGCCTGGAATTGCAGAGCACGTACACAGTCAGAGGTCAGCATATGTTTCCTTTCAGGTCCATCGAGCTCTCGACCGTTCTCAGGTACTTACCGATAAAGTGGCTGACGGCCTTGTGGTCCGGGGGCGGCATATTGAAGATTGTCCGATTAGGAAGACACTGGGAATCGGAGACTGAGACGATGAGAATTTATTTCCAGATGAAAAACCGGAGGAGGGATACACGTAGTCGCTGGAAGGGCGATGGGACAAGTCCTTGTTTGGCTTATTCGACGTTCGAGAGAGGGAGCTCGACCGCGGCGAATGCGACCGATGTTGTGGTGATAGAAGAGGAAGACTGAGGGGTTCTTGACGTAGTGTTTAACGGCAAGGAGAGATGATGCGGCGACAAATCTCTTCGGTGGTCTGCGACTGTCAGCTGGAGGGACGAGCTGAGCAGAGAGGTTTTGTGTGGGCTGCAGCAAGAAGATCAAGGGTGAGGGAAACCTTGATGATGATGCGACGAGTGCGAAAGGAGTCGGAGCACTTATGGACGGTGAGTCGATGGTGTTGACGATCACAGCAAGGCGTGAGAATCTGGAGGGAGGAGGAGGAGGGATGATGGTGTCGGTAGTTGCGACAGTGATGGTGAGGGGAGAAGGAGCAGCTGCGCCGAGGGAAGTGATGATATCAAGATCTGCTGGGTGACCCGACGAGTCTCGGAAGGGCCGACGCAAACAAGGTTTCTGGTGGTCCGATGCTGTGTTGGAGGAGAAGGGGTGGTCGAGGCGAAACCAATTTTTTGGAAGAAAGACACACAGACACACACGGAGAGATGCACATCAAAAAGCATCTGGTCAAGGCGGAACTAGCGGCACACACAGTGTCAGCCGCCAGGGACGAGATTTGCAAGCTGGCTGAAGCGCATCCTGCACTTGCATGTCGGCCTATGATGACCGCCAAAACCATCCCGACTGTCGAATTTGTCTTCTCGTGAGCCAGTATAAGCAACAGCGACAGCATCAGCATCAGCATCACCGCTCTGCAATGCTGTTGTCGATTTGCATCAGGATGCACTGACCAGACACGAAAAGCGAGGAACACGTTATGCAGCCTTCCAAAAGTTGACATCGCCCGTGCCTTTTTTGCTCAACATTTCCAAAGCAAGAAAAATCCACATCAACACCCACAGCAAATGCCAAAATCTGCCTCGGCTAAGCTTATCCTCTCCAAGACCCTTTTTTTGCTTTTTGGCCTACCCTGTGCCTTCGCCATCACCTTTGCGAAACGCGCTCTCTCTGACCCTGTTGTTCCCCCACCCAAGCAATCGCTTCGCTGCCTCCACAGTGGACATTTTGGCTGTTGGTCAGTGGTGCGGAATTATTTTTATATTCGAATATGATTTAAAAATAAATAGACCGGCAGCCCGCTTCCTCTGCCCCAAACGAAGCGACTGGCGCATATCATCATCGATTTGGATTGATCGTTGCATTGGAATACCGAACCGGCTCTCCACTCTACCCGCTTACCTGCTCTTCGCATGCTTTGCGATAGAACATTCGAGCAAGCCGACCGTATCACTTGGGCTTCGTCGTTGCTGATAAGACCATGCTCCATGCTCTCCATACCTCGCTGAAAGCTGCTTGCGAAAGCAGAAGCGGTGTTTCGAAAGAACAGAGAGAGAGGGGCAGGGTTGGCGTTCCGAAATCAGACGTTGTAATTGACCGCGAACTACAAATCCGACGCGCTTTGTGCTGCCTCCCGAGAGCTTGTGTCTTTTCGGTGTTCCACTCTCGATGATCTCTGGTCAGACTGGAGCTCTGACAAGCCTGTCGAGGGTCAGAGTTCCTTTTCGTATCTACCATGATGATTCGAGAGAAAGGTCCTCCCGAGAGTGTCGTCGAAAGTGTCGTTTCGACGACATCGCACTAGCAACATACGAGCTGATGTTGGGAAGAATCAACCGACCAGCAGCCGAGTCGGGTGGTGCGTTTCTAACACTATCGGGCCAGCCTCACCCGATCTTGGAGCGGATTGTACCGGGATGCGTGGGGTTGCATTCTGTGGTCGTTTCTCTCTTTCAAGGCAACACAATGTGGGATGGGGGCAGAGCCATGGTTGGGTGGTCTCCACGCCGGCACCAGTACGAATCTGACTTACCAAAAGTTCGATATCGTCGCCCTCAGTTGTTGGGGGCGCCGGCTAAAAGCGAAAATAAATTAGAATAAATTGAAGAAGAAAGTCTCTGCACAATTTGGCAGGTGGACGTGAGGAAGCAAGAGCTCTCTAGAAGACCACAGCATCACAGTGCACTTACACCTTTGCCGTTTGCCTCTTGGCTCGTCCAAGATCTCGGTCTGCAATGCCGACCCGCTTGGCGCGGCGATTGGTGCAGCATACCACACGCCGGCAGCATCTCGCCCTGCTCCTGCTTCTAGTGTGCCACGATGTGAGAGGTTTGCTCCGGTCAACAGTCTGTGCCGAATCTCGCCGACTCTTGACAGGCAGATGCCTTGACACGACCAAATGCCGCCCACGTCCATGAGCTGGGGTCGATGATGTCTCGTTGCACTCTGATTTCGATGCGGTTACATCCTTGGCACTCCTACTCCACGCACGCTTTGTATGGTCCTGCGTCTCAGTCAAAGCCTTTTTGAAAGGCTTCCGGGGCAGCTGGATTGACACGAAGCCTGTCTGTAGCATAGACCTCCCGCTTCAGATGCTGTAGCTGACCCTTTGTTTAGCGTCAATTTCTTCCGCGTAGATAAAATTGTCATTTTGGCCCTGAAAAAAATGGCATCGAAAAAGGGGGTCCAATAATGCTGCTGGAGCGTGTCGCCGACCGAGACATTGTGACGGCTGCGCACTGCAGCGCGATTCGCCGCGTGTCACCTTCCTTTTTGTGAGTGTTGTACTCCACACGACAGCCGCGTGTTTGCAAATCTAGCGTTGGGCTAAGGCTGAGTCGCCCAAGGTGCAGCCTCCATCATCCCATCGATCAACACCACGCAACTGCGTTCACTGTCCACATCCGATGGCTGTGTGCATCGGCACGTGCTGCATCATCGGGCACTGCCGAAGCTCCCCTTGAAGTCTGCGCGCACGTCGCTCATTCGACGGCAATATGAGCGACGAGACCAACAGCTCAGCCGGCGGCAACACCCTCTGGCTCACCTTCCTCGCAGCCTGGACCGAAGAAGCGCAGGCAAAGGGGTCCAAGGTGGCGCGCACCTATCGAAAGGCGCATCAATCGCTGGCAGTATGTCCGATCGAGTTCCAGCATCCATGCCAGACGACTCAGCTTGCGGGCATCGGCCCGACGATCGCAAACAAGCTCGAGCAAGAGTTGCAGAAGTGGTGCCAAGACAACGGTCGCACTATGCCGGAGCGACCCGTTCGTCAAGCGTCCTCCTCGAAGCAGACTATTGAGAACACAGATGCTGTCGGACCTGAACAGGAGTCGAGCGCTGCGGCCAAGAGGAAGCAGACAGGAGCAGCGGAACGTCCGACCAAAAAGAGAGCCTACGTGCCACAGCATCGATCCGGCGCCTACGGCCTGCTCGTCGGGCTATTCATCACAACGAGAGCCAGCAGCTCAACACGGCAGGAGAGGGTCTCGAAGACGCAGCTCATCAACGCGGCGAAGCCCTATTCAGACACTGAGTACGAAGTGGGAAGCTCATCGTCTCGATCCTCGGCTGCGGTTCCACTCTCGAGCCAGTATGGCACGTCGGGAGGTGCGGGCGGCTCCCGGTCGTTCTACACAGGCTGGACGAGTATCAAGACGCTCATCGCCAAGGGATACGTACTTCAATCGGGGAATCCGGCAAGGTACGCTCTCAGTGACGAAGGGTCGGCGATAGCAGAGACTCTAGCCAGAGACGCAGGTGTAGAGCACTCTGCAGCAGTAACAACAGCTGATGATGCTGGAGATTACGACGATGATGCGGAGCTCGCTGACGAGTGGTCAGACGGCGAACAGGAAGAGGCGCTGCAGGCGCGTGTATCGACGTTCGAACCAGAGGTGCTTGCGGCGGGTAGCTACACGATCCATCTGGTCGTCGACAATCGTGAGCGACATCGAGCGGGAAGGCGTCAGGAGAAGGAGCCCATCGCAACGCTGCTTCTCGAACGCGGCGTTGACACGGAGACGAGGGCGCTCGAGGTGGGCGATGCAGTCTGGATCGCACGTCGAAAGCAGCCAACGGGCCTGGAAGCCGACGAGGTGGTGCTGGATCACATCGTGGAGCGCAAGAGGCTCGACGATCTCACCAGCTCGATCCTGGACGGCAGATGGAGGGATCAAAAGTTTCGACTGTCGTCGTCTGGATTGTCCAGGGTGCTCTACTTGATCGAAGACTACGACGTGGAAAATCAGATGCGCAAGTTTGGACCGCAGATCCAGACTGCGCTGAGCAGCTCGCAAGTGGTGGACGGCTTCTTTGTCGAGCGCACATCTGGACTCACGGCGAGCATCGACTATCTGGCATCGATGGACGGCATGGTACGCAAGATCTACGAAGGTCAGGATTTGTCGGTGATACCCAGCGCCGTCATCTCCCGCTCGAGCTTCTTGGATACTCGGGAGGAGCTGCAGCGCAAATCTCCCACGGCCTCGATCCTGACATCGTTCGAGGCGTTTCAGGCGCTCAACAGCAAGAGCGGTGGGCTGACGTCCAAGGAGATCTTTGGCAAGATGCTGCTGTGCATCAAAGGGATGAGCGCGGAAAAGGTGCGCGAGGTGCTCACCATGTACAGCACGCTACGAGAGCTCACGGACGCGTACGAGGAGTTGGGCGAGGATGCGAACGAGGTCGAGACGATGCTGTCCACGCTTACAGAGAGTATGGATCAGCGGAAGAAGATCGGACCCGCGCTGAGTCGCAAGGTGGCCGAAATTGTGTTGACGCCTCGCTACGCAGCAGAGTGAGGCGGTGAAGCAGGTTCCTATTCGGTCCGCACAGACTGTCGACGTGTTCCATTCGCAAGACCTACGATCTCATCGTGTTCTCTCTCTGTATCCGTCAAAAGTCGGTCATTGTACCAAGATGTCTCAATGTAGGTCTGTGTTCATGGTCAGGCAACGAGCAAAAGGGATGCTGTTGCCTTATACGGCGGAGTGAGTGGGAGAGTGTCTAGTCGTGCGAGTGAGCAGACACCAGTGCCTTTCGGGTGAATTCGAGAGACCCTGATTGGCTAAGCGGAGCGCGTCAAAGGGTGAGATTTTGAGGGATTACAAATAGGCAACTGCAGAGCGCGACGTTGAGAAATTGAATTGGGAAGCTGGAGTTCCCGAAATTGAAGATGGCTTGGTTGAAATGTGCGGATGCGCTAGGTGTGCAGTGAGATGAAATTCAAGAAGAAAAACACGGTTGCAGATGGGCACAATGTTGTGGGAGAGTTATTTCAAATCAAAGGCATGGCAGCGCAGCGCAGCGACCAGTGCGAAGCGAAAATTCCCGCTCGAGAGATGAACCGGAACGACGAGACGAGCGAGTGAGAGAGACGCAGACAGCTCTCGGAATGGAAATTGTGCGCTCTGCAGCCACTTGTCAATATGCCCCGACTCGAAATTGAACACGGCAGCAGAGCGCGATGAAAGACAGAGTGTGAGGAATTCAAGGGTCGATCACAATCACACACACTGCGACCAGCAAGCAAGAACTTGGAGAGGCAAGCCAGAGAGCCAGAGAGCGCGAGTGCGATTGCACACTCAATCTTCTGAATCCATCTGACCCGTCACCACCATCCCTACATCCTCATCCTCACCTTTTCCTGTTCGGAACACTTTCGCCAACCATGGCCAACTTGTTCAACAGCGCTCGAACCGCTTTCCGCGCCGCCGTCAACGGCTCGGCTGCCTCGGTAGGTATCTCACTTTGATGCAAACGCGCCACGTCTTGCCACGCCTTTGGACAAGTCAATCTGTCTACACAACACCACTGCCAAGGATTGGAACATGATCGGGTCAAAAAGAGGATGGAGAGGGATGTCAGCGCAAGCTCAGCGGAATTGGAAAGGCTCAGAAGACCACTGCGACATCAGCCTCCATCTCAGTGTCATTGCATCAACTGATCGTGACAAATGGAGACTTCGTTCACATCGCCAGAGCGCAGCCCTCAGATTCACCTGCATCAACGTCTGCGCCACACCTGGCTATCGATGCTGGACATCGTTCATCCTAACGACATCGCCGATGGCCTTCGTCAGACGTTTGCACGGGTATCAACGGCGACTGTCACGCCTTGCATGAATCCAGAGGTCATCAACGCACCTCTAGCACGTCTCACTCCATCAATTGGGGTTCAACAGTCAATGCCCATTCAGCAGATCGCCCGGAATCGGCGCTTAGACACATTCGACATTGCGTGGCTCATTGGCGTGGCGGAAGCATTCAACATCATATCAAATCAACACCCGTACTGACTTCTTTCGTCCCTCCTCTCGTTTGCCTCTCCAGGTCCGAAATGCTTCGACCCAGGCTGGCGCCAACGCTTCGCAGTCGTTCGTGACCTCGCGAACCTCGGCCATCGCCGCCACCGCTGCCGCTGCCGGTTCGGTCGCATGGTACAACCACCTCTATGGCACGCTTCCCTTCTTGGACACCGCCAGCGCCAACATGGCCGATGAGGGTCTCCACCCACCCAAGTACCCCTGGTCGCACTCGGGTGCCTTTGACACCTTCGACCACGCCTCGATCCGACGTGGATACCAGGTGTACCGCGAGGTGTGCTCGTCGTGCCACTCTCTCGACCGCATCGCTTGGCGCAACCTCGTCGGACAGTCGCACACTGTCGATGAGGTCAAGGCCATGTCGGAGGAGGTCGAGTACGAGGACGGTCCGGATGACGAGGGTGCAATGTTCCAGCGTCCCGGTAAGCTCGCCGACTACATGCCCCGACCTTACGCCAATGACGAGGCTGCCCGAGCTGCCAACGCCGGTGCGCTGCCCCCCGATCTCAGCTTGATGGTCAAGGCACGTCACGGCGGTGCCGACTACATCTTCGCCCTCCTCACCGGTTACACCGACCCTCCCGCAGGTGTCAAGGTCCAGGACGGTTTGAACTACAACTCGTACTTCCCCGGAACTCAGATCGCCATGGCCCGTGTGCTCTACGACGGTTTGGTCGACTACGAAGACGGCACCCCTGCTACCACTTCGCAGATGGCTAAGGATGTGGTCACCTTCCTGCACTTCTGCGCCGAGCCGGAGCACGACACGAGGAAGAAGATGGGCATGCAGGCTGTGATCATCTTGAGCTCGTTGACCGCGTTGTCCATCTGGGTCAAGAGGTTCAAGTGGGCCGGTGTCAAGAGCAGGAAGCTCACGTACAATCCTCCTTCCTCGACCCATTGACGTTTGTAGGCGTGACTGGCGGTAGTCATATATTTCTTTGTTGTGCTTTCTTTTGCGAGGTTTGTGGGTTTTGTGTGTGACGGTGTGTGTGGGGTGTGGAGAAGGATAGGTGGACGGTGTGTGTGAGGAAGGGCTGCGAATTGCGCCAGTTTGAGCCGGCGTGACACGTTGGGGAGCGTCTTGTCTAGCCATTCGGAGAAATGACATGTCTTTGTCAGTGCTACAGACTGGTCACGATCACAGCCTTTGACATGAAACGATCGTCCGGTTTGCACTTGGACGCTCCGAAGCAGTCAGAATGGAATGCTCGCTGGCCAGCTCAATTGGTCGTACGACGCGGAGTACAAGTGCGAGTTCGACCTTCCGCTCTTCGTTCAGCGTTCATTCTTCGCGCGAATGCACAAGTGTCGACGACAATGCGCCGGCTACCACAAACACCAAGCTCCCCACGCAGCGCGTCTCAACAAGCATTACGTCAAATGCGAATCGATCCTCCAATGCTCGCCCACGCCACGACCACACATCACACAAAAGAAGAGGTGTGCAGGAATGAAAAAAAGACCGACCAAGCGGCTACTCCTACGAAATCATTGCAATCAGATGTGGAGAAAGTTTGTACAAAATGATGTTCTGATACACAAGAGAGGGGTTGGAATCGGTGTCCTTTTTTCTTGCAGGTGAGCTACTACATCCGAAGACCTAAGCAAGATCTCCTACTCACTAAGGGAAGGTCGTCGCTACAGCCTCGGAGAGCAAGAATTTTGGGTTGAAAAGGAAGAAAGGACGAGGGAAGCGAAAACGCTTAGTCGAAGAGACCGAAGCCCATGTCGTCATCGGACTCCTCCTTCTCCTCCTCCTTCTTCTCCTCCTCCTTGGCGGCACCACCAGCGGCGGGGGCGGCGCCACCGGCAGCAGCACCGGCAGCAGGGGCAGCACCACCCGAGGGAACCGAGGCGAGCTTCTCCTGACCCTCAGCAATGAGGGTGTTGATGTCCTTGCCGTTGAGCTCCTCGATGAGCTTGTCGAGACGCTCCGACTCGGCCTCGATACCGACGGTCTCGAGGAGAGCCTTGATGTCAGCGGCGGAGGGAGACTCCTTACCACCGAGGGTGAGCAAAAGGTAGGCTGCGATGTGCTTCATTTTGTCTTTGAAAGGAAATTGGTTGTTGGAAAGGGGAAAAAAGTGCCGGCCGCAAATCCGCTAAAGGGCTTTGATCCAAGATAGGAAGACTTGTGGGCTGTTTGAGAGTCCGGACACCAAGTGGAATTCCCCAAAAGACAACGACCAAGGATGGTAAGTATACGGTGCTGAGATGGGTGTTGCAGATGGAGGGTCTGGACGAGTCGAAAGCAGCAATGATACCAGGCACAACAGGTCCAGTAACATTAGTCGAATCGTGAGCCGTTGTCGTCTATTCTCCTACGTATCATGCCCGCTACGTCCTACGTGCTGATCGAACTTCCGCCGGTCGCGTTCGAGGACCTCTTTCCCAGCTGCCGGATGATTTTGAATGAGCAGACCATGTCTACGATCCTACTTGACTTCTTCCGCGCGGACCTTGCCGCAACCGTATCCTCGATGTATCCACAAGCTGCTGATGTCGATGCCATACGTTGGCCCGTGATGCGATGCTGCTATCATTGCTGCTGTCGACTAGCCATCATGGTTGGAAGGACTTACCTAGGTACTTTGAGTAAAAGTGTCGTGGAGGTCGAAAGCTGAAAGTTGCTCAAGACGGCCAACTTGACATTCTCGAGCTGTTCGCTCGCTCGCCCGCCCAGCTTTACTGAAATTGCTGCCTCGCCGCAGCTCAGATTTCGACTTTCGCGGCTGACGAGCTGCTGCTCTGCAGGCACTCAAATTTCCCATTCTGGCAGGCGAGTGAGGTGAACTCGGCTCCGACATTTTTGTTGGCAACGGCAAGGGACCAAGTTGGAAAATCACCGACGGGTAAGCGTGGGAATTTTCGAGAGAACTGCCGCCAAACTGTCGAAAAGGTACAAAATTTTCAGGGCAGCACAGAGCGACGGCCTGTTTTGGCGCAGAATTTTTCTGGGGGGCGAGCTACTCTTTGGCTGGTCTGCTGCCTTGACCGTCTCTGGGTTGGGACAGTGAGCCAAAGTGTGTGATTTTCGAGCGGCAGTGGGCAGTCAGTCGTCAGTCAAGGATGGCCTTTCGTCGGCTGCTGGAAGAGTTGCGCTGCCTGTCGCTAGCCTGTTCCAGAGTGAGAGACGGCGCGCGAGCGCAAGTATGCCCGCCTGCTGCCTTGGATTTTCTCGAGTGAGGAGGCAGCGCGCAGGCTGGCTTGGAGAGAGCCCATGTCCAAGTCGCGCTCGCCGTCACTCAACCTTCTCTCTCCTCACCATCAAGATTGCCCAACATGTAAGTAGACACCTCTTGCTCGTAGCATGCACGCTTCTGGATTCGACATCGACACACACGCACACCACATCACTGCACACGACCAGCGCCTATCAGAGCATCCAACCATCGACAACTATACACGCATTGGGACGTATCTACAGCACACATCATCTTTCTAGCCGATCCGCTCGTCTTCAATCGACTCCTCTGGACGTCGAGTGCGACCGCATGGCTGTCTCGCAGGTTCAGTAGCGTCGCACGCATTCGCCGCAATCCTCCGCACTAGAGGATGTAGAAATTGGACTCGAAGTACCACATAGCCCCGCAGAGGTCTACTCGAAATTAGACACATGATACGGCAGTGGAAGCAGGCCGAACCGATGGGGAGCGCAGATCGACCGGTGATTCTGCTTGCCTTACGGTACTTCTACATTGATTAATTCGCAGCGTTGAACACACGCCAATTGTGATTCGTTTGACCGCAACTCCAGCCCCTACGCCATCATACGTCTGCCATTAGCATTCACCTATCATAGCCGACAGGTCGCGTTTCCTTCGTCGACATCCAGAAGCTTCTTGTTGCGTTCCAGCTAGCCAAAAGAACCGCCATCTGACCTTGTTGCCATCATGATATCCTGCTATGCCTATCTCTCCTCTTCAGGGATGACTACGACGCCGCCGCCGCCGCCGAGCTCAAGCGAAAGCGAACTTTCCGCAAGTTCACCTACCGTGGTGTAGAGCTCGATGCTCTGCTCGACATGACCAACGAGGACTTCATGCAGGTCGTCCACGCCCGTGCCCGCAGAAAGTTCCAGCGCGGTCTCAAGCGCAAGCCTATGGGTCTCATCAAGCGTCTCCGCAAGGCCAAGGCCGAGGCTCTCCCCAACGAGAAGCCCGCCACCGTCAAGACCCACCTGCGTGACATGATCGTCGTGCCCGAGATGATTGGCTCCATGATCGGCATCTACACCGGTCGCTTCTTCGTCAACACCGAGATCAAGCCCGAGATGGTCGGTCACTACCTTGGCGAGTTCGCCATGACCTACATCCCCACCCGTCACGGTGCTAAGGGTAAGGGTGCCACCGTCGACCGTTTCTTGCCCATCCGATAAACGTCTCGACTCCCGATCAATCCCTCCTTTCATACTTCACACATACATACACACACATTCTCGCGCGCGATCACAAGACTGGTCTACAACTTCCGTCTCCGTGCCGCATCAACTCTGGTCCGCATGTTTCGAAGCTTGCGACAGGAACAACATGTACTTTTCCACCGGGTTCATCTTGAACGATGATCCTTCACCCCCACCAAAAAACCGAATCTCAATTCACGAGCATTGCATCCTAAGTCTTTGTCGAACGAGAGAGTCTGTGTTTTTGAGTCTGTGATGAGAGTTGACGTTCGATCGTGGCGGTCTGACTGTCTTGAGCAGAAAGTGATGCAGTAGGAAGGTGTGCTAACGAGCACAGTGCATGTGAGATTTTGTTCGGGAGTTGCACAATCTCTATGACGATACACTTGAACAGGCAATGAGATGGATGGTACAAGGATGGTCTTTCTCCTGAGAAAGAGAAGACATCATGGTATTGCGGAAGATGCAAAAGATAAAGAGACAACGTTGGGAGACTACTATGCGTAGACAACGTGAAGCTCTTGACAAATTTTGGGTGTGTGATACAAGAAAATGCATGAGAAGAGGAAAAAGGATGATGTGAAGCCAAGAAGAAGATCCGCCGCGCGACCAAGCGATGCTCGAGCGCTGCTTAGAGACCGGCACCGGCCTTGAAAGCGCTGATCTGTTCGTTGATCTTGCTCTTCCTCTGCTGGTAGGTCAACTTGGTAGCCTTGTACTTCTTGCTCTCGGCAGCCCAGTCCTTGCCAGACTTGTCCGAGGGGGTGAAGCTAGGGTCTTCGCGGATCTTCTCGAAAGCCTCAGTCCACATGTCTTCGAGGTCTTCCGAACCGATCTCCTGTTCGAGAGCGGTGGAGAATTGCTTCTTGAATCGCTCGTCGTCTTCCTCTTCGAGGGACTCCATGTATTCGGCGACGTGGCCACCGAAGATGTAGGACTTGAGGAGGTCGGCGTCGAGTTCCTTGGCTTCGGGGTCGTAACCGGGGAAACGCTTTTCGGAGTGGGGGATGAAGATTCCTCCGTCAGAGGCACCCTTGAGGGCACCGAAGACACGGGAACCGGTCGAGGTGCGCTTGAGACCGACGTCGAGGAAGCACTTGAAGGGGCGGGGTTCGTCGTCACCGAGAGGCTCGACTTCGGTCATCTCACCATCGGGTTCGGTAACACCCTCGTACTTCTCATCGAGACCGAGGATGGCGAGAGCACGACGGGCGACGAGGAGACCAGTGGCGTAAGCAGCGGTCCAGTTGGCAAGACCAGTCTTGACACCGTAGCGGGGGAGCTCCTTGGAGGAAGCCTGGGTGAGGACAAAGTCACCGACGATCTTGGCGTGGACGATCTGGCAGGTGACGTAGCGGTTGGAGAATCGCACAACGAGACGGTACTTGGGAGCGTTGTACTTGTTCTTGGCCTGCGAAACGAGACGCTTGCGGGCGTAGTAGTCGGTACGACCCTCTCGTCGACGACGGTACTTGACCTGGTAACGGGAGAAGTAGGAGCTGGACTTGACTTGCTTGACGAACGGCTGTTGGTGGGAGGATGGTGGAGTCGAGTTCGGAATGGTAAGTCATCGTGATGATCTGACGAAAAGTTTGGCGATAAGGACGACGACATTGACGATAATCCCTAGTAGCAAGCTATCGTCTGATCACAATTCTGCTGCTTTCCATGATGCTTCCTGCCACCTCTACATTGTTGGTGTTGCTACCAATGCTGTGTTGCGATCGCTGATGCTTTGCTGATCCAAATGCTGCCATGGCTGTCGTCGGTGTCGTCGTCCATCGCTGAACATGCTGTTTGTACTCACCATCTTGGAGAAACTTGAGGCGGATGCTTCAGGGCTTGGTGATCAGGAAGGAGGTTGGCGAGCAGACGTTTTCGACTAGGCGGGGCGTTGGCTCTCCCTCGAGCGCCTCTCTGCCGTACTGTCGTTCTGCGCTGCCTTTTCTGAGCGAGTTCCTTCTCATTTGGCCCGCTGCTGCAATCCCAATCAAACTAACATTGAGAAGAAAAATAAGATTCGAGTTCGGTGTGCCTGCCCTGCTTTGGAGTCGAATTCGACGTCGCAGGAAGATGGCCGGCTCCGAGGGAAGAAAAGTCACGTGCAACAAACTGTATTTTCGAGAGTGACTGGTTCAGAGCCACGAAACTTTCGCATTCACTCGTTCTGGCGCTGCCCACTCGAGAGCGGTGAGAGCAGCGAGAGGGTCAATTGTCGAAATTCTGGCGGCAAGAATTGTTAGCAGCAGAAGCGTCGAGTTGGGCCAAGTTGAGCTGCTGCGTGGCTGGCTGGCTTTGAGTGTCAGCAGCAGCAGCGCAGCGAGAGCGAGCCGAATCGAGTTGTTGCTTTCGTCGTCGCCGTCAGGCCCTCCTACCTTCTCGACACCCTACGACCTTCGTCATCAAGAATCATACAAGGTAAGGACTCCAGCAACAACAACAAAGAGTCAGATCATATCCAGCAGAAACGCAGCCAGCCCACACACGCACACGCACACGCATACGCACACGCACACGCACACGCACACGCACACGCACACGCACACGTTCACCACACCAACCAGCGTACACTGTAAAGGACGCCATGCAAATACAAATTTGGAGCGCAATGGACGCATAGCAACCACAGACTTCTCATGGCATCAGCATCACCACCACACAACACCACACATCGACACCTCGACCATCGCCGGCTGCGTTTCTTCCCTGGGGACGTTCTAGTACCCTCGTTTGCCCAACCCTCGAGTTGTAGTAGCATCCCTCATATCCGCAAGAATATGATCTGCGAACCGCTCCAAGGTGTCTTGGGCCGCGAGGCGTCGACCTTCTTTGTCCCTCTTCGTTCACGATTGCTTGAAAGCTCGTGCTAACTCTCTTTTCGTTCTTTCTCTATTCGACTTGTGACCAACAGATGGGTGCCTACAAATACGTCGAGGAGCTCTACAAGAAGAAGCAGAGCGATGTCCTGCGCTTCCTGCTCCGTGTCCGGTTAGTATTCTCGACATACGGGAGAAGGAGTCGAGGTTTTGCGAGAGTAGCGTTCTCGATCAGCAGTGGTTGTCCGTCGAGATGGGAGATGTAAAGTGCCGTTGGAGACTGGAGGTGCGGATGACATGGCTAGGTACGCTCGCGACGGGTGCTGCAAGTCGATCGGTTATGTTGAGGAGACGTCGAGACTCGAAGATGATGCGCAAGAATGGGGTTGTTGGCTGTTGCCCATCATCATTCTTGCATATTGTCACCGTTTTCCTGTTGTCTCTCTCGCCGTGACTATCGACGTTCAGCTTCCCGCTGTGATGCAAGCCAGACCCCATCAGATGGCGGCTCGCGCTTGTTCTTCCTGATCAAGTCGCTTGCTATCTGTACCGTGGTCCCTGTCATCGATACGCCCCCCAGTCTATGACGGTTTGCTACTCTTCTTCGACGGGGAACGCTGCTACTCCGAAAGAGCATGCTACTCCAGCGACCGAAACCCTGTTCCCCGCGACCTGTCACCCAACATCATCGCCAAATCTCAGCCATACTGACTTTCGATCCGTCACAATCCCGCTTTCTTACACCACAACAGCTGCTGGGAGTACCGTCAGCTCAACGTGATCCACCGAGCCTCGCGCCCCTCTCGTCTCGACAAGGCCCACCGTCTTGGCTACAAGTCCAAGCAGGGCTACGTCGTGTACCGCATCCGCGTTCGTCGCGGTAACCGCAAGAAGCCCGTTCCCAAGGGTGCCACCTACGGCAAGCCCGTTCGCCAGGGTGTCAACCACCTCAAGTACCAGCGTTCGCTCCGCGCCACGGCTGAGGAGCGTGTTGGACGCAAGTGCAGCAACCTGCGCATCCTCAACTCGTACTGGATCAACCAGGACGGTGTGTACAAGTACTTTGAGGTGATCGCTGTCGACCCTCAGCACAAGGCGGTCAGGAGGGATCCTAGGATCAACTGGATCGCCAAGGCTGTCCACAAGAGGCGCGAGTGCAGGGGTCTCACCGCAACGGGCAAGAAGAGCAGAGGTCAGGGCAAGGGTCACAGGTTCAACAAGACCCAGGGCGGTGGAAAGAACTCGACGATCAGGAAGAGGGATACCCTCCAGCTCCGTCGTTACCGTTAAACAGCGGCGGTCGACAACCAACCCTCTATTTGCATTCTCCCCTTTTTCCATCCCTTCCATCACTGTCCGTGTATTCTGCTGCTCTTTCCGCGGGTCTTTGTTCGCCCCGGAGAGTTCGTTCCTCTCACACCCAAAAATCTTTTGTCACTCGAGACAATATCATCATTTCTTCCCATTTTGCTTCTCCCACATGACGATCTGACTGGCTTGACGTGGTGAGAACACTGTATGTTGTGAGAGTGATAGCGGACAAAGTTTCAGTCGACGATCTGGGCCATTCTGTTTTGGAGGGAAGAAGGTGGTGGTCAGTTTCTGGGATTGTGAGGAAGAAGAGAGGAGGGAGAAAAGGGGGAGTGGTGACTTACAGAGCTGCTATCGCGGCTTGACGGGTTTTCCGTTTGCGAGGAGGTTTGAGCCCAGTGGTGGAGGAGGTGCGGGATGAGGATGAGGAGGGTGGTGGCGGTGGTGGATGGGTGGAGAGGGTCGTATTCTGAGGTGGTGTTGGAGTGGATTGTGGTGGTGTTGATGTGATGGGTAGCGATGAGGCTGCTGGCATCGTCTGTGTCGGTGATGGTACTGTCGTTACTGGTATTGACACCGCTTCACCTTCTACCTGCTGCATGACATCAACCGCTCCTTTCTTCTCCTCATGGTCACGCTCAACCCTCGTCTGACCCTCATCCTCCACCCCGCTCTGCTTTTCCACAACGTCAACCGCACCATTCCCCGACGCTGTGGTCGATCTAGCTCGCTTCTTCCGCCTCCTACCCATCCTCGCTTCTCGTTCGTAGTCGGAGATTCGGGATTCGTCGGGGTCCTCATCTGACCGACTGTGCGGTTGCGACGAAGGCTGCTCTGCGACGTTCTCCTCTCCAACGGTGGGCGAGGCGGTGCCGTCGGGTAAGACTTCTCTCCACTGATCCAGCGCGATTTCCTGCCCGACGTTGAGGTCCGCATCCAGATCAAAGTCTGTCCAGAGATGAGCTGCGCTGTCGAGTTCGCTCGGTTGGGTGGGGATGGATTCGAGGCTTTCTTCCTGTGTTTTTCCTTCTGCCTGTGTTTTTGGTGGAGGAGTTGTGAGCAGACTACCTCTTTGTGCGGGTGTAGGAAAGTCTCCCGTGCCCTTTTGCTTCTCGAACTCTGTTCCGGAGTTTCCTCGCCGATGTTGTTCAGCACGATCTACAGCCACCTTGTACCGGATCCATCGTTTCATCCACCCGATCATGATGCGGAACTTGTCCTGCTCGCCCTTCTCCTCCTCTTTCCCTAATACGGACCTGGGAACCCCATTCTCGCTAGTAATCAACCTCACACCCCCGAACCACACCCCTTCTCCCATACCACCCACAACTTCCCACCCTCGAACATCCAATACCAACCCCCACTGTCCATCCTGATACACCTTTCCCCCTGCTGCACCTGCCGCTACGCGCACGCGATCCACCGTAATCCGTACATTGGTCAGTGTCAACAGCGCACCTTTTAGGGCGGTAAAAGGTAGAGAGTGCGTGGAGTGGAAGTGATGCAGCGAGGTGGAGGAGAAGCGTGCGGCTATGCAGTGCGTTCGATCGCCAACCAGCGCAAAGATGTCGTCAGTGGAGGATGAAGAGGGGAAGGTGAGAAGGTGGAGGAGTTGGATCCGGTTGCCCCGGTGGAAGGGCACGTCGGGAAGGTCGAGAGAGAGGGTGGATGCGAGGGTGGCATGGGTGGTGCAGAATGGAAAGAGCCAGGATTTGAGCGATTCCGACATCGTTGTGCGAGGCTCCGAGGAGGAGAGTGGAAGGTGTGAGGAGATGCGGTGCAAGGGTGGGATGGGAGGCAGGCGATACGGAGGGGGGTCCGAGACGGGAAAGTCGCGAATTCTTTTATGCGAAAGAGCCGGTTCTAGAGGAAGAGTATCCTGATCGATACCCCGTCGACAACGATGATGATAGTGACAACCAGAGAGTCAACCCTCTCCTCATCGTGCTCCCACATCGACACCAACACCTCGTAACACCATCCTCCAAAAAAGACCAACACCTGTCACTTTTTCTCCGTTTCGCGCGTCACGTACTCTGCCCATCTACGCCAAATCTCCCTCGCGTAAGTTCCTTCAAGGAAGAAAAAAAAGAGAGAAAGCGCCCTGTGGGGGTCGAACCCACGACCTCGTCTTGTAACAACAGAGATCCTACGAGTTATCGTTCTTACGGATGAGAGTAGGAGAGACACGCGCTACCACTACGCCAAGAGCGCTCAAGCGATGTCCTCGTCAGTTGTGTAATGCGTAGATAAATCGGTGCATTAGACACCGTGTTTGCGCACATACATGCTCAGTGCCAAGGGGAGATTTTGAGACGACCGTTAGCACGATATTGGAAGAAGGGATGCAGAAGAAGCTTGGATTTAGTCCCTGAGATGTAGGTCGAGATGAATAACAGATGGAGTTGCTGCTATGACGGTGAAACGCGGGCATCTGTGGGAGGCACATCGTTCCACCCCGTCCTCGTCCTCGTCCCCAACCTCGTCGTCGTCGTTGTCGCTGGCGGTGCGTCCCCGGCACCTCTTCTCCTGAGCAGACTCGTCAACCCCCCACTCATGCCTATGCTGTGCCTGCCGACGTTCGTCACCCTCGCATTCTGGTCCGCCAGCCTCGCCTGCCTCACCTCTCTGCTCCTCCTTACCGGCCATTCCACCCTCCACGATCTCTGCGGCACCCTTGTCGATCCCACCCACGGCGTCAAAATCGATGATGCTGAGCGGTACACCCTCGGGTTGATGCGGTATTCTTTCAAGCGAGTTGAAGAGTAGATGTGCGAGACGGAAAGGGCGAGAAGTGCGGCAAAGGTGGAGGACCAAGGCCGGGAGACGGCGAGGAGAAGTGAGAGGGAGTGGGTTGAGATGTGCTGGTCTGTGAGGGTGAGATCGGCGAACCTGAGGTTGTAGAGTGGAGGGATGGTTCGACTGTACTGGTAAAGTATCGCAAAAAGCGGACCGAACGGACCTGCAGGAGTGCTCCCCGATGACAACCACCACTCCTTCTCCCCGTCGAATCCTACCTTGACTACCACAGAAGCCAATCCGAGCAGCATCACCTGCATCACCGTATACATCGCCGTCGTCATAACCAAAAACGACGCATACCTGTAACTTCCGAAAACCCTTTCTACCTTCACACCGGCATGGTAGAACAGCAGCAGCGCCAGAAACAGTTCGGACGAGTTGGTGAAGGCAAAGTGTTGCGTCACAAGTCGGTAGAACTGGTGATGCGTGGAGAGGTGCGGGTGGAGTTGGAGGTGGAGGTAGGGGGTGAGGCGGAAGAGGGAGGAGAGGATGGTTGTGATGGAGGTGGTGATGATGATGGCTTTGGTGATAGGGGCGGATGCGAAACCTGCTACCATGGTGGGAGCATGTTTGAGGAGCGTGCGGGGTGGGAGGAAGGAGGAGTGAGCAACAAGTGGTGCAGGGTCCATCGAGATTTCAGTGCCGCGTTGGGTTGCGGAAATCGGATCAAGAATTCATGTGGAGTCGCCATCGTATCCGCACAGACACTTTATCTCTACTCACCATCATTCGCGACCTACGACCATCAAACACCGCCGTCGATCACACACATCTCCACCTCCTCCCCTCCCACCATGCGTCGCGGTCCCGGCATCGCCGCGCTCGACCGCACCATCCACTCCGCCTCGGCCTACTCCACGCTCTCCGCCTCGCTCACCGCCACCCAGCTCTCCGAACTTCGCTCCCAACTCGACCTCTTCTCCACCGCCCTCCGCCAATTCTCCTCGCAACACCGTAACGAGATTCGCAAAAACCCCGAATTTCGCCATGCCTTTCAAAAGATGTGCTACAGCATCGGTGTCGACCCGCTCTCCTCGTCCACGCGCGGTTCTTCCGGAGGTCTGGCGGGGTTGTGGAGCGACATGTTGGGACTGGGAGATTGGGCGTTCGAGTTGGGAGTGCAGATCATCGATGTGTGTGTGAGTACGAGAGGGGAGAATGGTGGAGTGATGAGTATGGATGATCTCATCCGCAGGGTGACGAGGTTGAGGACAGGAGATGACAAGGGTTCATCGGCAGGCAAAGCAGCGGAGATCACGGAGGACGATATTGTAAGGAGCATCAAGATGTTGGCACCGTTGGGATGCGGGTATGAAGTGTTTTCGTTAGGGGATGGAGGGCAGAAGATGGTGAGAAGCGTTCCGAGAGAACTCGACACCGATACAATGATCGTACTGGGCATGCTCCTCTCCACCACCACCACAGCATCAACGGAAGCGTCGCTACCATTCCTCACAGAAGACACCCTCGTCTCCGGATCAAAAACAAAAGGTTGGTCTCGAGACCGCGCAAGAGCAGTGTTGGAGAACATGACGTCGAGAGAAGGTATGCTGTGGATCGACGAACAGGCTTTCCCACCACGGTACTACTCGTTGGCTACCCTTACGGCCGGATGAGGAGCGCAACTTCTTTTGCAATCAGACAAGGGTCCCCGCTGATTCTTTTGCTTGCTAACCGATCTGTCGTGCTGTGTGTGTGTCGGTGCTTAGCCGAACGACGAATGTCAGCTGTCTGGCTGCCAACCCGTGCGCTTCGGACGCAAGCGAGTTGCCAGGTTCGGTCCGCAAATGCGCACCTCCGATGGCGAGAAAGAAGTTGGCTAAAATTGCGGGGAGGGGGCGGCAAGGGTGGGGAAAGAGAGAATACGACGCGGCATGCGCAGGTCACCGGTGAATTTCATCGCTTAACTCTCCGCCTGCTGCAAGGTTTGACAGCCGAAATGATTTCCTTTCCTGCGCTTCTCCGCATTTTCCTTTCCTCTTTCCTTTCCTGCGATGTGACCGGCATGCAAAAGCAAAGCGAACTAGAAAGCCTCGAGGAGGAAAGATCGCTTGCTCTGTTCTTCTCTAGCCAGCATCGGCTAGCTGTAGTCTTCCCCATCGCATGATGCATCCCTGCTCTCTCTGACAATTTGCCGAGAACCATCGTTCTCTTAGCCAAGGAGGTTTGACCTTGTGGGCCGACGAGAATGTGCGGATGACAAGACGAGAGAGAAAGATTCGGAGTGGGGTAAGACGGCGGCTATACTTTTCGTCTGGACGCGATCTCGGCTAGAAGGATCCACTCGAGGTGTGGGGGGGACCGTGTGCTCCGGTGATCATCTGGACGGTTCCGGCGACGGAAGGGATTGCCGAGATGGGGACGCTGTGCCAGTGTATATAAGTAGGTCATCACCTTCACTCCCAAGGTCGATATTGGTGTCCTTCATCCCACCATCATGGACTCGACGAGAATGCGATCTCTTTGGAAGCTGTTGCCCTTGGTAGCCGGCCTGCACCTGGCAGTTTTCTGCGGACTGTCCGCTGCGCTTCCCTCTCCAGCCCCAGGCACGCCGCTCGACCTACCATCCGTGCTTTTCTCCCGAGCCTCCTCGGACGCGATTAATTCCAACAACACGGCCGACTGCACCAACTGCACCAACCTGGGCAACTTTGTCAATCCCATCCCCGTAACCTCCTCCGACCCCGTCGTCCAGGTGCGCAACGGCTCGTACGCCGGTCTCACGATCCAACCCATCGCTGCCTCCTCCACGCGCTCCGGTTTCGGAACCAACCGCACGCAGCATGCCTTCCTCGGCATTCCCTACGCTCAACAACCTATCGACGATCTTCGCTTCCGTCGACCGCGCTCTCTCAACTCCACTTGGAACGATGTCAGATCAGCCAAGAGGTACTCCGAGCTGTGCTTCGGTGTCGGTGTCGATGACGACTACAATCCGCCCTACGTGACGTACAAGTTGGGCGAGAGGTGCTTGACGTTGAACGTCGTCAGACCTGACAATGTCAAGCAAGGCGATGATCTGCCCGTTTTCGTCTGGATTCACGGCGGCGGATTCAGTTTCGGCGGTTCGGGGGATAGGAGGTACAATGGTAGCTTTGTGGTGGACAAGTCGGTCGAATTGGACCAGCCAGTGATCTACGTCAGTCTCAACTACCGGGTGAATGTGCTAGGATTCCCGGTCGGAGATGAGGCGGAGCAGGAGGGGATTCAGAATCTGGGATTGTACGATCAGCGTCTCGCGCTGCACTGGATCAGGGAGAACATCGGTGCCTTTGGTGGTGACAGGGACAAGGTGAGCATCCTGGGAGAGTCGGCTGGCGGTGGTAGCATGTTGCTCCACCTGGCGGCTTACGGTGGTCGCGATGACAAGCTCTTCAGATCGGTCGTGGTTCAGAGTGGGTACTGGTCGAGTCAGCTGGCGACGAAGAATACGACTGCTGAATGGAACCAGCAGTGGGGATCGCTTTCCGAGTATGCCAACTGCGCAAGTGGGAGCTCGATCGAATGCTTGCGCAAGGTGCCGCTGGACACTATCAAGCAGTGGAGTCAGAAGAACAATGCGACGCTGAGTGCGTTCAATCCGGTAGTGGATGGTGACCTGGTGGAGGAGGATCTGCAAAAGTCGTTCTTGGAAGGCAAGTTTGTCAAGAACGCCAGCGTGCTGCTCAACAACAACTTGGACGAGGGCATCTCGTTTGGCGTCCGAGGTGTCAACAACACCAACGACATTGTCAATGCACTCGAAGCGTCTCAAGCTTTGCCGGACGGGTGGCTGAATTCGGATGTCAGGTCGGACCTCGCCAGGATCTATCCTGACAACGAGGACATTTACGCACCGTTCCAAGCCGGCGCTGGGCTTCTGCCCCCGACCAACGGTATCATCGGCATGAACGACCGACGTTCGTGCGCCATCTTTGGCGATCTTCGATTCGTCGGCCCTCGCCGACAGGCCGCACTTGCGCTGGCCAAAGGCTCCAACAAGTCGATCTACGTATCGCGCTTCGACCAGCTCTCGTACAAGACACCGGTGAACGTGGGCGCCCAACATTTCCAAGAGGTGGCCTACATGTTTAGGAACCCGCTGGACACTCAGAATGCGCTAGGACCGCTCACGAAGGATGTGGAGCTGGCGGATGAGATGGCGAGCTACTGGATCAGCTTTGTTGCCAGCGACGATCCGAACCGGGCGAAGGAGGAGGGCAAGATGGGAGGAGGGGCGGTGGAGTGGCCCAAGTACACGGTGGAGGGGAAAAAGGGGCTGGCTTGGGTGAGGGATGGGTTGGGACACAAGACCAAGGTGATCAAGGATGATTACAGGACGGAGGGGATGGAGCTATTGATGGCTCTGAGGAGCGGCAGCTACGATCATAATACGTTCAAGGCGAAGAGGGACGAGCTTTGATTGCTGGCGAGGAGAAGAGAGATGCTTGGTGACGAGCCAGGTCCTATCGTGTCGAACGTTGCATATTTCCGTGTGAATTGTGAACATTTCATCAATCGAACAAATGTCTGAAAAATGACTGACTGACAGGCGAAGCGAGACAGGGGATTGAGTGAGCGCGCGCTTGCCTTCGTCAGAGTAGCACAGTGTTGGTCTGCAGTCAGTTGACTTATCTGCACAGGGGCGTCAGCCGAGACCCTTTCTTGAGCTTGGACAGCGAGCTGAGCCAACTTGCAAGTCAACGGCGGGGCGGAGTTCAACTTATCTTTTTCCTCACCTTCCCTCGCATCACCATCATCGTCATCATCAGTAGCGGTCTTTGTCGGCCTTCTTCGAGCACACTCGCCATTCGTATTCGTATCTCGTTCGCCGACGACCAGTAGGGACACAGAACCCCCGTCGACCCCAGCCAGCTCGACTCCCAACACCCATCGCCTCTTCTCGAACCGCCCCCGGACAAAGCGTTTGCCCAACATGGCGCTGCTCCTACTCCACCTGCCCACACTAGCCCTCAACGCAGGCGCCACACTCGTCTACCCGCTCTACTCGTCCTACAAAGCCGTCACCTCCAGCACCACCTCTCTCGCCGACATGGAGGTCTGGCTGGTATACTGGTCAGTCTTTGCCTGCTGGACGCTGCTCGAATCGCTCTTCGGGTTCCTCTGGTCCTGGGTTCCCTTCTACTACGAGATTCGACTGCTGTTCAACATCTGGCTCGTGGCGCCTCAGACGCGTGGTGCGACGTACATCTACACAAACCACCTGCATCCCTTTTTGCAGTCAAATCAGGAACAGATCGATGCGTGGATCGAGGATGCAAAGCGGTCCGTGAAGCACAAGGTGGATGCGAATCTCGGTGGGTTGTGGAGTGCTTCTCTGGGGTCAACCGGTAGTGCACCGGAGGCAGCTGCACCAGGAGGAGGAGTTCAGGGCAAATCAGGAGGGGAAGCGAGACATCGAGCTCCCGGAGTGGGAAACGCACCAGCACCACCAACCCAACACAACCCGGCACAAGCACCCCTCTCGCTCTTCGGAAATTTGGTCAAGCAGTACGCACCCGTCGCCATCGCCTCTGCAAAGACGTTCCTGGAAAGCAAAGCACCTCCACCCAACGTCGCTGCCTACTCCATCCCCCCTTCCTCCTCCTCCGGCGCCATCCCCGATCAACGCAAACGCGAGGAAGCGATGCAGCGAAGACGTCAGTTGGAATCCCAACTCGCAGCTCTCGACGCCAGCGGTGTACCCTCCAGCACCAGCAGCAGCAGCAACAGCGAAGACGAAGTACAGCAGGTTCCCGTCACCCTCATCAATCCGGGCAAAGGTCCGAGAGGAAGCTTCAGCGGTGCAGCAGGTAGTTTGAGGAATAGGATCGTGAGTGGTGGCAGAACGGTCAAGGCAGGGAATGCCATGGGAGAGAGCTACGATCTGTTGGATCAGAACGATATTCAGCCGCTGCAGGGAAGTCCCAAGGTGAGGAACTGGATGCCCTGGAGTCCGCAGGGTCAGTGAGGGAGGGAAGGTGAGGTGGTGGGAGTGCGGAGTCTTTTGTATTTTATGATCTTGTTTGGGCTCAGTATGCGTGCTAGTAGGAGGAGGAGCAGGTGGATGCTTCTTGCAATCGATCTCATTTCTCTGCGGACACATTTCACGAAGCACAGTCTATGGTGAGCAAAGTTCCGCAGCATTCTGCTTCTATGCATTTCCGCATTTCTACGCCGAGACACCGCCAGTGAGCAACTTCCAAGCCTCATCCTGCGTCGTGCCCGCCAGCACATACCCCAAGAAGCCCATCTCCCTGGCCATATCCAGCACGTTATCCGCATCATTGCCCAACGCGGTAGCATCCTGATGCACAGGGCTCGTCGTCCTAGACTGTGGCGAGACGAGCGATCCCAGCTGCGAAGCGAACGAGACGGTCGAATTAAAGTGCAGCGCGAGACGCAGGTAGACGGGTGCGAAGCTCGCCGTGCACGTGGGTGGACCGCCGGAGAAGAGGCAGAAGGGACCGCACATGCGGACGTAGTCGAGGATCTTGCGACGGTAGAATTCCAGTGGGAAGGAGGTGGGAGAGATCGAGACGGTGGTGCTGTCCTTCGCCGAGGACGCGGAGTCGGGGAGAGGGGCCGGATGCGGGGAAGAAGAGGTGGACAGAGAGTTTGCTACCATCATGCAGATGATTCGCAGACACCACGAAAAGCCCACACCGGCAACAGCAAGCACCGAGGGTCCAATCGCCGACTGAACCAGCTTGCCCTGCAACGAGATGGGCGTCTTCGCCGTGCCGAGCACCACCACGGACTCGGCCAGGTTGAACATGCGGTGGAGATCGTCGAGCGTAGCATCCTTGGCGTTGGGCAGCGTGTGCAGCGCATGGTAGCATCGCACCAGGTTCTCGAGGCTGTAGCGCAATGCTGCGGTGCTCAACAGCTTGGAAGAAGTGCCATCCTCATCCCGTTGCGGCGCGGCGCTGCTCGAAGACGCTCCATTGCTGACCGACGGATCAAAGGTCGTGGGCCTCTCGTCGTCGTCCATAGCGCTGTGGATGACTGCATCGACGTCGCTCTTGCTGATGCCCTTCCAACCTCCATTGTTCTGCACGAGATCGTTGAGCTGACCTAGCATGATGGCGCCGCGCAGCACCTCGTACACTCCATCACCCAGAGCGAGCTGCGACACATCCCCGAGCGCCTCCTTCATCGAGCGGAAGCTCTGACGTTCCACGCCGAAGCGGCCCGCCAGCAGATGGGGCGTTCCAAAGGACACTGCGTGCCATCGATCGAGCATGAACAGCAGCGTCCTCCTCCTGTACGTCTCGCGATCGTTCTGGATGTGCGAACCGGAGCCTAGCTTCGAGACAGCGGCAGCAAGCGCAGAGTTGTTGTTGCGACCGTTGCGAAGGTGGTCCAGGTGGCACAGCATCAGCAGATCCGCTTCCTGACCGGAAAGCCGGTGTGCCACCTTGCGAAGAGCTCGCAAGGTGTCTGCGCCGGCCCCTGTCTGCTTGATGAGCTCCTCACGAGGACCACCGAGACCAGCCGAGGCTTGCCCGATGAGACTGGCCACCCTAGCAGCGTGCGTCTGGGTCTTAGGAGCTTGCACGTTTTGGTGCGCGGTGGCCATCTCGACAGGCTCGTTGAGCAATCTCATGCCTCTCACCAAGACGCGGTCCTCGAGGCGAGCGATGTTGCTGCTACTACTGCCATTCCTGCTGCTCTCACCCTGGCGGCAGGCTGGAACAATGGGGAAGGTGGCATGCAGGAACGAGGTGACCACCTTGCGCTTCACTTCGGCGATATCGGCGTCTTGGGCCCCCGACGGCGAGCTTGCGGCGGACCTTCGCTTACCTTGACCGTTGGCCTTGCCTTTGCCCTTGGTCTGGCTCTGCACCGGCTCGAGATGAGAGGCAGCAGGCGAGACAGTCGCTTTCGATGACAAGACCGATGCGACAGTCTCGGCCATACTGGTTGCTCCAGTATCCGAGGAAACTGCGCCTGAGGTTGAAGCTTCCGTCTCGCTGCCGGCTGCCTTGGAGTCGGCTACCTGGACCGTGTCAACGGGTTCCACCTCCATATCCACGTGGCTCGGCGTTTCTGTCTTGATCTGGTGTTGTTCTGCCTGGCTGCTCCTGCGGCTGGAATCGGTCGAAGGCAATCTGCCTTCTTCGCTCTTAGCAGTCGACGGTCGCGCAAGTACGGTCTCGAGGCGGCTGATGCGGTCCTCTGTGCGAGCTTTCGGCTTGACCGCCTGCGGAGTGCCCGAAATGACAGGGCCGGACGGGGTGTCCTGCGGTGACCCATCTGCGTCTCCTTCGATTCGATCGCCAGATACAATCTGAGATTCGAGCGAATTGAGACGCCTCTCGAGATCCTTGATGTATCCTTTACTGGGACCGCGCTTGAGAGGGCGCTTGGAGTAGGTGCAGGTGATTCCGCTGCGACGACAGTTCATGCAGGGCTGAAGGATCAGCATCTCGCCCTTGGGCTCCATATTGGGCTCCAGAGGTGGCACTGCGCCAGAAAGAGTGAGCGGGTGGCCTGGCTCGCCGGGGAAGGCACCGACGATGTCACACCGCGTCTTTCGACGACGACATTCGTCGCAAGCGCGAGAGATTCGCAGACGTTTGCGATTTGGCTGCAGCGAATGCTGATGAGACGCCATCGTGGCGTCGGCCTGTCCAGCACCGACGGAAGCGGGAGGATGCGACGAGCCAGATCCATCGGAGACAGAGGCATTACGAGCCGGTGCCAGCCGGACGGGAGCATCTCGCGCTTGCAGATGACGGTCGTGAAGGTGGCTGGCAGCCGAAGCAGTTGGCCTCGCCTGGCTTGCGAGGGACGGCTCGTAAGGATAGTGCGGAACAGGACCGGACGGACCAGAGGGCCGAGAAAGGACCGCAGGGGGCTGTGAGACGGCGTCGGCTGGATGAGGATGATCCTGAGGAAGAGGTCGCTTCGATGACGGATGATGTCGCGGTGCGGTCCAGGCATTATCGAAGGGTTCGGCCCCGGCGCGATGCTGCCCAGCGTCTACGTGCTCGGCGACATGAGCGTGCAGGCTTGGACGCCGGCTGTGCATGCGTTCATCCTGGTGTTGAGGCGGAGCATGAGCGTAATGGCTCTGGAAACGGTCGGTGCGCGACTCCTGGAAGACGGACAGCGATGATGAATAAGGAGCGTCTTGTGATCGAGAATCCGAGCTTGAGATGCTCCTGTGGTGCGTGTGCGGGCTCGAACCGAGCTGAGAAGGATCCTGACGGAAGGAGCGAGACCGAGCTTCGATGGCGCCCTCGTCATGCTCGAAGATCTCAGCGCGCATACGTCGGGGGGCAATCTCGGGTGTGCGCGCATACGCAGCCAGCGACGGGGACGGTGCTGCATACTGGCTCGTCGGTTCGTCCGTGTAGTGAGGCGGACGTGTGAGAGAGACAGGCTCGGCTGCAACCCGATCGGCATCGGACGCGAAAGAGTGCTGACGGCCACGAACATCGGATCGGACGTCCCTCGCTCTTGACGAGTCGTAGGTGTCTGCATGCAGATTGCAGAGTGGCGCTGCCTCGTGGTGGGAATAGCGGGCGGCATCGTTAGGACCACTGCGGGGTGCAGGCAGCCTTGGTGGCGCGAAGGTGTGTTGCGTACTCCATGGCTGAGCACCCTCATCTGCATATGGCGTCATTGGAGCCGAGTGATGATGATATGAGGTGGAAGGTCGTGAGAGCTGTTGGTGCTGGGCGTGATGAGCGTGCTGAGGCTGCTCTCGCTGCTGCGCATCGTGCCAGGAAGTGTGATGAGGTGGGAACGTCATTCTGGGAAGACAAAGCAAGCAACAGTCCAGATGGCGATTACAAAGAGAGAGCCAGCCGAGCCGTTTAAAAGCTGGCGAGTCGACTGGGTCAATTACGGGAGGTCCGATGTCTATGAGAACAAATGGAAGCTCAGAGAGCAACGGTTCCGAACGTGTGTGAAATCTCTCCTTTCGGCTTTGAGCGTTGAGAAGGCTGGATGCGAAGCTCGATGCTGCTTCAGTTGTGCCGAGACGAGGTCAGATTCGCTGTCGGGACGATGGAGGTGGTGGACAGGAATACGGATGGTTGGAAGGGAGAGAGGAGCGGAGTGTTGAATCTCTGTCAAGAGAGATGGCCGGTGACTGTCGATAAACTTTGGCGGGAAGACTGCTATGAACGATGGCTGGCTAACGAATCAGATCTGATACGAATGTAGGATACTGCAAGGCCGAAAGAAACACAGAGTAGACTTGTTTGCTTAGGCCTGTCCAGAGTGCGATCTGCGGACGAAAGGCAAAAGGCGAAGCAAAGACGTTGATCTGAACGAGACTTTCGGAGAGAAAGGGACAGGATGGATGGCGGATCCTGAGTTTCCGAAACATTCATTTTACGCCGTTTAGCGGCTCTCGACTGACCGGAGCGTCTCCGCTGCGAACGAAGGTTGAGCTGCAGCCTCTCTCTCTCTCCACCCCATGCTCGGAACAGAGAAGCGAGAGATGCACGATGCAATTTCCGCGCAGGGCAGTCGCGTCGCTGCGATGTCTCAAGGTTTGAGGCTAGTTGCCTCGCGAGTCTCGGCAGAAACAGTGCAGCCGAGAGACAGGCCCGGCCTGAACTGCACAATACAGCCTCAAACAAAATTCAAGACAGAGACAAAAAATATAGTAATCGACTTTTTGCTTGCTGAACTTTACCAGACGATTCTTTGTCGGCTACCACGACGATGAAATCTTCGTGATGAGAAAGCGTCGAGGCATGAGAAGCCGCGAACAACTGCAGCTTCCCCAGAGAGAATGCTTTCGGCAGGGTCAGTTTTTGCTAGTGTCGAGCTGGTGCCTGTCGATGCAGCTACTGGGCTTGTAAGATTTCACTGCAGCATCTTGCAGCGGCCCAGCGAACAAACATCGGCTTGTCGGTTGAGCGCAGTCCCGGCAGCGAATCAGACTTAGTCCCGGAAGATGCTGCAAACAGCCGCTGTGGCAGCTGTCACCGATCTCACGTTGGCGCTTACTGGCAATGACAAGTTACAGTGTCGTGTAGCTTGACCCGATCTCTCGGCTGCACGTCGATGCCAGCCCGTCGACTTGATTGTTGAGCGAGTACTGCACACCTTTCCTTTCCTTTGCAGCTTGCGCACACGATTTTACAGCACCATCGTTCGTCAACAGCACTGGTCCAGCAGAAGCATGTCATACGGTCTAGTGTCGGCGGAAGGCGAGAGCCGCCATGTCAGATCTCGGAGGATTAACTTTCCGCGGATGGAACGAAATTTCATGCTTCCTGGCACTTTTTCCACCATTTTATTTTGTCTCGCCTCTTCTCGGCTAAGTGTGTCTGGCGGGTCTCGACCCGTTCCAGTCTTTGAGTGCCAGGTTTGAGATCTCAGTCGGTCGAGACGACGATTTCAGGGAAGGGCATTGTGTGACAGAGTCGCTGAGCTCGACTTGCTGCGAGTCAACTTACCCGAATGATCGCAGAGCCACTCGCTACTGTACCACTAGAGGCGAAGTGCAGATCTCGACTCGGAACACGGCATGCCATTCATGCCATTTAGCGGCGACCACTGCTGCCGTTTGTGTCCGGTAGGGCCGGCATCCGGAGAAGAAAACACAAAGCTTGCTGCCGCGATGACCTTTGTTCACGCTCTACACGGCAACATCGACGGTTATCACTCTGCTTCGTTCTGCGCGTGACACAATGGGCCGGCGAATTTCCTTTCAGCGTCAACGCTCTAGTGCATACAACGTGCTCTTTCAGACAATAGGTGAGCTGCAATGAGATGGCAGGGCACAAGTGTGACAGAGTACGAGTAGAACATATGGCGGCTTTTATCGGCCACGCGCCGACAGCCCACCCTCTTCGAAGATAGCGCAATGTTGCCATGATGAGCCTTGAATGCCACTGGGACAAACTGCGCTCAAGCATGACCGAGAGGGCTTATCAGTACCGGCATGTCCCGCTGAACAGGCGTGAGAAAATGCGCAAACCTTGTGTCCTGCAGGCAGCGATATCTGGGCACAGTAGTGTCGTCTTCTCTGAGCTGGTCACATAGAAGCAAAATTTTGAGCCTATCTGCTGATAAATCGTGACCTTCTTCCAAGGTATGCACGTGTATGAAGTCAGAGCAAGAACACGGTCGATAGCCTGAAGGCTGCTGCCCCGTGGCATTCTTGATGCGCACCAATGAAATTCTGAGATGCACCTCAAAGAAGGCAGCCAACATGACGAACCTTGCTGATCTGTAGCTTTGCTCATGCACTTGTGCGCATCGAGTCTCATCTACTTTGCGTGCCTGCGCAATTGGATGTCAGCATTAACGTTAGCTCTGTAAGCTCGCGTCGCCGTGTACACCTCCTCTTTTGCAACCACATTGGGCAGCTGATGCTGATGGCTTTGCAGTACCGTACATCACCCGGAGAACCTTGATCGGCGCAGAGCCATCTCATCCCTGCTGCGTGCGCTCCCCAAAGCGGTGAGGCGCCTGGATCGGAATGCTGCGCTAGGTTGCCGCTTGGCGCACAGCCTCAGCTCGATTCTCTGTAGTAGTGACTCAAGGGGGCGATCACGACTCTGCAAAGCCAGCAGTTGTCTTGTCATGTCCTCCGTATGAGTTCAATTCAGCAGCGTGTACAAAAGAGCTCGACTTGCGTCCTGGGTGATATCTGATCCCAGCGTTCAAGTCGCCATCGATCGTCTCTCAATTTGCGAAATGGCTTCTGCAGTCCAGCTGCCACACACACTTCTCGTGGCGACTGGAGCGCTGCGTTCTCTCCGATCGCCTGACCGACACGGCGGCCGATCATCAGCAAGTTCGGCTTCGCTTGCTCCTGCTCTCACCATGAAGGCGAAGCGCGACGATGTGCAACCTGCTTTGGAATCTGATGCGCAGGTCAGACCGTCTCGCAGCTCCTCCATCGGCTCAGAGGACACTCTGGTCCCCGGCGCTGAGCAGGATTGCAGCGTCCCTCAACAACCCATCGTCACATGTAAGGTCACTGGCGTCGAAAGCAGTGCAACATCGGCGCTCGAACCGATCAGTCTCGATCAGCATTTCGTCTCGAGCTCTGCTCAAACCAAATGGCATCTTCGCACTTTATCCACCAACGACACTGCCCATGAAGCTAACCACCTCTCCAGGCCGCCATCCAGGCGAGACTCTCTGCAAGCGCTGCTGTCCTTCCTCGACCACGAAAAGCCACAGATTGCCCAAGCCCACGAGACGCTGGCACGCCAACAATTCTCCCTGGACCGTCTTCGCGTCGTGATGGACGAGTTCGAGGCACGGCTTCACAGGTTCCGCTCCATGTCCGATCAGCTGGTCGTGGAGCTCCAGTTGCAGATGGACGAGAGGGATCCAATGTTAGACGAGATGCTGCTCTTGTCCATTCGACGCGCCACATCGCAGAGTTTGGAGGCGGCCATCATGGTTTCTTGGTTCCGTGAGACCAGGCTCTCGAAAGTCACGCCAGAGACGAACATTGAGGCGAAAGAGCGATCGACGACGCTGTCTAGGTCGATGGCAGAAGTATCGTCGAATGCCCAACCGCGGCTGAAGCAGAAGAATGATCAGCAAGTGTGTCTGAAAGCAATGCCGGACATACGGGGCCCCTCACCTCACCCTGATAGGCGCTTCGAAGGCGTTAGGCCACACACGGCTCAGGCAGATGGAAGAAATATGAATGTCTGCGATGCAAAGCTGCCTCGCCTGGCTCGGTCGGCCAGCAAGAGGTCAGCCGGTGTGCAACCACGCCTACGAAGCCTTTCAAACGCTGGAATCGACCCGTATGGCCTAGCACACGGCAACGTCACCGCTCAGTCGGCATCCTCTCTCGTCGAGCCCGGTTGCACCATCCAAGACTCGACGCGCTTCCTGTTTCCGCATCCAAGTCCAGCTCCACCAACCGTCTCCTCCACCACCTGGTCAACCACCCGCATTGTGCGAAAACCCAAACTGTCTCTCAAATCGTTCCTCAACACCCACATTCCTCCGCTTGTAGCCAGCGCCTCAACCGACACGATCATTGCTCCATCCTCTCACACAGAATCGCACAACCAAAGCGATGCATCTCATCAATATCTTGATGACGAATGGAATGTAGTACTGGCGTCGTTGGATTACGTACCACCTTCGCTGGCGAAAAGAGCGGAGCCAGCTCCCGAAAAAGGTCCCACGCGTATCGATATGCATCTTGCAAAGTTGACCGCTTGGGTCGACGGCATCGGAAGGAGACGTCATCAACGACGCGTTGCGTAGCGGAGATCGTTTTGTTTCCGGCTTGCCTGTCCTTTCAGCCTCAGTTGCTCTTTGTACCTTCGTTTGTCTTCACTCTCCTTTAAGAACGAAGAACAAATAGTCTCATGTTCACGAAAAATATGATCGTTTGATTGCAGCTCACAGCGTGACCCTTACTCTCGGCAAGATCGACTGCCCATGATCCCCCTCCTCACCCACGCGTTCCGTCCATGTGAAGCGTACCATTCCCTCGGCGCCCTCCTCCACACCACTCGTATCCGCCACGGCCCTCGTAACCCCCGCATCCACGCCATCCACCGCTCTAACCGCCACCACTGGCAATCGCATCAACCCCACCCTCTGCGGTATCAACCTTGCAAAGTTCCTCACCACCCGCGATTGACCGGGCAGCAGGAACGGGATCGACAGCCGACGTGCTGCGGCCAGCGTAAAGTTTTCGTCCGAATCCAAGGTCACGATCAACGAGAGGGAGTGGGCCGGGTGGGTGTTGGAGATTGTTAGGTGGAGGGGAAGAGGGGATAGGAGGGGGGTGGAGAGGGGGTGGTGGAGGGTCAGTGCGAGGTGTGGGGAG